CTTCTCATCTTTTGGATAAATCGTTTTATATACAGCAAACTGAGTACTGGACTACGTGTTTGGGTGTGTTTTCAAAAGAATCAAAAAGCTCGAGTCAGTTTTCTTGTTGTTGTTGAAACGAAAAATAATAAAAAGTGTTCGAAACTTCTCCTAATAGTTCCAGACTAATACCATTATGCTAAAAACCTTAACGAAACACTTGAACTTCGATGCACGGCGTTTTTTTTATTACGCAAGGTCAAGACTTCTCGTGAATTATGATGCTTAGGGTGTAAGCACACCGAATGTGCATCGAAGTTCAAGTGTTTCGTTAAGGTTTTTAGCATAATGGTATTAGTCTGGAACTATTAGGAGAAGTTTCGAACACTTTTATTATTTTTCGTTTCAACAACAACAAGAAAACTGACTCGAGCTTTTTGATTCTCTTGAAAGCACACCCAATCACGTAGTCTAGTACTTAGTTTGCTGTATATAAAACGATATATCCAAATCATAAGAAGTTTAAGTCATGCGCGGTGCGTTTCCCAGCTTTTCAGCCGCGGTTCACAATTGTGCAGCGGTTCCCGCTGACGCGTTCGCTCGGAAACGCGCCTGCTCTCAGACAGTTTTTCGCGTGTTCAGTGTATTGCATCGAAGTTCGAGTGTTTCAGTTAAAGTTTTTTTAGCATAATGGTATTAGTCTGGAACTATTAGGAGAAGTTTCGAACACTTTTTTTATTATTTTTTTCGTTTCAACAACAACAAGAAAACTGACTCGAGCTTTTTGATTCTCTTGAAAACACACCCAATCACGTAGTCTAGTACTTAGTTTGTTGTATATAAAACGATATATCCAAATCATAAGAAGTTTAAGTCATGCTCGGTGCGTTTCCAGCTTTTAGCCACGGTTCACACTGTGCAGCGGTTCCCGTTGACGCGTTCGCTCGGAAACGCGCTCTGCTCTCAGACAGTTTTTCGCGTGTTCAGTGTATTGCATCGAAGTTCGAGTGTTTAGTTAAAGTTTTTAGCATAATGGTATTAGTCTGGAACTATTAGGAGAAGTTTCGAACACTTTTTATTATTTTTCGTTTCAACAACAACAAGAAAAATGACTCGAGCTTTTTGATTCTCTTGAAAGCACACCCAATCACGTAGTCTAGTACTTAGTTTGCTGTATATAAAACGATATATCCAAATCATAAGAAGTTTAAGTCAAGCGCGGTGCGTTCCCAGCTTTTAGCCGCGGTTCACAATTGTGCAGCGGCTCCCGTTGACGCGTTCGCTCGGAAACGCGCTCTGCTCTCAGACAGTTTTTCGCGTGTTCAGTGTATTGCATCGAAGTTCGAGTGTTTAGTTAAAGTTTTTAGCATAATGGTATTAGTCTGGAACTATTAGGAGAAGTTTCGAACACTTTTTATTATTTTTCGTTTCAACAACAACAAGAAAAATGACTCGAGCTTTTTGATTCTCTTGAAAGCACACCCAATCACGTAGTCTAGTACTTAGTTTGCTGTATATAAAACGATATATCCAAATCATAAGAAGTTTAAGTCAAGCGCGGTGCGTTCCCAGCTTTTAGCCGCGGTTCACAATTGTGCAGCGGCTCCCGTTGACGCGTTCGCTCGGAAACGCGCTCTGCTCTCAGACAGTTTTTCGCGTGTTCAGTGTATTGCATCGAAGTTCGAGTGTTTCAGTTAAAGGTTTTTTTAGCATAATGGTATTAGTCTGGAACTATTAGGAGAAGTTTCGAACACTTTTCATTATTTTTCGTTTCAACAACAACAAGAAAACTGACTCGAGTTTTTTGATTCTCTTGAAAACACACCCAATCACGTAGTCTAGTACTTAGTTTGCTGTATATAAAACGATATATCCAAATCATAAGAAGTTTAAGTCATGCTCGGTGCGTTTCCCAGCTTTTAGCCGCGGTTCACAATTGTGCAGCGGTTCCCGTTGACGCGTTCGCTCGGAAACGCGCTCTGCTCTCAGACAGTTTTTTTCGCGTGTTCAGTGTATTGCATCGAAGTTCGAGTGTTTCGTTAAAGGTTTTTTTAGCATAATGGTATTAGTCTGGAACTATTAGGAGAAGTTTCGAACACTTTTTTTATTATTTTTTTCGTTTCAACAACAACAAGAAAAAAATGACTCGAGCTTTTTGATTCTCTTGAAAGCACACCCAATCACGTAGTCTAGTACTTAGTTTGCTGTATATAAAACGATATATCCAAAATCATAAGAAGTTTAAGTCAAGCGCGGTGCGTTCCCAGCTTTTTAGCCGCGGTTCACACTGTGCAGCGGTTCCCGTTGACGCGTTCGCTCGGAAACGCGCTCTGCTCTCAGACAGTTTTTTTCGCGTGTTCAGTGTATTGCATCGAAGTTCGAGTGTTCAGTTAAAGTTTTTTTAGCATAATGGTATTAGTCTGGAACTATTAGGAGAAGTTTCGACACTTTTTTTATTATTTTTTTCGTTTCAACAACAACAAGAAAAAAATGACTCGAGCTTTTTTGATTCTCTTGAAAGCACACCCAATCACGTAGTCTAGTACTTAGTTTGCTGTATATAAAACGATATATCCAAATCATAAGAAGTTTTAGTCATGCTCGGTGCGTTTCCAGCTTTTTAGCCGCGGTTCACACTGTGCAGCGGTTCCCGTTGACGCGTTCGCTCGGAAACGCGCTCTGCTCTCAGACAGTTTTTTTCGCGTGTTCAGTGTATTGCATCGAAGTTCGAGTGTTTAGTTAAAGTTTTTCAGCATAATGGTATTAGTCTGGAACTATTAGGAGAAGTTTCGAACACTTTTTTTATTATTTTTTTCGTTTCAACAACAACAAGAAAAAAATGACTCGAGCTTTTTTTGATTCTCTTGAAAGCACACCCAATCACGTAGTCTAGTACTTAGTTTGCTGTATACAAAACGATATATCCAAAAGATAAGAAGTTTAAGTCAAGCGCGGTGCGTTCCCAGCTTTTAGCCGCGGTTCACAATTGTGCAGCGGCTCCCGTTGACGCGTTCGCTCGGAAACGCGCTCTGCTCTCAGACAGTTTTTCGCGTGTTCAGTGTATTGCATCGAAGTTCGAGTGTTTAGTTAAAGTTTTTTTAGCATAATGGTATTAGTCTGGAACTATTAGGAGAAGTTTCGAACACTTTTTATTATTTTTTTCGTTTCAACAACAACAAGAAAAAAATGACTCGAGCTTTTTTTGATTCTCTTGAAAGCACACCCAATCACGTAGTCTAGTACTTAGTTTGCTGTATATAAAACGATATATCCAAATCATAAGAAGTTTAAGTCAAGCGCGGTGCGTTCCCAGCTTTTAGCCGCGGTTCACAATTGTGCAGCGGCTCCCGTTGACGCGTTCGCTCGGAAACGCGCTCTGCTCTCAGACAGTTTTTCGCGTGTTCAGTGTATTGCATCGAAGTTCGAGTGTTTAGTTAAAGTTTTTTTTAGCATAATGGTATTAGTCTGGAACTATTAGGAGAAGTTTCGAACACTTTTTTTATTATTTTTTTCGTTTCAACAACAACAAGAAAAAAATGACTCGAGCTTTTTTTGATTCTCTTTGAAAGCACACCCAATCACGTAGTCCAGTACTTAGTTTGCTGTATACAAAACGATATATCCAAAAGATAAGAAGTTTAAGTCAAGCGCGGTGCGTTCCCAGCTTTTAGCCGCGGTTCACAATGTGCAGCGGCTCCCGTTGACGCGTTCGCTCGGAAACGCGCTCTGCTCTCAGACAGTTTTTTTCGCGTGTTCAGTGTATTGCATCGAAGTTCGAGTGTTTAGTTAAAGTTTTTTTAGCATAATGGTATTAGTCTGGAACTATTAGGAGAAGTTTCGAACACTTTTTATTATTTTTTTCGTTTCAACAACAACAAGAAAAAAATGACTCGAGCTTTTTGATTCTCTTTGAAAGCACACCCAATCACGTAGTCTAGTACTTAGTTTGCTGTATATAAAACGATATATCCAAAATGATAAGAAGTTTAAGTCAAGCGCGGTGCGTTCCCAGCTTTTAGCCGCGGTTCACAATTGTGCAGCGGTTCCCGTTGACGCGTTCGCTCGGAAACGCGCTCTGCTCTCAGACAGTTTTTTTCGCGTGTTCAGTGTATTGCATCGAAGTTCGAGTGTTTAGTTAAAGTTTTTTTAGCATAATGGTATTAGTCTGGAACTATTAGGAGAAGTTTCGAACACTTTTTATTATTTTTTTCGTTTCAACAACAACAAGAAAAACTGACTCGAGCTTTTTTTGATTCTTTTGAAAGCACACCCAAACACGTAGTCCAGTACTCAGTTTGCTGTAAATAAAACGATATATCCAAAAGATAAGAAGTTTTAGTCAAGCGCGGTGCGTTCCCAGCTTTTAGCCGCGGTTCACAATTGTGCAGCGGCTCCCGTTGACGCGTTCGCTCGGAAACGCGCTCTGCTCTCAGACAGTTTTTCGCGTGTTCAGTGTATTGCATCGAAGTTCGAGTGTTTAGTTAAAGTTTTTAGCATAATGGTATTAGTCTGGAACTATTAGGAGAAGTTTCGAACACTTTTTATTATTTTTCGTTTCAACAACAACAAGAAAACTGACTCGAGCTTTTTGATTCTTTTGAAAGCGCACCCAAACACGTAGTCTAGTACTTAGTTTGCTGTATACAAAACGATATATCCAAAAGATAAGAAGTTTTAGTCAAGCGCGGTGCGTTCCCAGCTTTTAGCCGCGGTTCACAATTGTGCAGCGGCTCCCGTTGACGCGTTCGCTCGGAAACGCGCTCTGCTCTCAGACAGTTTTTCGCGTGTTCAGTGTATTGCATCGAAGTTCGAGTGTTTCGTTAAGGTTTTTAGCATAATGGTATTAGTCTGGAACTATTAGGAGAAGTTTCGAACACTTTTTATTATTTTTCGTTTCAACAACAACAAGAAAACTGACTCGAGCTTTTTGATTCTTTTGAAAACACACCCAAACACGTAGTCCAGTACTCAGTTTTGCTGTATATAAAACGATATATCCAAAAAGATAAGAAGTTTTAGTCATGCGCGGTGCGTTTCCCAGCTCTTTAGCCACGGTTCACACTTGTGCAGCGGTTCACGTTGACGCGTTCGCTCGGAAACGCGCTCTGCTCTCAGACAGTTTTTTTCGCGTGTTCAGTGTATTGCATCGAAGTTCGAGTGTTTCGTTAAAGGTTTTTTTAGCATAATGGTATTAGTCTGGAACTATTAGGAGAAGTTTCGAACACTTTTTCATTATTTTTTTCGTTTCAACAACAACAAGAAAAACTGACTCGAGCTTTTTAGCTTCTTTTGAAAACACACCCAAACACGTAGTCCAGTACTCAGTTTGCTGTATATAAAACGATATATCCAAAAGCATGAGAAGTTTTAAGTCATGCGCGGTGCGTTTCCAGCTCTTTAGCCACGGTTCACACTTGTGCAGCGGTTCACGTTGACGCGTTCGCTCGGAAACGCGCTCTGCTCTCAGACAGTTTTTTTCGCGTGTTCAGTGTATTGCATCGAAGTTCGAGTGTTTCGTTAAGGTTTTTAGCATAATGGTATTAGTCTGGAACTATTAGGAGAAGTTTCGAACACTTTTTCATTATGTTTTTCGTTTCAACAACAACAAGAAAACTGACTCGAGCTTTTAGCTTCTTTTGGAAATACACCCAAACACGTAGTCCAGTACTCAGTTTGCTGTATATAAAACGATTTATCCAAAAGATGAGAAGTTTTAGTCATGCGCGGTGCGTTTCCAGCTCTTAGCCACGGTTCACACTTGTGCAGCGGTTCACGTTGACGCGTTCGCTCGGAAACGCGCTCTGCTCTTAGACAGTTTTTCGCGTGTTCAGTGTATTGCATCGAAGTTCGAGTGTTTCGTTAAGGTTTTTAGCATAATGGTATTAGTCTGGAACTATTAGGAGAAGTTTCGAACACTTTTTCATTATTTTTTTCGTTTCAACAACAACAAGAAAAACTGACTCGAGCTTTTTAGCTTCTTTTTGGAAATACACCCAAACACGTAGTCCAGTACTCAGTTTGCTGTATATAAAACGATATATCCAAATCATAAGAAGTTTTAAGTCATGCTCGGGTGCGTTTCCAGCTCTTAGCCACGGTTCACACTTGTGCAACGCTTCCCGTTGCTGTCAGGATAGAAATACGATTTATTTTCTGACAATTCTATCGAGTTTTTATCTTTTTCAATTGGTTTACAAAACTTGCATTGTTTTCTCATCTTGGTTCTCAGTTGCTTGTTTCTAATTGAGTGTCAACATGTTCTTTTCTCTGGTTCTACCCGTATCATTCTACTTTTCGTCGTTTTTTTTTTGAAGTCATTTCAAATTTTTCAGCGCTCGTCTGTCTCGATCGTCAAAAGGGATGCCGAAGTCAAAGATTGTGCGTTACGTTCCTCAAGGAGAAAGGGTCATGAAATATGGTGAGTTTTAATAGATTGAAGAGTTTAAAAAAAGGAATCAAAATGAACCGCTGTCGCTCACTCAGGAGTTTTTTTTGCTAGAAAAAATATAAATGAAAGTTTCTTGAACTGATAGTGATTTTTGCAGAACGATGTCTGGAAAATGTCAGACGCGACTTGAAAAAGCGAAAACTTCGTGAGTTTTTCATCCGTGCATTGAAATAAGATCGAACTTATACAATTTTTTTTAGTGGACTCTCTTCCCAAAACTCGTCGGTCTCGCACCAGTTTGCATCGCAAGAGTCTCGAACCTCAGCCGCTTCCCTCCAGAGAATATGGTTCGTTCAATTTGACTTGAGTTCCTTCCATCTGAATCGGAAGTTTTCGCAAGTTAATATACTAGAAAAAACGGGAATGATCAATCAGTTCCTAGTTTTTTTAATTGCAAAAAGATTTTTTTCATGATTAGATTTCAGTAAACGTGGTTATTTTAGTCCCTCCTCTTCAAGACGACGACAATATTGAAAGAAGAGCTTGTCAGTACGAAGACTTCAAATCATTTCGCGGAACTGTTCCGTCATCTGGTGAGTGAAAAAGGAAACATCTTAACGGGAAAAGGGTTTGGAAAACAGAAAAAGGGAAATTTTTCGTAGTTTTCCAATCTCTACAGAGGCAATACTTTTTTGAACTCATTTTTTCAATGATTAGTGCTCGAGGAATGATGAAAGTTTGAGAGAGAAAAAGGTGTTTTCATTCTCGGCGTTCTATTTCTTCAGGAAGTCGCAGTAGTCGGTATCCGGCCAAGTCTAAACCGGGCAAGAATTAGGATCAACAAGATTAAAAATACATTCTGTATATCGCATTTTAATTTTTTTCACAATCAGACAGTTAAAAAAATATTGATTTCTGGTTTTTTTCCAACAAAAAAACAATTTCTGCTATCAGATTTTTTGTGAACATGTGAATTTCAGTTCGGTATGTCCAAGTCGACGACAACGTCGACAAGAAAGATTACGAATACGAAGACTTCAAATTTAGCCAAACAGTCTCGTCATCAGGTGGTGAGTGAAGTGAACTAACATATAAACCGGCAAAAACTAAATATTCAATGAAAATAACACGAAAAGTACAGAGACACATAACCAAAAAAAATTTCTAATTTCAGGGAAGGTCGAGCAACGAGCATCAAAGGTCGTTTTTGACTCTGACCGTGCCATGAGCCAATATCCCGATTATGTAGAATTGCAAGCGACTGAGGAAGACTCTGAGCTCTCGGTGGCTGCCTGTCAGTTTTTTTTCTCAAGAATTTAATTAGTATATGGTTTTTCAGATGAAGACTTTCTTCGCGCACTCAAGTCGATGAGAGTCTCGACGCGCAAAAGAAGGCCGGCCTTCCGACAGAGGTCTCAGGGCTTGGCGAATGTTTTTCGAAGGTCAGTTTTAAACAAACATTTTTTTGAGACCAAAAAAATAAAAAAATCTAACTTGGAACGGTGGCAAGATGAAATTCTCTTAAATAAAAAAACTCAGGGAGATTTTTCCAAAACTTTCAACCCATTTTTTCACGGGACTGTATGATCATGAAAAGAATGAATATTTCGGATGGTTTTTGGATTCAATTTTTAGCCGGACCGAAAAAAAACTCAATGAATCAATTTTCAGATGTCCCGACGGGTTTCTCACCCGAGTCTTACTTGGAAAGGACCTTGCGTCAGATCAAGCCTCAAATCGGCAAGAAGAACTACGCTCTTTTCTCGCAACCCCTTGGTCAGTTGTTATACCACAAGTTTCGGGAAATGTTTTCGAGTTATCATGAACCAACTTTTTTTATATCTGTTTGAAAAACTTTTTCTATGAACTAAATGTTTCAGAGGATCTTGTCAGCTCGGGCGTGCCGCTCTCTGAGCACGCCGGCCTCGGATCTCTTGCTCCGGCGGTCAGCAGCGACAAGCAACCTCAACGCGCGAAGAGTGAGTTTACTTTTGATACAAATGAATTGAACAGAAGACAAAATGAATAAACTGAATGGAAACTAGAATAAAGTAATAAATCTTTGTGTTTTCAGCCTTTACGGAGCTTCTGATGTCAACGCATCCCGGCTACATAGCAATCCGTGGGAAAAAGTTACCGCCACTCGAAAATCCTTTTCCGCATGTCAAATCATGTAAGTTTTATTTTAAATGAAAAAAAACTGGACTTTTCGCGAGAACGTCTTCAGATAATAGTCAAAAAGTTTATTAGAAACTATTTCTGGATTAGAAGTGACTTTCAAAAGTCAAGATAAGTATAGTTACACTAGAAGAAAAACATATGGAAGTTTTTTTGAACAATAACGTGACATTTTCAGATGGTCCAAATGAAGATCCATTCTCCGAAATTGACCCAGGGTGCCAGCGCAAAGATTACAGTCGTCTCCTCAATGGTAAGTATTCTAATTTCGAAGAAATTAATTGACAGAAAAAGTAATTTTAAAACGTGTAATAACTTTGGCAGTGAAAAGTCGAGAATTTCAGGAAACTCTCATGCAAAACATTTGCTGAGTCTGACATCGCATTCAACCGGCTTTAAGCCCTCATTTCTATGAACATGGACGTCGATGATTTTGATATGGTTCGTTGTATCTTTTCTATAGTTTATTTTCTAAAGCTCTGAAAAAAAGCAAAGAACAGTATTTATCGAGGTTTGTTCTGGTCTCTGAGCTTATAATTTTTTTCTTTGTTGTAAGTTTTTTTAAGAGTGCTGCCCTGACTCTTCGTTCAAGTTCACGTTCAATTCCGTTCAATTAAATTTTTTTCGAAGTGGAAGTCTGTTTAAAAGTCTTATAACGTAAAACTTACATGATTTACTTGAAAAAAATGTGAAAAAAATTTGAAAGTTTTTTTGTGTCTTTTTTTGTCGTTCCGATCATTTTTAACGCAAAATTATGGATTCACACTGTGGTCTAAGAAGATAATGCTTTTTCATTAATAAAGTTTCAACTTTTTGCTCATAAACGCTTCAAATTTTTGAATTCGGTCATACAACTTACGAGAGGATTTTGGTTTGAAATCTGAATTACGATAAGAAAATATTAAAAAAGATAATCGAAATATTTTTGCTCTAGCATTTGATTGAAGTTTTTTTTTTCAGTTCCTGTCTATGTTTCATTTTTTACAGGGCTCGGCGGAGAGCACCCCATCTTCACTCAATGAAATCCCGATGGAAATGGATCTTACGGCTTCAGGTCCGCCCATATCAGACGATGAGACCGAACTCGAAATGCGGGAACGGAAATATATCACTGTTGGTTTTGAATCTTATTTTTTACTCAAATTTCTATTTCCAGTACGCCAAGCGGATATTACCGCACGTTGGTTTAGTTCTATTGTTATTTGTATATTTGTTAGTAGGCGCCACGATATTTCACGCGATAGAAGGACCGAATGAGTTGATAGTGAGTTCACTGTTTCAACCTCAGTTCTGAACTTTTTCACTTTTTTAGCAACGAGACTTGGAGCTCAGGACAATATTCGGCTTGAGGAGAGATTTCCAAGATCATATTTGGAATATTACACAGGTTGGCTTTGGCGATTTTTTTAACTATAGTATTCAACACAATATGGCATTTGGAATGAAAAAAAAAATGCTTTTTTGGGTAGAAAGGTCAGGTCGACAACCTATTATAATTCCTGAGGCCTAGAACTATTTCAAACAGTTTGTCTAGCTGTTTATACCTATCCAGTAATTTACGATGCGACCATTTTTTCTGAATTATATATGTTCAAATCTCTTCAGGACGTGGACAACCGGATATCCCGGGAAGCGTTCAACTCAATAAATCAGGAATATTTTGACCAATTGGTCAAAAACATCTTTATTTCTTATCGCAATCAGTTTATCAACGAGGATCACTTGCTGAACCGAACGAAAGATGAAGGACTTTTGTGGACCTATCCAAATTCTATCTTTTTTTGCAGCTACGGTTATAACCACTATCGGTATGTTAATGTTTTTTTCCCAAACTTACTGCAAAATATTATAATTCATTTATAATTCAACAAACTTTAAGAACTGGGGTTTAATATTCTCAGATTGATTAAGAGAAAAGCTTGCAAAAAAAACCAATTATCAGACTATTTCAGGCTACGGCAACTTGGTGCCCACGACAACAGCTGGAAGAGTCGCCTGTATTATTTTTGCCTTGTTTGGGATTCCTCTTCTTCTTGTCACTATCGCTGACATTGGAAAATTCCTTTCAGAATTCCTCAGCTTCCTGTACAGATCTTACCGCGCTTTCAAGAGAAAGGTTAATATTTTTTTTTAGTTCGAAACGAGTTGAGAGAACGTGGTCGCATGTAGAATGGCTTGGTCGCATTTTTTTTTGAGCCGGCCTGAAAAGATTACCGCGTGGAAATATCGAAACTCCTAAAAAAGAGGAAAGAAAGAACACCAAAGTTTCCTGAAGCCAAGTCACTCCTTAACGGACCACGGCTCTCGATTCAGAGCAATTTGAATTTTGAACTTTTGAACTTTCAGGTGATTGCCCGTCGTCGGAGCAACGTTGCAAGAACCGTGAGTTCCCATTTTCCTGAACTTTTGCTCAGAACAGCATGCCTCAAAGACCCATCTTTTAATACATCTTTTAGTAGCCATAGAAAATTCACTGCATTCTTGATCAAAAATCATCATTTTCTTCTTCATTTTGTTTTTTCAGCTGAGAAAGCATTCGAAAAGAATGTCGAATCCATACCGGTCCGGATCCCAATCAAGAGCCAGTGAAATGGGTGATTCGAAGGTATGAAGGGAATTCTGAGAACGCAAATTTATTAATGTAAGCAAGGCTGGATCACTTAATCTTCACGATATGGAGACGGAGTCGGAAGATTCGATGGAAGATGAGCTGAGGATCCCGGTTTTTATGGTCCTCTTTGTTTTACTGGCCTATACAGCTATCGGTGGTTTTTTATTCCAGGTAAGACTATTATTTTCTTTATATCAAGCCGTCAGATACATCTATAAAACCCTCATTCTCAACAGCTTTCTGGGGTCTTTAGAGTTCAATGAAGTTCGAATATTTTTTCTTTTTTTAGGCTTAATCTCAAGAATCAGTGAAATTTAAATTATGACCACTTGAATGCCCCTTGGTTAGGGACCGCAGACGAATTTTCAAAAAATTTTTTTCAGCATTGAGCTTTGTATGGTTTGATAGCTGTTTCGATTCAAAACTCAGAACCGTTTAGTTTTTCGAAAAAGATTGAGGATGAAAAAAGTTATGACGAAAAATGTGGCGCGCCGCGCACCATTTTTTTAGTACTGAAATTTTGGTATTATCCATTTTTGACATTTTTCTCGATTTTTCTTCCAGAACAAGTTTTGATACTGGTCTATTATGATGTGAAAAAATCATAATAGAGTGCTAAAATGATAAAAATTTGTTAGTTTGCCGAAAAAGTCGGTATTTTCCAGAAAACAAAAAACTGGCGCTTGCGGGCATCGAACTCGCGACCTCAAAAAGAAAAATCGCAGCGCACGCGCTGCGCCAAGCTGTTGAGTCCAGCAAGGAGAGCTTTCATCCGCCATACCCTTGAGCCGTTTGAATAGCACAGATTGCCTATTTCAAAAAAATAAAAAAACTTGAAGTAATTAAGCTATTTTTTTATCAGAATATGTTCGCAAATCTTTACTCAAACTTTTTCGTGGAAATTCACTTCGAAAAAAAACTGTTTTTTTAGTGCTTTTTTTGCCTCGGTTAACGATTGTTGCATTAAAACGGTCCCGTAAATTTTTTTGGCAAAGACGAATTTTTTTCATTTTATTATTTTTTTATTGAAAGATTTTTTTACTAATAAATGTATATAATCGTTTAAAAAAACCTGCGTTCGACCGCTTTCTGTGTGATAAAACGCCGCTAATTTTTATTCTCTATTTTTCAAGAACATTTTTTTGCGTCTTAAACAACTTTTTTTCAAGCACAGATGCTGTAGAGAAATATTTAAGTAAGCCCATGACCTAAACTTTAAAAAAACAAAAACTCGATTATATTCGCTTATTAACGATATTTTGAATTATGACTTTCGGCACTCCCTAAAATTTTTGGCAAAGACGAATTTTTTATTTTATTGTTTTAAAATTACCGTTACTTGAATCAAAATCATTATTTAAAAAAAGAAAGAGTGCGTTCGACCTGAAAACACATGAAAAAGCAAAAAATGACAAAATTTTTTAGTTCCATTCACCTTTTGTACGACATTCCGCGCGAACGCATCAAAAAAGCGTGAAATATTTTTTGAACGAAAGAGGAAGCTTTTCTGTACATGTGTGTCAAAATTTATTATCCAGTTTCACATATTTTGCAACTACAGCAAAATTAAAGTTGAAAACCAAAAAAAAGCCACTTTTTCTATCGCGAAAAGGGGCGTGGCTTTGCGGTCCCTACCCTTGGTTGATTTTTGAAAGGAAACTGATTTTTTTCAGTCCTGGGAAGGTCTCCAATACTTCGAAGCTTTCTACTTTTGTTTCATAACCATGGCTACTGTTGGTATGTTATGTCTGAAGATTTACTATAACCAAGAAAAATCAGGTTTTGGAGACATCGTTCCTACCGAACAGGTCTACATGTTTTTTACAATGGCCTACATAATTTTTGGCCTATCCTTGTGAGTTTTTGAATTTTCGAATTTTTTTCCGACAAAATAAGTTGTTGGTGCATATTGTTGAAATCATAGCATCGCCGTTGCAAAGGTCGTGAAAAAACGGCAAGTTTTGAAGAAAATCGCATGAAGTCGAGTGCACTTTTAAAAATTGAGTTATCACTTCTAAGGGCTGAAAGATGGCTTCTGGATAATTTTAGGAACCGGCGTGCAGTTTCGATTATCAAAATGATAAAATTATCTATAAAAGAGGTTTCAGAGCCACAATGTGTATCGATTTGGCCGGAACGGAGTATATAAGAAAAATCCATTATCTTGGCAGCAAAATGGAAGACGCCAAGGGAGCAGTGATGACGTGAGACTCTGAAGTCATTCAAAGTATTTAGTTCTTAACTTTCAGTGGTCTACAAGTTGGCGAGCACTATTTGAAGCACACTGGAATCGAAGTCATCAAGACCGCTGGTGGGAAATTGGTCCAAGGTTATTAATTATGGATAGAGATCAAAAATAAGAAGTTTTTTTTAGTTCGAGGAGCTGTTCTCAACACAAAGCAAGCTCGAGAACTTGGAGTTGAGTACATTTTTGGCGGATTTGCAGTATCACCACAAAAATATTTTGTACGAACCTTTGAGTCCCACAGTGGCCAAGTTGGTCAAGGAACACAATATTAAGGTGGATTTTTTTGCTCTTTCATCTTAATATTTCAGCTTTATACTATCAAAAAATCATTCAAAATTCGTAGATTCTGTTTAAATCCTGATTATCGTGATAGGAGCCCATTTTTTCGTATTTTGAAGTCAAAAAACGGTTCTCAATCTCAAGGTTGATTGTGGAAAGCTTTTGGATTATTTCTCGCTGCTTCAAATTTTTTTTTTCTGAATCGAACACTCCTGTAATTTCTTCTCATTGCAAATGATCTGAATTATTTTAAAAATACTAGCCTTTTGAAATAATACATCACTCTGCAGAACACCTAGAAATGCATACCTACCGAGTTTTCGATTGATTAATTACAACTTTTGACTGATTTTTATTTTTGACGTATTTTCCCTCGAAAGTTCAAGCTTCTTCTTTTCAGATTCTTCCCGACGACATAACGGAAAAGGACGGCTACATAGTGCAGAACAAGAGTTACGACCGACCCGCATTAGCAGAACGAGGCTACGTCCGAGTCAACGGGAACATTATCCGCCGGATAATGGTCCCCTCAAAAGGCGGACCTCCAATTATCGTTCCTTGCCTGGTTTTGAGAGAATCTGACATTTGATCTTGTGTATTTTCACTGGTTTCTTATATTAAACTGTTTATTGCCACCGGGTTTTCGAGTTTTCTGGCATCAAACTATCCAGGCTTTCTGTGTAGAGAATGGAGTCGGCCACAGAAGCGTTGCTAGAATGGGGGACTCTGTAAATCTGTATCTCGAAAAGTTCTGAAAAAAACTTGGAAGTGAGATTAATCTGATGATGAAAATTTTCTAAAATTTGCGCTCTTTGATTTTTATTTTTTCTGATTTTTTCTGAGTTTTTATATGGCTTCAGAGCGTTCAAACTCGTCGTACCAACCCGATTTGGTTAATATTTCCCATTCAAAATCAGCTCTTTTCAATATTTACAAAACAGATTTATCACGAAAAGAACCATTGTGGTGATTTTAACATTAGATAGTGAGCTACCAAAATTCATCTTGAAGTTTCCTATATTGAAGAAAAAACGTCTCATATGAAATTTTCCAAATTTAAGCCATCAAGGCAGTGAACACAAACATTTTCGGAGTTTCCGTGAGTTGGCCAAAAAATTCCACTGACTCTGTTATCTGCACGGCACAGACGAGTTCTTCAAATATCCAAGTGTCAACGTGAAGACAATCAACGTGTGTCGTCGACTTGGATCTCTGCATGAAACATTTGCATTTCGCGACCATGATGATCTGCGCAAGTCGGTCTAAGAGTTCCTGCTTACGCGACATTTGACCATCTCTCTGAAAAAAATGTCTAACTAGTAAGTTGAGTTTGAAATAGGAGAAGGGAATAACGAGTTTTCAACAAAATGTGCGTTCCGCGGGCAAGTGCTGAAAGAGTGGCGCGTTGGGATTTGGAGAGGAATGATACATGTTTCAAGCTCTGCACTTAAATTTGAGAGTTGGATGGGAAAACTGATGGGATAAAAAAAGTTTAGAACACTTGAAGCTTTGAAAAAAAAAAAAGTTATTTTCCACTATTTATTCGTATTTGATTCACTAATGTATATACGTATTTGATTCACTAAAATCCGGAAATTTAATGAAACTTCGAAAATGGCAGGTTTTCCAAACTCATTTTCCTGTCTGCCGCAAAAATAAATTAGCGATAAAACAAATGTTTGATTATACGAAAAAAATCTGATTTAACATGTAATAACTTTTTGTTGATTCAATCAATTCAACTTTTTAAAGTTGGAGTCCCCGTTTGAGCACAAATTAAAAAAGCTTAAGTGCATCTAGAACGCGAGAAACCATCGTGGAAAATCAAAGGAAATGAAAATTAGAAAGGGTGTTTTAACAGCACCTAGGAAACTGCCTAGGACTCGTAGGAAATCGCTAAAGTGTAAGGTGACCGAATTTCAAAAAACCTTCTTAGCCAAATCGAGTCCTTCTAAAAACGGCAAAATTCTTTATTGAAAAGTTAAACGAGAAAACAAAGCTTTCAAAAAAAATTGTAGTGAAATTTCAAGAAATCATCAAGGTCAGAAGCCGTCAGAAGGGTGATTCCCGATCTCTTTTTTCACCTCCAAAAAATTCAGCTGAAAATTTTGAACAAACTATATCCGAAATTCGACTACCCTCACTAACCTCTATTGGCTGAACAAAAAAAAACTTGCAACAAAAAAAAGATGAAAGAGCTGACATGCCCCAGAGGAGCTGCTCAAAAAGAAACACATTGGGGGAAGAAATGATGGTCCGTTGTCTGGATTGCATGATAAAACTGCGGCGCCGTGGCGGTATGCATTTGGGATGGAGATGGCCGGCCATCGAGACTCGGGCCGGCTCATTCGCGCGGCTCCTGGCTCTGCTGCTCGGCTCCACTTCTGCTCTCCAACATGGAGATCCAGAGCCCGTTTCAGATCGTCTGGGACAAAACTCCGTACTCCTCCTTCTCTGATTATATTTTTGCCAAAATCACCGCGCATGGCAGCAATTTGGCCATTGTGAGTTTGTATGAATAGGTTTTCAGCTTTTGTAAGAACTGCCGCCCCGGAAAGGGCAAAAGTTGTGCGATTAGGGCTAAGATTTTGATTTTGATTAAGTAGGCCTTTTAAATTTCATAAAATCTACTTTCCTCCAAGCACGCTTAGCAAACGTTTTCGAACAAACTATATACTCAGAAGTTAATTCTTTTTTTTTGTCTAATAAAATGACGCGGAATTAACGTGAGGCCTCAATTGGCTCTGAATAGGAAAGGGGAATTTTTCGTTTCTTGGAGATTGTTAATTTTGGTGTATTTCAGAACTCGAAATACATCAAAATATTATCCTCGTAATGAATTATGATAAGAAGAAAGTCGACAGAAACCAAAGTGTTAGAAACGTAAATTGCGCTAAAGGTATATCAAACGCAAGAACAACACAGCATGCGATTTTGCGACCCTTCACCTTGAATCGAAAATAAGACAGCCTTAAAGAAAATGTCTTTCAAGTTTTTCATTAGGCGACATGTGAATAAAATTGTAGTTTGAGTGAGAATTTCGAAAAATTTCTTTTACAGAAAAATGTTTTCCAAGCAACTTCCTCGATATTTCAGGTAGACGTCGACACGGGAAAACAATGGAGATATTCAGAAATCAGGAGCTGGAGCGAGATGTGTGCAGCAAGACTCAGAGAGATTCAAGTTAAATTTTGTTTTTATTTTTTCAATTTGCAAAAATTTCAAGGTAACGCCATCAAGCCGTGTCGCAGTGATAACCGGAACTACAGGTTTTTAGGAATTTAGGAAATTTTTGCAGTTTCTTTTTTAGGACAAGCGATTTTCGTCCATCTTGCTTGCTCTTTAATTGGGTGCGCAGCTGTCGCCGTCAACGGCTGGAGTACAGTTGGTTCGAATTACTTCCTTTTCTTTCAAAGTGAAATAAAACCTTGCAGATGAAGTTTGGACGCTCGTTGATCTTTCAGAATCGACACACTTGATTGTGGAGCCTCAATTTTCTCAAAAGGTAGGGCTTTGGTCTATTCATTTCGATTTGGAGATTTATCGCTAGATAGACAGCTTTTTTATCGCTAAAACTGCTTTTCTCTGATGAAAATCTCGTCACTAGAGATTTTGGTAGCCGCTTCCAAAAATTTGACGAAAAGAGGCTTGAACACGTTTCACGTCCTCATGAAGTTCAAAGACAAGAAACCTCTCAAGCTGGAGTTTTTTTTTGTAAGTCCTGACGCAAACTCAGAGAGACAAACAAAAAAATAAAACACAAGGTCCTTTGCAAATTTTTTTTTCCTTTCTCCTAATTAGAAATTTCTTTAATATCGATTCGGCCGAGTTTCATCAAAAATTAACCGGTCACCTGAAATGAATTCTTTGTATAGGCTGTTACAAGGAGTTTTTTCTTCAAAAACAATTTTTGATTTTATTCAAAAGTTCACCGAATTTAGAGCATTTTTCTTCAGAACCTTCGAAAAAAAACTAAATAAAATTTCAGGCAGACGATGTCCGTCGGAAGGCTCAAATGCGAGGCGGAGGACGAATCAAGCACGTCAAACACTTGGATGATGTCCTGACCTCGAAACCCATCACAGATGAACTCAAGAAAAAGTCAAAAATTCTCCACTGAAAAAGTAAAATTTGACAAATTCAGAAACCCTCTGGTCAAGGAGACGTCTTCAAACAAAATAATGTAAGTTTTGCTTTTTCATTTTTTTCTTTTTGAATTTGAAAATTACAGCGTTAGCCAACCTCTAGGAGAACCAGAAATCACCATCGACCTCAACTCACCACTGTCGGAAGTTCGTGAGATTTTGAAACAGAAATGTCATTTTTATGGCAAAGGAGCTGCCGCATGGAGAAGTCCCATCTGACGAAGGTTGTGGTCAAAACACGATGATGATATTTTTCACCAGTGGTACGACTGGTTTGCCGAAGGTTTTTGTTACCAATTATTCAATTTTTTTCCGCAAAAAAAGTTTTAGGCGGCCGAATTGACCCATCGATCGATTGTGATCAATCTCCAGCAAATTAATCAGCCTTTATATGGCCCAGTTACTCAAAAGGAGCGTTTTTTGCTTCCCTTGTCTATTTCTCACATTTTTGGATTTATATCAGCGTATTACGCTTTAATCAATGGCGCCTCACTTTATTTAGTTTCCAAGGTCACTCCGAAGTCGTTCATGGAAACTTTGACTTCAAATCAGGTTCGCTTCATTTTTATTTCCGTGGGACGTATTTAGAATAGATCATTGCGTTGAGGTCGTGCGGCGGTTGGAATCTCGAATCCTCACTAAAAGTATTACCAGCCTTGATATTTCTGAAACTTTTTGAAGTACTTTAAAACTTGGTTCTCTCAAAAAATCAAAAACCTTCAGAGGAGAGTTTAAAATAGTCGTTCTTAATAATGATTCTGGGCCGTAGGAAATTCCCAATGCGGCAAAATTAATTCGAGTTAATGTCAAATCAATAAATTGAGTTGCATTTTATAGATAAACGTGATTCATATAAATCCTGGAATTGTTCATTGGATGGCCATGGATCCCGTGATTGAAGATTATCGTGCTCCTCACCTGAGGAGTATTCTGTGCGCTGGAGCACCAATCGACTCTAATTTGGCCAAAATTGTCAGAGACAAGTTGAAGATCAAGGATTTCCGACAAGGTTTGCTTTTTTGAGAAAGCTTGAACTTGATAGTTCTTTATGAGTTTATCATGATTAAAAGCCATTTCCAGCTTCTTTTCGAGTAATACAAGACTTCTGTGTTTTTTCAAAGCATATAGGACACGTTATCAAGCATTCTATAGCAGAAAATGAATCACTTCTCAAAAACCTTCTCTTACAGCATATGGTATGACCGAGCTCGGAGGAATTTGCACCATGTCGCCCTATGAATCCGAAAAAATCGAATCAGTTGGAAGCCCACTTGCAGGAATGCTTTTTAAAGTTAGTAGAAGCTCAGAAATCTCATTCATTTGAATTCTTCAAGGTAGTCAATTGGGAGACCAAACAACTTTGCGGTCCACGACAGCCTGGCCAAATCATCGTCATGGGTCCTCAAGTGATCCCGAGCTATTACAAAAATCCGAAAGCGACTTCTGAGCTTCTGGATCTCACCGGATTTGTTAGGACAGGTAAAGTTTCGAGAATTGATATCGAAGATTAAAGTGGGGAATTATAGGAGATGCGGGTTTTTACGATGAACTCGGGAGGATTTACGTTTTAGATCGGATCAAGGACATTGTCAAGTACAAAGGAGCTCTGGTGAGCTTTTTTTGTGAGAAAGGAATAGCAAAATATGTTCTTTTTTTTCCATGTGGTTCAAAAAGAGTCAAAAATTCATAAACTTGAAAAATTAAGTTTTTTTGTTGGTTCTTCTTTTTTCCTTTATAGACTCCCCTGTACTTTTTTCTTCGCTATCTGAGGTTTTTTTTTATCTATCCGACCTCAAAGGCTTCTAATTGGTCTCTTTTTCCTGATAATTAGCATATGGACCTCTCTATTTTTAATGGAAAACCCTTCTGAACTTAGACAAACATTTTTCTGAAAACTTCAACTCACCTCAGTTTTTTTATTTAGAAAAAAATTGAAATTGCTTCATCTCACTGAAATCGATGTTTTTTTGCTTAGATTTGCCCCTCTGAAGTTGAACTGGTCCTTCGAGCTCATCCGGGAATCGACGACTGCGCCGTGGTCGGAAGACAAGATCATGTCGCCGGAGAAGTATTATCATTTTTTAGAGATCCAATTTCATTAATTTTCCAGGTACCTGCAGCTTTTGTAGTCAAGAACCACTCTCACCCATTGCTAGCTTCGGCGGAAGTTCGTCAATATGTCTCAGGTAATATTTTCCCTTTTCCTGACTTTCTTGGAATCTTTCACTTTCAGGAAAGATCTCGACCTTCAAAGAGCTTCGAGGTGGTGTCTTCTTCATCTCAGAAGTTCCACGAAGCACCTGTGGTAAAATTCTTCGCAGGAGTCTGAGAGGGTTCTGGGACCGGGAGAGGACCAACTCAAAGGTTTCTTTCATAATCTGATTTTCACGAATTTTTCACTAAAGGTGGAGACTCTACTAACGAAAGATGCCCTGAAGACGTCCGTAGTTTCTTCAAAACCAGTGGCCGGGAAGAAAATCAACGGAGTCACGGCTTCTCCAAAACGCGTCTTGTCCACTGCGACCCCCCTTAACAAAGTGACCAAAAAGTAATCAAAAGTTGTAGTTGTTTTGCTAGTTCGCTTCAGTTCATTCTAGTCTATAATATTTTGCCAAGTTTTATGTTTTGTCATTTTTCGCAAATATGGTAATAAAGTGATTCTCAGCTACTATGTCGTTGGAAAAGTCACAAAAAGTTTAATTTCGTTTCAGCAGTTTTTATAATTATCCTTTTTTTTTCTCAAACATCGTCCTTAGACAGTGTGAACGATACACAGAGCTATATTTTAAATGTATAATCAAACAATTTTTCGATCTTCTAAATATTATTACTGGGGATTTTTTTTCTTAGAGAGAACTCCAAATATTAAACGTCGAAAAAAATGAGTTCGAAGTCCGATTTTCTGGTTAAAAATAATCCCCACTTGCAGAAAATATATTAAACTTCTCCCATCTATATCCGTATCCATGAGCTTCCCTGCGTTTTCTGCCTGCCGCCGCAAAAATATATCTTGCAGAATGTTTTTCGGAAAGAGAGAAAAAGCACGTGAAAGAGCAGAAGGACTTCACGCAAGAAATCACTAATGGCATCACGCCCGAAGTGGCTGTTTTCCTTCCTTCCCATAGTACTTTTCCCTTGATCTCATGCATATAATAGAATGATTTTATTTACAAAGAAAAAGTATCCACAAATTATTTACACAGCGAAATACCAGCAAAACGCTCTGATTAACGTGAGTTTTAAGAAAAAAAAATTAGGCAACATGCTCAGAAAATCTATCAACTAATCTAAAAAACTGAGGAAAAAGAAGGAAAGCTTGAGGATTGTACAGCTTATATTGCCTGAAAATGCTACCAATCGTAAGAAACAGTTTGAAATGTACACGACGAGCAGAAAATACCAATCGACGATCAGAAGAAAAAATGATTACATTTTTAAAAATTGGGTAGTTACTGAAACTGTTCACCGGATTATTTATGAACAACAACGATAATAGAAATACGGTTTTAAAACTATTTACAGAGTGACAAAATTTATTGGCTCCGTTCCAAAGGACGCCGGCGATTTCGGGAGATGATCAGCTTTGACTGAAAATGAGATTTTTAGAAATTTCTCTGCATTTTTTGAGCGGAAACTCGAACAGGCTATATCCATTCCTTCTTGTCTAATAATAAACTTATTCTGATTACTTTTCTACCAACTTTCAAATAAAATAATTTTCTATTGCCAATAGACTCTTTTGAAAGTTCAAAAAACATGTGAATTTTTTATAACGATTTTTGAAAAATCAAAAAATGATGTATAAAAAAGAACCCTAAGACTGCCCGATTGCCCATTTTGTTGAAAAAAAAATTGAACTTCAGCCCATTACATTCAATTTCACTCCAGCAAAACTGCCCAAACAAGTTTTTTCCTTGCCATTTCACTTTGAAACTTTCACAAAAAAAAAATTTTACGAGCGATTTCCGTAGGTCTTCTCGATATTCTCGTGCATTGGGAAGTGAGAATCGCCTTGGCGGCTCATCGCATTATCAGTATGCATGAAGCGCCGGACGTGCAAACATACAACACGCATGCATTATCAAACAGATCCCGGCCGCGTAGACTGTCAACAAAAAGCCAAAGAAGACCTTCAGAAGTGACCTTTGGCGGCTCATCAATAAAAAAGTAGGCTTCTGTTTTTAGATAGCACTTGGGAATGTGTATTCATAGTACTGTGGGAGAACGGGAATGCATTTTTGGTGATGTTTGTTGGACTACGGTAGGAATAAAGATGCCAAGATGAAAAGTTCGTTTTTTGGTTCAGAACAAACTTAATAATAGTTCCACTAAGGTTGATGGGAATTTTTAGGCAATAAAAAACTTCTAACTAGAGCTATGTACTGTTACGTTTAAAAAACCACGTTTCAATCAGAAAGTTGGAAAAATTTTGACAATAGAACTGAATTCAAAATTTTGAAAGCTAGTCAAAATTGATTTTTTCAACCTTTGAAAGTTTGAAATTAGTTCAATTTTGAACCTTGAGAGATTTTTTCTGAGTTTTTTTTTTTGAAGAAGGAAAGTTTACCTATGCATCTTCATATAAGTAACAGCCCCAATAGTACCTTTTTTTCTATTTCATTCCAAATTTTAATGACTTTGCGATCCCTCACCAATTTTTATAGACTTCCAATCCTATAAATATCCCAATAATCTCAATAATCACGGTGAAACCAGAAACGGTCATCAACTATCCCCCGCTGCGCGTGGAAACGGGCTGTTGTCGGCCGAATCGGTCGGCAGGGAGGCCCAAAAAGGCGGATGAGGCAGGAAAAGTCGGCGCTCGGGTCAAAAGGCAACAGAACCGGTGTGGACAGGACAGGTGACACTAGCAACAACTGCATAATTACACGGTTGCTTTCAGAACAAACAAGCACATTAGCAGAGGTTAATGCTCATTTGTTATAGACAATTGAATTTTTGGTTTTTCATTGCTTGATTGATCCGAAGAAAGAAGCTGTTTTTGATGAATATCTGGCGCTTTCAAAGATGAAAAAGTTTTTTTGAATAGGTTATAAAGCTTGAAATCTAACTCCATTTTGAAAAATTTACTTCTTCCAGAATAATTCGTACGAAACTTAATAAAAAGTCCTGGAATCTTTAGGAGGAAATGGTTTTTGTCCAATAAGCAACCCTTTTTTTTTTTTTTGAAACAGTAATATGAGCTCGAACGGAGGCTAATTTTTCGATGTAGAGTGTGCAGTTTTTGAGTTTTCCATTTTTTTTTTCTACTTTTTGCCACTTTTTTCCAATAACCTAGGAACTTCCCATTTTTAAGCAATAGACGGAAAAATTGAACGAAAAGTTTGCCAGCACACATTTTTTGTTGGAAGAACGAAGCCGAGTCTTCCCCACAAAAATGGCTTTTATTCAATTTGACGTGGCAATCGAGCGGAGTTTTTTATTTATTCATATAACCAACCACTTGAGCCTCTACAAAATCAGTTTTTCTTTAGAAGAAAGACCAACTTGAATGCTGAAAACGTCGCCGTCCTCGACCCTGAGCGAGTGTAGCGGCATATTGTGAAGAAGACACTCTTCGATCATCCCGTCGCTGGTCATCAAGAACATTCGCATTCGTGCATATTTGATGCCACTGCGCTTTTCCATAAACCTGCAAATGCGCGTAATTTCCTCAAAGAAAAGGCCCAATCAATTTCGGCTGACTGCGCCGCCATTCCAATTGATGCTAATAATCCTAATGGGTCGCGAGTAAGAAGTTGAAATTTTGAGTTTTCACGTTGGTTCTTTCGAATAGATTTGCTTTGGTTCGAAAGAAAAATCTAAAAAATACTGTCAAAACCAAAATCACGAGGTCCGGTAATTTTCCGAAAGCTTAAGAATCTTAGATGGAATGGTGGGACACCTAACAAGCCCCAGAAAAAAGACTAATTACGCTATTTAAAATCAAGAAACTTCAGAGCTGTGCTAGAAAGATTTTTTTCTAATCACATCCGAATCAACAAACCTCATAAAATCGCCAATATTTTTGTTCAGATTCACTCGCATCTGAGTCTCGTAATTGGCTTCTTCGCATAAAACTTTGACAACGGCAAAGATTTTTGGCGAAAGGTCAATATTGATCAACTGCTCCAATTGTCCGTGTCTTTCCACCAGAAGTTTATATTGAGGCGGCTTGTCTTCCAGGTCCTGAAAGTCTTCTGATGAAAATATTTCAACAAAGATCAGAAACAAGAGCAAAAAATTACAATCCCTTAGCGTACTGTCCCTAATTCCAAGGAAATTTTCAAATAGCATCCGACTTTATGTGACTTGCGCTTCTGGCTATGTTTCTTTGCTTGCTTTCAGAGCCTTTCAAAGCATCTTAAGTCATTGATAACAAATGCATGAAATATTCACCTTGTAATACCGGATGAAGAACCGCTCCGACTGTTCCCGTTGCTCAGGTGAGATCTTCGACCCGTTGAGTACTCGTAATTGTTGCATCCGACCGATTGTGAGATGCCGCCTCTCCTCCTCGTTATAACTTTCCAACAAGGGAATATTAGGCATCCTCAGCTCAGTTAAGGAAGGCAATTTGTTCAAATTGTCGAGGCTCGACCAGTCGTTTAATTCGGTCTAAAATAAAGATGAAAAACTTTTGCGCAGAAGTCTCTGTACCTTTGCGAGGTTTAAAGATTTCAAAGACGTCATTCCGTCAGTTGAAGCTCCCTGGTCGATTGCTCTGATGGGATTCTCGCATAAGAAAACTGACGTTATCATTGGGAAGCGTTTGAGAAGCTTGGCGACGGATTTCCAGTCTTCAAATCCACATCTGAAAATGTTAAAAGTTGTAGAAAAACTTTGTAGCAGATCATGGTTCAATAGCAGCGTTGAAAAGTTCAGAAGTTCAAAAAGAATTTCCTTTCCAAGATTGAATTCTGACGGAGTCGTTCATTGTGAACGAATATCTTTAAAGATCAAAAAAAAGTCGCCTGACGTTGTTTTCCCATGATTTTTATATCATTTAGGCCGTTTTTTAGTGGTTCAGCTTTCAAAGTAGTTTTTTGGCCGTCAGTCCCATTATTGGAAATCAAGAAAGTTTCAAGAATTCATTCTGGCAGAATAACATCAGATTCTCAACAGGCCCAAAAAAAACACAATTACCCTCAAATCTCCCTCTCCCTCATGATTTTCAATTCAAATAACCCGTTTCCTTTACAATACCACTACAAGTTCCTCGTGTCTCAAGTAAAATGCCTTCTTTTTCCATTAATTACACCCAACGCCATTCTTCCATCAGATAATAGAAAGAAAGAGGGTGAAGTTTCGTTCCACATGGCTGACTCCGACCTCAGGCGTTTCCAGGATGCCGTCCGACTGCCATCCTTGATATTACGTGTAAACCGAGAAGCAGACTAGCCGCCTGCATATACACGCACATGCGCACTTGAAACATGGGGCACAAAGTGAATTCCGCACGTGAATCTCGTTGTCAAAAAGTATTTTTTGTTCAGGTTTGAAGATCTGTCTTGAGGTTTCAATAGTTCAAAAGTCGACCAACCTGTTCAAGTGAACAGTCCGGACAAAACTGCTGATGGGCTCGTTTTCCTGGTCATCGTTCTCGTCGGTCGTAAACTGGTTGTCGGAAAGATGCAGCTCGGATAGGTTCGGCGTCTTGGAAAGGAAGTCCTTGAGCGTCGACGGCCGTAAATTCGTCCCGTTGAGGATCAAGGTTTGTAGGTGTGGCACTTCGGGCAATTCGACGTCAATCTGGACAAAGGATTGGATAAAAGATTCTTGTTGGTTTATGGTGTGACTGTAAAGGGTGAATACCTCGAAAATTCTCGAGTTGATAAGGAAAAACAAAACTTTTTAATAAATACAATTTGTTAAGTTTTTTTCGACAAAAATTTAGAAAAAGGATGAGACTTTTTTGAAGGAAATTTCAGTTGAAGCTTTCTCTGAAGTTAAGAAAAAAAGCCCTTGGGTCTAAAGAATCAAATGTTTCTACTGGTGTAAAGTGGAACTTCGACAAGAGAAGTAAAAACTTGAAAATCGAAAAAAAAGTTACTCTGACCAATGAACCAAGGATTCTTGCCCAATTGGAACTTAATTTTTAAGGTTCAAAAATTTCCGCAATAGCATGAAAATAAAGTCTTGAAGCCCACGCTGAGAAATTTTTCATAAATTCAGGATGGTCCATGAATCTTCCATAAATCTGAGATAGGATTTTGCATCTCAGAAAAAAGGAAAATATAAATCTAGACTTTCCGACAGCAAAAATCAGTTTGTTTGAACCCCGAAAGTTCGCGTTCAGAAGTGTTAAAAAATCCCCCATCAGAGCCATGTATCGTAACTTGGATTCCCAAAAAAAACAAATTTCTTCTTTCCCAAAATTATTTACGAACCGTTTCACTCAAAGGGTTGTGTCCAATGTTGAGAACCCTCAAATGGGGTAAATTGTTGAGGATCGTGGAGACGTCCGACCAAAGATGAATCTGATTCCAGCCGAGGTCCGCCTGCAACAAATCAATCAAAGTTTGTCTCCGAAAACACATGTGCTCCAGCTCCGCGACGGCATTTGTTGTCCAGAGCGGGAGGCACGTGTTTTGATGGCAAATCAATGAGTTTAACATCAAGGGCAACAAATTGTGGGAAGACGGAATGACAAGAGAAAAAGAAGAAAAAGTCGAAGTTTTGAGAACCGGAAGTTTTCAATAATGAGAGGCTTTTCTCATTAAACTAGGGGAAAATTGGATTTGAGAAAAAAAAAATCATTTCTTCTTATTTTGTTGTAAAAAGCCGTTCCGGTTTGGAATATCTCACACAGATATTCGTAGATGAAACTGGGATTTTTTTGTTATACTTTTTCTATTTTTATTGGTAGGGTTTCCTTTAATCACGCGCAAGCCGTTTTGTAGTCGGGTGCAATTTTCAATAAAATTGAGTCTTCATCAATCTCTCAATCTTCGATTTGCTTGCTTTTTCGAAAAATAATCCTCTTTGGAAAGAAGACTTTTAACAGAAAAAAAAACCCATTGAGCCATTCCAAATGCGACCACTTCATCATGCACTTTGTTTTTTTCACTAGATGAGAGAAAACCCTTTTATCTTTGATAGCTTTCCTCAACGCCTCTTCTTCTTCAAAACCTGTTTGCATTGCACAATTCTGACACTTTTCACGACCGAAAAAACGCAATAAATAGTTCGAACAAACAGAAAAACGAATGAAAACAGAAAAAGAGAAAAAAGTGTTACCTCGAGAACGTGAGCGGCGAGGTTGGCGAGTTTCGATGAATCGCCGATCGACTGAATGTTCATATTGTTCAGAACCAACAGTTCCAAGGCCCTTTGGCTGGCCATTTTGCAAGGCGAACATCCTGTCTGAAACTTTTTTCTCTTTAAATGAGACTTTGAAAAGTTGAAATAAAGTTTTTATGGACCTCTGGAAACAGAAGAATCATTTGAAATGTCTTTTTTTGGGCTTTTGAGAAAGTTGCAATTTTTGAGAATAAGAGGATCAAAGTACAACGTAAACAGAACCTTGAGAAAAGGTTTACACTATAGCGACAAAGACCATGTGAGATAAGCAAGCAGATGACTTCTATAAACACATGGTTTATAGTTTCTGGTTTTGATATCAAACGTTAGTTTTGACAGTTTAACTGATAAGAACTTGATAAATAGTTAAATTAGTGATTTTTATAATTTTGGTATACTAAATTCCACAAGACTGACATAAAAAAATTTTTGTTCAGAACTTCTTAGAATAACTTGAGTTTATTTTTATCTTATGATATACTGGTAACATTAGTGTCAATTAAAATCCCTTCTAAAGTCTAATAAAACTAATTTTTAGACGATTCCAGAAATTAAAGGAAAAAAATCGTCTTTTATTAGAATGTTTTATTAGAATCTTAAAAATTCGATGAGGATCTAATATTACAAGGGATGCCCTTGCAATCCTCGAGGTGAATTCGGACAGGTAAGCGGCAGACAGCGACTATTTGCATACGGGCAAGCAATCCGCAAGAAGAAAGCAAGAACCAGACTCTCTCATCTTGTGAAACAGAGAAGTTTTCGAACAATATTCAGATAATTTAGATGAGAAACTCCAAATCTCTCCAGGAATTCGAATGAAAAATTTTGATGTTCGAGATCTTGTGATCTTCCTGTGGACTTTGCTGTTTCAGAAGTCTCAAAAATCTTTTTTTCAAGTTTCAACTCATTTGTTCTAAAATTCTTGGTCAAAAAAGATCAACGTTTGCATAACTTTCTCCATCGATATGAATTTCGAAGTTGTACGCTCTACAAATTTATCTATTAGGGATGATACTGTATTTTCTGATTTGAATGCTGCTCTTTCTATTTTTCAGACCTGCATTAGCTTGCTAAGGTTCACAAGAAATCGTTATAAAGAAACGAAATCTCAAGGATTTGAGCTACAGTAACTTACAAAACTAGTAAGGAGCAAGTCTTCGACGATGGCGTCGTCGTCGTCAAGGTACTTCTGCTCGAGCCGCCGCACCAGCGTGCAGGCCTCTTCCATGGCGATCAGCTGAGTGACTGAATGAATGAACCCTTCGCACGGGGCTGCGCGCCAAGAGAAACAGAGAGGGCGGAGAGCGGCCGACGGCTGCAGTGGCTAGAGGAAAACGCTCCTCTCCCTTGTTGTGACGTCTCGTCGACTCGTGTTTTTGGGCAACCTGTGGCATTTCCAGTTTGAACGATTTGCATCGAAGAAATGCCAGTGTTTGAAATTAATTTGAAGCAAAAAACTTGACGAAAAAAGTTTTAAAAAGGGCTTTTTATTTTGGATTTCCTAAAAGTTTTCCAGAATACTTTTTGATGGGCCGAATAAGGATCCACTACTTATAATTTTTTTCATAAGGAAGCCTTACAGTCAAAAGAAACTCTCAAGCTCGTAGATTAGGCCATTTTATTTAAAAATACTGTTAGATGGACTATACAAAAGTCCTGCGACTAAATAATCTTTTGGATTCCGTGAATGCCTCAAAACTTAGCACAATAGCAAAATAACCAAAAAAATAAACTTTGAAGGACACTTATTCGAAAACTAGAAGCTATCCTTTTCAAATCAAAGGCAGAAAAGTCAGGCTAAATTTTTGATATTTTGTGAGCAAAATTTTTTCTGAACAATCTAGATAACTTTCAGAGTTCGAAAACTGTACCTTTCTGGATGTTTGAAGCTGTTTTATGATATCCGACCTCTCTAACAATTTTTCGAGAGTTTTTCAAGCATATTTCAAAGAAGTATTTTTATGATAAAGCAAAAAAAGTTCTCAAAATAATCAACCTTATTAAATGTCCAAAAAAAGCTTGGGACCGTGAGAAAATTCTGCAGCTGCAACTTCTTTTTTTGTGGATCATTTTTTTGGAACTTATCTTATAAACACTCACCGAATGATTATTTTTTTAAAAGACAATTTCCCAAAAAGAGGCATTGAAACAAAATAATTAATAATATATCTAAGACGCAGTGAAATTTTTTTAGCTCAAATCAAAAAAAGCCCAGTGCTACAACCTCAAGTCCTAATTAGGAATTCCTAGAGATTTCTTATTAGGACTCTCTCCATTGGAGCTCTCTGAGACTGAGAAAAATGGTTGAGTTCTACTTTCCAAGCTTCTTGAGCTCATAAAAATGGTATAATTTGAATTTACGGAATGATTATTTTTCTAGAAAAAACCCAGAAAAATGAGAAAGCTGTAAAAAAATTAACATAGCTGAAAAAGTCCAAAAAGACGATATATATCTGTATGATTGAAAAATTAAGAGGCTCACAATTTTTTTTAACCCATAGATTTTAGTTAATTTTTTGTAAGTGTTATTTTCCCGACGTTTCTCCTCTGCTGCCATTTTTCAAAAACTTTCGCTTTGTGTTCTTTTTTCGGAAACGATGCCAAACTTTCTTCTTCATGAGAGATCAGCTGAGCGCTCGCAAACCAAAAAATAAAGAGAAAGAGAGAGACGAGAGAAGAAGTGTGAAAAAGAAGCGTCTGAGTGTTGTGTACGCCCTTTTCGCTTCGTTTTGCTTCGAAATGCTTGATCCCGTTCGGCAATATTGCCGACGGGAGGTCCCGTGAGCGAGTGTAACAAAATGCCGAGTTTCATGGCAATCAGGGGACAGATATCAACAATGAAGTAGCGCTTCTGAAAGGATCAAATTTTCATTTGTTTCTAGTTTCATTAAGAAAGAAATACAAAAATGTCTGACAAGGAAGGTTATTTAACTCAGCGGTTCGGCTTATAAACTCCATGATGAACCAGAAAAAGATCCTGGAAGTCAGAACCTGCAAAACCTCTAGGTACTCGAGAAACAAGAGCTCAAGGCTTCAAAATAGCGTTTTTCATGGTTCTCGGGGTTTTATTTGGCTTTAAGATGTTTTTTTCCCCAAAACTTGGAACCTGACCAGGTAAAACTTTCAGAATCTTGATGTGATACACCAAGTAGTATTATGGCCAAGTTTCAAGGAATTTCCATCAGAAAATTAAAAAGAGTCTCTTGTAAGAATGTCTTTCGAACTTCCTTTCATTATTATTTATCTCAAGCCATATTCGATATACTTCAACTCATCATCATCAATTGCTGACCAGGAATATGGTTTCACGCACATCTTTAGTTTCTTAGAATCCTGTCAAGTTACACTTTGATCCAAAAGAAAAAAAACTCAAAAATTTCCACCTGTGTTGGAAAAACTTCAAAGCTTTGGCTAGTACACAAGCCAGAAAACTTCGACTTCCACCAAAACTGGTGAAACTGGTTAACCAATACGATATGTATCATTTTGAGAGCTCAATTTGATATTTTAGAAAATCTTCATTTGAAGAAGAATCGTGCCTTGCTGACGTCCAAAGTTTTTTTTTGAAGAATTCACTTTTCCATACATGCGATAATATAAAATTCGGGACAATTTCCGGTTCGGATAGTCAGAATACGATCAATAGCTATTGCAAAACAGATGAAGGCAAAGTTGGAAAGGAATTAAATAATTAAGGCCCGTGCACAAATACAATTCCCGGTTTAATTTTCTTATCAGTACAATTTTTTTAAAACGATCGACTATATTACAGAATTCGCATGGGAAGGCAATGATACCAGTGATTGAAATCAATCTTATAACTGGGGAGAAGGAGAGAATGTGTATAAACAATAAATCATATGTTATTAATTAAATAAAAGCATTATTAAATTGCACTCACAGATTAAGTTAACTGGTGGATATGGATATAGTTTGAGGAAGGAGGTTCAGTAAGATTAGAGCATCTTGCTGATCTCGAGTTGCTTAGCCTCTTGCTCCTCAGGGTCTTCGAAGCTACCAAGAAGCTGATCCGTCAGAGAGCTGGGCACGTTTTCCTCGATCCAGCGCAGGTCCTCCTGAGAAAAAAACTGGTTTGCAATACGAAATAATTGAATTCAATCTTTGATTGCACATTTGATGGCTAAAAAAGCCAATGAGTCTTATAAAACCTCAAAGTCGATACTCAAAGACATTTTGAGCCAATCCGCAACTTTTAAAAGATTTATTAACCTTGAGTCTATCTTCCTTTCTTTGCTGATCTTTGTCGGATTCTCGTTGACGCCTTTGCTCAGCACCAGCACCAGAGTTTCGAGCGGTCAGAACGTCGTAGCCAGGGGTGAACGTGTTGAAAAGCTCGTCTGAAAAATTATATTTTAAAGAGAGAAAAATCGCTTGATTTCAAAAATTTTCCATTTCATCTTGAGTTGAAGCTCTGAATAAACTTTGTAAGAAGCTTCTATTGATTGGCTTCAACCGAATTAGAAAGGAATCTTGGTCGAATCGAGACTTTCATTTTCTTTTAAGACTACGTTGATGGTGAAAACTCATGTTTATCATGTTGCCGGCATTCAGAAATAAACTATTTTTTAAGTAAGGGAAAACTTTGCAAATGATGAACTTTAATTAATTTCATATTGCTCATCATTCTTTAAACGCATTCTTAATGTTCATTGCTATGAATTTCTGAAAAACTTCAACTTTCGTCCTTTTGTAAGGAGCGTCTTTAAAATGCAGTTCGTTCCCAAAGTTATAGCAAACTCATTCTCAGGGGGAAGTAATTTTGCAACCATTTATGGTATTTAAAAAATATTGAGCTTCGCCGGATCCCTGCTGAACAAAGAGTGAGCAGTGTTGATTCAGAACAGAGTTTTTGGCCTATCTTTCTTTGTAAGTATGAATAAATTACCCTGATCGTTCTCATCTTCGCTGTCGTCGAGCAGTGGAGTAAAAGCGTACTGTTGATTGTTCTGAGATGGCCGCCACAAAGTCATGATAACAACAAGGATGAAACAGAACAGGACGTGCCAAAACGCCGTATCAACCCAACTGAAAAAAAAAATTTAGTTTATTTTTTCCTGCGTATAACTTACAGCTCTTTCCAGTCAACACGGCACGTAGGGAATATGTGATAGAACATACTCCAGACCATGAAGACAATCGATGAGAGGACGGCGAAGATCAGAGTGTTGGTGAAATGGCGGTAGACGCTGAGCTTGACCTGAAATAAACTTTTTTTGAAAGACCGGATACCTTTAAAAAAAATTAATTATCGAATCAGGACTGTTTTTAACATCTTCTAAATATTCAAAAAAATTCCATAATGGCCCGATTTACGCCGTCAAAAAAACTTTCAAAACTTCAGGCTTGCACTTCTTTCATCACTACATTAAAACTTTTTCTTTTTCAGAGCCAAAACTTCTTTTTTCAAATCAATATCTAGTTTATTTTTTTGTTCATTGCAAACATTTTTCGCGTTCAACAATCTCCATATCCTCACTTCGTTTCTCTTAAGTCGCAAAGTGCGCATCGTAGCCGTGAGAGAAGTAAAAATCCAATAAAATATGACCATCTCCGTCAGAACCAATGGCAACGAAGCAAACTGCTTCTGTTTCGCCGCTTCCACAGTGTTCTGAAACGATTTCAAGGTTCTCCCTCAGTTTCAAAATATCGAAGGGTTCCAAAAAACAAACGTTACCTTGGAGACGCGGGCGATGCCTTCAATTGAGCAGAAGACAAAGTATACAAGGCCGACGCCGGCAACCTGAAACAGGAAAAATCAATATATTCCAGGATAGAGAAGGACATACCTGATTCATGGTATTACCAAGGCGAGGCTTCACAACTCCATAGCCCAAAGAGACGATTATCACCAAAACTCGGGACATAGTTTTCTTGCCACATGAAACGATTTCCGCGAGCTGAAAAGTTTCATTTTTATCAGAGAAATACGAATTTTTATGTTTGAACTGAACAAGAATCATTTCATACAATTGAAATATATGTGAGTGACGGGCTCTATTTTCATTTATGATACCATTTTCCGTTAATTTCTTTTTTATTAATTTTTTTGTCTGCACAAAATATCTCAATTTTTTTCGAAATATGCAAATATTACCTCAAGGATTCCATCAATGCTTTTTTTCCAGTGTCATTCATCGAGGCATATTCCGACAGAAAAAAAGCTTTTTCCACCATTCCGAGTACAATCACCGCTCCTAAAAATTTTCTTATTTTTTTTTCCAGCCACTTAACTCTCACCTATCCAGTACTGAATTCTAAGAATATCGCGGTAATGGCGAATGCAGAGAGTTAGCCAAATCAGCGCCAGGATAGCGTAGAAAACGCACATCATTTTATAAAATCTGAAAAAGAAACAGATTAAGATACGGAGTAAAACAAAATGAGGCACCTGAGGAGAGGCCAGTCGATAGCGGACAAATATCCATAAGGAGCTTTCCACTCGACAGTCACGGTCACATTTACAGCGTCCAAGGATTTCGCTGGGAACGAAGTTCCGACAATCTGAAACAGGAAAATGATCTACAATTAAATCATCGTTTTTCGAGTAAATCTTCTCAAATTGTTGCGAAATCATCTTAAAAAAGGCTCCTTTTTTGCCACGGTTGAATTTTATGAATACATCTAGTTCTGTTTGAATTTCAATACTTTTTGTCAAAGTTACCTTCACAATGAGGTAGTAAATTCCATCCATGGGAATGGATTGAGCCGGGTGGAAGGTCCTTAACATTCTTTTTTAACCAAATCTTTCAAGTAACAACTAACTTCATTCCCTTGTCATATTCAGAAGCCCTCTTGGAACGAACAACCTGAAAATTAGAAACTTGGAAGCAGATGGAGCTTCAAAGCTTACGGGAACTTTAGTTACGTTTGTCAAGACCATCGGACCAGTTGCATTGGGAAAAACAAAGCGTCCGTGAGAACCCTGAAAAATATTATTTTTAAAGACGAGTAAGAGCAAAATACCTTGCATGAAATCGACTGTACTTTGGAGCGGTAGTAGACAATTTGCGGATAGTCGAATGTGTCGGGGATGTGGTACTGGTTAGATTCATTGTAGTAAAACACCTAAAAATTGAAAGTTCTGAGGGAAATGGAACGTTTTTCTACCAAGTTCTGTCGTCGCTGGGAATCTTTTGAATTAAAGAATTCCTTGTCACAAGGGGAAGATCGGAGGACAAACTCGGCCTGAAAGTTACAATTCCCGATTTTTTTGAAAGTAGGACGTTTAATGAATCAATTCGCTCTACAACTTCAAAACTTGATGAAACAAACGTCGAATGTCAAATCAAGGTCAGGGTTGCAAAACAATTCGATCTGAACGGCAGTTTGATTCAGAGCTGCTTGTGGAACGCCGATGAGCTGGTACTGAAAATGTTAATTTTATAAGTTCAGAGAAAAAAAAAAGAACCTTCGACTGCATCACTTCTATAGTTTCCGTGTATATCCCAGGCATCAAAAGATTAGCCCCGACGACGTGCAAAAACATAAGAAATAACGGCAGCCTCATCCTGAAATATTTTAATGACAAAGCAGAAAAAGAAATTGAAGCATTATAAAATAATTTCGACATCTTTAAATATATTCAAGACACTTGGTATAGCTTCCTTCAGGGTATTTAATATAAGAACTGTTATCCTATCAAAAAAACAACTTGAAGACTGTTGGAACAACTTATGATTCATTTTTAGAAAAACTCTACCAAAGATAAGGAACGGCAAATTTTATCGATTGATTGATAACAACTCTGAAAAAAATTGAAGTTTTTCAATTTCACTATTTTATTTCAAAAAAAAAAAAACCAGTGGTGGATTGAGGATAACTTTAAATTTTTCCGCATTTGCTCGTTGAACAAATAAATATGTAATCTATTATATTAGCTAATCAAGTGAAAAGAAAACAACTGGGACCAACACCAAAAGAGGCGAGGAGCATTTTTCCGCGGAACAGGTTACGTTTGCGCCTTAAACACCCAACCACACGCGCAACTTGCAAACAACACCAAACTGCGGGCTTTTCACACCATTTGTCAGAAGCACATCATCATTTTCAGTTTTTTGTAAGAAGAAAACAACTCTTAAAGCGTTTCCTACATTTTTTAAATGTTCTCTAGTGAGTATTTTTAAAGAGTTATTTAGATTTTCGGTGAGAATCTCTACATTGTGTTGAGATTTTAGCTTATAAACTGACGTCAGCCACGGCAAGCTTCCACCGCGATATATTTGCCTCGGTGAAGCTCTGCGCGCATTCTCCCTGTCGACATAGAGGTCGGGCGTCGGAGCAACCTCACTGAAAACAAAATTTTTTTGAGTTAATAAAAATTCTGAAAGCGTTTCCAACAATTTTTTTAAATGTTATCTAGGTAGTAATTTTTGAAGAATTATTCAGATTTTTCAAGGAGAATATCTATATTTTGTTGAGATTTTAGCTTGTAAACTAACATTTGACGCGGCAAGCCAAAATTTTGCTTCAGTGGCTCACTGCAGGATTTTTCCCCTTCGACGTAGAAGTCGGGCGTTGGAGCGAACCATCTGAAAAGTTCTCAACATTATTAGTTTTTTTATAAGGAGAAAAAAATTTTTGAAAGCATTCCCAAAATTTTTCTTAATGTTATTTAGGGAGTAATTTTTAAAGAGTTTTTAGATTTTTGGTGAGAAAAACTACATTGTGTTGAGATTTAAGTTTATAAACTGACATCCGCGACGGCAAGTTTCCGGAGCCGAAAAATGGTCCCGGTGGCTCATCGCGGGATTCCTCTTTTTCAACGTTGAGGAATTTGGAGAAAGGATTTCGAGCAATCCAACTGAAAAGTCCTCTGATTTAGAGTTTAATTTTTGGGCTTTGCGGTTACTCCATCCAGGGAGGGCTTGTCGGGGGGAGATTGTCGCCATTCGGAACTTCCCTCAAATATTTTTCATATTAACGATTAAAAATCCGAAAACTTACTCGATTGGTTCGGAGTAAGAGATCAATTCAATAAACTGGATTTGCAGCAAACCTTCGGAGTCTCCGGACGAGGCAATTGGATAATAAGGACTAGAAATATATTTTTATTTTAATGCAAATTTAAATTTACGTGTTATTTTCACATTGTAAAATTGTTTTTGAGCCCTCTGAGAAACAAACAAAACTAACTTGTCAAGTTTAATGTCCTCAGTTTCAATCCACACCGTCTTCTGGAGGTACACTTCACCCGACCATCTAGTCAGATATTTCTTAAGCCTTCTGAAATTAGCGTTTACAAAGCGCTTTTTTTATTTTTTTGAATGTTATAATTCACTTCTTTCTGTAAGTTGAATTTTTTTCTCAGCACCCGCTATGGAACATAAAAGATTAGATGAGCTCACCCATTTGCTATTCCCTGCGATTTTTGGACTTTCTGAACAATTTCTACAATCACGTCATGGTCGTTGGGAAGCGGGATGAACATGAACTCCCTAAAACAAAAAAATAATGAAAAAAATTGTTTTTTCCAATTCTTCCGTTTTTCGATCTGTTTGCAAAAATTAAGTTTTTTTGGTTCCATGAAATATTTTTAAGAAAAAATTATTGCGCTGTTCCTTGCACTGAAACTTTTTTTGCCGTTCATAAATGTTTGTTTGAAACAAGAAAAAGAAGATACATTGACAATTCATTGGACTCCGGGTCTTCTTTGAAGTATGATACAAAACCGGTTATCGTTCCTTCATCGCCTGGTTGAACGTACTTCTTCTTCTTGCGGTCTCTAAAATGTTCCAAAGTTTTTTCCTCTTTGATATTCTCTTTCCTAACGTCAGTTTCGGTTTAAAGAAATTTTTGTCTACTATCAAAATAATGAATTGCTTTTTCTCTGAACATCAAAGCGAGAAAAGCAAAATATCCAAAAATCTCATTGCTTGCATCGGAGTTTTTCTGATTTTAAAGGAGAATGTTGGAACTTTTTTCAAGATTATTGATGAGATAGTTAAATACTAATGAGACGAAATACTTACTTCAAAGGGACTCTCGTATCTGGCGTGGAGATCAGTTTCAAAGTTTTCATCTCAAAATATGCTTCCATATTTTCGGCCGGGTCTCGGGAGAACCAAGGACTGAAAAAAAAACTTTTCATACTCTTCTTTATGGTTTCTGAGAAACAAAAATAAATTTTAAACTGACTCATTCGGCTCTACTTTTTCGCTCTTGTACCATTCCACGTTTTCAATGTAAACGTCTCCATGAGGCGAAACATAGCGGTTGGTCCAGACCCTAAATTTAACGATTTTAAAATGACTTTCAAAGTTTTGTCTGGTATTCAATAATTTGGAGCTTGCAGAAAAACAGAAATATAAGAAACTGACTTTTTCTTTTCAAATACGTCGTTGCAATCTTCAACTTCGCGGAAAGTTTCAATGACAAACTTGCGATGCTTCGGGACTGCGGAAACTTTCCACTTTCTGAAAAAATGGAAGATAACAATTTGTTTGTAATTATCATATATAAGTTTTGTTTGTGCGAAACTGTAACTTCATGGAGTTCTCTACTTTGAAACGGAAATCGTTCCATTTCTTGCACTGAAACCTTTCAGCCTCGTGCAGACTTCTTTCAAAAGCGGAAAAAAGAGTTGACTAACTGACCCGTTTTGTTCTCCTTTTTCGTCAGCAACCAACTTGATGTACTGAAGAACTGCGTACTCGCTAACAGGTCCCACATGATATTCCGTATTCTCTCTGAAAAATTCTAAAGTGCTTTTTCGCTGATTTATTCTCTGCAAAATTCAGTTCGATTTCATTCATTCATTTCGGTCGAGATTGTTTGGAAGCCTCAATGATAATGAACTGACTCCGACTTTTCCGAGAACGCGTCTTCATCTCTTCCTTCAGAGTCGAGATCGTTCCAAGTCACGCTCTCCGATTCATCGATTTCATCCGAATCACTGCAAAAAGTCCATTTCATGTTTTGTATTATTTCCTTCTTGCAAAAAGTTTTCCATGAGCATGATGAAAAATCACACAACGAATTTCCTAGGCTCGAAAAATCTTGGCCGATATTCTTCATTACTAGGGCTTTTTTCTCGGTTATCATAGGAAGAAAAAACCGTGGTAAAAACTTACCGCTTTCTTGGAAATTGTACGCAACCATGCCATAAATGAATCCTGCGAACCGTTTACGTCATCATCACACGAATAGTTGTCATTAGGCGGACAATGGCTGGAAAGTGATTTGTTATGAACAATAACAGTCGTACTTTTTTTAGTCAGTAGCCTTTTTTGTCTTAAATGAGTTACTGCTTATTGAAGGATGAAATGGACAGGTCGAGAAAATTTGAGCGCCTCGAAACAAATTTCTGTTTTTTTTTTCCATTCTTTAGTTCCAAAAAATGGGCTGTAAATGATTTCGATCGAAACTGACCCAAGAACATCATCACGATTGACAGCCAGATCAATCGAGTTTTCGGTCTCCTTTGTTACCGTCGCAACCATCTTAGCATTTCCATAGAGCTCTGGATCGGACTTCGCCGTAGGACGGACTTCGTCGACCCACTGTTTCACCATTTTCCTGCAAAAAATCTGTTATGTCTTGTCACCGACCAGCGTATTATGGTTTTTTTTTTGGTTTAGAACAAGTTTTCGCTTGTGGAATGAGAAAGCTGGCAGTCGCAGAAAAGCTTTTTGTTTCCAAAAAAACTATATTCTTTTCCAGTTTTTGAGAAAAAGTATGCCTAAAATATTTGTTTGAAACTCACAGACAGATGTCATAATCTTGCATATCTTCACCGACGGCCTTCTTGAGCGGCTTACGCTTTTTCGCAAAAGCTCTGAAAAGAAAAATTGTTAAAAAATCAGCGCAAAATAATTTTAATCAACTATTTCAACCCATAAGATACGCTCGCTTGAAAAACTTTTTGTCAGTATAGGAGAAGGGTTAAATTGTTTCCCTTGAGGAAAATAGATATAGATAAAAACAACAAAACTAACCGTTTCGGGGTTTTTGCAACCATTTTAGCTACGTATATTACCTGAAAAAATTGAAATTATTTCTGAATGGATCACGAGCACGAAAAAACGAAACGAGTTTTTTGAAACAGTGTAATAGAAGGAAAAAAAATTAACGCAACTTCATTGAAACATATTCATATCATTAGAAGACCTGATCAAGAAGATCTGATCAAGAAGACCACAGCAGACCGAAAAGAAACAACAGAATGAGAATGAAGCAAAATCGAGGACGACGTCTTCTTTCCCGCGTTTCGCGTCGCGGCAAGACCCTTGCTCTTGATTGTGTGCCGCCAAAGTGCGCTCTATCGCACACTTCGCCGTCGCAAGGTGTGTGATCAGATTATTGATTGACCTCTTCAACCTGGGGCGCGCAAAGACCGCCACAATTCTTCCTCTGACAATCACTATTTCGTCTCCATTTCGTTTTTAGAGAACGAAGAAACAGTGAATTTATGAGAAAGAGGCTGTGGCAATTTTTAAGCGTTCCATGTCAGACTATACACAGAAGAAACCCTTTGAACGTTTCAACAAGATTGAGAAGAAAGCGTCTATTGATGGAAAACTAATCACTAGGAAACCAGCAACCGGAGCAATGAAAGGCTAAAAGACCTAGAAGACCTGAGCCAGAAGACCACATCAGAACGAAGGACAAGGACAAAATGAGAATGAAGCAAGGGCGAGGACGACGTCTTTCTTTCCCGCGTTTCGCTTCGCGGCAAGACCCTTGCTCTTGGTTATGTGCCGTAAAAGTGCGCTCCGTCGCACACTTCGCCGTCGCAAAGTCGAATTATCGATCGACCTCTTTGCGATTGGGCGCCCAAAAGTCGTCACACTTCTTCTTCTGACATCATTATTTCGTTTTAAATTAGCTTTGAGAAAACGAAATAACAGTGAATTTATGAAAAAAGAGGCTGTGGCAATTTTTAAGCGTTCCATGTCAGACTATACACAGAAGAAAGCCTTTGAACGTTTCAACAAGAGTGAGACGAAAGCATCTATTGATGAAACACTGATCACGTGAAAATAAGCAACAGGAGCGAAGAAAGACTAAAAAACCGCGACTAGAAGAACTGAGCAATAAGAACTGAGCAAAAAGACCAGAGCAAGAAGACCTGAACAAGAAGAACTGAGCAAGAAGACCTGAGCAAGAAGAACTGAGCAAGGAGAACGGAGCAAAAAGAACTGAGCAAGAAGACCACAGCCAGAGGATCAGAAGACCTCCGCAGACCGAAGAAGAACGACTGAATGAAAATAAAGCAACGACGAGGAAGACGTCGATGTTTCCCGCGTTTCGCGTCGCTGCGAGACCCTTAATCCACATGTCAGCCGCAAAAGTGCGCTCTGTCGCACACTTCGCCGTCGCGAAGTCTGTGGTCAGATTATTGATTGACCTCTCGTCCAATGCATGTTTATCGACGTTTATTTTTTTTTCTTTTTGTCGTCCATTATGATACTTCTGAATTAAGTTTCTGTTTATAAGAACTGTAATTTTTTATGAAAGTCATCATTTAATAAATAGGATTTGATAGGGATCTGTGGCCTTAAAGAAGGCCGTTGGGTTCATATTGTTTCAGAGACTTGAACTGCACGACTCCATGGAAATAGTGATGGACTCCTCTTTAAATGTCCGCCGATAATGTTCAAATCTGAAAGATAATGATTAACTTCATTTAAAAATTGACGCAACAAACTTTTCGCATTGACGAATTTTGTATTTATAGTAAAAGATCTTTGCTCTTGCGAGCTAAAATCCTTTGTTGGAAGAAACTTCATTTAAATGCGGTACGCGGAACAAGGATTGAAAGTGAGAATATTCATTGAATTGATCAAAACAAGCAAAGTTATAAAATGGTAGATGAGAGAAAGAGGACGGCAGCGCGTCCGCGGCCGGATGGACCTTGTCTTTGGCTCCGTGTCGCTTGGTTTAATAGGGGCTGGACGGCGACGTCTGAAAGCTTTACAGTTAGAACGTTCGAAATAACTGCGTAGGAGGTGGTGAGAGATTGTACCGAAGCGGAGGCTCAGAGAGGAGCCTTCGCTCGGGGCTTTTACCGGTCGCGTCTGGTGATGCGGCGCGCGGTATTGAAAACCTTTTAGCGTGGGTGCATTTAGATGACGATTTGATAAGGAGCCGATTTCAACGAAATCGAAGTTGTTTCTTTGATCGGTCAAGATCAAGAGATTTTTAAAAACTGTTTAAAAAAAAAAAAAAACTGTTTATTGCATCTTCAATGTAAGAGTACATGTGCAATCGACTTTCATTGATTTGACTGTGTTTAAACGGCGGCAGGAGCTGTGGCTTAGGCAGAGAAGTTGTGAATTTCGCTCGTAGAACATCAGGTACAAGAGAGGTCGTAGGAAGAAGTACGGTGCCGGCTTTCCAAAGGCCGATGGCAGAGAATGAGCCTTTTCGCTGCATGCAGCTCCCAATTTTATCTACCCCGGAGGGATGAAAGGCTTGGTAGACCTCGGGGGGACTCGAACCTACGACCTTGCGGACGTTAGAAATGAGTTATGCCAGCTGAGCTATGCCGCCCCGAAGAGATTATTCCTTACATTATTTAGTTTCAAATTTCCGTTAGGAAAGGTCAAAAAAAAGCCAATACGTTTTTTTTTCTTGGAGAATTGATCAAAAAAATCGCTCGCATGGTTTTTGGAAAAAGAAACTACCGCTGTTAGAGAAAACATGGAAATTCAATATCGATTTCATAGATTTTATTCAGCTTGATGATGGTGGACTTGAAAAGAGATTGTGGCCTTCAAGAAGATTTGTGGGTTCATTTGATATCTCAAGACGTTTTCCGATGTTTTCTGCGTTTTGATGAACTTCCGAAGCTCTTTGGGAATCGGAAAACTGTGAACTTCTCTCAATCGAAAGCCTGAATGAATATACAACTTTTTCTTCGAAAGAGGATTTTTCATCTCATTTTCTAAAAAGTGAACATGAAGTAGTTATCAAAAAAAGTTTTTTTGTTTGAAAAAAATAAAGCTTGAAGCTTCAGCCATTGAAAAAAATTGTTTAATTCATTCATAAAAGTTGTAATGAAGCAAATATTAGATTTTTTTCAAATTTTACAACTGAAAGTACAAAAATGACAAGAAATTCCAATTTTTAAGAAGCCGGTAGCCCTCGTACGAGCTGTTATTCCTTATTTAGCCAACTACTCATCTGAGAAATTCCGTAGCTTTTTTTCAAAAATTTTTCGCAGATGAACGTTTTTTTGAAGTAATAAAAAAATTTATTAACTTCAAAGAAATGTCGGTTTTCTGGAGATTAGGAGAAGTTCATTGAATGTGTAGAATATAAGCAACTCAACGGTATAATTTACTCTTTTGTTAAAAAATGTGCAGGTTGAAATTATCAGGATTCGAATTTATCACACTGAATAAACTTTCAGTTAGTTTTTGAAACGACCCAAATTCCCCAGAGTCCACACATTTTGTAAGAACAAAAATGAATTTCTTTTATCGAGATGAGATCTTTTGCTCAAACAATTGCGAACTAGTAATACAAGTAAAGTGATACAACCAAAAATCAAATCAAAAATAAAATTTCAACTTGAAGGTAGCGACCGGAGCCTCGTAACATGCGTCGTTCTCGCCGTCTTTGTCGGGTTTGCCAGGAATTCATCACTTTTCAGCAACCTATACAACCTTAACGAAACTGAACTAACATTTCTAGGAACTAATCACCTTCTAAGGATATCTATCAGCTCTAATCGCATTTGCTTTTTGAGGGTCGCCGATGTGAACAACAACGTCCACGGGGAACAAGAGTACATTAAATCGATCATAGGGTACCTGGAAAATATACTTTTGCATGAAAATGTTCATTCGGAACTTCAGATTGTTTGAAACCTAGCCAGGAAGTTTTTATTGTGGCTGATAAAGTTTCTGAAAACCTCCTCATGTTCAAATTCTCAGTTTAAAAGAAGAGACGTTTTTTTCTTCCAAGCTCTTCCAACTTTCAACGGTTTAATCCGAAAAAAGGAAAGTTTTGAAGGGTAAAACTCACAAATTACTGTATCTTGTCCCATTTCCAAAAAAAAAGTTAAAAAGGTCTTTTTTCGATTAAAATTGAAATCGACTCACGCTAAATCATAAATAAAGAGGAGATCATCAACCGTTTTGTAGCTTAGCCAAATTGTCATTACTTGAACAACGGTGTTTAGGGAAAACACGCAAAACATCATTATGGCCGAGAGTAACAAGCTTTTTTCCGCTGAGGTCCTCGCGTCAGATTTCTGAAAAATAGAAAGTCATTGAAAAATATCTGGAAATCACGTCAAAGCCCTGAAATCCTTAGCAGACCCCAACAAGAACAATAAATTCAATTTAACGTTCTGTTTGGAAGCTCTCTGAAAGTCGCTCAGAGATTTCTAATACTCAAAAATACTTTATTCATACTTTTTGTCATCATCTATTTTCGGATGAAGTTCAAAAAACATCGAGATTAAGAACGTTTAGAAAATAGAGATTTTTGGAATTTCTTTATAGGGTGAATAAAAATTTTCTGATGAGGTTTTTGTTGGAAAACAGGTAGTTTAGCAAGAGGAACATTCGATTCAGAATCATTTTTCCATGCTCCAGTCAGGTCAAAATCCCTCAACTTCTTTTCGTGTTTCATTTCAACCGATTTTCACGAAAAATCACCATTTTCTACTTCCAGAAAAGCTCATTTCCTCCAAGACCACCCATCTATCAAACTTGTTTCTTTCAACCCACCGATGTCAGCGTCATTTTATAGGTATTCAGGCGGAGGTAATAAAGCGTTACGATGTAGCACAAAAGGCAAAATATGCACGTGAATAAACAGCACGCCCCGTCGATTAATGCGATTAACTGGAAATGAACTTTTCCGATGTTTTTTTTTTTTTTAAATGGACAATGTACCTCTGTAGAGACAGGGTCATTGAGAAGACGAATATTTGCAGTTGTAACCGTAAACCAAAAAGAATAATTCGGATTTGCATGTGTTGGGACAGTTGCGAAGAGAGGAAGTATCCATTGAAGAACCAAAAAAGCTCGTAGCACTTTCTTAGACCAAAGCTGAAATGAACTTTATCAGTTCTTGACGTTTCGATTTTTCAATGACTTGCGTGAAAACTGTGTTCCTTCCACCAAACTCCATATACCCTTGTCAGAAATATTTTTGTTTTTCTTCTTGCGCACAAACTTCTCTAAATATCGTGTGCAGAACATAATCAAAGACCCGATCTAATAGCGTATTTCCAAAGAAGCAGCATATTTTCCACTTTATTATCAGGTACCGTAAACCAGAAAAAGCAATATACTATGATTGATACTTAATAAGGTAGAATTAGGAAGTTGAGATCAACTTGCAGTCCAACTCAACCTTTTTTCCTCCTTTTATTTTGAGCTCTCTATTGAAATCACTTCCTTGTTTTCGAGAGATATTCTGAAAAAGAGAAAAAATTACCATGTTATAAGATGAAATGCGAATTCCAGCGCTTAGTCGGTTGCAAGCGTAACCCATGTAACCAACATAAATGACGACTTTTGCGTAAAAATGAATGAATGAAGATATTCTCGGGATGGGCTCAGAAATAATGGTCCCAGGCTCGAAGAAAACGTGAAACCCGGCATGTTTCCGGAGTCTCATCATTGTTGTGAACTCGAAAAAACAGAGTAAATCGGCGGCAAACTGAAAAAAATGGTTACTTTTTTGACGGGGGGGGAGGGTAATAGGTTCAGAAAGACCAGCTGAAAGTTCATGTCTAAAAATGATGAATCGAGAAATCTCCACTGTTTTTTGAATCTGTGTAATAAAAATCTACCGAAAGTTGATGAAAAAGAACGGAAAATTGAAGCTATCAAAAAATTTAAATAAGAACGCTTAGAGTTCTAAAGGACCCACAAAAAAATCAATAATTTTTCAAAAAAATGAAGAAAAATCTAAAAATTCAAATCCATGTTTTCATACTCATCTTAGTCTTCTTTTTTTTGGTAGTCTCAACTTTTTGGAAAATACAGCTTCAATATTCGTTCCAATTATTGAGCAGAAACTCATGAAATTTCCAGAAACTCACTTGATATTTGACGATTGTAAAATACGACCCTTTCAATACACTGTTGAGATTTTTCCTGGTCAGCACGTAAACGATGAACCCGTAGAGCATCATGGAGATAATTCCAAAAAACAGCAGGAGCCATTGTAAGAACGGCATCTCCTTCAAGGCCCAGAAACACTTGCCTAGTACTTCGGAAAATTGGTCGAAAAATGTCATTTTTCAAATCCGAACGGCTTCAGAACCGAGCAAAAAAGTTTTGCAATGAAAGCGTGAACGAGGGTAATTTTCCCTGGAATGAGATCGGAACTGAATACGGCCAACCTCGACAAGAGCCAATTCCAAGTCATTTATGCCCAAACAAAATTGCCAAAAAAAATTTAATCAAAAAGACTGAGGGCTACGTTTCCCGGAAATGGTGCTCGAGGCGTTCGAGGATGCATCAAAACATTTTTCAATTGGATCGGCGCCGCATTTTTGGCAACAAATAAGATTTTTAGATAGCTTCTGAAAGCACTAGTGAAGGTCAAGAGAATAGAACGTCTTCAAATTTTGAGGACTTCTGACTATATTGTCAAAAAAATATTAAAAGATGGTCGCATGGGGAATGGCTCAATGTTAAAATCAGCTTAAACGGAGTTTTGCGAAAATTATTCTCACCTTGGAAATAATTGTCTTTTTCGCGAATTTTAACAAGTTTTCAGTTGATCCGTAAACATACTATTCTTATAAGATGTTGCAAGCCTTTTGAGCGTAAGCCGCTTCAAGTCGGGCAAATTTCGAAGCAAATAAATTCTAAAAACTAGGACTTAGAGTCATTCTACATGCGACCATGTGCATCCAAATTTGAGAAAGTCGAGTGAAAAATTTTTAAAGGTCAATGAAAAAATCTCTTTGAAATGAGTTTCCAGAGATTTGAAGGGCCGAAACGGGAAGCTGTAAATACTTCCGGAATTCCATACAATTGGAATTTCCCCTAGTTGGGTTTTCACTAGAAAAAGGGAGTTTTCAAAAAATGAAAAAAAATGTTTTCAGAAAGAAAAGAACGATACAGAATCCTCAAAAAAACTCGAGAAGATCTTGAATCTCAAAAAGAATGCGTTAATCATCCAGTAAATGAGCAACGGAAAGTTGGACTTCCTACTGAATAGACTTTATAACTTATGTGAGATATCTATCAGGGTCTGAAATAAAGAAAAACCGAGATTGATTTACTGACGTGGGTTTTGCTTTTTATTACAATCCTCAGAGCGATTCGGGTTATTTTTTGATTCATGAATCATCGGAAACGGTAAAAATAACTTTCTTTCAATAACCCTACTTTTTGCAAACTTTGTTTGGAAAAAAAGGGAGTCTTTTTTTTTTACAATTTTTGCAAATTGGTTGAATGGCATCTGGTCATTGATGAGTGAGTTCATTTCAACTTTTAATTGGCTAATAGCTTTCTAAAATTGAAGAAAACAAAAACACGCGAGAAACTTAGCTGATGACGGTAATTACGGAGGTAAACAAGAACTTGGGTCTTTTGAACTCGAATCGAATAAGCAATCGAATGAATGTATAACCAAAAGAACTATTATCAAATTTTCACGATTTCATTAAGAAAAAAAAACAGCTGGATTACTCAGCTTCTTAGGGGTTCTCTGCAGAGAAAAAGCGGCAGAACGAGCTGATATGGGTGAAATAAAAGGAACTGAAACAAATTCCAGGGTGTCGTTATACCCGGCTAAGTTGTTTTTGACCATGTTCGCACCCATGATTAAGCCACCTTTCTTATGTTTCTAAGCTTCGCAAGCCCATAATTTGAGTCATTTTTCTACTTTTTACCTTCCGTTTTCTCGCTGAATTTTGTTGCTGAAACTTAATAAGACAGCAAAATTCTAAAATTAACGATCGAACATCATTGAAAAGCTGCACTTTTTAGAAATATCATAGAAAAAAAGAAACAAAGTTCATTTGAAGTTGGTTAAGAGGAACGGAGGGAAGAGGTCTTTTCACTGTTGTGAATGACACTTTGCAGCTTTTGAAACAGAAAAAAAGAAGGAATGAGGAAAAGATGCTTTTGAGAGCCCACACTTTCGTTGAGGGAATCCGAACGGAGTTTCTCATTGGATTACACAAGTAGAGCGTTTTGCGGCAGTTTTTAATGTTGAGAGCTATTTTGAGGGAAAGCGGTAAAAATTTTGAAATGATATTATGGATATAGTATATTTGCAACCATACTACCTTAAATACTATTTCTCCATAGTGTAAATTCCGGTTTCAAAGTGGAATATTTCCGCTCACAAACAGTGGAATTTTTAAAGAAAAACTTGAATTTCAAACGAAAAAAAGATAAATCCTCTTTCAATTACACAAGTTTTCCTTTTTCTTGATTTTTTTGAACTTGCACTGCTCAAATTTCATAAAGATTTTTGCACGAAAAGTTCAAACTCTTTTTGAAACAAACAACGCAAACTAAACTAATTTCTACGTGATAAACGACATTCCTAATTCAGAAAAAAAATCAGAGGAACCAACAAAAAAATGGTTATATGCCTTTTTTGGTGAAGGGTTTGCTTCAGAATGCTCGGAAATTACTACTCTCTTTTTTCAATATTATTGCATTTTTCTGTTTTACAAATAGAGCAAAAAACTTCGTCTCTAGCATGTGCTGCGACAAACTCTACTGGACTATGAAAGCTGAAAAAAAAAAGTTTTTTTGAGATCTGTAACAAACATTTCTGTTTCAAAAAAAGTTATCTTCAAAAGAGGCAAGAAAGCAGAACGAAAACTTTATCAGCAAGAAAAAAAATTTACATTTCAATTTTATTTACGAGATCGGTTCAAGGCCAAGGCGTCGCCATTTGATCCAGCTCAAACGAGCGACAAGGTCTGCAAAAACAAAAACATTGGCCATCTTTCCCAGCTTTTACTCGGAATAGTTACAAATTAAACCACTTGTGCTCCAGGACGGAGCGCCAGGATGACCAGAACGAGCCAAAGTGACACAGCGACGGATGTATTTGCCAGATTCCATGGATGACCTGAAGGCTATTGGATTTTTGCGTTAGTTGTTTTGAAAAAAGACCGATGGAAATAGTGGCATAGGCTTTATTGATCATGACAATGACCCAAGTTTTCGGGTTTTGGTTTTTTCCTGTTAGTTTTTGTGGAAAAAAGGCCCTGAAAAATAGTGGCATAAACCTTAGTAATTCTGAAAGAAGCCGAAATTCTTGGGTCACTGTTTTTTTACTGCCATGGGAATTGACCGCGCAAAGTAGGGATCTTGAAAATGGCCGAAAATCTTGGCTTTTAAAAAATTCAGGTAGTTTTTTGACGGATAGAAAAGAAGATCTAGTCAAAATTTTGAGAAAAAAACAGGTGAATTCAAAAGCTTTCATTTAGATACCGAATAATAGGAAATAAGCAGCCTTACCGCATTCCAAAGTGAATTTGAAATTTGAGTTATTTTTTTCAAGGAGCTTTTTTGTAAAACTCGATAAAAAAATTTGAAACTAGTTTTTTTGACCTTGTGGAAAATATGATTAAATATCATCACAGAAAATTTTTTTTTCAGGTTTGACTTGCCTCAAAACATCTTCCAACATGTTGATGTAGGCGATCGCCAAATTGAGAGTGTCGATTTTGGAGAGACGACGTTCGAAGGGAAACGTGGGGATGTAGTTTCGAAGTTCCTGGAATAAAAAAAGTTGTTGTTGAAATCCGAAAATGTCGACTAATTACAATGAAAGCGACGTTGATGTTGCACATCCGTTTCCTTTCGCGCACATTTGCCGTCTGCCGATCGCCTTCGTCTTCGACTAGGTGACTGTAGTAACCACCTTCGTAATGGGCCACTTCATCTTGGTTCCACTGTAAAAATCAGTTTCCATCCGATGACATACATGAAAGTTGCATTTTGTTACTATTTTGTTCTTTTTGCATCAAATTTTCACTCCAATATTTTTCCAGCATCCCGGTCGAATATTCAGTATTTATCCAGGATCTCTGTGAGTTCTGAAAAATTAGTACTTTCCATCAGCTTTCTAATGAGTAGTCTCAATAAAAACCATCGTAAGAATTCTAAAAAAATTCTTCAAGCCTGCAATTTCTCGCAATTCATGAAGAAAAACGCAAATCTCAGCCTAGAATCAAAATTTTTTTATAATATATATAATTTTTGTTCTCAAAAAAAGTAAAAAAAGGATTACTGTGTGAATCTTGAAAAAAAGTCGCATTGGATTTCCCATTTAATGAACGGGTTCAGAACTGCTAAAAGAGTTCAAGGAGGAAATCTAGCCTTTTTCTTTGCACCATTGAGGGAGGTTTTGAAGTAATTGAACAAAAAAATTATGATTCTTGTTTTTTTGTGAACTATAAGGGTCATATATCGAGAAAAAATGTTTTGCGAATTTTTTCTCGTTCTGAAACCAGAAGGTCCAAGTGCAAAGTTCAGTCGAGTTTCATTGAATTCAGACTTGGGACTAAAATATATCTTTGTGATCAATAAACAATTCTCACTGTTTTAACGAGAAAAAATATTTTCCTATGCAAACAGGAAATCTCTAGAATGGCCGGAAGAATTTTCAATGTATAATATGTGAGCCACGACTTGAAGTCTCACCGAACGACATTCCGCTGTTCCGCTGCGTGTTTTCGTGAAGCGTCTTTCAAATTTAGGTCATGCTTTCAACTGATTGTTATTGCTGTGGGTACCTCAATAAAAGAAAAAAAATTAAAAGCGCGACCAAAGTTCGCAAAGCGCACAGCGGCACAGCGGAATGTCGTTAGGTGGAATTTCAATTCGTGGTACACACACTATACCACAAAAAGAGGGAGGTCGTGAAAATTTCAAACTGTAAATTATTCGAGCTTTTGAGAAAGCAAACCCAGAAGTCCTAAGAACGCTCAAAATCCTTCAAAATAAGTTTTGGTGAGGCTTTCCGCCTTCATTTTTCAAAAACTAAAAAACTGTGCGAGTTAAGAGCATCGAACTCTTTTTTTGATGCATCTAAACTGTTCTGGCTCCTTTTCAGAAAGTTCCTAACAGCGAAATTATAGAGGAACCTCAAAGTAAAATTACTTTCTTGAAGTTTTTACAGGGTGAGGAATAATTACTGCGACAAAAAAGAGCTACTGTTAGCTTTTAAAGACCGAGAACTCAAAAAGTTGGAAAAAATTTAATAGAAAAATTAACTGACCGGTTGTTGCATGAGGTGACGAGCAATCTGAGCCGCGGATGACACTCAAAACGACGGCCGACTCCACATTCGTAATTGCTTATTCTTTTTGCAGCTGCCGCGAGCTGTCAACGGCACACGTGCGCCGTTTTCCACTTCTCGCCGCCTTTTTCATGACTCTTAAAAACCATAAACATCGTACAGAGTCTCGAGACACAGTTTTTTTCATCTTTCGACGGAGACGGAACTGTCGGGGAGGAAATCTGGCTTACTGACTATAGTCTTTTTGAAGTGTCTCAGTGAAACTCAAGAAATACCAATCGTTGCCTTTTTTAGACAAAAAGTGTTAGAGTTTATTAATACAATATATGATGCAAATTTTTCATGGTCAGTAAAAAATCCAAAAAATATAAAAATTTAGACAGCTTTGTGGTAATTTTATACAAAAATACAAAATTCTTATGTAGAAGTTGGAAAGATCTGCTTGCGGTTGCTCGGAAGGCGTTAGGAAGCTTTCCAGCTTGTGGTCAAACGCCTTCCACATAACTTCCCAACACCTTCCCCTTGAAAAAAATCCGGTCGGATGCCTTCCAGCAAGCTTCTGAAAGGCTCCTGGCAGGCATTATCCATGTTCACCTTCTATCTACCTTCCGTACACCTTCCAAAGCCTTTCCCAAGACCTTCTTCTTCCATAAACCTTCCAACCTTCTGCTGGTTACCTTCCCGACACTCTCCCAGGATTCGCCTGAGTTCGGAATAAATTTTTTTAACGAAAAGTTGCCTTTCGAATTCCGATACGTGTTAAAAATTAAAACTTTTTTTAAATGATTAATTTTTTTGGACATACCCCCTCGTAAAAAAACTCAAAGTCTTCTTTTTTCCAATACCACGGTAAAAAAATCTTCTATTGTGACTCTACGAAGCTTCGTAAAAGCATTGTGAAACTTTTTCGGTAGAACTCTGTCAAAGTTTTTTTAGAATTTATTCCGAAAAGATTATGATTATATAAATGGATTAACATACTGAAATAAATTCAATGATTACATATAGCAACATTAAAACAAAAAAATTGAAAACAAATATTACAAAGAAACAACACAAAATTAGCAAGCCAATGAAATAAGGATGCAGTAAAACAAACTTCCAGGCAAAGAAATCCCCAAATTCCGATGCTAAGAAAGCCTTTTTCTCCTCAAACTGGCCAAAAAAAGCAAAAAAACACACAAAATTGATAAATAAATTGTGACATAAAAAACACAAAGTTTAACAATGGACAGAGTTAAAAAAATCAAAATTAGTTCCTAAACAAAAAATAATCTCAAAAATTCGTATATTCCTCCAACTGGCCAGTAATAAAGAATGTCGGTTACTGACTGGTGATTATTATATGGGAGAAAACAAAGTAAAAAAGACGCAAAAAAGACAAAGGAAAGTTTGTGATGGAAATGAAAAAATAACACTATGTACAACAGCCTCCTGGGCAAGATTTTGATTACAAAAGAATGCAAAAAATCACAATTTCAACCACGTAAATAAAAAAAACTTTGGCAAAAAAAAACATAGAAATCTTTTATCACAATCTATCCCGTTAATATGTGGAAAACCCGTGTGACGTCGCCTGAGTTTTTTCTTTGGTTTAGGGAGAAGTGGTGCGGAGGCGTCCCGCCCGAATTTGTTCCTCTTCTTCGTCGTCGTCCAGCACTTCTTCGTAGTGCCTTTCAATTATTTGGCTGTTCCTGTTGTTGAGCTCTTCGAGGTCGACTTCTTCAGCCACCCATTCACAGCCAGGCTCCACCCGCTGTTTGTGAATCGAGCCCCCAAACTCTCTCAGCAAGTATTCCGGAGTGACAATGTCGTCTCTCACGTAGCAGACGCGTTTCTGAAACAGTTTTCCGTCAAGTTTGGTGGGAGGAATGAGAAAATCACTTGATTAGGTATAGTGAAGACTGACAAGGGGGGATATTTTCAGCACCCGGTTACACTTTTGATGAAACTCTGCTGAAGTTTTTTACTGAAGGACAGCCAGATTCCAGAACAAAAAATTCTCACAATAGACCTGGTTTTCAAGTTAAAACTTTTTTCAAAAACTTGAGATAGCGTTCATGTCAATAATGTAGATTTTGAAAAAAATCTATTGCGAGGAATTTTTCTTGGTGTGGGATCAGGAAGTCTTGAAGTATACTTCCAAAAAGTCTTTTCGAAAATTCAAACGGGGGCTGGGAAACGTCAAATAATGATTCCGTAAATCTTCACACAAGGAAATTGATTCTCATCGTGCTCTCAAAATTCTTAAAAAAACGGCTGAAAAAATCTTTTAATGACCCATAGATGTGGTCCCTCAACATCTCAACAAGAAAAGCTTTCGTTTTCCGAAAGAAGAGACTTTTAAGTCTCGTTGGCTTCAAAACTAACCGCCGGTGGCTCACTGCGGCTGTTCATCTCAGCAGTCGATAGTGGAGAAGTCGGCTCACTTCTTCCCACAATCGTTTCAGCATCATCTTCAACATGCAACCAAGGGCGGCTTGGCATTTTGTTCTAAAACAGTAAAATCATGAAACTCTGAAAAATCTTGAAATAAAACAGACCTGGGCCTCTCCAACTAGCTTCGCTTCAGCAATCGCCCAACATCCCAGGAAATGTTCGTGATGGGTTCGGCCGAACCAATTCTGCGCCGAGCGCGTTCTTCTCAGAGGAACCGGGAGGAATTGACGGTTGATTCTGTTGACGGTCACAATGTCGCGAGCGTCATTTCCTCGGAACATCTTCTTGCGTTCCCGCTCAGCGTAGGCTGCTTGATTTTTGGTCATGACCAAGTTCTCTTCATGACTTGTTTTCTCGACGTGGACAGCCAGATTCTTGGATGTCAGCAGGGAGTGGCGTCTCCAACTGAAAACAAAAATTATCCTTTTTTTGCTGAATTTTCATTTTGTATTTTTGAGCAATATTATAAATGATTCAATGTCGGGGTTTAAGTAAAACTTTGAAAAAAAGAACTTCTGGACTTTAATTGACTTTCCCCTGAAAATCTTTCAAACTTATCATGAATGCTCGCAAAAAGTTCTAACGAAAATTCGAGAAACTCTTTCATTCTGAAAAAAAGCCTCAAAAACCTCATTTATTTGTCAGAATTTTTAAACAGAAGATCTTAAAAAAAAAAGATGAATCTTTGGGCAGTTTCGAACACTCAAAGTTGCTACCAACTGTTTCAAAGATTTTCGTAGCCAGTTTTTTTTTGGAAATAAAAAGATGCGCGCGAGTCGCTTTCACGACGGACGCATTTTTTTCTCAGCAATTGAGTCATTTTTCATGCGACAGCTTGCAAAAAGAAACAGTAAACTCACGTTCGGCGCAACCTTTCCTCGTACCGCTGCATGGCTGGAATGCAAAACCTTTCCTCGGCCTCGGCTTCGGGCTCCTCTTCGTCATGTTTTCTTTTCCGAACGCTGTAAAAAAGACCATTATTTCTGTGCGCGGCCCCGAGCAAAAATGTTTTGAGAGACAGATCTAAAGATTACCCGGCGAACGTTCTGATCGAAGCGGAATAGCGCAGGCGACGGAACAACACTTTGTCCATTCGAGTGTTGATAAGCTCATCGATCGCCTTCCAATCAGCGACTCCCTGGAAAAATTGAAAATGAGATTTTTCGCAGAGGAAGGGTTTTACATCAATCTGGGGCAAGTTCCTGGGATGTGTGAAACAAACGCTTGGTCCAGACTTCGTACCATCGTCAGAGAAAAACTTGACAGTGACTTTGTCGTTCACATAGTCGACCTGTAATTTTTCGAATAAAGTCGGAAAAAACTTTTATTTTCAATTTTCTGAAAAAGTTTCCAGATAGGCTCGAAAAAGAAAGGTTGAATGACAAAGAGATCAAAATATCAACTTTTTTTTGATATTTTGTTCTCAAACTTTGTCCCTCTAAGATTAGCTCAGTTGACCTTAAAATACTTTGGAGAAAAAATTCACCTCGACGTCAAACGGAATGTCTCCTCTGTATCCTCTATGCCGAGTCGCAGAGTCCACAGCCGGCTCCAAAGGCAACGGAGAAGAGTTGGCCACCGCTTGGAGGTCAACAATAGTCGCGATGGAAATGGAATCCTCGAAGATGTCAATGGCTGTGATGAAAGGAATCGGCGGCGGCGCCAGCTTCCTGACTCTCAGTTCTTTGGTGATGGAGCAGTAGTAGTGGTCGACTTCAGCAAGGAGTTGTTCCACGGCCGGGAGCTTTTCTCGGTGAGCAAAGGATGAGATCAGGAGTCCTTGAACGGCAGCGGGCACGCCTCGGATCATGACGCGACGGTGATGAACTCCGCCGAGTTGCCAGTTGCGCAGGGCGTTCACGATGTACCAGTGCTCGTAGTACCGAAGAGCTTGATCATCGACAAGTCCTCCATCCCGAAGACCGAGGGATCGGAAAGCGTTTCCAAGCTCGTAGCCTTGGTTGAAAAAAGCGCGGTAGAGCATATCCTGCGGCATTCTGGTGCACTTCGTGTAGACGTTAAAAAGTTCCGACAGGTCTTCGCATGGAATTTTCGCTTCTTCCTGAAAATGTTTTTACACTTTTTGATATGTCAAAAAAAATTGCTATCATTTTTCGTAAAAAAAAGGTCTTATCATCTCTTTAAATCTTGAAACAGAAATGTGGTGTAAACAGCTTTTTTTTTTGCTAGTTTCAACTTTCTAAATCGAGTCGGATTCGATTTTTACTTTGATCTTTTAAATTGGTAGAAATGCGATTTGAACTCACTAATGCCGAAGAGAGAATCCAAAGTTCTTGGACGGAGGGCTGGAAGCTTGTCAGTTCGATGTCAGCATGGTCAATCGAAATCGCGTTGCGATTCATCTGCATATCGGTCATCCAAGAGTAGGTTCGAGTTCTCATGTAGGCCGGAATGTCGATCTGAAAGGTAGAAATTCGTTTTTTTAGAAATGAAATTAAAGTTCCTCTCAGAAACCTTGATCTCCAAAATTGAGAAAAAATTAAATTTTCTACATTTTTTGAATTTATGTCATCCCAAAGCTCCTAAATTGCTCAAACTCAATATTATAACTCACGCTTTGGATGAGGTTGACCGTCTCAAACATGATCTGATCGTAAAGCGCTCTCTCGGATCGGTTGGTACTAAAAAAAGTATCATTTATTTTTTTTCAAAGCAAGTTCCACACCTTTCCAATTCGCGCCATTCTTCAATGCGCCGTCGAACTCGATCGATGTTGAAAGTCGAATCGATGGCGTTGTAGACATCGCGTCGGAGTTTTATCAGCTTTTCCAAGAAAACTTCTTGGTACTGAAAAAAAAAACATTTTCACAAATCATTTATCGATCTTCATACCGTTGAATCCTCGCTACGCTCCGCCCAAGTTGATACAAAGTGAGGGTTGAACAAAACTCTTTGCAATCTCGTCAGCATATGAATCCAGAGCAGTTTTCGCACTTTGTGGTTGTAAAACAAGGCTTGGATCACATCGACGTAGAGGTACATTTCCTGGTCTTCTTGCATTGTCTGAAAAGTTTTTATCATTTTGCTTTATTGGTCAATTATTCTTACTCCAATTTGGGCTCCGTAGGTGTTGATGAGATCCATGTTGGAATCGTAGAACTGTTGGAAAGTTTCCCAGCCGTTCATATCCGGAGCCACTGAGTCTGATGCGACATCGCCTGGAAAATGAGGTAGTTGAAAACATTTTCATGGTTATCATAAGCGTTCTTTGAGCTTAATTTGAAGGTTTCTTACTATTATAAATGGGATTTCCTCTTTTTAACAAAGTACCGGGAAAAAATCATTCAAAAATTTCAGTTTTGACGGAATTTGAACTTCAAGCTTGACATAACTTCGGCTAAAATGCGACCGTCACCGTTCTAAACTGTCTGGATGAAAAGTGAAAACTTGGTTGCGTAGACCTTGCAAACTTTTTCCCAGTTATTCAGGGTAAACGACTGGAAACTATTTTTACGTGACAAACATCAAGTCGCTTGAGGTCTGGTGCAGTTAGAACTTAATTTCGAAGGGCTTTTTTTTTGAAGCAGTCAGGAAAAAGTTAAGAAATATCAACTATACCTTCCGCAGCGCTTTCTTCAACTTCCAGCTCATCGACAGATTTCAACAAGCAGTATCGATCGAACACTTCCAAGTGCTGTAAAATTGATTATTTTATGAAAATCTGCCGTTTCTTTATCACCTTTTTGTAAGCAGCGGCGTCAAGTTGTTGTTGCTCACTGGGGAACTTCGGTCCTTTACCAATTGTCGTACGCGATTCTGGGTTCTGAAAAAATTTATTTGTTTTTTCCTTTTCTAAGTATCTAGCTATGAATCGATGAGTTATAACGTACCCATCGAACTGAGAGCATACTCTCCAGGATCCTATTTTTAGCCGCGTCATGGATCAGCGAATTACAGTCGACCAGTTTGTGACCATCCAGTACATTCTCGAGGTATTCTTCTTCTGACAATCGAGCCACCGAGTCGTCCTATAAATTTCCAGATTTTCCTCCTCCTTATTGCAAAAAAAAAACTCACCATCTGCTCCAAATTCAATCCGACAGCCTTCATGGAAGTCTTCGCCTTTTTGGTAATGTGCTGTTCGATATCCGAGAAGTTTGTGGCTGATGAGGTCCGGTAGAACTGAAATGACACGAAAATTTTGTTTTTTTTTCTTTTGAGTACAGAAATTCTACTTTTGAAAAATCGCCGTTATTTTTTATTTTTTTTCCATTTAGAACTAGTTCTGAAGTTTTCTTGAATTCAAAATGTTTTTTTTTTCAAAAATTTCTCAGAACCAACATTTTTGAAGATTTTTTTGAACAGTAGGACAACGTACCCGCTCTGGGAGCCGATTCTTGATTTCCAGCGACCTTGAGCGATATCTTTCTTCAATTGGTCGAGTGTCAGGAACTATCAGCAACTTTGGCCGTGGATCACGAGTTTCTTCTTTCAAATCGATCCGGGAAACGCGTTCTGGCAAGATTTTCAAGCGGGAAGACTTGGCGGGAAGTAGCGAGAGAAGGTCTTCCCTTAGCTCAAACGGCATTTTCTCACTGATTGCAACCTGTAAAACTTATTTATAGTTTGGAAATATTTCGAATTGGAAAATAAATATTATTTTTTTGAAACTGACCCAAGGCTGTTTCTCATGGTAGCTGTAGCTGCAGCATGGTGCATCTCTATCGAACGGAACCTATAAGAAAGTTGCGAAAAATCGTTTTGACCATGTCCTCACCTCGTCCATGACATCGAATCTTCTCACCGCAACTTCTCTGACGTCCATCGAGGTGCTCTGGAAGTGCGATTGAAAACTAGAACTCGAAGTTATATTTCTCACCATTTCGTTGCCGTCGCTCAGTCGGCGAGGGACGATCGGCATCTTTTTTCTATAACGTATTCGAGGCGCAGGAATATCCGCCTGAAAAAATTTTTGAGTAAATATCTTATTATCATTTTCTCACATGAACTTGGAAGACTTCGGAGATCTGGAACGAGAGCATGGCCGAGGCTTCAACTTTTGGCCGAGAAACATTGAACAACGCGTCAAACGACAAGCAACCGTTTTTCTGAATTTATTTTTGTTTTCAAGAGGCGAAAAGAAATGAAAACAAACCTTTGAAAAAGTAGCGACAGTGGCTCCCTTTTCGCGGGAACTCCGGACTCGTGGAGGCAACGGGAGCATGACCTTGATGCCGGGCGAGCTTCCTGGCGACACGAGGCCTGGTGAGAACGGCGACTTTGAAGCCAGAATATCCACAGACAGAGGTGATGAGCTTAAGACTTCTTCGACTAGTTCAGCGACTTTAGAACTTCCGGACGTTGCTTCCAATAAGACGTACTGCGATTCCTCCAACTCTAGCGTGCGGACCAAAAGCGTGGGACTGACGGCTTCCGCTTGTTTGATACTTCGGTTGTTGCTTGAGCCGGGGTACTCTTGAGTGGAGACGCTCAAGCTGCCGCGATGTCCACCGAGCATTCCATTGCTGGACGATGGAAAGTTTCCATTAGAGGAATGGGGCATTGGAGGCATGAAGTCTTGCTGATCGTCATCGTCATCCGGATTTCGATTGTTTGGCGCTCCAACGAAAGCAGGTCGACAGCCAAAAGCGTTTAGCTCTTTCTTTCTTTTCTCGGCCGCTTTTTTTCGCTCTTCCAAATCTCGAGTTTTTGCAGGCATAACCTCATTGCTCAATCTCATCAAATTTTGTGAGGCATAGCGGTTTGGTGGCATTTGCCCAGTTGGTGAAATCCCAGGATGTAGAGCACGTTGTCCATGAGCCCCTTGATTCGCCTGTTGAGGTGCAAATGGCGGGTAACCGTAATAATTATTTGGAAACGGATATGGATGGTGTGGATACACGGGATGATGTTGATGAGGCGTTTGAACCAGCGGTTGAGCTTGCAAAATTTGGTGATTTTGACTCCAAGAGCCATAATCCTGTGGTATGGGTGGCGTATGATGAATTGCAGGGAAAGCTGGTCCAACGGAATTCGCTCTGGCTTCAAATTGCTGGGGAAAGTTCATTCCTGGGTGGTGCTGACCAAGCCTGCCATCATGGAGCGGATTACTCGGTTGGTGATTCTGCTCCTGCCAGACCCCATTTCCTACAGCGTTTTGGTTGAATGCGTTTGGTTGGTAAGGATTTTGAATTGGATATCCGTTACCAAAAGATCGCTGTGGCATTTGCAGTTGAGGAGAGTGTTGAAGATGGTGGATTTGCTGTTGTCCATTTCTTTCTTGTGCTGCAAAATTTGCCGCAGTTTGCTGAGCACGAAGTTGATTCTGGGAAACTGTGAAGCCTTGAAAACCGTTATCAAAAGGCTGATGAAGATAAGACGGTGGAATCGGCATTGCTCCACTTGGTGAATGCGTCGCATTTGTTGGTTGCATCGGTGTCATATCTTGTTGCCGATGAGGATAAAATCCAAGGTCTGATCTTCTAGACCTTTTCTGATATGCTTCTTCAACTTCTCCCATCCTCTTTCTGTTTGATGAAAGCGACGAATTTCGTCCTGATTGGGGCGTCTGCGGGCTCGAGTATTGGTTGGAAGTGTATCCGACAGGCGGCATTGGACTTGGCGCGAAACTTGGCTGCGGTAGTGATCTTGGCGAGTTATTGATGGCGGCCGAAGTGTTAGACGCTGGGGATACGTATGACGCTGATTGAGTCGCATGGGAGGCTGGAGAAACCATCGTAGAATTCATCGGATTCGACAACGTGTTCCTATTTGTTACTACTTCTTCGTCGGCTGGCGTCATAGTATTTCGATAACTCGGAAGTCCAGGAGTGTCCGGATAGTAAGGCAGTGCTTGTTTCAAAATAGAGTCGATTGGAGGGAGAAATTTCTTTTCAACGGCTCTTCGGTTCGGAATTTGAGTACAAAAGTTGTCCTTCCCAGGATAGACGTTAATGTGCTCATAGAAAAACTGCGGTCGGCTAGATCCAGGGCCTTCTGCCGGAGAAACATTTTGTGGCTGGATTTGCTCGACTTGGACCGTGTTTGAGCTAGCTCCAGTGCCTTCATTTTGTGGCTCGATTTGTGTCGTGTTTGAGGACATGTTTTCGCCAGTGGCATTGCCGTTGTTTTCCGGATATATGGGTCCTCCCCAGACATCATCAACGAGAACGGGGATCTCCGCAGGTCGACAGGAAACTCCAGGTGCGCCTCTGGGTGGCTTCGGTCTACCGTTTTCATTATCATCATCTTGGTCACTGTCGTCATCATCATCTTTGCCTCGTCCTTCAAATGGTATCAATACATCGTCATCTTTCGGCTTCTCTGGAGCATTCCTTTCTAAAAAATAAGCTCAATTATATCAAAAACCAATCAGTTTCTTACCGCGCTTGTTCTCTTTCAAAAGACCAGAGTTGTCGTCTTTTTCGACATTTTCAACAGATTTCCTGCCAGCCGAATCTGAAAAAAAAAACAATAAATCAATATAAAAAGTATAACAAGCCTTTCTGGGGGAACCCATCAACGTCTACAACACTTTGTTTAAAAATTCATATTTTTTTCTGACAGTTCTAAACTTCTCGATAGACGATTTATAAGATTATGATACTTTTTGATACAACTTTGGCTCCGCCTTTGCTTTGAATAGTTACCGCGAAAAGTTTTTTATTGTTTTTCTACTGTTGCTAAGAGCTTAGAAATTAGCAAAAATCAAAAAAAAAAATGGAAGTATTGTTGTAGGATTTTATCGGAAATTGGAGAACATTGATTATTGCATTTTTCAAGTTTTCAAAGTTGGCTCAAGAGCCATTTTCAGCTGAGATGACGTACTTTTATGAGCTCAAAGCTTTTATCTCACACAGCACTGAAATACTTGATAGCAGTTTTCAAGCCCTTAATAACACGTTACAGCTCAAGAAAATCTTTTCTATCTGGGTTTTTCTGAGAAAATGTGTATTGAAAAAAAATGTTCACCAACCTGGTAGTTTCAATTTTCTGATTATTGCATCCAGATCTTGTTCATTCGAGGATCGTTTCATGGCATCGTCGACGATTGCTTTGACTTCGTCAGAGATGTATCGATCTTGAGTATCTCCATTTTCGTTTGAGCCAGCTCGATCTTTTGGCACGCAGTGATCCTTTTTGAACGAAGTCTCTGCTTCGTCGACGTAATTCCACTTCGAAGTTGTTGGAACTGAAGAACTGTTCGATGTCAAAGAGCCGCTGATAGTGTCGAAGTCGCTTTCCGCATAAGGCAAGGCGACTGATTCGGAAAAGGCCTGCCGTTTTCTCTTCTCTTCAGCTGCTGAAAGAACACATTTTGTCCTTTTTCTCATCACTTTCTGAAGCTCACTTTCCGCTGCTCCTTCATAAATTCCGCGTTTTCGGCTTCGTGAATCTTCGAAAGCGCAAACAGAGTTGTACTTTTCTGTAAAAAAGTATTTGGTATAAATTCTGAAACGTTTCTCTGTGACATTAGATTGCTCGTAGGATTTTAATTTACTCGGATATTTCTCATAAAGACTAGGCTAACCAGCAAAAAGTTTATTTACAAATTTTCCGAACTTTTCCGAAAAAAGCGACACAGGAATTTGACATCGTGAATTTTTTTATATCGTAAAAACTAACTTTTTTAAAAAAAGAAATTAATTTCATTCAACCGGCGTTTTTTTTTCAGGCATAACCAAAAATTGTTTTGCACATATGAAAAAAAAATGTGTTTGGCGAGTTTCATCAGAATAGAAAAAAACCCGTAAAACTCTTCATTTTTTTGATTTAAATCTCAAGTCATACAATCCGAAAAAATCAGATTTTTGAAAGGTACCTTTTTTTATTTCCGCAGGTTTAGCGGAAAATTCGCAATTCTCCGGAACGCTGGATGACGCGGTTTTCGTGAAGAAAGTCTCCCAGAGATCTTCTGGAGAAGTTTCTGGAAAATAAATAATTGCCAAAGAACGAGCTTAAAAATTACTTGATGCCTCCGTTCTCTGTTCTCTTTCAAATTCGCCATGAGTTTTGCTTTCATCGTTTTTAGCGGCTAAAAAACATTCATGAAAAAGTAAAGAAATCAGAAAAAAACCTGTCGACTTCACCGAAGGTTCGAACTGCTCATCCTTGCCGAAGTCCTTGGAAAGGTCGTCGAAGAGTTCAAGTGCAGAGGACGGAACGCTCTCTGAAATCATGCCTATGCCTTACTGAAAAAGTTTACTTTCAATATTTTTTTATTTTCTCAACAACTTTTTAGCGCGCCTGACCAAAGTCTATTTGCGCAATGCATCAGATATTTGGAAGTTTATTTATTGGCGTCTACCTTTCCATTTCTAAGCACAGCCCTAAAAGTAAGGTAAAGCAAAAAAGTTGAGTAATTTCAACTTGGAAGAGCTTGAGAAAATCGTTAAACATTTTTTTCTTTTTCACGTCGAAAAGCTATGACTTTTAGTGATGTTTTGCTTCGGATTTCTTTGAAACGAACTTGAAATCCGGACGAGCACTGTTTCAGGAAGCTTGTTCGGCCCGACTACTCGGGACTCGTTGCTGGACCCTGCAACTTGATATTCCCGTTTCAGAGCTTCTAATTGAAACAAACTTGAGATTTTGGAAACCGCGGCATTGTTTTTTACACTCGAAAGGTCCAGGACAACGATCCGGGCAACCTCGTTTTCAGCGCCTGCAAAAGTAAAATACCTCTTTGAAAACGTATTTCTTTTGAGACAAACACGTTATACTTTCTATAATTCAAGAAATGTTACCTCCAAGGAAACAAGATGTTGACGGCCCAACCTCAAGGTGGGTACTTGTTTCGTTTTGATCTTGGAGAGTCAGGGAAGTTCTTTCACTTGTTTCCTGCTTTTTGGCGTCTGAAATCAGTAAATTTCTTGAAAGTAGATCTTTCGGAACAAAACAGTTCTTCTCGCTATTATTCATGGATTATTACCGTCTATGATACGAGATTCGCGTTTTCCGAGATGGAGAGCAGTATTTCCTTCATTCCGATCTTCAATGGTCAAACGAGTTTTTTGAACCGCGCCCTGCTTTCTGGCGTCTGAAATCAGTAAAGTACTTGAATGTACTTATTTTGGAATAAATACGTTATTCCCGTTATTTTTCATAAATAGTTACCTTTAATCCGACAAGAGGACGTAGGCGCAACATTTAGGGTTGCACTTTTTTCATTTTGATCGTCGAGAGTCAGCGTCACACCTTCCTGTTTCATGTTTTGGTCTGAAAGCAGAGAAATTTGTAAAAGTTTTTTTTCGAAAATGAAGACGTTATTCTCTCTATCATTCGTAAGTTATTACCTGCAATGACGTAAGCTTTGGGAGTTCGAACGCTCAAAATGGCATCTTCTTCATTTTGATGGTGGAGCGTCAGCGATACGCCTTTCCGTGCGTCTGGCTTGCTTTCATCTGAAATCAGAGAAGTTTGTCAAAATATTTCTTCGGAAATGAACACGTTGTTCCCGCTACCATTGGTAAATTATTACCTGCAATGACGCAAGATTTGGGAGGTCCGATGTTGATTGACGCATCTCCTTCATTTTGATCGCGGAGCGTCAGCGTTACGCCTTTCCGAGCGTCTGGCTTCCTTTTGTCTGTAATCAGAGAAGTTTGTGAAAATACTTCTTCGGAAATGAACACGTTGTTCCCGCTACCATTCGTAAATTATTACCTGCAATGACACAAGATTTGGGAGGTCCGATGTTGATTGACGCATCTTCTTCATTTTGATCATCAAGGGTCAAAGCCACGCCTTTCCAAGAGTCTGACTTGCTCGTGTCTGAAATCAGAGAAGTTTGTAAAAATATTTCTTTGGAAATGAAAATGTTATTTTTGCTATTATTCGTAAATTATTACCAGCAATGACGCAAGATGTCGGAGGTCCTATTGTGAGTGATGCATCGCCTTCATTTTGATCGTGGACGGTCAGCGTCACGCCTTTCCGAGTTTTCGGCTTGGGTGTGTCTGAAATCAGTATAGTTCATGGAAGTCTCGGTATAAGAATGGTCTACTTTTGACACGATGGGTCGCAGTTCCTCCGATCGTGGAAAACACGGTTTCCGTGTGTTGATCTTGTACGGACAAATCCACGCCGCTGTTCCCTCTCCCTTTTTGCGAAGTCGAAGCTGAAATGAATAAGTTTCTAAAAGTTTTGATGAAAAATAACATACCTTCCACGTACAAAGAACTCGTTGGTGCGACTGTGGAAAATGCCTTTTCTTCGAGCCGGTCATCAATAGACAAAGAGACGCTTCGATTTTTCTTTTCTTTCTGCGAAGCTGAAGTGAAAGACGTTATCAACAGTTTTGATGAAAAGGTAATCTACTTTTCACACGATGGGTCGCTGTTGTCCCGATAGTTGAAAAAACGGTTTCCGTGTGGTTCTCTTGTACGGACAAAGACACGCCGCTGTTCTCTCTATCTTTCTGAGAAGTCGAAGCTGAAATGAATAACGTTATTGAAAGTTCCGCTGAAAGTAATTTACCTTTCACGCGAAGCATTGGCGAGACCGTAGAAAAAGCCTCTTCTTTTAAGCTTTTTTCGATAGACAGCGAGACGCCCTGTTTCTTCGCCTTTCTCCATTTCTGCGAGTCGCAAACTGAAATCAACGTTAATGAAAATTTCGATAAAATGATGGTCTACTTTTCACACGATGGGTCGCTGTTGTCCCAATCGTTGAAAAAACAGTGTCTTCGTGTCTTTCTTGTACGGACACAGTAACGCCTTCCTTTCTTGATTTCTTGGTAGCTGAAACCAATGAGCTTGATGAAAATTTGGTGAAACGGGAATCTACTTTGAACGAGGCGGGGTAACGTCGAGACACAAAGAAACGCCTTATCATCATTGGATTCTTCGATATTCAGAGAAGCCCCTTGACATTGTTTGGAAGCATTTTGTTGCGCGTTAGGATCTAAAAATGAACCACTTGATAAATTTTTTGTTAAGAGACTGAATCACCTTTCACGCTATACGAAGTAACAGGACCGTAGGTCAGCGACGCTTCCTCTCTGTTTTCTTCGTTGATGGACAGAGAACACTCCTGATCTCGGGCTGAAGTCAGTTCGACCGTCACTGAAAGTAAGTGACATGTGTAATTTCGGGAAAAAAATATGATTTTACCTTCGATACTTTGAAGTGATTTGGTTGAGAGCAGTTGCGGAGCTGTGACTTCTTCCGAATGAATGGTTCCTAAATTTATGTTCTTTAATTGAATTTTTCGATTTTTTGAATCAATGCAAAAAGTGAATCATTTTGCAATATGACATCAAAAAAATTTTGCACATTTCTCGAATCATGGCGATTGAAAAGTATTATCAACATGTAAGTTTTTCTAATTACTTGTTTCCAGAAGCGTCTCCACAGTTTCCTCCTCCACCATCTCAGCATCACCAGGTATTTCAAGAGGTGAGAAGTACCATTTCGACGATTTTTTCACCTCGGAGTTTTCTGAAAACACATTTTATTGTTTCAAGCCATTCTAATAAAATCCGTACTGTCCAGAAGAGCCTTGATCTCATTCAGATCCTTCTCATTGAGCGGTACCACCGTCGACAAAGAAGGCTGAGGTCTTTTTATCGTGCTGATTTTCTTCTGGAGCATCGACTCCATTTTCGTGATGACTTTAGGATCAGCGGTTCCATTGCACCGTTCGATGGACCAAATTGCGACAGCCTTGCTCACAGCTCGAAGGAAAGGCGGCTCGACGAAGAAATTGTGCACCTTGCCGTACGAAAGCCACAGCAAATTCCAGATCACAACGAGGGATCCGAGGATTTCCTGGAATTCATTTTCCTGTCTTTAAATTGTATAATTATTTTTTCGAGATATGCACCAAGAATATTTTTGTGTAAACTTTTTTTCCGGATATCGACAATTATTTCCCTAAGCCCTCAAATTTCCGGTTTTAACTAACCTTGTCGTATTTTCCAACACCGCGAAGAACTTCTCCAGCTTCTTCCATGTCCCAGCCAGCCTGTTTTGCCTTGGTCATTAGGAAAGCCTTGAAAAAATCCGATTATAACTTTTCCATTGAATTACATGCTGATATACCGATGTTTCGCTCTTTGGTTCTTCTGATTTGAAGCCAATGATTTTTCGATCGGCTTCAGTAAAAGAGATGGCAACTTTGTGACTCTAAAATTGATAAGTTAGTGATATAATTGAAGTAAGTCTAATCACCGGTGTTTCTGGTTTCAAAGGACTTTCTTCAACAGCGTCTGGCTTTTTCATGGGCGTGGAAGTTTCCTATAGTTCGAAATATTAAAAAAAAAAGCCTTTTTTTTCTACAAACAAAGTTTTTCGCCGAAAAAGCATTCAAAAGCTCTTCCTCATCCGTTTCAACGTTGACAGTCTTGTTTGGACTTGAAAAGTCCGACCAGAAGTTGGAGACGTCGAGAGGAGCACCAGGAATAACGATACAGGACCAAGAAGCTGAGGAATTTGCAGTGTCCAAGGTTTCATTCAGTTGACCGGCAACAATCGGTTCAGCTTCCTTTTGAGGCTTCTCCGTAACATTTTTAACTCGAATTGTAGACTCCACTTCAAAACGCTCAAAGTTCTTTTGAACCTGAAAAAATGATCATTAAATTTGGAAAGCGGATGAACTATAAGTTATCGCAGAATAATTCAAAATCTGAACTCAAAATAGAAGCTTTAAAAAAAATCCTAAGACCTCTCAACGTTTCAAAATCATTTTTTCAACCATTTTGATAAATAGACTTTCTATTTGGAAAAAAATAGTTCTACAGATTTATTTTATAGATTCCCAATTTTTTCGAAATCTTGTGCTGTCGTTTTTAAAGAATTTCGTTATTCTTTGAGTTTAATTTTTGATCAGAGCTATTTTCAATTCAATCTCAAGAATTCAGACCAGCGTCTGAAAAAATTTCCCTTATCACACCAAGTCCTTTTTGATAACACCCGAAATTTTCGAACTGAACTTTTTTTTGTTATGTCGTAATCATATAAAGTCCCACGAACCTGAACTCTAGCATCCGATCTTTCTGCAGGCTTTATCACCGTAAAATCGACAGAAACATTTCTACTTGCTGACCACTCATCGTCTTCATCGTACTCTTCTTCCAAGTTCTCATCGCCAGCCTAGAAATGCACTCAAATTAATGAAATTCGTTGAAAATCAAGTTAAACCACATGAAAAACGGTTCTGGTGACCAGAGCGAGAATTGACCGCTTTTCACCAACCTTGAAATTTTTGTTGGTATTTTTTGAGAAAATTTAAAATTTCAAACCGGTTTCAGTGGAATTGTCCTTAGTTCAGTAGCTTTCGTCAAAGTGTGCACTTTTTCCACGGTCACGGCATTTTTTCCACGGACTTTTTTCACGGTCTTCGGAACAACTTCTTTGCGGTTTCTGGGAGATTTGCGGGTCTGAAAGAAGGTCTTTTGATTGGTCCATAGGTCTATAAGTACCTTAACAGCCTTCACAAACTTCATATAGGGCAATTCCTCATTCAAGCTCAGTTTGATCACCTCGATGATTGCCTCAGGAACCACGACTTTTTGGACGACCTGTAAAAAAAATTGAATAGTTAGTCGAAAAGGTTCGAAAATTACCTCAGACACGACATTCTCATTCAACTGAATCTCACAAACTTGCTCAACCAAGGCTCCCAGGCATTCCAAAACTGCCTGCTTTTCGGCCGCATTTTCAATCTCAGAACTTTGTGGGATCTAAAGATTTTATTGAAATAAGTTTATTCCCACTGATTTTACCTTCTGATGTTCATCTTGAACAACTTCGACAGTTTTAGCAAGTCTTTCGCTCTGTCTCTTGTCATTTCGAAGGGGTGAGACCTAGAAAAATTCATTTCACGGAAAATTATGGAACATGGAACTGCCGTTCATGACTTTTTCATTGTACCTATGGTCTCTTGATATAATTGATAAATTATTTTTTTGCCGGTCATTCATAACCTTTTCTGGCCTTTTTTTGATTCATTGAATACACAACTCAATCAATCAGATATTTTCAAACTCCGAAAACACATTTTTTTTTCCGATTCTCAGGCTAGGTCAAAATTCTTAAACTTCTGAAGGTTGATTATTCAAGTATTTCAAACAGGGAAATTCGAATTCTCCGATAAAACTGTAGGAAAAACTTTCATAATTTTTATCCTTATTCATCGCTCTTTGTAACAAATTTGGTGTCTGCGCTCTCCAGATCTCTCAGACGCGTCCTTTTTTTTTGACCTTTTCTGTTTGTCGCGATGATGGTAGCAATGGTGACAGAGCGCGCAGACAAAGACTTTTTTCAAATTTCGGTGAAAGGTCGTACAGAGCTAGAAAAAATTCTGACTGCTCATGAAAAAATTCAAAATAGAGCAGCGAAAAGTTCAAAGCATGTACATTATTTTGGGCTCTTGCTGTGTAGTCATCTTCAATGGAAAAATGTGTTAAGCTGTACTTTCTACCACTCTCGGTTTTTTTAGTACTCATCTGCCTGCATACCATTTTTTGAAAATTTGAACTAATTTCTTGAAAAATCAATGGCTAACGGCGCTCGCTTACAATGTAAAACCACGCATTGCTATTTTTAAATCAGCGTTGAAATTTCTGAAACTAGCGGTCAATGAACCATTCGATGTTTTCTTCGTCCTCCTTACACTTACCGTAGCCTTAGGTTTCCGGGAAATTCGCTCCGAGTGCCGCAAAGGTGGGAAATCGTACTTGTGGCGGTTACGTTTTTTGATCTGAAAAACAACAAATCGATCAAAATATTTTCATTACTAGAGTTTTCCGTGGTAGCGTAACATTTTCGCAAGGAGCGCAAATGCGAGGTGCCCTTTTTGTACGTTCGTACAGTCACCAGCTGCGAGGCGAACGTCGCCGCGTACCAGCAAAAAATGTCGTCGTGCCACCCTTCGCAAAAAGTTTCTTGCCTCCACGCACGTGTTCCTTTTTTGAACGACAGATGCTACAATCTGCCTCTCGCTTGGCGTTCGTCTTTTCATTTCCTTTCTATTCGTTTCTATCGTCTCGTTATACCAGTTGCTCAGGAATGAACACGGGAAATCGCGGAATTTATTGCGGCGGAGCGTTTTGTAAAGCTGTGAGTCTTCATAAAGTACAGGTCAGTTGAATTAAATATATGAAGTTTTTTTATAAATGATGGAGCTTCCTATCTTAACCGTGTAATAATAGTTCTATGAGTATCATAAAAGGCTTCATTCTTTTTGAATTTCCTCTCAAGATTGTTTTTTTTTTAAATTGTCTCTCATTTAAAATTCCGTCAGACGCGTTTTTTTGACCATAATCTTCTTCACGAAATTTAATATTTTTGACATCATCTGAAGTTGTGATGACTGTTATTTTTACACTCTGATTGAATTCTAACCAGCAGAGGTTCAAATGAAGAAGTTTTGAGTTTAAACATTTTCGCATTGTTGTCTAACGGTACTGCATTTGAATCTATCCGTTACACCTGGATTACATTTCTTGTTTCTTCTGAATCACTAGTTTCCTGCCTTTCTGGGGCCTCCTTGTTTGTCGGCTCCCCTTTTTAGGCGGCACATAAAAGCCGCCAACCAATGCCTCCCCCACTCCCCCCTTCTCTTTGATCTCCTCGCATCCAGCGCGCCTTTTCACAGGAATTCTTGGTTCTTTCATCCTTACGTTCTTTGTTCAAAGTTGCCTTCTACAATTTCACTGACCGACATTCATCTGACTGCCAGGAAACCATAATTTATATCAACTTTGAGATCAGTTTTTTTCGGGTTACTGTGATGTTAACTATTACCAGTTATGAGCTGTCTCTTTCGAAAATGAGTCAATCTTACAGTTTTCTTAAAGTTCACCATTGTGCAGTCTTCTTATAACAGACTACTGTAGTTCTGAGAAGCGCAAGGGAGAAATCTTATTGACAGTCTTTTTGGAAAACAGTGATTCTTGAGGCGCAGATGCTACAGTCTGTCGACGCTGTTTTTTGCGGTTATTTTGTTTTAATTCAATTTTAATCATTCATTTTTTTTGAATAGCTTAAACTATGGTGTAGTTTTTTTGTCAACAGTTTTTCGCCAAAACTTTCTTTTTAGTTTTTTTGCAATGTTTTCTTATGTTTAGATAATGATTATATCTTTTTTTCTGCGTAAATATTAGAAGGTTGAAAAAGTTTGATTTTGCCGAAAATCGCGTTTTGTAACCTTTTGCCAAAAACGCAGAAAACAGTTTTCATGCACCTTTGAACTTTGAGAAATCCAAAAGATTCTGAAAAACATCTCAAGAAAAAATTTTCCCAGCGTCTTTTTTGTTTTCCTTCTCCGTGTAACATTTCTCGGCCACCGTACCCCAACAGTTATTTTTACTTGATTACCTCTCGGGGCTCGACGGGCGGGTTGACGGCGACGCTCAGAATGGTTTCCCGCAGCAACGATGCGATCTCTTGCAGGTCGCTCAAATCAAGGTCGTCCTGCAAATTTTTGTTAATTTTTTCGTTTCCTGGTTGAAAAACCTCGATCCAAGTGGCGACTGGCATTTTCTTTTTCTCGCCATCTTCCGTCGTGATTGTCATGCCTGTGCTCTTGGTGGCCATTTGAATACGATCAAGCGCTTCTTTTGTCTGCTCATCATCCTCTGGGACCGGCCAATCTGAATGAAAAAGATAACATTAATTATCCCACATCTTCTACATACTTTTGAGATCTTTGTAGAGATTTTCCTGCTTATCTTCCTCTTTTGCGTTGTCTGAAATATACAGTTTTCCTATTGAATTTGGGTCATTCTGACCTCGTTGTCTGCTTCTGCCTCCTCTGCTTCTTCCCCTTGCTGGTGGGCGTGCCGGCGACTGTTTCTTTTCGAGCGCTTCGGGGGCCTTGGCAGGTGTTTCCGCGCTGTTCTCGAACTGTTCGCGACTTTGGTCGTGATCCTGATCAGATGCACTTGTATTTTCTAAATTTTATTCCTCGTTTTTTTTCAAGTCTTTTTGTTCTACCAATGAAGCTATTGTCCGTAGAAGTGACGAATCCGCTGTTGTCCACTTCTTCGTTTTCTGGAAAATATTTTTTGAACTTTGTGTTATGTCTAGGGAGCCACTAAGACTCGGATAGAATCTCTGAAAAATGATAGATTTAAAAAAGAAGTACTCCTTTTTCCATATAAAATTAGTGTTCTTGATTTTTGCTCTTTGGTCGAATCATCATGTCTCATAGTTTGTATCCAATGAATGTAGTGAAAAAAGATGAGGTTTTGGCGTCTTTGTGTTGCCGTGACTCATAGCAAAAAATTCTTTTTCATTCGAGTACGCCTCGGCGAATTCTCTGAGGTGTTCAAATCTTTGTTCTTTTTTTACCCTTCTAGAAACCCTGTCTTTTTTCATGTTTTCTCAATAGATCATCCAAATTGAGACAGAATTTCAAACCATTTTCAAGATTCGCTGGTCCAATGCCAAGCCAGAAATTCATGTTGCCCGTGATTCCTTGCATCATCTGGTCCAAAACCGGCATGTAGGCGTTTTTGAGCTTCTCTTCCTCGGCTTTTTTCATGTCATCGAGTCTTTGCTTTTCCCTGGCTTTGCATCCGATGTATTTTTTGGGGCGACCAGGTCCCTGAAATTTTTAATTTTTTTCTCGGTTAAACTGGAAAGACGAACCTCACGTCTACCGCGTCGCTTAGCTTTTTTGGCTTTTTTCGGCCTACGAAGCTTGACCGGCCGTGACGTCACCAAAATTTCGACGACCTTCTCCTTTTTCTTTTTTTGTTCGCGCTTCTTGTTTTTTTCAGCGGCTGAAATTCCAAAACTTTGATTTTTATAAAAAAATTAGCTGACATAAAATAAATAGAATTTTTTTAGCCTCAAAGTTTTTTGTTGAAATTTGGGAACCTTTGTGCATTTGAACGAGAAAAACTCACGATCGCTTCGACCTCCACAATTTCCTTGATCTCCTTTTTCTCTTCTGTCTTCTTCAAGAACTTGTGACCTCGGCGATTGTTGGCGATTGGCTTTGAAGGTTGAGCCGTTTCCTGTGAACAAATTTTTATAAAATTTCCAAGATTACAGAAAGGTTCATGAGTTCATAATTTTGTCAACAATTTCCTCAGATCTTTCTTTCAAATCAAAAAAGCGTCCATTAAGAGTACCAGACTTTATTAAAAGTCTTATTATGCTCTGAGGTCCTGGTCGAGAAAAAAACTGACCATTTTTTGGAGATAAGCCTCCGCGTCAATGTTGTGCTTCTTCATGTATTTCCAAACCGGAAGATTGCTCTGAAAACAGGGTTTTGTTTAAATTCCCACGTTTTTTTTTTTCTTCTTACCGCTCCTTCTTTGAGCCTTCTCTGGGGCTGAGCTTGAGATTTTTCTCCCCTGTAAATTTATCATATTCTTTTTTTCTTGATTGATATAGTCATTTTACTTTGCCATTTGAGAAACTGAAAACCTTGAGAGAGATTTTGAACACATTTCAATAAAATTTGTGCTTTTTAATATTTCATGAAAGTTTTTTTTTGGTGTTTTGAAAATTTTCTGATCGAATTTTGATAAAATCACCAATTGCAAAGCTAAATGATCTTATTAATAAATCTTACATAATCTCTTCGATGTTCGCCTCAACCAGCTCATGGACACTTTCAATGGACTTTTCTCTTTCGTTATCTCCAGTTTTGGATGTTTGAGCATAAGCTTGACTCCGAGAGAGCTGAGCCCGCTCTTTGTAGCTCTGGGAAGCTCCTGGCCCTAGAGTCTCGGCCAAAATCCGCGCCTCACAGTCCACTCTTTCATCCACATAAATCGGGTCGTTCAGGTCGATTTCGCACTCTTCGATTATGATTTCTTGCTCTCGGACTGGAGGTTTTCCTTTGTGATGGACGACCAGCGTTCCTGATAGAGTGGATTGACAAGCTGACATTGGACCCGTAGCGTTGGCGTTGCTGTGGTAGATGTGAGTTCTGTAAAAGAATTTTATCTATTTCTCTCTCTCCCCAATATTGAACTTTGTGAACGGTCTTTAAACTTGAAATGTGTAATTTTTCTCTATTTTTCACTGCCAGATTAGGGGTAATTTTTTCACTTCTTGCCATTATTTTTTGAAGTAGGAAATAAGTCTGAAAAGGCAAGTCCTTACATGTCATATCCACTTTCCTCCAAAATATCGAGCCGCAAAGTTGGATGACATCGACTATAATGGTCTTTGTTTTCGTAGAGCTGAAAAAAATCCATTTTTCTTTCTCTTTTTTTTCATGACCAACCCGTTGCATTTCTTTTGAAGTCTCCAATCGCGACTGCGAGATACTGGATTCCAAGAACTGAAGAAAATTCAAAAGTAAATTTCGAAAGAGATTTTGCAAAAATGTCACCTCGAAAATGCTGGGCGGCCTTTGAGGAACTTCTTGTATTGGGTCGGGATTCTTCTTTTTCGGGCCAGGCTTCACTTGCTGTTTAACTTTGTTACTGAGACTAAAAAATCACAGTTTCTCCGAGAAAGTTCATGAAAATGACTTACTATTCGACCGTATTTTGCATATTCACCAAGTAGTTTGTAATCTTGATGTAGGAAACTTTTTGAGCAGTAGTCCAGCTGAAAAATGTTTTTGCATCTGAGGTTTGAAGTTTTTGAGTTCGAGATTTTTTTCTCCTTCTAGGGTCTTAATTCTATTTCAAGAAACTTAATTTAATTTAATAGTCTTAATTTTTATTTCAAGAAACTTTTTCCTTTTTTTATATAATTTTTTGTTGGCTCACTTTCTAACCTTGATTGAAAAAAAATTTTTCTCGAACTTCCTTGAAAAAGCTTTGAAGCTGTGAAAGAATTCAAGTTGCAAGATTTCGCTAGATGTAATCAAAAAAAAAGTTATCAACTTTTTTAAGATCTGCAGTTCTTTGAAAACAAGGTAAAAAGCTAAGTTATATTTCTTGAAATTGGAGGAAAACCCTTTTAAATAAATTAATTTCAATGCTTACTCTCGGAACGGTTTGTACATAGGGAATAGCAAGCCGTAAACGACATCTCCCATAAACATTGGATCACGACCTAAAAACCAAAAATATTCCATAATTTCATTCCTGGAATATTCACCGTCTTTTGTGTGGACTTGTCTGAAGAATCCACGAATAGCGTGATGATTCGTTTTGAAGAAATGTCTGATGATTTTGTCCGGTATCTGGCTCGAACATTTCATGTGGTCTCGTGCCGGAACGTAGCTGAAAAATATTCTCATCAAGCTTCAAAAAATTTTTTTATCCGCTTACGTGTTTTTCGGAACCAGAAGCCAGTTCAAGTATTCGAATTCTTTGTTGTAGAGAAGAACAGCGTCGCGAGGTGTGGCTCCCACTGAAATAAAGCATTTTACCGTTGCAGAAGCAGTTCAAAAACAATCTTATTTTTTTTCTACTTTAGTTATTTCGCCTCAAAAAGGTAAGCAATTTTTGAGCTCGAAAGAAAATAAAGTCTTTTTTTAAAAAATTGAAAAAGAAAACTAACATGGCAAGTGTTCCGCAGGACATAGCGGCATATCTATGGTATCTTTCACTAAACTTTTGGTGTTCAAATCGGGGACAAAGTGGATCTTTTTGAGCTTCACCCAATCCTGAAAAAAATATTCAATGATAGTCAGAAAATGATTCTGATTACGGTCATTAGATAGATCTCTCGGTAAACGTCGACTAGCGCGAGCTGGTGATCCATGATTAGGATGAGTTCATCGCGATCATACTCCGGCTGAGTCTGTAAGTTTCCAGATTAGGCTTGAGGAAAAGTTTGGACAATTTTTAGGTGTCTGACCTGACTAAATTAACATAGTCGGCCCCAAAAAAGTACGTATAATTTTACGTGGAGCCGGAGCATCGAAAATACGATTCAAAGCAGAATTTCCACAAAAGAACCAGGTACGTTTTGGTTATTCACTTTTTAATAGTAAATCCCAGGAAAATCGTTCAAAAAGAGCCAATAAATTTGACTGATTTGGAGGAGAATAAAGAAAAAGCAAAAAAAGCATTAGAAGGTCTGAGTTTTTTTCCCGAAGTTCAAATGAAAGTTGGAAAAAAACCGCGCCTATTCAAAAGGTCTGTTTTTCAAGAAAAGAAATTTTGAAATTTAAAAAAATCTCGTAATTTGAAATTTATACAGGCAAAAAAATTCAAATAAAAAAATCCAGACCAAATTATAAAAATTCTTTTTTCCGGTTGACCCCGAAAAAAATTCATTTATATTTGGTTTTTTTGACCACACCAAAACTTTATCACTAATCCCTAAGATAGCTTCAATTTTTTTACATTAATCACAAAAAAACCTGATAGTTGCCGTAATTGTCCTGGGGCTTCCAATTGACGTTGGCATCGCAAGCGGTCGAAAAGGGGTCGACCATGATGATTTTTTGACTTTTCTGATTTCTTCGATCCTTGACGACCGAGGTGACATGCGGTAGAGACAGAGCTTGAGACTGAGGTGGGGCTTGGTAGTACTCATAGTTCTGCTGCACAACAGTTGGCATTTGTTGGTAGATCTGCCTTTGAACTGGCGGATACTGCCGAATCTGCTGTTGTTGCGTTTGAATGTATTGACGTGGCGGTTGAACGTATTGACGTTGAGTTTGAACCCGCACAGGCGGCTGATTCTGATAGGAGGTACTCTGCTGCGGATGCCGGAAACGTTGCTGTTGGGGCAGCGTCGTCTTCGGCATCTCTACTTCTATATATTCGTCTTCTTCGTCTTCCTCCTCCTCATCTTCGAATTCGTCGTATCCATTGCATTCAACGATTTGTTCGAAAACCATCGTTCGTTGATCTGCTTGAGGTTCGGGTTGCTGGGGCGAATTCGGCAAGTTTTCCGTGTCGGCATGGTAATTGCTGAGCATATCTGGTACCAGAGGACCAGATTGAAATTCGGATGGAAGCCAACAACGACCTGAACATTACAAAGATTCAAAATAATAAATATATAATATTCTCACTTGTTGACCCTTCTCCTGGTCGGCCTCCTGGTTCAAAAGCCAGTTCTGTTCATTTCCTTCTGAAAAACGGTAGAGTTGAAAAAAACTAGAAAAAAAGAAAATTTGAGATGCAACAAATGCGACGATTGATGGAAAAAGGTTTGTAGTTTTTTTGTGGGGGCGTCCTTTTTGTTAAAATATTATTTTTGGAGTTTTTCAATCAATCAATTAAAATACTTCAAGATGAACAATTTCGAAAATGAAGTAAGGTTTTTTTCAAGTTTTAACACTTTTTTTCAGCGAAAAAAATCTGAAAAAAATACTATAAAACTCGAAATTGGAATTTTTGGAATCGATTTTTGCGCGCAATAAAAAAAGGAAAAAAAAGGATCCGACATTATTAAAAGAATGAAAAAAAAATTTTTTGAAGTGAAGAATTTCGTAAAGAATTCGAGAAATAGAGTAGAAGTCAAAAATGAAAAAATTCTTCTAAAAAGAAATTAAAAATTAAAAAATTTTTTTGTATCGTGTTCATAAAGAACTGAGGAGTATAATGAAATTTTGTACCCTTAAAAAGAGATTTTTTTGTGGATTCTTCAGAATCATCTCAGACACCTTCAAAACATTTTTTGACGCTCTGGAAAAACGTGCTGAACATCAAAAAAAAAATGTGACATCGGCTTTTTTTTTCGAGAAAGGACGCCTAGGAACCTCCGCGACGTGCACTCGACTAGCGCGCAACCGTTATCTTCGATTTTCGTCCTTCAGTTGAGAAAAACGAGAAAGTTTTGCAAGTTAAAGTTTGGGGTTTTTTTGCATAAAAGATTTTTCAAGTTATTTACAAAAAAAAACAAGATTATTCGAAATAATTCTTTTTTTTTTAAGTTCAAGCAAGGAAGTCAGTTTTGAGAACACACATAATGCTTTCTATTTTGCCTACGGTAGGGAAGGTTTCTGAGAGAAAAAGGCAATGAGAGAGAAGACCTTCTACGTGCCATTACAGGGATGGAGAGCGTTCTGAAAAAGCTCCGTGGGTGGCACTCCGCGCCCTACACAAATCGATCGCTTTGCCTACGATTTTCCTTCGTTTTATGATAGCGCCAAGGTGTAACTTTAGGGTTTCTGCACTACAAACTGATAAATGACTTGTTATGGACAAAGAACGCAAAAATTTCGTAAGAAAACCAAAAAAAATTTTTTCACAAAAATACTTTTTATGGATTTTTATTAAGGAGGTCTTTCAACTTTTTGATAGTTTCAGTGTCCGATAGTGTAGAGAATGGTTGTTAGTCAATGGGAAATTAAAAGAAATTTAAATTTTTGCCTTTTGAATTGCAAAAAGTCGAATATTCCTGAAGTTACTTCTATCGAAGGTAAGTCATAGTGAGAGCAAATTTTTTTGAGAAAATCATATTTATCTTGTATCCTTGAATGGTCCACAAGATATTAGCAAGAAAAAGAAGTTCGAAAAAAATTCGGATTTTTCTTAATATAATAGGACAAAGAAAAAAATAAGGTCATTGGTGAAAAGGTGCAAGGATAGCAAAATAGAAGAAATTTTTCTATATGCAGATTTGAAAATACAAAAATCATACAAGACAACAAAAAAACAAATGAAAAAAATGAACCAGGAACTTGTAATTTAATTGAAATATTATATATTGACGTATGTGGAATCAGGCATCGGTGCTACCCCGCGTGCGTTTTGCGTCGCGGTCGTCCATTTTCTTCGTGTGCGGCAGGGCGCACAGCCTTCTCATGGAAATCCTGGGTGGTCTGCCTTTTTTTTTTCTTCTCCGCTCTGTTTTTACTCGATTCCACGAACGACTTGTGTGGTATTGGAAGATTGAAGAAGGATTTCGAGACCAGAATTCGAGACTAAGATTTTAGAATGATAAGGAGATCTTCTGGAGTGATAATTAAGGATTGCGTAGATCAAAGTGCGAGAAATGAAAATTGAGTCTAGTTATTTCTCAAGCCCTCTAAATTTTTGTTTAGAGAGATTCAGAAGTATTGGAAAAGGTAAAAAAAGAAACTATGAATATTAAAGTAGATCACAGTAGAATATGGAAACCTACGTGACAATGTAACTGTTCTGGAAGGCGTTATCGCGCCATCTGAACTGGAAAGAAGTTCTCTCCGCCAAGTTCCTCGGACCAAAAAAAAGTGACACTGCGGAACTTCAGCCGATTATCGTAACGAAGAAAAATCGATAAAAGGGAGGAGAGAACTGAACAACGCACCCCTTTTCGAAAATAAACATGTTGCATGTTATGAAATTTGATAGTCTGTCAGAAAAAGGTAAATTAACTGAGTTATGAATGTATTCAAATAGATGAAGTTTGCGGTCAGAGAGTAGACTAGGAATTACCAAAATGAGGGAAAATCGAGAGAAATACACTTTTTTTTGGGAAGGAGTTTAGGAAAAATGAAAAGGGGACAGTGATGCATCGGCCACAAATTCAAATGTCAGAGCTTCGCTATTATGTTATACCATTCATAGCAGTATTATAATTCAAATTTGGATATTTATTCCTTAAATAATTGAAATAAGGTTATGACAAAAAAGTCTCACTATCTCTGAACAAAAATCAAAAACTTGGCGCCAAAATGATTTTCAAACTCCTCTCCGCATTTTTGAAGTTTTTCTAGATTAAACTGATAAAATTTAAGAGCAAGAACTAATCCAGCAATCGCGTGGGAGGAGAACAAAAGAAGAAGCTCGAAGGTATCGCTGGCACGGCAGAAGTGCAGACTTGCCATTACGTGCCGACCCAAAACACTTTTTGGCGCGCGCGCGTTGTAATGTGCCCTGTAGAGGTCAAACCGTCGGACGGTCCAGCAAGCAAGGCCAGACGATTTTCGGAAAGCTTCCAGATGTGCTCCATAGAAAATCGGAGTGTTTCGGCGGCGGCGGATGAAAGAAGGATTAGTTTAGATTCAAACAGGTGTTGCTTTCCGCCCCGACTTTGCTCTTTCAGCTTATCGCTCCCAGATTTCATTATTCAGAGATTTCTGATATCCAAAAAAATCATATAGTTGATGTTTATTTTCATATGTTAACACTTAGCTGTCTAACAAGGGAGAAAGGGAAAATGCTCCAGTTCAAGAAAACAAGAAAATCCTATTGAAAGATGCTTTACCAGGGAACTTTTTTACCACCCCCGGTCAAACTTTTTGCTGAATGAAACTTTGCTGAAGTATATTTTTAGAGCCCCCTGATTGCGAATAATCAAGAAATACGCAGATTAGGCCAAAAAAGCACTATTTCGGGCTTTTTTAGCTCCATAACTTGAAAACGAAATCTATGACAAGAAATTTCCTTCTGTTCTGGAATCAGGAGGTCTTAAAGTACACTTCAACAAAATTTCAGCAAAAGTTCAACCGGGAGGAGGGTAAAAAACGTTCCCTAGTTATAACAGTCGGTTCGAACTTTGTAAGAAAAAAAAAACTTGATCTCCTTTTAATAAATTCACAACGATTTAAAAAAGCCGAAAATCCTAATCCTACTACAAAAATGTGTTTTACAAGGCGTCATAACTCCAAGAAACGGCAAAATGCGCATTTGTGATTGATCTGAAGGGTGTCAATGTACTTTTTAGCGCTTTTTGGTCCCTTTCTCAACATGACACCTCTCTCACACCCCTCATCCGTTTCATAACAAAGATTATCCTTCTGGGCAGGCTTAGGTCAAGGGATCTTTTCTTATAATTTCTGCGTCATAACAAAGAATAATTTCCATTTTACAAAAGCCTCAGGGCGATTTCTTGAAAACAGCTGCCTCAACATTTTTCTCAGAAGGCCAGTTAACTTCGACTCTAAAGGGTCCATTCGAAAATTAATTATTGACTTGGGATCCTCGTTTGACCATTTGAAATCATCTTCAACATGTTCATAGGAGAATTCCAAGCTTTACACATGAATGATCTTCATGAAAGGAGAGAAGAGAGAAAATTATTCAAGAGCTCTCATATGTGCTCTATAGAAACTATTTTTGGCGGCTATAGAAGAAGGATTTGTTTAAATTCGGACAGATGTTGCTTTTTGTTTAGATTTACTTCGCTGTTTTAGTCTTCATACATCCAAAATGTGAATGATCAAAAAAGTGGAGCAGCGAAAATTGAGATTGACTTTCAATGGAAAAATTGTTGAAATTATAAAGTTGAAGGGTGCAACAAAGGCTTCAACATTGAGATAATTTTGTTTGCTTGAAAAATGCTTAATTCAAAATTATCATCATTTGTCTCATAATTCATGTTAACAGGTAACAAATTCGTGTCTTAAGATTTTTCCGCCTGGAATTCAATTGGAAAGATTTTTCTAAGCTTTTTCAAGACACTTCCACCTGCAGAGATTATAATGAGCTCAATTCGACCGCCACAAGCTTTTCAGAAGAAAAGCTCCTTGCGTGACTTCGAAAAGATTTTTTAAGTTGGGCGGGACGTGCAGGATACGGTAATTGAGACAAAAAAGGTGCTCAGACTTTTGATTTGTCTGGCTATCTCAGGAATCAAAAACCACCTCTCATTAGAGAGTGCTGACAATTTGAAAGTCATGAGACTTCAAGAAACTGATTGTACTGAAAAATGCGAAAATCTATTAGTTTTATAAGTTTTCTCAAATTACATTGAGAAAAGTTTTTCTTTTTTTTTTGGAATGGTTAAAGAGTATTGCTTGCGCCTCGGCCTTTGAATAGACCTAGAAGCTTTCCAAGCGCAAGCCGTTTTTAGTCGGCTGCATTGAGCCGTTTCCGGCTCTCAGTTGTTCGGCAAATAGCCAATTTTCCAAGGAAAATTACACAATCCCATTTGATGGTTACCCGGAACTCTGCGTTCCATATACTTTGATTTCTCATTTCATGGAAATGAGAACTTGCCACCGACAATATTATCACTGCAAAGAGGCGAAAAAAAAACGGCGCCTTCGACCGACTTTACAGCTAATCAGTACATACGAGACGGTGTTATCATCGGCAAGTTATTTAGTTCGGGCCGCCGTTGATTACCTTGCAATGGTTATAGTCTATTTAGGAATTCTTGAAGGGACTGTTGGTGGCGGTTTCAAACGTTTGCTTAAAACTTTGTTAAACAGGATTTTCTCAATTTCTTGCTTTCAAGCGACCTTTTGATTTCAAAAAACCATCTGAATGGGCCATAACTAAGGAGGCAAGCAATAAAATAAATTAAAACCTGGGAGAGTCTGAACAGCAAGCTGAAGAAATCACAGAAGGAACTGATTTTCCAGTAATTCAGTCAAGAATAAAGGCCTCAATGACTGAAAATTTATCTCATTTGCCTAACCTGCAGATTTGGAGATGAGAATGGGCAAAATGTTTTTCGAAGAATAAGGAGAGAATGGAGTTCGACCGTTGATCGCATAAATTTGTTTTTGATTCTGATCAAGAAAAAAGAAGATTCTCACAGTATAATTTCGATTAAAAGAAGATCATGAAAACAAAAATATTTTGAGTAAAAATCGCTTGTTGATAGCCGGGGCCGTGGGAACAGCTCCAAATTAAATTGCGAAATTATGAATATGGGTACTGTATCGAAAAAAAATATTTTGCTTTGGTGGGGTAAATGAGGCTTTTTTGAGGCCAGATTTAATTACAGCAGAAATCTCCTTTATCAACGAATTTCAACGGGGAGTGTATGCGAAGCGATCCCGCTTAAGCGAGACATAGCGCAACTCGCTTCAGGTCGGCCGCAGTCCAAATATATGGAAAGCGCGCAATTTTCAACCCTAAAACGCTCGCTAATGTTTTGTTTCAAATAAATTCACATCTGATCTTATATTTAAATGCCGTTGTCTTTCAAAAAGACTAAGTGATCATTGTATTGTTCAATATAAAGAAGAGCAAAAAAACAAAAATATTTTGACTGAAATTCGACTATTTACCAAAGCAGCCGTGAGAACTGCTCCAAATCGAATCAGAAAAAGGGACTGTATTGAAAAATATTATTCCGATTTGGCCCAAAAAACATGTTCGTTCTTTGGGGCTGAGGATCAGAAGCTCCTAGAAAATAAGGGAAATTTTCATTTTGTTTACGGAACAGTCATTTTCAGAATTTTGAAAATTGCGTCAGACTGAAAACAGGTTGATTCAGCCATTCCACATGCGGCCAATGACGACCAGACAAACTGACATTTCCAAGCAAGTCTCCGTGAAGCCAAGAGTCGTTGATGAAGGTGCAAAGATGTTCAGGAAAGAAGACTTGACCTGAAAAATAACATTTGTCGGATTTTCCATTTGAAGTCTCTTTGTGACCGAACTCGAAAAAAAACGCACCTGTTTCAACAATGTAGAGACCCGCTTCTAACGTTAAGACAGGGAGTTGTCCGAAGTTACAGGAGGCAAGGGCCTGGCCTTCTTCAGGGTAAAGAGTCGGCGGCGAACAAGTTTCGACTTTTTGATCTTCTGCTACGGCTTTCGAGTCTTGTTGGACGTCCGGGTAGTCTTCGATCTTTTTTTTCAAGTTCGATTTGCCTTCAAATTCACGAAAAGCGTCTGGATCTTCACCGTGTTTCTTCTCGGGGCTATCTGAAAAAAGAGACGTTGAAGCCAAAAGAAAAGATGATAAAATGAAACGAGAAGAGGGTGTTGCTCGCCGTTTCTCTGGGAGACCGCCTATTTCTCTTCCCCTGTGTTTTGTCTTACGGTAAAGGTCTTTAATTTCCTTGTTTCCGCTTCAAAGGAGGTCTAGTACTCTTTTCGGATTTCCGGACTTGATGTATATTGTACATGCAAGGAATTTGGAAGAAAAAACTACTTTTTGTGATAAAAGTTGAGGAACTTTCTTGGAGCCTAATGAAAGGAAGTAAGAGCGTGTTAGGAATAAATTACAGGTTATTTGTTCCATTACATCAAAATTGATGGTTGAGAGAAAGAGAGATATAATCGAAAGCAAAAGGAAATTCAAACTTTTTGAAAGTTTCGACCATGCTAGAGTTGAGTGTCAAAAAATCCTATATCAACCAAGGAGAAAAAAAAAGTCAAAATTTCAGTTTCAACTTCTCCTATGAAAAAACGCTCGTATGAAAAACAGATGAAGTAAAAATGAGAAATTTCCGAAGTATCATTTAAAAATGTCAAGACTTGTGAGAGCCCTTCGATAGCCGGATAACTGAGAAAATTCGAAAAAGAGAAGAAACAGGAAAGAGAAATATGAACGGGGACCTCCCACGGCAGAAAAGGGCAGAATCCAAAAAAGGAACATGGGCGCAGGCTTTTTCTTTTTGAACGGAGGAAGTGGAGAAGAAGGGTTTGAAACTTCGCGCCCTTTTTCGGCCAAGAAGCTTGAAAAAGTTTGCGTTGGGTCAGTGGGGTTTGCCAAAAATCGTTGAGGCCAAAGGCCTTCTAGACACCTTAGTTTAGTTAAGATTGATTCCACGATTGGTCAAGGTGGTGGACTACCTTGATATTACAAGGGACAGCAGGATTAAACTTCGCCAAAAATTTCTCAATCTTAATATTTATTTTTTTATATGAGGACAAGAGGATGAACCATGAATACAGATATAGATGAAGATTAAATATTCAAATTTGAGAGAATATAATTCGAATTGCAGAAATAAAAAAAGATATCTATATTTTTCTCTCTTTCTATTGTTTTTTTCTTCTGACTTCTGTCTTACATCGCTCCTCTCGAAAGTCGTATTAAGTCGGGCGCAGGATAAAAATGAAATCCAAGCCGGCCTTGACCAACTTCGTCAAGTAACTTTGATATAAAATGTCAGAGTGAAATGATAAGATATATCAATTCTTCGTCTCGGTTTGAAAAACTATGGTCGCAACTGGAATGGCTCTAACAAAAATTGCATCTTTTTCATTATATTCAAAAATCCGCGGGAGTATGGGCTAATTAGTGGACACATGAAATTTAGCTATATAGTTGGGATTTTTCTAGAATATTCTCATTTTTTTGAGCACAAACTTTATTTCAGAAAATCTGCATTTTTTTCGCTTTTTGGTGTATGCACCCCGAATTTGTCCGAAAAAAACCGAAAGTCGATTTCCAAAAAAATTACCACTTTCAATTGTTTGTTTTATATTTACTATTCATTGATCAGAAATTCCATAAAAAGATTAATGAAATAACTTCCACGGTCTTTTTTTAGAAAAGAAACGTTTTTTACGTCACCACAGTTTCCACGACAACGTTTCCAAGTACGCACGCGATCTCCTTTTTTTTGTATCTTTTCCAATTACCGTACACCTTTTCTCGACTTGTTTCTAGAAATAAATTGAGCAAAGCCGCAATCCCGCTACTACGATAATCAGCAAAAAAAAAACGTCTCGTTGGCATGGAAATCGCACCGATGCGCGCGGGTTGCAGAGAGTTTATTTCAGAAAGAGAGAACGAAAATTTGAAAAAATTTAAAGATTTTTATGGAAGAAGAGAAAAAATGAAGAAGACAACGTTAGAAAAAGGCTTTTGTCTGATTTTCCGAGCTCTTTTGGAAATATTCGTTTCTGAAGTGATAAGCAATCAAAAAAAGAAAATTCTGAATTCCCCAACTTTTTGCTGAACTCCGAAGCAAATTTATAATATTGGTAGCTCATAATTTTTTATGGTTTGCTTAATAAAATTCGACAAAGTTGTCAAAATACGCAGAGATAAAAGTACTCGAAAAATTGCCTTTTGAGCAGCAAAATTTTTCATTTTGGCTTTTATACTTTCTCCGTCCTCATTTTTTTTTCTAACAGAAAGTCCCTCAAACGAGGATTGAAAACAGGGGAAAAAAACGGCTTCGCATCATTGAAACAATCAGTGAAAGTGGTGTTAGCACTGATAACGATAATCCAACAAATGATGTTCAATCTTCGTATTTTATACTCTGGGAAAATAAATTTTGTTTGATGAAAACTGGTTTGGCTTCCTTAAAATAATTCGAAACAGTTTTGCGGCGCTGAAAATACGATTATTTATATGGGTGGTCCTTTTCAGAGACCTTTCTCTGCCTGGGTTTTTCGCGCTGGAGAAGGGCTTTATTTTATTTCTTTGTCTTGAGAGTTGATAATATATTTTTTTAATGATTTTTTTAGTGGCTTCTAAGATGGACGCTGGAAATTACGCAAAAAAAAGTTTCGATTTTTTGAGTTATTATTCAATTTTCGACAAGCTTCCCACGCGTTTTACTGACTTTGATAAGTGATTTCTAAAAACTAGCTATTTCAGTAGTCCCTAAGTTTCACAACTCCCATTAAAAACTTCAAAAAATAACTAAGACAGCTCAGAAATAAAAATGAAATTATCCTCCTTGTGGGTAGTAATAATGAGAGGATACCCTTTGGTTCGCACAAAAATTTATCATCTTGTCAAGAAAGTTTTGCACCAGACCCCGTAGGTGATTTACTGCGATTTACACCGTGCGCCGAGCAGAAGTTGCTTTCCCTCCGCAAGTTTTATCAATTGCGCCGCTCGTCCAAAGAGATTTTCGTCCCGAACTGAAACACTTCCAACAAACCAATTTCGAAGCTCCAATCGTCTCTTCCGGGAGAAATGAGCCAGCAGACCTCTAATTTCAAAGGCTCCTTGAATAATTGCCGAGCAGAAGAAAAAAGCTTTTCAGATATCCGGGTGGTCTCAAAAATCGCCAGAGATGTGCAGGGATGAGTAATGTATTTTGAAAAAAAAATGGCATCAAACATGGAAAGGGTGAACTTTGGCTTGTTTTTCTGCTTCTATACTAATTATGAAGCTTGCTGATTTTCAATTAATCCGCTTGAGTGATCTTTCTCATCTCTTGAAAACAAACTCTGAGTCATAGAGTTTGTAGAATGGCTTTTAAACTTGATGTGTTCATTGCTGACTCAGATTTTTTCTAGTTAAAAAATAACAATGAAAAAAAAGACACAAGTTCAAAAAATAACAGCCTAAATTTGAAGGCACTTCAGATTTCGTGAGAAAAATGGGCAGTTCATTTCCAAATTTCGTGACTTTCTCTGAAGGAAAAAAAAGTTAGGACGAGTAATAATGCTTTTAGAAGAATTTTAAAGGCGCATAACCCTTTTGACAGATGACAGAAGATATTTAAAGGCGCATAGGCCATTTGACTGATGACAGGCTTTATTTTCTGTTCAACTTCTTTCTTAATAAAGCTTTGAATGAACTAAAAGTTCATCAGCCACCCATTTCTTCCTTGTTTTTTTTTTCTCGAGGCCGCAAGGGATAAACCAATCAAAACTTCGGTTTTTTATATAGCGTCTCTTCTTACGGTATCTCATTAGCGAGAAACGCTCACACCATTTTTTTCTGGAATCAATTTCCGGCTCACTGAGAGTGTCAAGCTCACAAGTTCTATTCTACGGTATTGGCGAGATTCATGCGTCTGCAGGTGCAGGCAAGCCTCACGCCACCCCAAAAAAACAGGAAAAAATGTCTTATCGACGGCTCAGGCGGCAGAAAGTGCAGGGAAGACGACGGAAACGCAGAAGGCGAGAGGATATCGACGAAACAAACAGGGGGCGAGCGGCTGGCGCCGTCCGCCAAGTACACATCGCGAGTAGCCGGGGGACCGCCGAAGTTGTCGTAGCAACACGGATTGTTCTCGAGAAACGCAATATGTGGGGATCCGCACTTTTGAAAAAGTCAGAAAAGGACAAATTGTGAGGGATTCCGAAGACATTTGAATCCATGCTTTTCTGAAAAATTCACGGAAATCGGCTATTAAATGGTGAAATAAAATCTTGATAAAGTCTATTTGCAGAAAAATAATCGAAAGTTTGAAACAGTCTTTACAAAGGGAATAAAAAACTCCAAAAAAAGAAGAAAAAATTCGAAATAAAATTGAAAGAAGCTTTTCAAAAAACAGTTTACAGCATATATCCCATGTGTCTTGAGCCCAAATGAGACAAAAAATTGACTGAATCAAAAAGACAGTTAACTCAAAACAATGGGCACCAACCTTCTGAAAAAGGCCATATCGGGAAAGCTGGATATTGGCTTGAAATCTAGGATTTGTGCCCTGACCTAGGCAATTTACGGATCAAAAAGGCAATTAGCTGATCAGTACCTTTCCTCTCAGTGCGTTTACAATTACACGAGTTGGAAATTATCAGAACGGAAAAAAATCGGTTAAACGAGGGGTGTTCAATAAAAATGGCTTGAAAATTTGTGGAAAATTGAAGTCCCCTGATTTTTAAAATGATTAAAAAAAATTTTCTTGTGTCCAAAAAGTTTGTAAGATATTATTTCTGTGAAGAAAAGGTGAGCTTTTTCGCCTATTTTTGAAAAAGAACTCGCTTGAAAATAGTAAGTATGATAATGTTGGAATTCTTTTTTTCGAATCGAAATCTTACAAGAATATTATCAGAACTTCACAAAAAAATTATTTAAAGATAAACAAGTCATTTTTTTATAGGTCCCCGCTGAATATTTTTATATCGGCATACTTGGAAAATTACTGAACTTTCTATGTTGGAAAAAAAAATTTTTGAAAGGTGATAATCAAGATTGAAATTTTTGTGCAATGAGAGCGAAGTGCGAAGAACAAACACCAAAATAAAAAAAGCTGAAAGTATTTATTGCATGATTACTAAATTTTTTTACTTATTTTTCAAAAATTTCGAACCAAAGCTTCAAAAATTTTTCACTAATTTTTTTCACAATCCATTAAGCCAACTCTATAAATTGATGTGAAAAAAATGCTAACCTTGTGTTGAAGAAACCAGGACGTTGAACAGGCTATAAAATGACCCAATGGTCATTTCAAGTTTTCAAACTCGAATTGAAAAAAAAACGAGTTTTAGTTCAATAACTGCATGCTAATGTTCTGAAAAAAAAGAAAAAAAAAACGGCGGCTGAAGTGCTCAAGAGCAAGTATCTTCTTAAAGATTATTTTCAGATCAACGTCTCCGCCCTTTTTCTTGAGCCACAGCTCACAGAAAAAAACCGCTATTTTTTTACATTCTTGTTACCAGGATTATAAATTTTATCCGGGAAGGGGTAGAAATAAAATTACTTGTATGAGAAGTTTAAGGGTTTTGATTGAAGGTGATAAAAATATAATTAACCCAGAAAATTTCTTTGAACCTTATGTTTTGAACTTTATATTGTCTTAAGACTAATTTGAGACATTTCAAAAAAAAAAAAAAAATTGTTTTGTACCAAAAAACGCATGAAAACGACCAAAAAGTGAGAATTGATGGAAAGACTTCTTTCATTCAGCGATATTACTTGAAATCTGCTTCCCATGACTTGAACAAATCCCCTTTTTTTGATTTTGAGCAAAATTCGCAAAACTTAATGCTTTTAAATTAGTTTTACAGACTCTTTTTTTTTCTCATACCGCCAAAATTTTTTTGAAAATTCATCCACTCTTTGACGAAAAACTGTCCTTTTTGAGTTTTTCAGGTTATTTGAGTAAAATGTGGAAAATTTGTGATTTGAAATATAGTAGACAGAGAAATTCAGTTCTTTTTCGAAGCGTCGAAGTTTTCAAACTTCCCCCTACCCTTGACTTAAAGACTGCACTTTTTTTCGAGTCCCCAAACCGGTCAAAAGCGGAATCGCTTTATCAGTGAGATGCTTGGAAATCATCTAACGCAGCCTCTCCACGACACGAAACTGCCACGACGGCACTCTCAAAACGCACACACATCACATCGGAGCCTTATCAGGAAAAAGGTTTTATCATTTATCACCTCTTTTGCCGCGGGCTATATTTGTGCCGTCGTGCCGCACTTCTCGGCTGCCTTTCCTTTTCTTTCTTGGATTTTTATTCCAGCTCGAATTAATTTTTTATCTTCCAGGTGATACCAAAGGCTTCCCGCTGACATGACCCAAGGCGACAATGACAGTGAGCTTTTAATTATTCTGTTAAAATTGTAGAATTGGAAATTCAATCCTTTACTGTAGGCTATAAACTACTGAATTGCGTTAGAAATCGAAAATGTGATTCAATAAATTTCCAACAATGATGATTTTGAAGTTAATTCAAGCTTCCAAGTTTCTTCTGTGATACAGTATCTATCTGTTGTGAAAAAAATGTTTCATGACCGGGTTTCGAGACTTCGTTTGTGAACTTTTAAGAGAAATAAAAAATTTCGCTTTGCGCTCTATTTCCAAGTCGTTGGTGCAATACTCTCCTAATTTTTTTTTTTTGGATTCTGTTGTGAAATTTGCAGAAAATGACTCTCTTTATCTAATTTCAAAAAATAATCGGTATTTTTATAATTCAATATTAGTGCTGGATCAATGTTTGAAAGAAATCGTTAACTCTTGAAAAAAACATCGTTTTTTTGTCATTTTTTTCTATTTTTTTGAAGTGAAAAAGCTTTTTGAGAAGCAAAAACTTTCAAAATACAAGAAGAGTTTTTTTTTTGGAGAAATGGAATCATAAGTTCAGAAATCCTTGAAAAAACACCATGCGCAAGTAGTTTCTGGTCCGACGCATCAAATAATAAATTTTTCAGTGGCGTTTCATCGGATTCTCGTTTTTGAGCCATTTTACGTGATAGTAAACTTTTCAAACGTTTTTAATTTGCAGCAAATCAAAAAGAAAACTTAAGGTTTGATGCAAGCCGTTTTTTCGGCAGTTTCTTTGCCGCAAGTGGACGGATCCACGGAACATCATCACGAAAGTCATACGGTAACCATCGGCTCGGGAGTTCATGTGGTACGATTTCTTATCAAAATATTCACAATATCAAATGCGCTTTCAGGAAGAACACACAGAATCGCATCGCGTCGAGAGCCATTCTGTAAGTTGCTCCGATCTCATTTTTTTCTAATCAGAGCTACTGACTGATTTTTTATTGTGCTTACGCAAATTGGTTGCTTATCAGCTCGGCCGAAAATCATTTTTTGCTCTCGTGGCCGGTCTTCTGACTTTAGGTGATAAGAAATTTGCGCGAAAATACCAGAAAAAAAAAAGTTGAATGTGAAGAAATTGGATTTTGCAGGGAAGCTTTGTTCGCCACCACGCCTTTGAGAATGATGACCTCAAGTCGGAGGTATGTGATTTGCAAACTGAAATAACAGAATCAATGAATTTTTTTGAATTCAACAAAGAGTTTTTTTACAGAAATAAAACATTTTTTTGCACCGAGTAGGCCAGGAAGATGGTTCGAAAAAAATAAAGAAAAAGTCTTGATGGAATTTTTGAAAAAAATGAAAATCATGATGGAATCCATCTCAAAGATAATTATGAAGAAATTTGAAAATATTGAAAAAAAAAATGATGACAATGGGTGGAGAGTTTTTTTAAGCGTCTTGAAAGAAAAAAATTTCAAAAAAACTGTTCAGAAAGTATTGATACATGATTTTATATTTTATAAAGTTGATCCCAATCGAATATCTTCAAACTTAAAAAAAATTCTTCAAACTTAGAATAATCTTTCAGGTATCTGGCCATTCTCACGCCACCTCAGTTTCGGTAAACTCAAGTGTTTCTCAGCACCCGCCACAGGTAAAACTCAGAAAATCTTAGATTCCCTTGGATTTTTCAAAGTTTTCAGACGTACGACTTCCCACCAGCGGAAGAATTCCACGTCGGATCGATTATTTCCTCTCACAAAGGGTATTAGAAGGAAAAAATTATTACTTCTCAGAAGTAGTTTCCTTAGGTCGGACCACCACCATCATGATCATCACCAACACCATGATCACCACGACTCATCTTCTTCTGAAGCCACGACGATCACCAAGACTCATGAGAAGCATGGCGTCCAGGTGAGAAAAAAAAAATACCCAAAAAGTTTTTTTAATGATCTGAAAAATCGATAAATGCTCGAAATCGAAATAAAAAAGTCATGAAAGGTTTTGAAATGCCATTTTTCTGAAAACCTACTGGGGAAGCTTTTAGTGGCCTCTTCGGGAAGTTTAAAATTCAATGGCCATTGTAGCAATTAATTAGTAGCCACTCAAGTGGCGAAAATGATTAGCCTTTTTAGAAGTTTGAGTAGTACTATAAAACGCAAAATAAAACGAAAAATAGCGGTTTTTAAAGATGGTTCGTGGCCAGTTTAGTGTCCTCATCAAATAGTCTTTGAAAATTTTGAAACATCGTTTGCTCCTTTTACAGTTTGAGACTCATTGGACAGTTTGTTTTAAACTTCATATCTTCGACCTTTTCTTCATGATTCTGAACTCAGTGCTAATTTTTGAAAACAAGGTTCTGGTCGCGCGCAAATAGGAGCTATACCATTGATTTTTCAGCGCGAACTCCAGAGTTTATAGTTTTCAAAGAACTTCTACGTTTTTTTGGTTTTGTCAGATCGTTTTCACACTTTTTCAGAAGTAATAGTTGGCCTAAATATTATACAATGAGAAAAGAACTTATAGTAAACCTTCAAAAGTTTTCTCGATGTTTCATTATTAAAAACTTCAGTCCTCTGAGCCAGCAACTCCAGTCGTTCCGGCCAAGACCCAGGAGCACGACGCTCTCATCGAGCAGTTCAAAAGCCTCCATGAAAGAGTGAGTCCTTTTTTCGCCCTTTTCTTCTCCATAAACAAGCCGGCACAAATGCTTTTCAATCTCATTGATAAAAGGGTTATGATTCAGCAACGATAACAAAATACCCGCGGTTTATTACCTTTACTCAAACAGCCCCCATTCTTGGTTTTTTTTAGATATTTATACGCAAAAACTGATTTTTTTGTGATTTATTGATTAGATCAATTCAATATGGTTTCTCAGGAACCTTCGATCGCTTCAAGCGCTGTCGGTCATCACCACCATCATCACCATATGGACAGTGACAGTGAAGATTCGATTGCTCCGGCTACTCTGACCAAAGCTGTCGGATACGCCGTGAAGGTATTGGAAAATTCCTTTTTTTCTAGATTTTTTTCTTGAATTTTTCATAAAACTACCCAAAAAGTTTTTCGCAAAAAGAAAAAGTCCAATTATTCTATTTTTTTTTATTTTTTCAAAATCATAGTGAATGGTCGCCAACAAATAAAATAGCCTGAAGCGTTTTTTTGACTGTTCGAATAATAATCGGCTTTTTTGCATATTCCAGTTTTTTCTCTGGTTTTTTTATCTTTTTCCTAATCAAGATTCTTTTTGTAAATTCATGTGAAACAAAAAAATTTTTTTGTAAATAATAGTTGTGAGTTCCTTCTTTTTAGAGAATCCTGAATTTTTGTATTTGCGTCGATTGAAATAGGACCTTTTTAAAACTTGAACTTTCTTTAATTCTCAAAAGCATAGTTTTTCAAAATATTCCCGGTTTTTTTCTCCTACTTAATCTTGAATCCATTTTTCAGGCCAACGATGGTGCAGAGTACATCAGGCTCTTCCGAACGCAGGACTTTGAGGAAATCCCTCTTCACAGATTTTTCGAAGAACCTGTTGTTCCGGATCTCCCTCCTCCGAGCTTCAGCGTTAGTCTGACCTAATTCCTGTCAAGAATGTGAAAAAATGGGTGAAGATTGGAAAAAGCAAAATGTAATGAAACAAATTTTTAAATTTTCGTTTTTTGAACGGAATTTCCTACTCGAAAAGTCTTGAAAAAAACAAAATTCACCTTTTTATCCACAAAAACCTTTTGAGCTTTATACTCTTTAAGCTTAAGCTTGATATCGAGAAAAAAAACCACATTAGATAAATTTTGTAAAAATTATTCCTGGACCATATAACGTGCAAAAGTTGAAATTTGAGGTATTTTTCAATATGAATGAAACTCAAAAAGCGTCAGCAGGAAAAAAAAAATGCATGTTTCTCTTCTCATTTGCCTTGAATCGTCTCAAGACCTTTTTGTAACTTTTTCACTTCCCTCAAAAGGAAAAAAATTTTTTTCGAATAAACTCTAGTCTTATCAGTTTCTTGCGTAGAAGCGTTTTTATCAAATGTCAGGATCAATTCTTGAAGTTTACAAGAGTTTTTTTTCAGGAAATTCACGACAACAAAAGCGAGGAGTCCTTTGTTTTCGAGGAAGTCGAGTACGTCAAAGAGCATCCGGAATCGGTTATCGGCGGACATTCTACGACCACACCTCACACCCACGAAGTCGTCGTGGAGCAGCAGCAGCCAAGCGTCACCTATGAGCCTTATCACTCGGTCTACGCCAATCACGACATGCCAACCGTCAACTTTGGCGAGGAACACAACCACTCAACGGACCACTATTCCCATGTTGAATCTCACACCTCCGTGGAAACTTACGAGCTGGTTCCTAACGCTGGGGGACCGAAAGTACGGGAGAACCTTCGTCCAGTTCATATTCGCGAAGAAGTCCGACAGGAGCCAATTCATCCTCAGCCACTTGCCTACGTCGCTCCGATTCCAGTGAAGCCGCCAAGGACTCAGGATCATCTTTATGATCCTTACGCTACTACTGAGTCTCACCATGAGGAACATCATCACCATCATCACCACCATGAAGAGCATAGAAGCTCGGAGGTGATCAAGTCGACGACCGTTGTGCAGGAGGAGATTTATGCGGGCCCAGGTACTCAAACCGACCGCCAGTCCGTTGACGACTTTGATGTTTTAGGCGTCCGCGCGCTTCGCTCCATGTTTGACCATGGAGCTCCGCCGCCTCTCAACCCGACGCTCGAGATCAAGCCGCACAAGACGGCTCACAAACATGTGGACTCCTCCTCCGAGAATCTGCACGTGGTCGTCGACAATCACCAGGTCAGCCGCTTCTCATCCGTTCAGAAAAAATCTCAAACTGAACGTCACTACGACACTCCTTATGAATCAAACACCGTAGTTTACAATATCCCGAAGAAAGAACACACCTATGATTCGCCTAACGTCAGCTATCATTACAAAGCTGACTCCTTGCTAACTTCTCCATCGGTTCGCTACATGGATGACCAACATCATCATTATGTGCCTCAATTTCAAATTGTTGAAGACGTCCGACACATTGAGCATCGTCACCATTACATCGAACGAAGCAGAACTACCAGCGTCTCTGATTTTGAAAGCCGAGCCCAACATCAATATAAACCCGAGTTGCCAAGAAGATTTGATGAATCTAGAGAAATCGAGCGTCGCCATGGCTACACGCCAACATTGCCTCGTTCCAGAAGCGAATCAAGAATCGAAAGAAATCATTCTTATATTCCTCTGAGCATGACAATCGAGGAAGGCAGAAGTATTGTTAGAGAGCATAGCTACGTGCCGAAAATAGGCCGCCATCATCAAGAAAGCAAAAGTGTGGAGACTCACCATCCCTACCTGCCGGTCGTTCAGAAAACAGAAGAAAACAAGACTGTGGCTCGTGAACACCATTATCTTCCTGCTTCAACTCTTAAAAAAGAGGATTTGCGACAAATTCAACGCGAGCACAGGTACTTGCCGCCTTCTGGAACGCTCGTCACGTCTCCTGCAGTACATGCTCAGCCCTCCCATCAATACCTTCCGTATCTTCCAAAAAACGCAGAAGAAACAAAGACTATCGAAAGGGAACATCACTACTTGCCCATTTGTCAAAAAAGCGACGAGGAAAAGCAGCAAATCAGTCGAGAACATCACTATCTGCCATTAGTGCAAAAGACTGAGGAAATCAGTCAAGATAAGGTTACACGAGAGCATCATTATCTTCCAATCGTTGAGAAAACTACTGACAGCACTCAAATCGTCCGGGAACATCACTACATGCCGCTGACTCCCAAACGTGAAGAAGTGACGTCTCCAACTCTCGAAAGAGAGCATCAATACCTGCCTGTTTTGCCTTCAAAGGAGAAAAGTACCGAAGTCAGCCGTCAACACCATTATATTCCTGCTGCTGTCCGCCATGAAGAGCGAACATTGACCAGCGTCGAAAGAGAGCATCACTATCTGCCTCTTGCTCCAAAAAATGAAGAAAGCTCTCAAAAAATCGTCCATGACCACCACTATTTGCCACTTGTTCCGAAGTCTGAAGAAAATCGCCACGTCGATCGGGAGCATCACTACATTCCTCTAATTTCCAATACTCAAGAAAGTTCGCAGAAAGTTTTTCATGAGCATAGCTACTTGCCTCTAGTTCCAAAATCTTCTGATGACCGTCAAGTCGAGCGAGACCATCACTACGTCCCTCTGGCGCCGAAGACTGAGGAAATTTCTCAAACTGTCGTCCATGAGCACAGTTACTTGCCTCTGGTTCCAAAATCTACTGAGGACCGTCAAGTCGATCGAGACCATCACTACGTCCCTCTGGCGCCGAAAACTGAGGAAGTTTCTCAAGCTATCGTCCATGAGCACAGTTACCTGCCCCTCGTTTCAAAAACTGAGGAAAACCGCCAAGTCCACCGCGAGCATCACTACATCCCTCTGGCTCCCAAACAAGAGGCCGAGAAACCCGAATTGGAAGTGAATCATCATTATGCTCCTGCAATTCCAAAAAACGCTCAAAATGGGCAGAAGCTTATCGAGAGAGATCACCACTACTTGCCGATAGTGCCGCGCACAGACGCAAAAAACGTCATCGAACGTGAACATCATTACTTGCCGTTGGTGCCGAGAAATCAAGATAACAGACACATTGACAGCGAACACCATTATCTACCGACGACGCCCAAAACCGAAGAGCAGCGGCAAATTATTCACGAACACGGCTACCTTCCAATCGTTCCCAAGTCTGAAAATCGACAGGAGATGAGCCACGACCATCATTTCGTCCCTTTGGTTCCTCACAACGAAGAGCATGTCTACGTCGAAAGAGATCACCATTATCTTCCCTATGTCCAGAAAACTGAAGAAATTCGCGAAGTTTCTAGAGACCACACCTACGTTCCTCTAGTCGGCAAAACGGAAGAAGTTCGTCAAGTTACTAGAGACCATGCCTATATTCCGGTGGTGCCAACTCAGAAAGATGAGCGCTCAGTTCAACGTCGTCATCAGTACGTTCCAGCAGTCCCTCGGCTTGACGACAGACCTCAGGTAGATCGATCTCATAAATACATTCCTGTTGTTGTGAAAAACCGAGATATTCGCCAGGTCGACCGCGAACATTCCTACATCCCAGCCGTTCCAAAAGACGATGACGTCAGAAAGATTGAGCATGAGCACGGCTACATTCCAGTTGTCCTCAAGCGAGAAGATGAACGAAAAATTGAAGAAAAGCATCTGTATGTCCCAAAGATCGTCCAAACCAAAGATTCCAGAGCAGTTGAGCGGGATCATCTCTTTGTTCCTCATGTTCCGAAAAACGAAGAGAAGCGAGAAATTTTGAGAGATCACGGATTCATTCCAGCTGCCCCGAAAAAGGAAGATCATCGGCACATCGAAGAAAAGCATGGCTTTGTGCCGGTTATTCCTCAAGGCGAGGATTCTCGGGAAATCGAAAGAGGCCATTCTTACGTTCCTGTTGTTTCTAAAACGGTCGATACACGTGTTATTGAGAGAAGTCACACTTACGTTCCCGGATATGTGAAAACCGAAGAGAAGATGGAAATTGACAGATCTCACAACTACGCGCCGGCCATTCCAAGAACTTCGGATGAAAGAAAAATAAGTCATGAGCACAAGTTCGTACCGACTGTACCAAAAAATGAAGATCACAGATGGATAGAGCGATCTCATCAATTTGTCCCCAAAGTTCCCCAAATCAAAGACCAGCGCGAAATCAGCAGAAGTCATAAATTCGTGCCTGCAATTCCAAAGACAGAAGATTCTCGCCAAATTCATCATGAACATCACTTCACACCAGCGATTCCCATTCAAAATTCGAGCAGCCGGAAAATTGAAGAGAAACATCAGTTCACGCCAGCAGTGGTCAAGACAGAAGACGTGAGGAAAATTCAACATGACCATAACTATGTTCCCGTTGCCCACAAAAACGAAGATCATCGTCAGATTGAACGCGACCACAAGTTCACTCCAGCTCTTCCGATCCAAAACAAAGAAAGTCGGAAAATTGAGGAGAAACACCACTATTTCCCGCAGATTTCCAAGAGCGATGATGTCAGAAGAATTGAGCATGACCATCAATACGTGCCACCTGTAAATAAAATCGAAGATGATCGTCACGTCGAGCCCAAGCACAAATACGTCCCTGCAATTCCCAGAACCGAAGACATTCGCCAAATTCAACATGAGCACCATTTCACTCCGCCGCAACCGATTCAAACCAAAAACAACCGCAAAATCGAGAAAAATCACAAGTACATGCCTGCCCTTCCGCTCAGAGAAGAAACAAGAAAGATTCGTCATGAGCACAATTATGTCCCGCCCTTGTCAAAAGTCAGTGACGAGCGTCACATTGAGACCAAACACAATTATGTGCCAGCTCTCAACAAAACGGAAGACATTCGCAAAATTGAGCATGGCCATCACTTCACGCCTGCAGTGCCTCTACAGGTCAAGGATCAACGTAAGGTCGAAGAAAATCACTCCTTCCAACCTGCCATTCCGAAAACTGAAGATGTGAGGAACATCGAGCACGACCACCACTATGTTCCAAAAGTTGTGAAAAACAAAAGTGTTCGCAAAGTAGTGAGGGAGCATCACTTCGTCCCTGAAATTCTTGAAGTGGATCAGAAGCAGCCAGTGACGACAAAACACAGTTATGTTCCTCCAGTTCCGCCTTCGGACAAGGTTCCTCGAATCGACCATGATCATCATTTTGTTCCAGCAAAGCCACTTCAACAAGAAGACCGTCGCCATATCGACCACAGCCATCAGTTTGTTCCAGCTGTACCGAAATCCGACGATTCTAGAAGCATTGTCAGAGAACATCGCTATGTCCCTCCAGTTGTCAAAACTGAAGACCCCCAAAAAGCTGATTTGAAGCATCATTTTGTTCCGAACGTCTTCAAATCTGATGAGAGACACTCAATCGAACGCCATCACAACTACGTTCCCAATGTCCCCAAGAAAGATGAAACTTCCCAAATCAATCGTCAGCATCATTTTGTCCCTGACGTCAACGTCCCGAAAGAAAATCGGTACACTGACCCTAACCATCAGTACCTGCCTCAAATTCCTCACAAAGAGGAAGAGGCGAAAGAAGTCGACAGAGGTCATCACTACATTCCGGCTGTGCCAAAGCTCCCCGAAGCCAAGCAATTGGAAGCAAAAAATTACTACGTTCCGACGGCTCCTGGCCACGACGACGCACGTTTCATCAGAACTCAACATCGTCGGATTTCCAAAGACAAGCCGGACGTGAATATCGAAGCTGTGGCAGTGAACCAACGCGTCGTCATAAAGAAGTCCGACAAAACTCGCTCTTCACTCAACGACATCCAATTCCGAGCTGCAGAAGTCAAAGTGACGACTCCTACTTACACTGGCCTGAACAGTGAATTGGAAGCGAAACTCGCTCAACGCGCATTGAGTCAGCCTTCTGAAGTGACGCCAATTTGGCCGAAGCACAAAACTTCTCCGGACATGACTCCAGTTTACACTAACATTCCTCTTAAGCCACTCAGCAGCATTCCGGATGAGCCGGAGTACATTCCTTCCAGCAAATACGCTCGCGCCTCTTCCGACCTGGATGAGATCCCAGAAGAGCCAGCTCCAGTTCCGAAGCCTCGCGGCATGACTTCCCCACAACCACGACCAGTTCCAGCTCATTAACCTTTAGATTTTCCGCATTTAATAAACTTTATACTCAATCATTGTTTTTTTCTTCTAATTCGAAGGGTTTTCCCAAAAACGTTTTTCTCGTAGCTTGTATAAACTCGAATCCCATTTTCAGGCCGCTAACCGAGAACACCTGCAAATCGGCAAAGGTGTTTCAAAGAGCGTTGAAGCTCACGCCGCGGAGCACCATCATCATCATCACCACCATCACCATCATCATCACGAAGAGCAGAAGCGCCATGAAGAACATCACCATCGTGAACATCACGAAGAACATCATCATCATGAACATCACGAAGAACACCACCATTCTGAGAAGCTGGTCGAGTACCGTCATTCGAATGTCGATGAGGACCATATCCATCCGGTCAATGAACTTCTGAGCAAGTTTGGCGGAGGCGCCAAAGTCCGCCGTCACGAGTTTGAGGATGAGCGACACATTCACCGCGTAAGGAGATTTATTTTGATTTTTTTAGCATTTCTTGCACTTTGATAAGTTTAAAAACTTCAGCCGGACGAATTGAGCCGCACTTCTACTGTCACCAGCGCTACGACGACTCGCAGCAGCGTCGCTCCGATTCAACGTGAGTAATTCCAAATCCTCTCATTTCGTGAAAATCAAATATTCAGGCGTTACTCCAACGATTTCTCCAAGATATGGAGACCACAACTCGGTCCGCGTTGTCAAGAACGTCCGTCAGTTTGTCAACACTTGGGGCGACAAGGTAAAATTGCAATTTTCGATGAGAAAAAACGTTTTTTTTGTCGGTTTTCAGAATTTCGTTCCCCCTTCTTCTCCCGTGATCACCGTTCCTCGTTTGTCCAATTCGCCTCGCAGCCCTCTGCCAACCACTTTTGCCGCTCCTCATCCTGCTGCTCGGTATTTTTAGATTCGGAATGAGAAAAGCTTCATTTTGAACAAAACAAATATTATATCAATTCAAATTTTTTGAAAATTAGGCAATAGAAAACACATCGAATTTGATCAAGAGCCCTATGAAATGAGCCATTCCCTCTGTCATAACCTTCGCAAAAAGTTATTAAATTGTCAAAAAAACCTATCAAACACAATTCGAAGCACAAACGGCGCATGATAAATATGTGAACGTTTTTGAAACGTGCATCCGACCCAAACATACTTAAGCGCAGCTAAAAATAAAGCATGAAAATTTTTCACTTTTTTTCTCAAATATTTTTTTCCATTTTGAATTTGATCCGATACGGCAAGGAACAACAAAAAAATTCTACTAGTCTAAATAAATCCCTTGAGAACTTGGATTGTAACTTTCAAAAAAATAAACTTCTCGAAATATTTTTGTATCCAACATAATATCAATTCAGACGTTCCACCGAAACAGCTCCGGTCGTTGTTGGAGGAGCCGTTGGAGGAAAAGTTGAGTCTCATGATCATTCTCATCAACAGACAAACGAGCATATTCAAATGGTTTTTTCATTTTCGATTTCTTGATTTTTTACCAAAAAAAATTTCAGGGATCACGCAAATCGCACTCTGAGAAGGAACATAACCATCATCATCATCACAAAGATCACCACGTCGAAGTTGGAGGAATCGGAGCTGTGAGTTCAATTTTGTGAACATGAAGAATCGTCAGACGGTGAAACTTTTTGAAAATTTGGAAAACGAAATTGGTTGAATTTTATTATTTATTTCCTGAGAGCCTTAAGGTTCGAACAGCTTTGTTTTTCTGCTGATTTAAATTAGAAAATCAATTTAATTTTTCCAATTTTCAGCACACCGAAGTTCACACCCACACTACACATGTCGAATACACCAACGGAAAGGTAAACTTTTTTTCACTTGCCAACCTTTGGAGACTTGAAAATGATAACGCACAAATTTTTAAGACTTCAAAAATAAATCATTAATAAGAAATATTGTGAAAAGGGCAAACTGAAGTATAATTTAGCAATACTTCATCAAAAAAAGAATAAAAACTTCCCCGAAAAGTTAAAAAAATTTTTTTATGCGTTTTTTTCAGCAAACCCACTACGAAGAAAAACGACTCCTACGAGATGATTCCGGTTTCCCAGCGCCGCCAACTTTTCAACAAATCTGCTCCAACTGTCCTTCCGCAATACGCCGCCACCTACGCCAATTGATTTTTTTCACCATTCTTTACATTATTTTTTTATTTGTAACATAAAAAAACAGAAAAAAACCACAATTTTTTTATGTAGCAGAAAAAGTAATATTACGGATGCCCTTCCTGGTAGATGTGTTAGACGTTGGCTTGACTTGTTGATTATGTGCTGATTTTCTTAATAAACTGTTTATTGAACAATTTCCAGTTTGTACTGCTTATCGAAAACTTTCGCATTCGAAAAACTCTGAACGAGACAAGACATTTTTGATACCCTATGGCCAAAAGAAACTTGAAACCTTATTGTATAATTCAAAAGGAATTCAAAAATGAAGGGATTTTTTTGTTTTTCCATCATGCCTCAAAATTTGAATAAGTGAGTACCTGAAAGATTTTCAATCTTTAAACGCGAGACAAAGGAGTTAGAGATGTAAATATGCGACACAAAGACAAATCCTGTTTTTTTTTTCTATTCTCCCCTGGCTTGAGAAACGATTATCAAGACAAAAAATAAATTTTCGTTTGCTTTCAACTCAAAACCATACAAATAAGCTAATTTCCGCCATTTTCTATTCACGCAAGCAAAACAAGAAGCTGAAGACCAGGAAACGTTATAACTCGGAGAGAATATGGAGAAACACGCAATGGCGGCAATTATCGATCGACGAGCCCCCTTTCTTTTTATGGCAAACGAATGCGTCACTCAACTACGTAGCTACCAAATGCTTACTTAAAATCCTCTTCGAATTGATCCATATTTGGAATGAAAGCGGCGAAAGATGATGACAACGACGTCCTCCGAAAACAAGGAAGTTTTTTTACGGTTGAACTTCAAAAAAGTCATTGCAGAATTCTGAGCTCAAGCAGAGAGTTTCGTCAAAGACTGACACGATTGTGAGGCTTGGACAGGATTTGGAGCGATGTGAAAATGAGAAGAATGAGCTGGCGGCTCGTGTGAAAACGCTCGAAAGAAATTTGGAGCGTAGCGAGAGGGAATTGTTTCTTGTTTCTGCGGTTTGTTATTTTTTTTTGTAAAAATAATTTTTTTTTAAAGCTGAGAAACAAAGGTTGAAATTTTCAGAGCGAGGAAGCCATAAAGGAAAAATACTTTTTCGAAAAGAAGGAATTCGCTGAAAGGCTGGAAGCTGCAGAAAAGGAGCTGAAGCATTTGCGATTTTCCAATAAAGAGCTTGAAGAGGAGAAAAATGACCTCCGTAAGGACTGCAAGACGTTGCGACAAACAATTGCAAGATTCGAGGTATTTCAAATCGATGTTTCACACTCCGGTCGAATTGATCTTTTTAGGTTGAGCGACTGACTTCAGTTGAGAGCTCCAGAAGAAGTTTGAGTAGCGATACTGCGGAGGAAAATTCGATCGAGATGTATGAGAAATTGAGAACCAAGGTTGGGATTCAGAATTTTCCCGTGAACATTTTGATTCAGTACAAACAAGTAGATTCGGATCTCCAAACCGTCCTCGGGGTCAAAGAAGAATTATTGATTGAAAGAGATGAGCTCCAGAGGAAAGTTCAAAGACTGAGCAATGAATTGTCATATCTTCTGAACGGAGATCCAAGAAGGGTAAATCGACATTGTAGCTTCATAATTTTGATTTTGATCCTTTTTAAAGGTCGCCGAAGACATAGATTCTCTTGTAACCGAAAATCGGTACCTCAAAGCTCAACTGAACACGACCCAAGCGGAAAGTGAAGACATCAAAACGACGTTGGCCAAGTATCGGTGCATAGCCGAATCTGTTCAAATGCAATCTCAGGTCTTGAATAAATTCTATAAGTCTTTCTATTCGATATTTTTTTCAGTCAACGACATCTCCAAAACAAAAAAAGCGGGCACTGAGGGGGATTTGGAAGAGAAAACCAGCGTCGCGGTTGTAAATATGAAGCAGAGTGAGTTTTTTTCTTCTTTTCTTTTTTTCTTTATTTTTTTGAAGACACTGCAAAAATATTTTTTTGACTGTTCAGACAAAAAGCAGGAATGAATAGAATTTTTAAAGAGTTTTTTCGCAGGTAAGGTGTTTTTTTGGAGGCCAGCTGAAAATTTGATAAAACTTCGCAAAAAAATGCGTTTCGAGTCCTGTTGATCACGACCAAAAGTTAAAATTTTTTCGTTAGTTACAAATTTTAATAGTTTGAAACAGCCAAAAACTCTTTTCTTCTTCGAATTGATAGCTCAGAGCGTCCAAGAATCTACAAGTTTAAAAATGGCAAAGTCAAACTTAATCTACAAGCGAACCTCAAGACATAGCTTCCCAAAGTTTTCTCAAATTTTCAACCGAAACCTTTTTTCTCCGCTCATCGCGCAAATCACATATAGTCGGATGCAAAAAAAAAATCCCAAATTATAAAGGCCATATTGATTTTATTAATATTCCAGTTCGTGAACTACTTGCTTCTCATTCGATTGATCTGGACGATTCTGATTATCGAGCGATAACGACGATTCTTCTAGACCTCTGCAACGACAAGCAAATGGCATTAAGCCATATCAGAAGGGCTAATAAGTTAGTTTTTCTTTCTTTCTTGAAGAAAGTTGGCTGGATTTCTTATTTTTAGAGTCCTTGGCAGACGTCTCCATGAAGTCGAAACCAAACTGCTGACGTTTGAAGTAAAAGGATCGAAAAGTCCGAGTCCACGGCCCGAAAATGAGCTTCTCGTTCCATCGCCTTTGCACAAAACTGTGTCAAAAGGTGAATAATAAAGTTTTATTGCATTGATGTGATATATACAGACAAAACCAGTGAAATAAAAAAAAATTGATTGCGGTGAGAGTTTCCCGTTAGGTGGAGGAACAAGGCGTTGAGTGCAAAACTTGTTGGGTTCTGGAAAATTTTGAGTTTTTCATGAAAATCAAAAAAACATGGAGAAAGAGCTATAAACTAATAATTTCTAATAAATTTGGAATCAGGCTGATTTTCACTTTGTTCGTCGTGAATTGCGATTTTGGAAAAATCCAATTCAGAATAAATTCCAACTTTTTCGACTAGAGTTCTGGCAAAGTCTTGTATTAATTTGTTTTTTTCAAGGAAGCAATTGCGGAGCAACTTTCGGAATGTTGTTTCAAGAAACCAACGATTAAAAATAACGTTTTTTCAATGATTTTTAGAAGAAGGCTTTATTTATATTCGATCCAACTAATAAATTCTTATCATTAAATTCGGAAATATTTTCCGCAAAATTTGAGTTTTCCCCTGAAGAAGTCGCTTTTTTCTCCGATATACCATTGTCCAAAAACCAAAAACTAACCTCTGCCAATTTTGACACGCTCGGTATTTGAAAAAACACGGATTCTGATAAGAAGTTCCGTTTTGATCGCAAATTGTTTGAACTTCATCAGTGCATCCTGCAATGCAGCAAGCACCTACAAAACCCTCTTATCAGCTCATTAATTATCTTTTTTTGCTACCAAAATAGTCAAACTCCAGTGAAGCATTCCTGGAATGTATCTTATCGTAGATACACTTTGTGTTTTGGAAATGGCATATCGAGGAATGTGTAGTGCCACGAGAATCGCACACAGGTTCGTCGCTTTCGGGGCAGGATTTCAAGACGCAACATTCACCTTTGATATTCAAATCCGATTGATTGGTGTAAATTTGAAATATACCATTGTGAACAATATTGAGCGGTTTGCCGAAAATTCGCTCGACCACACATTTTCTCTGCATGAACCAACATTGACTGGCATGCGTCTGACCGTCAGAATCGCAAACGGTTCCTGGAAACTTTGAGTTACGAAGAAATTTCTTATTATGGAAGGAGCTCGATTCTGTTCATTTGATTTCGGTCATATCTTTCTAAAAAGAATTTTGTTTGATTGATGATTTTTAGAGAAAATAATTTATATTTTCACCATCTTAACTGGAAAAACCATGATCAAATTTGGAATGGCTCAGAGCTTCAGGTTTGGCTACTTTCCCGTTCACATGCAACTTGTAACTTTAGATTTTGCGCAAGTCGTTTTACGTCGGATGCATTTCAATGCAGTGGCATTGGAGCCTTTTAGCTTTAATACTCAAAATCTCAGAGTTCAGATGCATTGTTCCAGCTTATATCTCAACTATTATCTCCACTTCAAAGCTTATTTCATGAAACTTTCCACGCTCAACCAAATGACACTCAAATGGCACATAAAACCGTCACCTGAGAAGCGACATTCTCCTTCGGGCAACGAGCAACATTCGCCCTGATAAGCCACAGATAACGATTCGCCAAGACGCTCGGCTTTGCACTGAGCTTCTCTGAAAAATGGAATTGAATTTCAAGTCGGACAACTTCTGGGATCAAACTTCGATTTCAAAAATGTTAGAGCTTTGTAAAATGAATTTACTTTTTCTCACAAGTTTTATCATTTTCATGTTGGTTAAAAAGTTGAAAAATAATTCCGCAATCACAGAAAAAAAAATAAAATCAATGAACTTTTCTGAAAATTAACCTGAAACGGCACAAGTTGTCATGAGAATTCTTCCCATCGCAGACAGGTTCATAATTTTTGGGGCACGTTTGTTCACAACATTGGCCCTGAAATGAACTTCAAGATTAGTTTGAATATCAAAGAGGCTCACCTTATAAGCAATCGTGATGTTTTTGCCAAACTTTTTCATTTCAACGCAAGCTTTTTTGTTCAAAATGCATTCATTTGCATGGGTAACTCCGGAGGAATCGCAGACCGGCGAGAAGTTGAGTTCGCACTCAGAGTTGTCGCAGCACTGGCCTTAAATTTTATTCAACATTTTCGCTGAAAAAATATCAGAAATAGAGCGAAAATGAATCCATTTCTGAATGTGTCCCTGATGAGCCCAAAGTCGGCTCCGAAGTAATATTCAAAACTTTTTAAAAAGCTCCTAGAACATGAAAAAAAATTGGAAAGCTAGGAGGCTTTACTGATTGCGCATTTCGTCAATTTCGAAAAGTCGTGCAAATGAAAAATGAAACTCACCATTGTAAGCCTTCTCCATCAAAACTCCAGAAGTGATATTATTCAAAACAAGGCAGTTGAATCTGTTCAGGACGCATTCGTTAACCACCGTTTCTCCTGAAGTTTATACCAAATTCCAAGTAAACTTTTTCTTATATCAGTGTCTAAGACCTTGAATTATCTTAAAATCATTTTTCTAACCATTTGTCGCACAAACAGGAACATATTCTTTCGGACATTGTAGGTCGCATTTTCTAGCCGCTTCTTCACAAATTTCAAACTTCGAAACTTGCAACAGCTCTCCTGTACTTCTCTCCATGATACACTGCTGCGTCCCAAACTTGCACATGTTCTGAAAAAAACTTTTTTTCTCTTCACAAAAAAATAAAAAAATTATCAACCTGATGAGTTTTATTCTTATTGTCGCAAACTGGACTGAAATCGTTGGGACAATGAGAATTGCAACATTCTCCACGGTATGATATTTGAAGGTCTTCATCTCTGAAGTTGAAAACCAAACTGAAATTGAGTACTTGTAGGTTTTTTACGTTGAATTGCACTGGGCAAGGTGGAAAGTACATTCATTAGAATATGTGACGTCATCAGATCCGCAAAGTGGTTCGTAGGTGTTTCCACATATCGAAGAGCAGTTGAACGAAGCTTCTGAAAAGTTTCAAGGTCAAAAAAGTCAGATATTCATGGTTTATAGCATTTTTAGAAAAAAAGCGAAAAATGTTGAAAAGATATTTTCTGTGAATAACTCACCGAATTTTTCAATTTTAGACAAGTCGTCTTCTTTCGACTCGAAAGATGTACCTTCTCCGTTCAAGCTGAAATTTTCTCTTTTAGAAAAATGCTTTTCCCTTCAAAATAAAGTTTTTCGGATGTCCGACAAATATGGCTTATATTCATGTTTAGTTGGTTCAAAAAGAGTTTTGAGCAAGATTTGTGGATTTATAAGCTTTTGAACCCCCCAATACTCCGAAAGACCTCTCTTTTCCACTAAATAAACCTTCCATCACAAAACTGCAGATCAGCTTCTTTGACCAAAGGGAGGTCCAGCTTCTTGTTCTTGCAATTGTCAATGTCAAGCTCACAGCTGGAAGCGTAAAATCTCCCATTGCTACCGCAAATCGGGACCACATCGACGTTTTCACAAACTTCATCTTTTGGACAACACTTTCCAACCTAAAAGTTTTTTTGTTATCCAACTTTTCGAACTAAATTACATAGTTCACAGACAAATTAACGCCATATCCACGTTCAAATATGCAGCTGAGCATGTGATACTCGCAAAGAGATCTAGTGGTTCCATCTTCAACGCAAACAAAAATGTCATCTGGAGCATCGGAAGGTGGAGGAGGACAAGGGGAATCCAAGCATTCCGAGCATCTTCCTGAATTCGGGACGAAACTTGAAAGTTTTTCGATTTTAAAGACCTTTGAAAAGGACGTCAAGATTGGAATCAAGGCATTTCTGCTTGCGGAAATGGCAAAGATTGTCATAAGTGGAAAAATCAGAAGCGCATATAGGGTGAGGGTCGTCTGTGCAGGGCATCTAAAAATTATCGCTTTATATTTGGTCTAACTTGTAATGATTAGACGTGGCGACTTTTTAAAATAACGCGACCGACCTCAAACGGATCCCGCACTAATGCATTTTCATATATTGCTATAAACCAGCTTTCGCGGTCAAAAAGCATTGGCATATTTTCTACTTGCGATCTTTTTTTTTTCGAAAAGCTCGAATGGAAAACTCTTAATGACAGCCAGGAAGGATTGTATCAAAACAGATCCATTCCGATCATATTATTGTGAAGCAAACATGAAAAATGATAGAAAACCTGACAAGCGGCCTTGGAAACACAATTTTCTTCGGCTGAAATGTGAAGTTGCTCACCAACACGAGCGGCAAGGCATCTCGAGTACGTAAACTCGCATAAATTTCTGATAATCTTTTATTAATTTCCCTTCACCGTTTCAACTGACCCATGTAAACTGCCTCTAGAGTCACAAACCGGAAGCCCATCCATCGGGCAATTTGGCCTGGGACAATCGAATTCTTCGTCGATCGTTGAATTCACAGCTGATTTTTGTTTTCTTTGATAATTTTGGTCCCTAAATGCCTTACGAGTAATTTTCGTGGTTGTTGGCACAGTTTGCTCGGCAACTTCAGGTTGTGCCGTCACATTTGGAGTCGTCACTCGCGTCGATTCCTGTTTATTCATAAAATATTAGATCATATCGGCGACCGACAGAGTGTGATTCATAAAGGTTGGTTTTGAGATTTTTAGACGATAAGAAGATTGATTTTTTGATTTAGGAATGAACATGAAAAAATAGTTCGACTTTTTGTAAGAGTATATGAACAAGTTATTATTAAGTTCAGTAGAACTCGGAGCATCAGAAGTTTAGAAAAAAGCCAAATTTCACGATAATTTGAGTTTGAAAGCAAAAAATCGGAGGTTTTTTTTTTCTCTTTTGGCTTTTCATAAGCTCCCCACGCCAATTATACATTCCCACCTTCTCGAGAGAACTGAAAATAACTGTAGTTAGCTCGCTGGTAGCGTTGGTAACACGCTTCGTCCCAGAAGTCGATCTGTCTTCTAAGACGACGTCAAGGACCGTGGCATTCACGTGAAGTGGATTGACTTCCATAGAGTTCTGCTTCTTGGAACACGGACGGAGGTATCGCAAGTACGGAGCTCTGATATTCAGCTAAAAAATGTAATTCAGGAGGTCAAAAAATCCACTTGTACTGGGTTTGGAATTTTTACAACAGTTACACTTTATTTTCTCTAGCAGCTCGAAAATTGACGCGTGATTCAAATCATCTCTAAAAATGACTTGACATGCAGAAAGATGATACGATACTACCCTTTACTAACTTGCGCAAACCGTTTTTGGTCGGGTGAGCCGTGCAAAGCTCAAACATTTTGTCCACTTACATTTATTCAAGAAACTCGAAGCAAAATCTCACCTTCCTCATATTACAATTATATTGCTGAAAATGACACAAATTTTCGTGCGTGTTATTTGCTTCATCACATACAGGCCGCCGCTCATCTGTACAATTTTCAGGACATTTCTCATCCTGAAAATGTTTCTTTTTATGATATTTCTCTTGAAAACACTCTAACCTTCAAATCAAAAGAACCACTTCTTGCATGACAAGCCTTTACATGAACCAGAACTCTCTCTTGATCCCCAATATTCCTCTGGTTGCAGTTGAATTGGATGAATTCGCAAAGGGAGTTGTGAGTCTGAACGACAAAAAAAAAATTAGTGAGGAGAGGGAAAAAATTTCAAGGTTCTTCATAAAGTACAATGATCACTTTTACGATTACCTTGAGAAGATGCGTAAAAACACGGAAAGGGGAAACGAAAATAACTCGAAACATCAGGAACTACTATGAAGATTTTTTTGAAATATTAATTTTTTTGGTTCAAAATGAATTTACCATGTTCATATTGTCGCAAAGCGGTACTGGCATCTCGTCTTTTGGACAGACCAGGCAGATCGAGGGCTTCTAGAAAAATGTTTGTAGGGTTCTGTTATACTTGCAAAGACTTCGGAAAAGTTCACTCAAATTGCACTCGCGCAAGTAGTTTTCGGTCGGCTCATAATTATTCTAACCATTTAGCAGAGTTTAATCGTTTACATAGCGACTAAAACAGGTCAAACTAAGTTATTTTTCTCACAAAAAAGTCCAAAAAAAACTTCTCACCGTTGGTTTTTGACAAGGACCCTCGTGAGCGATGTCCACAGTCGATCCGTCGATTCTATTCACCTGAAAGCTTTTTTTTTTGAGATAAACATCTTTTCTAGATTCATTTCAGCCTAATGATCGTTCTGTGGAAACTTGAGAAATTCGGCTTGGGCAGTTTTTTTTATTAGCCGGCGGCTCGTCAAACTGCGGTATCGCAACACTTTTGCCTTCGTTTTCAGCAGAAACTTGAATTTTTTATTGCGTAGTATAGTTTAGAGGAGAGTTTGAGAGACCTTGCAAGAAAGCAATGAACTTAATAATTTTGAGAGATACTTTTGACCATTTTCTATCGATTTCGCTCTAATCAGAACATTTTTGAACAGGAAACAATGTTTTCAGGGCAATTTTCTTTCTCTCCAAATATCTCAAATATTAACTTTCTTGAGCTCTCGCAACCTTTTGAACCTTTAGAAAATTTATTAAAGTCCGTGAATTTTTTTTCAAATTTTTCTAGTTATCATGTGAACTAGAAATCCCTGTGAGACAAGAAAGCCGAAAAATTGGTCATTTTTTAACTTATCCCCCTCTAGAATCCATTTTAATTTTGATCCTATGTACCTTTGAGACCACCTTGATCTTTGTAAAACTAACCTGACAAGCATAAAACTTGAAGAGACACATGTTTTTGTGGGTGCGGTTTTGGGTATCACACACCGGCATCCATGTTTTCTCGCAAGATTGTGACGAACAAGCTGATGCTAAGTCAATTATCTGAAAAAGTTTGATGGAACCATCTTCTTACATCGTCAAGCCTTTCTCAAATTCTTCAATTTTTTGAGGATACCGAGATTTCAAACCCCTTCGACAGTGTCCCTAATTTGAAGAACATTCCAGATCCTTGGCAAGATACTTAATTAATAAAAGACCTTGAGAAACGAACGGAATGAAGTGGAAAAAAACTGCTTCGAGATTTTATCGAAGCAGAGGTCGAGTTTGAAAATACGGCTGTTGGAGTTTCGGCTAACCTTTGGCAATGAGACTGGTTGGACCGTAGTTGTATCCAAAAGTTTCAAGGTACTTTCAGCGGAGAAAAATACTTGATAACCTTGAGTAGTAGTGAATTTTGAGGCGTAGGAAGAAGTTGAGAATTTTTCTGAAACTGTATTGCAAGCGAATTTTACAGAGCTAGGTTCGTGAACTTTAAGCAGTTCATTAGTTCAATCTACGTATTCAGGGTATTTGAGATATACGAATTTGTGAAATTTTTCATAATGACCATCATTACTAGTTCAAGACGTCATATGGACAATTAAAATGAAACGTTTTTCTTTTATCTGACCAATATCGGTAGCTTTGAAGTTTACGTCAGTAAACTCACAGGAAAATAAAGCCTTTTTTTTTGGCTTTCTCCGTGTAGCCAAGACAGTTGATTCGTTTTGACATAATGCGCAATGGTCACAGCGGGAAACTACGCAAATCAAATATCAAATTTTCCAGCGCAACCGACCTTGAGCGACTTCTGAGCGGCTATATCTTACTTGCCAAGTTTTTTTAAATGTATTTTTTTGCTTTAATAAAGGTCGAAAGAGCTTTTCAAATGTATTCTCAGAAACCACTTAAAATCAGAAATTCAAACATTTGACTTCGATCACCTCAATTTATAATATCTATGAAATCTTCACCTCTGTCTGATTCACGAGAAGATTCATAGGAAGATGAGAAGCTGGTCAAGTAGGAATGATCTTGAGATTTGCCGATCGGAGGCGACGAGTATGTTTCTGCACTCCCGCCATAAAACCTTTGAGTTTCGGCTCCCATAATATGTCGTTTTTGCTCATTCTTCTGCCCTGAAACATTCAAAAAAGTCAATCGGAAAATTTCTGCACCAATTTATCAAACGAAAGTTCTAATTTTTTCAGTTTGGCGAAACGTTTTTGGGAAGGCGCCAAGTGGACCTTGAACTTGTTTTCGACAGTTCTCAAAATGGTCAATGGAAAATTTCAAACTTCACAAACTTGGTCTTTGGAGTTTCTCGAGACAAGATGTCGTGTTTTTTGAAAGGGCTATTTCAGTTTTGCCACTTTTCTTCAGCTCGCATTTGATCGCTTCGAATCTGAAAATGAAAAAATTCGGTTGACGCTGTATTTATGTTGTCTTTGCACTGATGAAAGAGCTAAGAGGGAATTTTTTCTTATTTTTCTCAGTAATTTCGCTATTTTTTGATCTATAAAATTTTTTCAAGTCTCAGGGCGCTGAGAGAGTGTCCACTGGGCATACAAATTAGACTTTGACCATGCGAAAAAAAAAAAAACGATAACATCTGTTTTGAAACCTTTTGGCGCCTTCGAAGTCTTAGCTAGTATTTTCAGAACAGAGTGTTTTGGGTCAATAACTTGAAAATTTAGCTGAAAGGTTAAAAAAAACGGAAAGTTTATGTCGTTTTAGCTCAAACTCAAATTTAAATTTAAATTTCAAAAAAATCAACCATTCACCTGCAAATGTTATCATAAACATTATCATCTTTATCGCAGACAGGGTCAAATATTTCAGGGCATTCTGTGGGGCATTCTGCCTTTTCTTCAAGATGACACGGCCCTTCATGGAGCTGGAACTTTTCCAAAAAATTCGTCACCATCATTTTGACTTTTAACCTTTGCCAAAATGATGCCCAAACTTTTACGCACGACGCACGCGACTCGTTGGAATGTGCACTCGTTTGGATGCGTTTTCCCTGAAACTCGTGCGTGAAACTCTTTTCGAAGAACTTAATAGGACGAGTTTCTCAAAAACATGAAACTGAACCAAGACTGGAATATTTATTATATTACCAAAGTTGTCGCAGATCGGAAAGTTCCCCGGACATTCTTGGAGTGGACAGCAGGTGCCGTTGTGCAGGAGGAAAACATCTGAATGAATTGAGGTAATTTTTCAAGGTACTCGAAGAACAAAAAAATGAAGTAATTTTTTTGAATAAAAAAACTAGTTTTTAAAATGCTTCAAAAAAATTTTTCATTTGAATAATTTAGTATGATTGCTTAAATAAAGGTGTTTGGCCTTAACCCGCTTTTTTTCTTGATTACGGTCATTTTTTTCGTTTAAACCCACATATTAATAAAAAAATGAGGCACTTTGTAAAAAAATGGCTGGGGACTTTTAAAACTAACAAAGTTCTCATAATCTTGAACCATTTACTACGAAACTTTGGATTGGTTTTTCAATTTTCCAAGATATCCGCAATCCAAAGTTTCGAAAATTTGATATCTCTCAACTTTTCTGCAAGAAAATCTACCCAACGAAAAAAGTCCTGCAAAATATGACCAATACTAGCCACGCCCAAAAAATATTGTTTGCGCAGTTTTTGGACGCATGAAACTGGGCCAGTATAAAAACTTGATATTCAAGTGGGCAAAAGAAACAGAAAGAGGTCGAGTAAAAAGAAAAATAAGAGAAAAAACCTTCACCGCTATTATTCCTTTTGGAACAGTCGAAAGCACATAAATTGTCATAAGTTATGTTGTTGCTGCCACAGACTTGTTCCAGTTCTGACGGACAGTTGCATTCTGAAATTATTAATTCTCCAAGTGATTAACTTCGAAAATCTGATGATTTTTCCTCTAGTTTTTTAGAAGTCCTGTTAGGAGTCAAAGTGAACCGGTAGGCGCTGGAAAAGCCTCAAAACATCCGTTCGTCCGAATTTTCTCGCATTAGCGTTAGCCATTCAATTTACTACTCCCAGTTGTGAATCCCCACTAACTCAGTTGAAAGAACAGATGTCTGAAGGTGAAAAAAGGCGCTAAAACATTAACCTTGAAATTTGGTCCTCACTGGGGAGGTCATTTCACTTATGATTGCAGAGAACTCTTTGAAAATTGGCTGAAATAATTTTTGATGTACTAGGAGGAGCTCCTGAAGTTACAGCCCATCTCTCTAATTTTTAAAAAAGTTGACTTTTTGGCTGTTGGCATAGTGTCAAAAAAAGCATTCAATTGGATAACGAAAATTTTTGTAAGATTGAAATTCCAGAATTTTCGGATATTCCTTATTAAATGTTTCAATTGAGCTTTTTGCGAAAAAAAAGGTGTCAAAAAAAGGTTCGAGTGGAAATATCGGAAGGATTAGCGAAAAAAAATCATCCACCTTCACCAGTATCCGAAGAAACGGTTTTCGCGATAAAATAAACCAGAAAAATCCAGAATTTCGTTCTTTTCAGTAGAACGGACATCAACTCGAAGCACGTCGGTCAAAGTTCCAAAAAGGAACGTCAAAATTTGATGAATATTATGACAGTGAAGCAGGCAAATGACGAGTCTGAACAAAGTTGCCTTAACGGGACAGGCGAGTTTCGGTAAGAGGCGTCCTCTTTCTTCCTTTTGAGGCGCCGCCCCAACCTTTTGGCGGATCTCCTTTGCTTACTTGTTTTTTCTTCGTTTTTTTTTTCCTTTTTTTTCGAAAGGTTAGGCAAAGTAAGATGGGGAGATAAGGTTTTTTCGTTTTTTTTTTCGTAACGAAGGTAACTGACAAAAGAGGGCGTTTGAGATTTCACAAGCCATAGAACTTGTAAGAACTCAGAAAAGTAATATTTGAAAGAAAAATTGGCTCAAAAGAGTTCCAAAAAATTAGGGTTGAAAAAAGTGAAAAATTCGGTTTCATGATTATATGAATTTTGAAAAATAGTGCTGAGATTCAAAAATTTTAAAGCCCAGCAGGTAATTGATGGGAAAAAAAGTTAACAGCGACAAAAAAATGGAAAAATGTTACCGAAATCAGAAAAACCAAAAAAAGAGTATCAATATGAAATGACCAAAATTTTGGGGAAAAACTTCGAAGGGATAATTTTTATGATCCTCAACATCCACATAAAATTTTGGTTAGAGTTTAATCCGAATCGGCAAAAAATTACTACATGCACACAGAGAAAAAAAATTTTTCAATCCGATGAAAGTAAAAGATCGGAGAAGCTGATGTGAAGGAAAATCAAACTTAAATTTTTTATCTTCAGAACTTTCAACTCATTTGATTTTCCCACAGAATCATCTCTGAAAAACGAAATCGAGAAATGAACAAGCTTGAATAACGGAAACGAAAAAAAAGGCAACACTCCCCAAGGAGATGTTTTCAGCGACAAGAAGATCGTTTTTCAAAGCAGATCAATGTAAGCGATGGGCGCGTCACATCTCTTCTCATAATGTTATCTTTGTCCGAATTTCCCCGCTTTCACTGTTGCGATCGAACCTTTTTTGGTGTTTTTGTCTTGCTTTTTCACTTCCGATTGGGAAATCACCACTTGTCTTCTCCATAAATCTTGTTTCAATTTTTTCAGGTCAACTTTTTTCTATTTCGTCTGGACTTAAGGTCATTTGGAAGCAACTTTTAGGTTGTCTAGCGAGTTTTTTAAAGATACAAAACATCGTAAAATCCCGATAATGACCGCTTTTTTATCACCAACTGTTTCTTCTAACAGTTTCCCTTTTTATTGCCGTGACGTGTAGTGCAGCTGACTAAACTGTGGTTAGAGTCTTTTCTGAGAGTTTCAGAACTACTGAACATGATGGTCAAAAAAGGCCTTGCAATCGATCAGAGGAATATTGAAAATTTTGAAAAAGTTGATTGAATAGAGGAAAACCGGCTTCCTCGTAAATTTTTCTGCACGCAACTGCTTTCGCTTCTGAATTACAAACCTTGGAATAGGTTGCTTGAAAAAGTAGGGAATTTGATTATAACTGTACTTAGAGAAAGTATTTCTTGATGTTATCTCCAAGGGCTTTTAAACATTTCTAGTACATATATTTTTGTCAGAAAGCGTTAATTGAATTTTTTTGATTTTTGAGAAAAATTGTTGAGTTTTTTTACTTTTTTTAAACAAGAGGTGAAAAAGCCCTTGCAGTATATTTTTTATTTTTTATTATATCATCTTCCGTTTTCGAAGATTACGAAAAGTCTTTTGAATCCCTTTCATCATTTCCAACTCAAAAAATTCTCCGATGTGATTCACTCCCCACGTCAAGCCTTTGATTATTTTCCTCACTAACAACATTTTAACGAGCAGAGCTTGTAAAAAAGCTTCTCCATAGGAAGACACGTTGCGAAGACAACGCCTCGGAGTTTATTACAGTTAAGGACATGGAGATACGGACGGCTTATCAGCTCGTAAACGATGAAGCGGCGTCGAGAACCGAAAGAAAAGGCCACTCGCCCGTTGGCATCGCTGCTCTGCCATGCGGCTTCTCATAGCCGTTTTCGCGGCTTTTGCCGCAGCAATCGCTGCTCCGCAAAATGGTAATTTTCAGATTTTTGGAGATTAATGGAGAAAAAAATTCAGTAAGTCTGAAGGATTATGTAATGTTGAGAAAAGTCAAAGGGTTTAAATGTAACGTGAAAGTTGGAGAACAAGTTACATAAATATTATTTTGCTGTTATTTGACAAAAACCAATAAATTGGAGTATATTTTCTTAATGAAGTTCTTCTACAAACGGATAGTGTCAAACTGTAGGTCCTTTTTTCGGATAAAAACGGCCTCTAGTCTTCTGAAATTACTATTTTACAAAAAATTGTGCTAAACTTTAAGAAAAGGCTTTTTTCCTTTTGGTAAGAATTTTCTTAAAAGAAAGCGAATTTAGACAAAAAGGCTCTCTTCAAAAACCTTTCGCTTCAGGATTTCTGGAATCGTTCATCAGCAGGCCGATCGACTTTCAGAGCCTTCCAAACTACTATCCACCACTTCCTGAAGTCCACACAAGATCAAAAAGGGCAGTTATCGGCCTTTCAAACTCCTGCGAGCCCGGATGGACTGGAGCCAACTGCGAGAATCGTAAATGAATGAAAAACTCTTAAAGTTCAAGATTTGATTCAGCAATTTGCTCTTCGAGTTCAACTCCCGCCGCTGTCGGGCAAACGTCGAACATCGAAATTTTGTTCTTGGAAGGCAGCTGCAATGGAGCGTTAGTCAAATTTTGAGGGAATTTAAAATAAAATTGGTTCAGTTACTACATCCCGATTGATTCCGACGCCGCCAGCAACCTGCAAATCCACATTTCTGCTTCTGGGGTGCCTTACCTCAACTTGACTGCCGCCAATGGTGGGATAAAACTTTCTGAGAGAATTTCACGAATTTTCTAGGAATCATCGCCAACGCTTCTTACGTCTACCTGGGCGATGGTTACGCACTTTACACGTTCAGTGGAATCACTCCTGGCGGATATTCTTTGACTGTTGATAACCAAAATACTCCAACGACTCAATGTATCATCGAAGTCAGCGTGAGTGTTCGGATCTGTTCGTAAAAATGGACTAGAACTTTCAAGAAAGAATAGTTCTTTTCTGGCAAGGAAACTAGATTGGAAGTTTCGAAGCTCTTTGCCAGGAACGTTTCACAGAAATTGAAAAAGAATCTTTACCAAAAAACAATACAAAAACCTTTTTTTTCACCGCTTTCTTGTAATTCGTATCATTCTCTCCAATTTTTGCTTGAAACAGTACGAAACCCTTTTCAGACCTACACTGACCTGAAAGTCTCGCAAGGATTCGTCTACCAGCCTCAGGATGACGTTCCACCTTTTGGAGAAAGCGCAGTTTCTGGAGTGCCCATGTACTTGGTCGCACACGCTCAGAACGCAGTTCAGCCAGCTCGTAAGAACTGAAAAACTAAGATTGAGTACAATATTGAGATCTGATCATTTTAAGGCTTGAAACAACCAAAAATATAAAGACAGCGTGTCCGATAATCCATGAAACCAACAGAAGAAAAAAACCTAGAATAACTGTTGCGAAAATCTGAGGATTTATTAAATAATTCAGAAAAATAGTTATTTTTCGTGACAAATCTGCTCTACCGCACACTATATTTGATTTTTTTCGAAAAAAATTTTTCAATATCCATTTTTTTCAGAAATTTTCAATTTTATCAGTTTTTTTCTCTGTCATGTAGCGTTTCTTCCTTTTACACTTTTCCACACCTTTTTCAAAAATAATTTCTTCCCTCATATGACGAAAATCTGATTATCAGCCATGAAATCCGCATTCAGAGACCAACGCAGTGACTATTCGAACTGGCGCCTCGCTGACGCCCACTTATCGCTCGCTGCTAACAAAACGGTACGTCACAAATGCGCTTTTGGTCTTGATAATCGGCTCAGTAGCAGTCGTTAACTATAAGCTTATCACTGCCTAATAGACAAGAAAAAAGTGGAATTCTTGATTATTCCCTGAAGAACGCGGAAACAGCCTGATTGACACTTGATTTGGTCCGTTTTCGATCATAAAGGTCACTATTTTCATGGTGTCGTTTTTTCTTTGAACCAAAAAATTTTTCAAACTTATCAGCTCTCATCAAGGAAGAAAAAGTTCGATATTCTGTTATACACTAAAGATGCGGGAACAATGAATTATTGACAGGCAAAAATTTTGTTTCAAAAATAAACTCTCAGAAAAACTTGATGAGATGTTTCGATGAGCTCACGATATCATACTTTGCTGTTTCTTTATTGTGTTAAATTTTCTGGAGCCAAAAACTCATGAAATTTACCTGAAAACACGAAAAAAGCTCGAGAAGCAAGAAAAATGAGGATTTTCGTGAAATACCGGCTGTGAAATAATTTTTCAGTTACAAAAAGCTTAATTCCGTATTTCGATTTAAATTTCGAAAAACGGAAGATTACTCGATTCCCAGTACAAAAATTGTTTCTAACCTTTTGAAAACCTTGCAATTCTTTTTAAAATTTTTCGTTCCAAATAAAGATGAGCAAAAATTACAAAGAAGTGAGCTTTTCAGGTACGGCTGCGGCTATGAACTCTACGCTGGACAGTTCCAATGCAGCCTTGGCGCAACTTATTTCTATCATGTTTGTTTTCAATCACCCTCTTGATTTTTTTTTAATTTTCAGGTTGACGGTACCGATCCACTCGGATACCCCTACCGCCGTACCGGTCGCTTCACTTGCATGGGTACTAGCAGAACCTCGTTCTAAGTTTATTTTCGGAATTTGTAGAACAAGTCACGACTTCGGCCCCTGTCACAGTGGCTCCTTCAACAAGCGCTCCGATCTCGTTCTGCTACAACAACGGAACTCTTCTGAGGCCTGCCAGTGGAGCTACATCGATGTGCTTCTGTCCAGAACTGTACAGCGGACCTCAGTGTGAAAAGGTACGTCAATTTGAGTTTTGCAATTTCTGCAAAAAACGAGTAAACTAAACTATTGGAGCCTTAGAAAAAAACAAGGTGAGAACTGTAGATTGCTGATTCAAAAAAAAAACTATCAAAAAAAAATCACTCCAATTACGCGACGTTTTTAATTTGTATTTGAGCCATGAAACCAGGCTTTTCTCTATGGGCAAAAAAATAAACTTTCTGAACACTTGAAGGTTCTTTCAACGCAAAAAATTTGAGGTCATTCGATATGCTCATAAAAATCAGCTTTTGAAGACGTTTTTTGAGGGAAAGGTGTAGAAAACCTTCAGCCGAACTTGGCTTTTTCCTTCTTTCTTTTTTTTGTATTATTTGATGGCTTTGTTCCAGCCAAACTGCATGAACGGCGGTTACCCAGACCCGATCACCGGTTTGAACTGCGTCTGTCCTGACGGCTACTATGGTCCCAACTGTCAAGATGGTAAGATACAAAATTTTTACCTCAGAAAAATATAATACTTACAGTAATCTGTCCGCTCAACTGGGAGCCGTACCTGGTCGACTACAAAACTTTGGTTGTAATCATCCGCGACACCCAATCCATGGCCCAATATGTTCCGGCCATTTCAACCGCAATCAAAAACGAGGTCTTACACAGTTTTACTGTTTCAAGCATTTACTGAAAAATGATTTCCAGTTGATGGAAGGAAATTCGTACGACTACGACATCTACAAGGGCTACATTTTGGTCAAATTCGCCAACAACTGTGAGCATTTATCATTGATTTTTAGTGAAAAATAACTTTTCTTTTTAGCTTATACTTCGAAATACTATCCGTCGTACAGCCAGGATGATTTTATCAACGATTTGAGCAAACCTTCGACGAATCCTGGAGGATGTAACGAAACAACTTTTGACGCCATAATCAGCGTCTTCAACTTGGTGAGGATGAAAAGATGAAATTGTGAAATTTATTATGAGCTTTGATATTTTCCATTCAAGTCACGAAAAGCGCCTAGTGTCCACTTGATGGAAGAAATTCGGAAAATATTTACGAATTTTAACCAAAGAAGCTCTTACTTTTCAGAAAAACGAATCAAAATCTAAAATATAGTTAAACGTGAAGTTCGATCGCTAAACAACATTCTGCTCTCTAGAAAAAAATTCATAATTTTTCTTGAAGGTAGAATGAACATTATTTTACTGTTTCAGGCCGTTTACCAAAGGTCTCCATTCTACCTTTTCACCGACGCGTTAGCTTTGGATTCCGACAAATGGCAAAGTGTGACCGAATCCAACACTCGTGAAAAGTTCCCGGTAAAACGAAAAATGCCTGAAATCAAAAAATTCCCTTCAATAACTTCTAGATCTACTCCTTCTTGTTCAATCAAGCCAACTGCGTCCAAGACCCATTGGATCCCGGTTTCCGCGCCATTCAAACGGCTTCCTTCTTCAGCAGCGGTCTGGTTATCCAACCCAGCATCAACGTTCTCAGCAGGGCGAGTAATTAAAAAAAAGGAAGAAATAATGGTGATCACCGTTTCAGACGGTCCAAACGTTGGTCAAAGCGACGACCTACAAGATGAACAGCGTTTTGGTTGATGACATGATGCAATGCTCGGTTCCTTCCTACCGAGTGTTCTTCGCCGATTCTTCTACCACCAATTTGATTTTCTTGGCTGTTGGAGGTGAGAAGATGAAGCTCACAAGAAAGCAGAGCTAGTTGAAAATCTTCTGAGCAAAAAATGAATCCCGTAGACTGCACAAGCAACAAAAAAAATCAAACTAGGGTGACATTATTGTAAGCCGCTTCAAGCTGAAGTTAGTAGTACTTTCCAAGAAAACAGAAATCCTGATCAACCATGATTTATTTTTAGAAAACCTCATTGTCTCCGTCACGGATCCCAACGGAAGCTCCTCCACTTTGGTGCCCATCATCACAACTGGAACAACCTTCTTCTACGAGATTATTTCGCCGATCGTCGGAGAGCATCTGATGACTGTCACCGCTGCAAATGTAATTATAGAAATCTCGCAAGTACGAAATAAGAAGTTTTAGCCTAATACTCCTTGCTCCTACCGTGTCATGGCCCGATCCGAGTACAATCTCTTCCTGGGAACGACTGACATCGTCAGTGAAGACGCTGGAGATTCTGAACCAGTTCTTGGTGAGATTATCATTCATTTGTGTTTTGAAACGGTTTCTCTCGAAAATGAACAACATTACGAAAAGAAATTTAAAACATGTGAACCAAACAGAGCCTCAAAAATTGAGAAGGTCAACTGAAAACAATCAAATTGAGAAGAAAAACTTTAAAAGCCCTTTCTCGAAACCCAAAATCGATGTAATAAACATTTTTGATTCCGATTCTACCCACAAAAAAATGAAGACTAAAAAAATTAATTTCATAACTATATTTCTTATAGCTTATTCACCTCGGATTCTTATAAGTTCAATAAAATAGAAAATATAAGTTTGTGTTTTTTTCTTCTGCTTTTCTCAATTGCAAAATTTCCCATCGAATCCCCATTTTTCAGGCCAATCTCATCATTTTGTCGCTCAGCTCACCGGCTTGAAGGACAATGTCAAGGATCCATTCCGATTGTTCTCGGAAATCACGATCACTACCAATTGGAACAATGATAACATTTATCAGAAGCCTGTGTACTATTCCAGCGGTGAGAATTTCAATTGTGACAAAGGAATTTTGTGGAATGGCTATAAGCGTTGTGGTTGCGGAACTTGTTTCGAGTCCCGACCGATTTGGAGGAAAATTAAACCTTTGAAAGTTTATTCAACTGAGATTTTTTGAGCCGTTTTTCATTTAAAAAATTAGTTATAAACTTTTGAACAATCATTTTGCAGGAAAGTATCGAAACGGATGCGGCTATCATCTCTACTTCGGGGCTGCCAACATCTGCGAGTTCATGTACCAGCCCTTCTATGCTACTGTAGAAAATCTGAGAGAAAATAAGTTGGAAATGGCTTTATTCAGGTCTACGCTGATGACGGAAATGGCTACACGATCCAGAGAACAACTGTCGGATATTGCAGTGGAAGTGAGTTTTTCATATATTTTCCGAACTTGAAAAGTAATATGATCACGTTGGTTTTTGAGATTTATAAGCGATAATTACTAGATGCAGTTTTCTACGCTGATTAAGAACCTGGTCTATAGTCTGTGTGCCAAGACTTGAAATTTCACCGAACGATTTTCCGCTGTTCTGCTGCGTCGCGAAACGTCGTTGCGAGCCTCGGTCTTGCTTTGAATTGGTTCTCATTTCTAGTAGATGGACTGTTTCACTTGGAACACGTGTTGGTCGAGTTCTTAAATGAAATGAAAAATTAAAAGCGCGCAAAGGCACGCAGCGTAACAGCGGAATGTCTTTACGTGAAATTCCAAGTCGTGGTACACAGACTATAAAAGATTGTCGCGGACGTCTGTCAAAAATTTTGAAGAAGCCTTGTTTCTAGCATATTTAGTTCTTGACCATGTTATCACGAGTATTTTATTTTTATCATCGGAAAAAAAAACACTTCGGCTAGGGGCTCGTAAGGAATTGTATAACAAGTTTTCAGCTCCAACAACACCTTATCCTCCTAACACTTGCCAAAACGGTGGAGTTTTTGATCCGACCGACAATTCGACCTGCATTTGTCCGCCGAACTTCTCCGGCAAATTGTGAGAATCTTCTTCATGATTTTTTGTTCTAATACTGTTTTGGGAGCATTTTCTTAAATTTTATCAGGATATCATTTTGTCATTATTGCTAATTCGCGAGAACCGTTTCAAGTCGGGCGATTTCCCTAACCGTCTTGTCATTTCAAATGCAAAAGTTTGTTTCAAAAAACCAATAAATCAAAAAAAGTGTTAGAAACAGTGAAGTTATAAATATCTTTCTCAGCTGCGAGCAAATCGTCTGCACAAATGGCGGAACTCCGGCTGGAACTTTCTGTACCTGCCCTGCTGGAACCGGTGGAATCTTCTGCGAGCAGTGTAAATATTTCAAAAATTTCTATAATTCGAAAAGAAAATATAATTTCTATAATTTTTTTCGATACAGATGCCTGCCCAATCATCAACACCGCACCTGACACTTCATTTGGAGGACAGAGCATGGCCTTCGTCATTTCTGCTCGAAAATCCATGCAGGATGCCTTGAACAAACTTTCTGCCAACATTGAGGTGATTTTTATCATTTCTTAAGAGTATCTTTCAGCTTGCATGAAAGCCGCTTGAAGACAAAAGATCAAGTTCAAGTAAACTTTCCGTGGCCATAAAATACTCTCGCGTAAGCCGTTTTGAGGTCGGACGCGGCTTTAAAACAACAATTTTATTGAGACTTTTAAGATTTGAGGCAAACTAACTTTATCATAAACCAGATGATTTATTTTTCTGTTTGTTCAATCGTGAAAGGCAAATGTTAAGATCCGGGAATTTTTAGACGTTCACTCGAGATGCTCAAGCTCAGTCGCCGACTTGGATCAACCAATGGATTCTCATCTATGTCAATTCTGCTGGTAACTATTCCTTGATCAAATTTCTACAGAGAACTTCTGACAAGACGATGAGATTACAATTTCAGGTTACAACAGAACTGTCTACTCGGACAAGCCAAGCGATTTCGTCGCCGGAGTTCAAGATTTGGCCGCCAATCTGTCCAACTACATTGTCGCACAGGAACCGGTGATAAGAGATTATAAAGAAAAAAAAAATAATAAATAAACAATTCCAGAGCTGCAAAGTTCAAATCGAAGCAGCCATGCTGGGAGCAGCGCTGCTCTCGGAAAAACGGTCCAGCGTTTGGGTCTTTGCCGATTCTGATGGACCTGACGACTCTTCGTACATTCAGCTCTATGACATCGCTCAGCAGTATCAGATCAGCGTAAGATTATTTTTGATTGAACTAGCGAAAGGTTGATTTTTCCAGTTGAACCTTGTCGGTGTTGGAAATTCGATCTGCACGGACCCTCAAAACAACGGACAGTTCCCGACTTACCTCACAAGCCTAGCCACGGCTTCTTATGGTAACGTCTACATGACGGCGCAAGTTGATCAGGTTAGTTCTCTTCAGATTGAAGGGGATTTTCATTGAAGCAAAGACAGAAAAAAGATTAGACTTTGAATTTCTGAAACTTGAAACTTTGAAACTTTTCAGTCTCCAGAGAAGGTTTACTGTTGAATCATGAAATACTTGAAGAGTTTTTGTCCGTTCACCAAACTGTCGTTGATCATGCGTAGAGCATTCCCACCCTTCTTGTTATAGTAGTAGACGATTTTCGAGCGTTTCCGACGATCACCGCTTCACCATGTAGAAACAGTACGGCGCCCAGCTTGTCCAGGGCTGACGGGCGTCGGATTGAATCTCAGACGAGAGCGGAGATGAAGCCCGACCAGTCGATTGGTAGAAATGATATGATGAATTTCCAATAAAGACATGAACTTCTAAATGCAAACAAAAATATTTCATCATTCATTTTGGATTCCAAGAAACACAAATTCAAAAGATTCGTTTTTTCTCAAAAGCTTTTCCAAACTTTCTCCTGTTTTGAACAGTTTTTATTGATTTTTATGGTACAAAATGAAGGCCGTGACCTAATTTGATGCTACAAATAATGATGAAAAGGCAGCTTTTCAGAAGCTTTTTTCAGATCCTCTTCTTCATCGTCAGCATGTACAAGTCCGGAGTTTCTCATCGTTACGTCGTTGACGATTGTACTCAGCCAGTGTCCTACTACATGCCAGTTGACGGCTGGACTCAATCCCTCACGATGGGTGAAAATAATCTCTGTGAAAAAATAGGGAACTGAAAGTTCAGCCGTGACTGGACCAAACCTGAAGAGCGTCACTGTCCAATATCCTGATGGTTCCCCTGCTCTCAATAGTGATCTTGAAATCGTTTCCATCAACGATCCAGAACTCAAGCTCAACCAGTACATGCCTCGTGAGACTTTTTTTGGGTTTTTCGAAAATCTCGTGATTTTAAGCTTGCGACGGCCGGTTCTGGAACTTCCGCCAACAGAACTGCTTCAAGTTCGACTCGAATAAGGTAATTTAAAACTTTGAAAGCTCTTGTAAGACTTTCACCTGTCTGCACTTTTTCACAGCCTCTTAGAAAAAAACTTAACGCCTTCTTTTTAATTATTTTATTTTTCATTACTTTTCATAGCAATCTGATCATTCCCGTTTTTTTTTTAATGTTTTCAACATTTAGCTCGCTTGGTTTGACGGCTGGAGCTACTGCCACAACGAGGGCGGATTCATTGCGCACATCGAAAACCAAGACACTAATGATTTTTGTCAAAGGTACATATACTTCAAATACTTCGAAGAAATCGATTTATTATTTATCCATGAAAAAAATCGTAACTGAAAATGTTTAGGTCTAAAAAGTTTTTATAATTACATAAAATTGTTATATGCGCCCGACTGGAAACAGTTTGCGTGATATATCGAATAGCAAGCTTTTGAGCTCCTGAAGGCCACAATTCGTGAAATTTCCAAAAACCAAGATTTGAGCCCCACATTGAGCTAACACATTGAATCTTTTCAAATCCTAAAATAATCAAAAAACGAGGAAAATTTTAGGACAAGCCTCTCCTTACACGATCTGGATCGGTCTCGTTTTTAACGCTGGTCAATGGTACTGGGACGTTCCTGACGGCAACCGAGCTCAGCCTCTGGTAAATGGGATTGAACTTTGAATAAAACTCACGGCTTTGTTCTAGGGAGCTTACCAAAACTGGGCCGACGGAGTTGATCCGAAGAATCCAGCATTCCACTACGTTGCCATGAACGCGGACGGAAAATGGGTGCCAACCGACATGAGTTCTCAGAACTACGTCGCTTGTCAGAAGCACCGTTACGGGCAGGGATTGTACCCCGGAGAGTCAGCCAGTGAGTTTCAGAATCAAGAATGAGTTGATAACGATTTTGAAAAACAGATGTCATACCCGGCGGTTTGTGGAAGGTCACTGTTCAATCCAACGCCGGCAGCTGCTCAGTCCAAACTCGATCTCAATCTGAAATCCAGGTAATTATTGAAGTCAGGTAACCTTCCCAAAAATTTATTCCAGGTCTTTTTCGGCTTCGTCCAAGATCCCCATACCGATTATCCAGAAACCTACGCTAATATCCAGTCTCGTAAGCTCAAAAACTTGATGTTTCTGTAGGTTTAAACATTTTAGAGTCCAACTATCTTGTTGCCCTTCCGACCAGCATTAATCCCTTCAGCCCCGACAACTCGATGGAAGGTTTTCAAAGAAAATACTCGCAAATTTATAAAAAAAATACAACTTAGGACGCCTCAATTACGCCGTCCTTGCTGAAAACGGAACTGTGGCTTTCTCACTTCCGCTCAACAACCGATGGTAGCGTATATTTTTTGACTTTTCCTAGTAAAAAAAAGAACTTAACGCGTTTTTAACTTGTCCGCACTTTTTTAAACTTTAATGGGATCAGCTTCACGACTGAAATATAGTTATTGTGAAAGTGCGACCGACCAGAAATGAGCTTCGCAGTGTTGCACAGGAATATTATGCCCAGCGACAATTTTCGCGCATTTTTTCGAACTCCTTTAATTAAAACGCAAGGCGGTTTCCAACGTCGAATCATTTCCAATGCGGCTCAGAACATCGATTCAATATAATAATTTCTCCAGGTCTTGCTCATATCCTTTCATTTCTTCTCCATTCACTTGCCCACAGGACCAAGGCAGCGTCTCTGACTTCTCCATCAAGGTTTTTCTTGGCCTACAACATTTTTAAAATCAAACTTTTTCAGTTCACTGGTATCGATCAATACGGCTACGCTTTTGAGCGGTACTCGGACGCGATTTGCACAAAATACGGTAAATCTCGACCATCAATATTCAAATTGACAAGTTATTCAGTCACGAAATGCAACAACGGCGGATTCCTGAACAACGGTGTCTGTGTCTGCCGTCCTGGATGGATCGGTACCAGCTGCAGTACTCCAGTTTGCCAGAATAATGGATACGAACGAATGGGACGTTGTGTTTGCCAGCCGATGTTCACTGGAACTTTCTGCGAGAGTCGTGAGTGATTTTCTACATATTTTTTGAAAAAAACATAAGATTTTGAATTTCGATTCCAAAGGACTTCAACAAGAAAAGATCGGAAGGAATTATTTGTTCAGCCTTCTGCGAGCCGCCAATGCCCAAAGTCTTCAAGGACACCGGCAGAACCTTGGCAATCCTTCTGGAGACGTCGACCAACATGGGCGCCACAATCTACCAGATGAAGAGAAATATCAAGGCGGCTCTTGATAACTTCAACAACGACCCAACGACTGCTGGATGGTTCTCCAACTACGTCCTCTATCCTTTCGATTCCGGTATATATTCCTCTAGAAAAATTCAATTAAATAAACTTGCAGTCGCAAACAAGGCTTCTTGGTATCCCGTCGTTCAGAGTCAGAATTCGGACGATATTGTGGCCGGTATCAAGAACATCAGCACCAACTCTTGCCCTGGAAATCAGCCATGCTCCAGTTGTGAGTTATCTAGATTTTTTTCAAGAGAATGAGGACCAAGAATCTCTTCTTTTTGAAGACTACAAAGTTTTTGAAGCCATGTATAGATTTTCGATCAATTCCTCGAGACCAACTGAAAATTAAGCTCTTTTTTCGAGTCGCTGAATGAAAATTATTTTCAGCTTGCCCAAGACCGATCGTCAGCGTCCTGCAAGATGTACTGAACATGGACGGCTTTGCGACTCCTAACTCAGTGATTTTGGTTGTCACGAGATCTTCTCCAGAAGATTACCTTCAAGTCGGAACAATCGCCCAGAAGCTGCAGGAATCCAAACCATATGTAAGTAATCGAAATAAACTATCTTTAAATCGCTTCACCGTTCCAATTGGTCATACAAATCATCGGAGAAAAATTAAACTCCAGTCTGGAAGCTTTCAGGTCAACTTCGTCTACCCTGCGATTGACTCGCCTTGTGGAAACGGCTGGAATACACCGGAAGCTGGTGCTTTGTACAGAATCGTCGGTTACAGTCAAGGAAACGCTTTCACAGTTTTAAATAAAAGTTGAATTAGTTTTGAAAATTGGCTTGCAGATGAGCGCAACCGATTTCTCAGTCAACTTTTTGCAAAAGTACATTCCGACCTTGTATTCTTCTGGAGGACTTGCCGCCTCTACAGGCAATTGCACCTATGAAGAAGTCATGTTCCAGGTGAGAAGTTTGGAAATTGTTTTCGAAAAATCAATACCATGCTTGAAATCGATCTCCTGATGATCCTTGTTGAAGAAGTTTCTCGTAAAAAAATTCACAAAAGGCATAACTTGGAACTTATTTGAAAAAGGATCGAAAAAATGTCAGAATCGCTTCTTTTTGAAAAGTTCGAGTCATTTTCTATTTTTTTTTCGATGAATGATGTTATAGACTGACACTTCTGAATAAAAAAGGTGTCATGGAGTGATCTTACTCAAAATAATTTTTTACCTTTCAGGTCGAGTTCGAAACCTACGAGTTCACCATCGATTACTACCATCCTTCAATGGGCGCCATCACCGTTTACGATCCTACTGGTGACTTTTTGTTAGCATATCTCCGTTCAAATGAAACATTTTTTCAATCAAATTTGCCAATAAGTGTGCAGAAAGCTTAAAAACGTTACCTTCAAGGGATACTCTTTTCTTGCAAGAGAAATTCTGATTTTTTCGCTTCATTTTTCAGGTCAACAAGTGATCCTCCCCAACAACATCATCAACAGTGACACCAATTTCATCGGTGTTGTGGCGGTGAGAATAAATAATATTTCCAAGAAAAAAGTTCGTTCAGGTCAACGAAACGGGAGCCACAAAGGCAGGAACTTACCGAGTAGTTATTCAAGGTGGTGGTGGTAATACTTGCTTCTTGAGCGTTCGTGCTCGGTCGAGCATCGAGGTTGGAATTGGAAATTTTCGAGGAAGCGAGGTTTTTTTTCAGATCTACCTCGGATTTGTCGATTCTTCTGCTGATCAGTACCAAGGAGCCAATCAGGACAATGCTCATTACGCCCCTGTTGTTTGTCAGTTTCGATTCATTTTTCTCAGAATTTCTCATATTGACCAGAAAATAACTCGATTCAAATTTGAAATATTGAAATGAAGAGAAAAAAAAATGTTAAGAAATAGTTCTTTCGAGACCGGTTGCTTGTATCGAAATTCTGGAAGGGACAATATCAAAATTTGCTTTGGAACACGAGGAAAAAATCCATTTTTTCTTTCTCAACCCATCACATACAACAAAAATAACCTAAACCTTTAGTGGAAAACAACACGGTGGTCGTCCACGCAGCCGGTCTTGGCAAAGGAGTTCTTCGATACGTGCAGATGGTTGCCCCAGCCTACGGACTCGTTCACACTTCCGAAATGAAACGACGTGATTCTGGTTGCAGCTATGAATGGTATTCGACCCAGCCGATGGCCTACGATTATGATGTAAGTTCCATTCTGAGAATTTAGGTGAAGAATTGGTAGAAATGATTATTCGAAACCACAAAACTTTTCAGTTCATAAGAGAGAAGGCTCAAAGTCAAAAAATGACTTTTCGAGTCGGCCTAAAATGTTTTTTTTTTTATTTTCAGTGATCTTCTTTAGATATGAATTGAGCACTTTTAAAAGATAACTTTTTGACAGAACCTGAAATTTTTGTCTTGAAAGCGGTACCACTCCGATTTTTTTTCACGATGGGAAAATTATCCCTTCTAATGGGAGTTTGTTATCATAAGTTTGAACACGTTCAGACTCTCAATGTCATTATCTACGGACGTGACGAGCTCGGCTACTACTTCTCCAGAAGGTTCCAAATCACCACTGTTGGCACCAGGCCTATCGTTAAGCGTGAGCAAACTTATCAATTTTCTTGAAAAATTCATGATTTTCAGCTCCCCCGGCGTTCTGCGATCTCAACGCGGTCACTCAAGACACACTCTTCATCATCGACGGTTCAATGAAGCCTTCCGAATCCACTTTCAGCATAGTATGACTTTCATCCTGATTTTCATGAAAACTTACTTTTTTTCAGCTGAAACACTTTGCTGCTCAATCCATGCAGCCTTACAATTATGGCAGCTCTCTGGCTCAAGTACGAAATCTCTTCAAATTTTTAGGGAAATAAGAAATTTTAAGGTCGCCGCGATGACTTTGGCCGAATCTCCTCAAGGAGGATTCTCCTTCAACGCCGGAGAAAACTCATACGACCGAGTTTCTGGCCTCATTAACAACTTGACCGCTCCTGGAACTGCTGGCCAGAACGTCACTGCGTTAGTTTCTTCTTAGATTTAGTTTAATTCATCCATTTAAAAAAAACGTATTTGAAACACGACAAAAGTATTGAAAGTTATATTTTAAGGAAAAACGCTTGATAAAAATTTTTCCTCTATTCATTTTATGTTTATCCCAACTTTTTCTAGAGCCCTTCAATACGTGATTGATTACTACGACAATCCAGCTCAAGGCTACAGAACGGACCCCAATGTGAAGCATCTTTTGGTCTACATCACGAATACCAAGTTGGTTTTACAGATTTTATTTTTCTTAAACGGGCAAGCAAAAGGTATAAATTCGAAAAAAGGCTTCTTATAACTTGGGTATAAAGCTTGAATTCCCCTTGAGATGTTGAATCAGATTAATCTCACTTGGAAGTATGCTCCGAAAAATTCATTAACAAACTTTAGCCCCACGGACGCAGACCCTAGCTCTCTGGTACGAAACATCAAGCGGTCCGGTCTCTACGGAATCATCGTTGTCGCCTTGGATATGGTTAAAATAACCAAAAATGATTCACTTTTTTATTTTTCCAGCAACCATCGCAAGCGCTGAAGAACATGGTCGGCTCCAACTGCTTCTACTATTCTGAAGATTACCACGACTTGATGAACTACGGTGTCAACTTTGTTCAATTGCAATCCTGCCTGTGAGTTTCAAAAAAAGTTCTAGGCAAGATAAAATGAACTTTCAGACGCAACAACCCATGCAATGTCTGATTCTGAAGCAGCGAAACGAAAAAAATTGGAAAAGGAGATTTTTATTGTAATTTGATAAATTTTTGTTTTACTACAGGAAATTTTGCGCATTTTCCGACTGTTTGCAGAGTAGTACGCTAGACAACTTCAAAGTGAAGACAAATAAAAAAAAGTTCATGAGAGTTCTGTTATTCCAGACCTCAAGCTTTTCTCGAAATCGTTCTCAGCTAATTTTGTAATGATTTTTCCGTTTTCATTGCACTATGTTTGTCTATGCTACACCTTAAAGCTTTTTGGTTTGCTTTTTGTACAAATAAAAAGCACAATGTTTGCCTAAAGATCAAATCTAGCAAAGTGGAACGTTTCTCTGGAAAGGAACTTCTCTGGAGAACAGCAAAATAGTTTTTCAAGAGTCTTGATAGTGGGAAAGCTGATAATCATTCTTTTGCTTATGCAAAAAAGCCATTTTTTTCAATTTCAGCTTCACTGGGCTTAAGAGACTGATTATTCACACCAGGAACAAATTACTGAAACAGCGATGTTGCATTGACGATTCTAAAAGGGCTCTCCTGAGAACTTGATCTTTGGATTTGAGATTTTTACTCACCACGACTTGATTGAACTTTAACCAGGTTGACTTTTTCGCCTCCAACTTGGAACCTTGAACTTGAAAGAGGTTATTTCAATCAGAATTATCATACGATTAGACTGAAACAGTAAACTTAATTACTTATGTTAAGATACCAAGAATAGCTTCTCTAAAGCTTGACCTTACCTTTCTCCGCCTTGATTTCAGGATCAAAGCACAAAAGTGTTGATCTTTTGATTTTCCTCACTTGTCACCAGACACCCGACAGCATCGTCTTTTTGCGGCTGTCTACGTTTTGGTCAAGCATCTCATCCGAAATTTTACACCGGCGTTCATTGCGGCCACGCTACGCTGTGATATGCGGCTTCGGAAGTGATTCGGAAATTGAAAGTTCCAAGACGGTCGATCTCACTTTCTGTTCGTTTTTCAAAATGATAAAGTGTTAGGCGACAGGAAACGGATTCGGCAAACGGAATTTCTCGACTTTGAACTGGTTTCAGCTCTGATGATGAACGTTCTTATGTTTGGGAGTTTAAAGATTCAAATGGTGGTCTGACTTTCAGTGAAAGTTGATTGATGACTGATTTCTCTTCACCAGTTTACTGTAGCTCAAAGTTTGTCTGTCAGAGAAGGAAAAGTTGGTTCCCCGGACTTTTCTCGATTCTTTTTCAGTTTACAGTAACCCGTTCTTTCTGGTTTCCATTGTGAAGAATATGAACCTTGCATTTTTGAACCAAACTCTTCCAAAAACGAACCCTTAATCACATTCAGTCAAAGTTGATTGATAAATTAGTTTACTGTTGCCAGTAGTTTCTCTCTCAGAGAAAGATGTTTGTTTTTTTTTTGCTTATAAGTCCTTGAGTCTAAACTTCATTTTTATCTCGAAGGTTCTGGACCTTGCTCTTTTGAACTAATTTTCCTTTTCAAAAAACAAAATCGCAGGCAATCGACTTGTTTACTATGAGGGCAAGGACCCACACGAGAATATATCTATAAATATATTTTTTTGGGAAACTCTAACTGACATGCAAAAGAATGGCACATGATGTCCCATTGTCTGCTGCTTTTTGTTGACTGACGAAAACAAAAAAACAACAATCAGCGAAGGCTTTTTGTAATGTTTGGAACCGATCATTGGCGGTCTCGATTGCTGCCAAATTGGTTTTTTTGGAAACGCGGAAATGAATGAAAAATTGCAATGCAAACTATATGAATTAATTTTTTTATGTTGCTCTTCGAATTAATTTGAGCTTTATTTTTTTCTCAAAAAAATTACTTTCCTCTAGCAGGATATTTATATAATGACCATAAAGAGGCACGAAAAAAATTTTTGGAGTACAGTTCATTTTTTTCATTCGAATAGAGTTCTCTAGAGAATGACTACAATAAAACAACCTTAAAATAACTGAAGGAAATTGTTTCTTCCATAAATTTCTCAACGTTCCAATTTCAAATTTTTTTGAGTTTTTACAAGCTTTTTTGTTTCAGTGAAGGGAGTACTATCGGTTTGAACCTCTTCTGATGTCCCAAAATCTGACCTTGAAAAAATCTTGATGAATTTTCCAAGATCTCTTAGGCGAATAATATAATAACCTGCTTCATAAAAAAATATTGTTTTTTTGAACAGGTTGTTTTTTTGGGCTTTACTGACTTATTTTTTTACATCAGTTTCGTTTTTTTATGTTCTTAAAAAAATCTGATTTCCCATTCTCCAGGCTACTTTTTAATTTCTGTTTATTAGAAAAGTGTCAAAATTCTTGAATTTCAAAATTTAGAGGTATTTCCCTACCCATTCCATTTCAAAATCGAGAAAAAAACTAGTTGTTCGGTTCGAGGCGACGACAGCGACTCGGTCGTGCGTCAAATTGCGCGCCAAAAACGAATGGCGAAGGCCGTTTTCGGGCGGTTTCATGGCCGCATGGTAAGCCGACAAGTTCGCCGTTTGAATTAATGTTCCTCTGGCCGTTTAACTCTCAATTTTAAACTGGTGAAACTTCATTGAAAGACGGTTACTGAAAAAAATTTGAATTGACTCAATCGAACTTTTGTCCCTTTTCCGGCAGAACTTTTTTCAAAGACTTCATATTTTTAGCAAATTGGATAGCATGTTCGAACTTTGAAGAATGAAAAAAAGGGGGAAATATTATTCTGCTATCTATAACGCGCAAGTAGTTTTAGGTCGGACGAAAATAACTCATCGAATTCGAGGACCTTTTAGTGCAGCCTTGGCTCCTAGAACGTAAGATTTGACTTGTAATTCTATCATTGCCGCTATAAAAAAGATATTTTAAACGCATCTTAGTTATGAAAAAAATATATAATAAGTCATTGAAGCTTCTTTATGCATTTTTTTCTTTTGAAAAAAATCGGTATCTCACCAAATTTTTCATAAATCTTTTTGGAGTAAACCCTTGTCCAGTAAGCTGGGTCATAATTGCTTCAAAGCTTGCAACACTTCTAAAAATTGGAAAGCAATTGTCCTTGCACATTATCGTGACGTATTTTGACGGGGCTGGAACAAATTTGGGCAAAGTTTTGACGGGAAAACTAGCCATTCACGGAAGCCCAGAGGCGAGTCGCATGATACATCCATCATCCGACGGCACCCTGCTTGAGGCCAATATTTCGTTCGGAGGTCCCTTGTTCTGACATTTATACGCGGTTCCACAGGCTCACGTTTGGGAGACGGATGATAAATGGAGAGCGAGAGATTTTGAAACTATTTGAGGCCAGACGTTTCTCTTTCTTGGTTGGCAGCAAGAAGAGAAAGGAAATATTTCGAATTTTTTCAAGGAAAGAACTTTTAGTATCTGGTTGGAAGTTTGATGGAAACTATCATAGATGTAGTATATTTTTTACAATTCTTATCAAATTTTCTTCTGATCAATCTTATATGTTTTCTGTTTCATTATTCCCGAGATATGGATTGGACTCTAAAATCTCAAGTTTGAGCTTCTCAATAAGTATAAATTCTGAAAGCCCCAGAGCATTTTTTTATATTAAAGAATAAGCGTTTCAACTGTTCAGCCAACAACAAAAAGGCCCAGATAAACAACTTCGAACTGTTTTCTCTTAGAATCTGGGCTATGGTGCGACTTTCGAACATCAGAACTAACAAAATCGAAGGTCAATGTAATTTTCTCGGAATCAAGGGTTGAAAGATTTTTTTGAAGCAGAGCTCACAAGAGAACGTTTTCTAGTCTCTGGATGTTGGTGAAACATTGCTGTAGTGTATTTTAGGACCTCCTGACTTCTGAAGAAAAAAAAAAGTTTCTTGCAAAAATTCTGGTTTTTGAATTAGCTTGAAATATAGCTATTCTGTCATAATTAGAATTTTTTGCATATACTAAAGCTATAGCAATCGTTTTGAAAAATTTGAATCGGTTGAATTTTTTTGCATTTGGGAAGTCTTTTTGGATTTGTGAGGTCTTTGGGAGGGTCCATCACATTGCGGAAATATTCCATCAAAACGTCAACCGAGGTTAGTTAGGAAGAAAATTTTTGGAATTGCGATTTTCCTAGTTTTTTGTTTATAAATCTCTCCTCTCAATATTATCCCCAAAATCTCGCCGCAGTCATTTCGAAAAACACAGCGGCCGTCCGACTCAATTTGAACATCGCATGTGTGTATGTCTAGCGGAATTTTTGGCTGAATGGGAACAGCTGACGACGATCGGCCCGTCGGAATTGTTGCGATTGTCTCGAAATACTACCAGCGCATGTGTGCCGCCGTCCCCGCAATACATCAAGCATACGCAACAAAGCGTTTCGCATACGTATACAGCCACCGGCGATCATTTCACGTGTTTTTCCATCTTTTGTGCCATTCATAATGCGGTGAAATGCATGAAAACTTTTTGGGAATAGCTGGCAAACAATGAAGAGCTTGTACAGCAGTTCTGTGGACTGATTGGTTTGAAAAAAGGACTTTGAAAACTGAGCTGAACAAAAAAATTTTTTTGTTGTTTCGATTTGAAATTCTCTTTTGAAAATTTAAAAACTGCTGAAAAAAAGTTTTGAGCTTTAGTTTCTTTTAGGCGTCTGGGAACAGAGAAGTCATGTAGTTTTTAAAATTGAGATTTGTTTCAAATTAAAAATATGAATATATTTAGAGCAAATTAAAAAAATCAAAATTTAAATTTAAAACATTTTAATGATCATAAAGGACTCTTTTTTTACTCATAAAATTCAACAAGATCTTTCAAAATGAATTTTTTCGAATATCCCTTGCGAAAAAAAAAATGAACACATTCGGATTTTCAGATTCAGTTATTTACGCTATTATTTCGAAGAAATTGCTTGGATTTTCAGACGATTTCCAAAACTTCGGATTTAAGGGAACATCAGAGCTGTTCAAACATATGAAGAAAAAATGACACAATCAGCCCAAATTGTCATTTTTTGGGTTTCTATATCTTCACAAATTCAAAAAATCTGTCGATTCATCTTAAAGTAAATCAAATCTTTTGAACTCAAGCAAACCCCGATTTGATCAAAGAGTTCCTCGCAAAAAATTGGGCGATTTAAGCGGCCCCCAGTGAACGTAAACACCAAAAAGCTTGTTTGCGTACGCGTGTGTACAATTGCCGGTGGCAATTCAACGCTCGCGCGCGCGCGTTTTGCCGTTTTTATTTTATTTTAGGGCCTGAAGATAAGAAGAAAACGAGGCAAAATCGCCTTTTTGCGCTTGTGTGTGGCGCGCGTTCGCCGTGAAACAAAAGCCATTCTCAATACACGATGATGTGACGTTATCAGAAGACATCACAACCAATAGATGCAAACATGTCGCGAGGCCTGGAATCGCTTTTGATGAACGATTTGTCGAGTTTTTCGATTGCACGCCAAAAAGTATGCACGCCCTGTGTTATCAGTTATCAGTTCCATCAGGTAATCTTATTAGAGAGAAGTGCTAAATGAGATTAAAACTTCAGAAACTAAGAAGTTACTGAAACAGCAAAGATTTCTAAAAAATTTTAACTTTTTTGTTTTCCCCACGTAATTCCTGACAGGGAAGGTAATTTCACTTGGTTGGGACTTTCTTGAAAATTGGCCAGAACATTCCTTGACGTACCAGAAGAAGATTCTGAAAGTCTTAGTTCTCGAGAAATAAGGGTCTTAAGCCCTCAAAACAGATCATTTCCAAGGATTTGAGCGATTTTTGCAGCTTATTTAGAGCTTGCAGAGTATATCCTCGATAACTATGAAGTTGTGCAGGTTGAGGCTATCATAATTTTTTTCTGGTACACGAAGAATATTATAGCCAATTTTCAGGAAAATCCAACCGCAAAGTAGAATAACCTCTCTTGTGAGAAAAGAGGGGAAATTAAATCAAATATAAAGTCTTTGATCATTAATTTTGATTCACTGTTTTCGAAAAAAGCCAATTCAGTTTTGAAAGCTGCAGATTATTTTTCCTGCTAAGCCTACATTCCCCGAATCTTGCAAATTTTCAATTCCTCATGCTTCTCATCTTCTTCCAAAATTCGAAAACATGTTTATTTTTCCCCCTTTCTCACCTTCCCTTTTCTAAGAAACCCAAAAATGTCAAAAAAACATGCGACTCTGTCACATGCACCTAGCTGAACCACATGACATCAAGCAGAGAAAAGGTGGTATTTATTGAGAAATAACCCCGTTTCTTGACTAATCAGCGACATAGATAACGGAAATTATAACTTACTTTATACTCTACGTGAAGAACGGTGTTTGAAACAAGAAAGTGAGGTTGGGAGTGTGTTTCATTGATCTATTGGTGGGTAAACGTTAGGAGTTTCAGGTTAAACGTTCAAAAAAAGTCAGGTCTTGAAAAAAATTTTCCGAATTCGGAAAACGGAAAAGAATTCAGCTTCGACAAGTTATTTTTTGAGAAAGCTCCTGAGCGTAAAAAGAAAACTAAGAAAAAGTCTTTAAATCAGTTGAAAAACTGCTACCTCGACATGATTACTTATTTGGAGCTTTTCGTGGCCCAGAAAAAGCTGAAAAGTTCTTTTTTTCATCATAGCTGCATCCCCAGTGCGCGTTCATTTTTCTTAGCAAGTGGACTCTTTTAAGAGGGCTTCGAGAAACAGGGAAGTGAACTCGACCAAAAAATTCAGTTTTTTGATCAGTTTGAGCTCAGGAGAAAACTTCAAGTTAGGCTTTAGACTTTGTAAAAAATTTTGAAAATGAAATAACTGTTTCAGCGTGAAATAAGGAGAAAGATAGCGAAATAATTCACTTTAGGAACCTTGGAATCTGGAATGTACAAAAATTATGAAATAAGTATGTTATAACAAATTGACGAAAAAACTTGTTTTTTTAAAATTTGCTCAATTATTATTTATTCTTCAACAGAAAATTTTTTTCCTAAACTCCAAATTTTTGGCTGAAAAACTCAAAATGTTCAGAATATAATATATCGTCTTGAGATCTCCAAAAGTGCACTTTTAAGAGCTTTGGTTGTGTTTTCGAAAGCTGAGGAGTTGGTTTTGTTTTTTTGTTTTCGCGGCGCTCTCGATGGTTCTAATCCCCTGAGGGCGCGTTCAGTTTTTTTTGGCTATAGTAGGTGGAATGGCTTGGCGGCGAAAGCGTTTTGCCGCGTTCTGCCTGTTCTTTTTTTTTGTCGTGTGTCGGCGACGGACCGCCGCGAGAAAAAGGCCCTCCACGCTTGGCGGCGTGTCTCACCGATTTCGCTGCAGGTCTGGCACGCTCCTTGAGGCGCGGCGGCCCTCGCCTTTAGCGCCCTACACTCAGCGGCTTCGTATTTCGGAAAACGGCTTCGTCTGCCGCTCTCTCTTCTAGAAGCGATCTCTTCGCTCTGCGTTCGCTCTTTTCTTGTGCAGTTGGTCGTCTATCCACGCTGGCGTCCGCCGGGCCGTCCTTCCAGTCCCATTTAAGCTACTTGCAATCATTAATATCGGTACGTCCAATTAACTTTTTGGCTGGTTTTTTGTTGGCAAGTAATTTGAAATGATTGAAAAAACTGTGAACACGATATGATGAAAGTTGCAATTGATTGAATCGTTCAAGACAGTAGAAATCGTGACGCGCCATGGCGTCTTGGCCTTGAATTCAAATTTCGTCCAGTTTCAGTTACAACTTTTCAAGTTTCGAAGTTAAATAAAGGAATTTAGAAATTTTCTTTTTGAATATCTTATTTCTTTGAAACAACAACAAAATTTTTTTTTGAAGTTTTATTTCACTTTGAAGAAATTGTAGCATTAGTCTATTCTACTCTTTGTAACTCAGATATTTGCAAAAGATTTGGCAGATATTTTTTTATGAAAATGTACCCATTAAAACTCAAACTTCACAACAAAGTAAAAAAATAATTTAAATTCAAATTTTTAAAGCTTTTTCATATTGAAAAAAATAAATTAGTGCAAAAAAATCAACTTTCTATGATTTTTTTAATCAAGGTATCTCTATTAAACATGTTATTTTTGTATTAGTTTGTCCTTTAAAAAATAAACTTTTTCTTTTTCAAAACATTCTTAAATTAATAATTTGGCAGTGAACTATACAACTTTTTCTGATTCTTGGCTATACTTTATATTTTTCCCACACAAAAAGTAAACTAAAAAGTTCCCAGATTAGCTAGTCCATTATTTGTCAGTGGAAACATATGATTTCGTTGCTTTTCCGTGATTGCAGGTTATTTTGAATTCGAAAACGTTGCTAGTTTGGGCAAAACATACGATTATGCAAACGAATATAGCCTGCAGCAAGTTCTTTTGACTCGAGGGGCCGAGAATTCATTGCGCCGTTTATTTCCGGAAGAGCAGTTGTCATAGAAGACAATTTCCGACGCAATGTGAGCCTGGACGTGAACATGGAAGCTCATAAAAACTGGAAAAAGCTGGTAATTTGAAAAAATCATTCGATTCGAAATAGGTTATCTTATTTTTAAGGTTTATACTCTGTTTCAATAGTTCTCAAAAAATACTCAGAGAAGATGTCCGATTTTTCCTCGTTCCCGAACAGGTCGAAAGTTCAACTTTCTAAAATGTTTCGGACGTTTCAGAATGTTAGGATGCATGAAAAATCTTTGAATCAAAATTTATGATCAACGATCGAAGTTGACCCAATAAATCTTCTTGCGCTTTCTAAAATCAAATTCAAACCATTTGAAATGAAATCTGGACAGAGAACATCAAATAGATCAAAACACAGCCGCTTTCTCTTCCATTTGAAATAATGAATGGAAAGGTCAGTTATGTAAATAAATGTTTTTCTATCATTATTTTTTGAAAATAATCATATTCAGGATTGCGGCTCAACAGAGCTTTCAGTAAACTGAAGTAGTAAAATATTCTGAATCTTCTGAAAAAAAGGAGGCTGAGATTCCACAGAATTCAGACCTTTTGTTTGGTCTTCAGAAATCAGTGAACCAAGAAGCCAAAATAACCTTTCAGTTTGGAATTTTCGAAAAAATTGTTTTTTTTAATGTTTAATATTTTCAAATGACTACTGCAGGAGAAATATTTCACAGCTTATTTATGAATTTTTGTAAATTTGTTTTTAATTACGCTCGGTTTCCTTTCCGATTCCTAACTCTTTCGGTTTGATCTTTGAGATGCAAACATCATAATTTACTTTACTGGAAGGTTTCGCCAGCTGTTCCTTTGATAATCGTCATGGCAACTTCGAGGAGCGCCTGGGATTATCAAAAAGTTGCGTGGAAAAAGAAATATATAGTGGGGCGGAAAATCCCCTGCGGCGTAAAATCCGAGCTTTGGGGGGAGCTGTCGTAGTTCTTTTCGAGATTGCATCCTTTTTCGTTTCAGTGCAGGCGTCCTTGTGCCCTGAGGCGCGTTCGTATAGATCCTAGTTTAGAAAAGAGCATCGGGACGGCTCTGGGGGCGTGTGGCGAGGCAACATGCTGCTGGGCGAGAGTCTTTTTCGTTGCTTTTGCGGCGAAAAGGAGAAGAACGAGAACGAGAACGAGGAGAAAAGCAGTGGGAGGAGAGCGGCATTCGGACGGAAGGCATGCCAAGAAACATCCGACGCCTTCTTTTTCTGCCGCCGACGGCTACTATACTACGGAGCGAACCGAATGCCATTCAAAAACGAGCGAGGAAACGTTGTTGGCGCATATCCAAGTTGTCACGAGTGACCGCCTGAATTAATGCGGCTTCACGCGCCACGCTTTTCCGAATGCCTTGCACACAGACACACACCTGTTCTCTTATGCGTGACAAAACTTGCAACTTGCGACTAAAAGTATAGTCTGTTCAAACGCCGCTTGAGCCTCCAGAGGCAGAAAAAAGAAGTTGAGGTTTCAAAACGTACCTGCAGACTCCAAGGAACACTTGTTCAGTCTTCAAAAGCTTCCAGTTTCAAAGGAAAAACCTAAAAGAACCGAAAAATTCAAAGCTTGAAGGTAATGAGACGATCTTCCACTCTCAAAGGACCCAAGCTAAAGTATTCAACCTTTTTTTAAGGCCAAAGGATGCTTGCCAAAAAAACTTGATCGTCAAGGATTCCTAAAAATTAATAAAGCCTGCAAGAAATTATTTTATTGATCTTTAGAATTTGATGAAAACTCAATTTTATCAGTGATTGCAGCTGATAAGTTCAGGCTGACATTTCACTACAATCTGAGGAGATAATCAACAAAAAAAAAGAAATTAGCAATAATCAAGATGTCGAATTTTCACCAAAAGTGTTCACAATTTTTTCGGCCATTAAAAAACCTTGCCGCAAAAGAACACCGAAAAAAGAAACGAAATAAGCATTTTGCCTTTTTCAGTGTTATCAACAACAGCTCAACCTGAACACGAATAATGTAGAGCAGGGCTGGAGGTCGACGAATACAGAGGAGAGCTCTGAGCTCCACTCTTGTCCAGGATGTGTACAACTCAGGAAGTAAGCCCGCTACAGCTTACTTTACTGTTTCAGATTTAATCAAAAAATAAAAATCAAAACGAGCTTATTGGTCTGGATCATATGTCACTTGAAAGCGTTGTGTTTTTTTGAAATCATAAAAGAAATAATCGATGACATGAAGAGATACTGTATCTTTACCACTTCTGAATAATTTTTTTATCAACTTTCCCCGTTTCTAAGTTGATAATAAGTTGTTTTAAACATTTTTCTCTGAAAACGTTCTGTGTGGTCAAAATTGTAGTTTTGGAAAGCTACAATTCAGCGTGAAAAAAAAATAGCCGCTAGTCGGAGAATTTGTAGCCGACAATTTCAAACAAAGACAGAGTCCTTTGCTCTCTCTTTTTTTTGGCTCCGTTCGCTTTTTACCGTTTCAAAGTACAAATAACTGGTCTGGGCGTTATCATTTGAAAGCCGACTTCTTCGAAAAGTATTATTGTCAGCCCAAACTAGGTAATGAAATAGGACTGAAAAGAATTAATCTATTTTGGTCTATATAGATCTTCTGTTTCGAGCTTGTTTTATTTGAAAGTGGTCATTGTATTTTTAGAAAATAAATTTTGTTCTGATACTTTTTCAGTCAAAAATTTCGTAAGCTCTTCTTCTTTTTCTTTCTGTTTTTAAATAATTTTATCAGAGCACAAATTCAAAAGACCACGATCATTCCGCTTGAAAACGTTTTATGTTCGTAATAAAAGTTGTTCTCGTAGCAAGCCAATGAGCGTAATAAATTCGGCTGAGTCCAATTAAACGTGCGAATTTTTGTCGATCTCATGCCAAACACCTTTTTTCGAATTTTTCTGGCCCCTCTCAGGATTCATTTCCCATCATTTTTCGTAAGAGTATCGCTTCAGAATTTTACATAAAGTTCAAAACAGCATTGAAAGTTAAATCTAATTTTTTTACGGTTGTTTTGAACATTTTTCTTAAAGCGCTTGATAATTTTTTTCGTGAAAAATCCTCACAGGTTCTTAGATAATTTTTAAGACCGATTTAAAATTCAATGAACTTCGTAAAAAAATTTTTTTATGCATGCCAAAACCCAATGGGCCCTGAAAATTGTAGCCTACCATTTCAGACATTCTTTCCAGCTTTTTTTGGAAATTCCTAGTCGTGTTCCTTTCAGCTTCCACTATACGTTTGAACAAACTGAAGGTGGTTTTTGAGCCCGTTGGCAAGGCGCCGAACGCACTTTTTTCCTCTTTTTTTCCATTTTTTCCAGCAGACGACCTCCTCCCCACTTTTTCCTTTTTTCTCACGCTTTCTTGGTTTTGCGTCCTCGGAGTTTTGTGTTCCAGGCCAGACGTACTTCAAAGCTCGTGCCTGTGAAGTTATTTGATATCCGTCTTGATTTCTGTCTGCATTTTTGAAAAATGGTTCTGTGTTTGACAAAATTTTCTTTATGAGTCAAACTTTTTGCAAAAAAGAAAACATTCTGAAATGTTTTTCTGCAACTTGGGTGGTCCAGAAAAGACTTCGAAATTTTTTTTGATGACTTACCTATTATCCTTGAATCAAAACAAATTGAAAAAAATCCTGGCTTTTTGCAAGATATGCCCTTATATTTTTGGCTGAAAATACAAAAAATTCTGCCCGAGCGCCGCAAACACTTTTTTCGAAACGAGGCAAATGCTCTGAAAAACGGCCTATGAGGTTTTTTGTGTGGTCCCAAACAAACTTCAAAAAGCGTGTCGCAAACCTTAATTTCTACAAATTTCACGGTTTGAAGTTCTATAAAAAAATAACTTATTTGTCAATCGTTTTTTTCGCTTGTAAAAATGAAAAAAAGTTGTAGACTTTTTTTTTTGATTTGATCTCAAAAATCTGCAAATGTAGCTTTCTCTTTTTTCCTCTCCAGAATAAAAGAGTTCGTACACAGGAAGCTTAAAGTCTAAGACCTAGGAGGAGCGTCAACACGGCTCTTCTCGTGTTCTCGCAAGCCGAACTCATTACTTCCCCTCAGGCTCATTATGGTATTATGCAACTCGACGAAAGTTGTACGTTTTCCCCTTTCAACAGCTTCTTATTAGCTGGATTTTCTTCCCGTGATCTCAGATTTTCAGTAAAAAGCCCTAAGAGAGGGAAATTGAAATTTAGAATTTTGGAAATATTCTCAAATAGTCTCCGATGTAGTAAGATCCTCAGAGTCAATACCTACAGATTTTGAACCAAGTTTTTGAATATTCAAACTTTTAGCATTCCGAACTCTCAGGACTTTTGTCTAAACCTTTCAAGCGTCTAAAGGCCAACTTTCCGAGAAAATCCTTTAATTCTTAATAGAACCATCTCCCTCCTCAGAAATATCAAAGATTCTTCATTCTTCCACCCAAACAACTGCCGCAGACGTTCTTGCACTTTTTTATCACATGTTCCAAAAGGTTCACTGTTCCATTGAGTAAACCTCCTTGATGCGAACTTGTTTGTCAGAAAAAAAGTTCATTGCGCCGTGCGCCATCCGGCAAGTCTGGCCCACTTTTTTTCTCTCATTTTTCATTTTTCATAGTTCAAAGCGTTCAGAATCATCAATTTGGGCGTATTCTTTGAAGTTTCCAACTCACTTTTGGCATGCCGTTTACCGAGTTTGCGGTAATCTCCCAGAGGCGTCAAATTTTTTTGCGAATCTTCAGATTTTAGAAGGATCCGGAGGGCAAAAAGTTAATCAACTGACTTACATCTTTTTTCAAGCTTCAAGTTTCTGGTGAACTGATCTTTGCGCGTTTTTTTTTTTTGAAAATTCTGACCGGACTTTTCCATGACTCTAGAAAGTTCACAGATCCTCCAATTTTTGACTTCAGCCGACCCTCATGAACTATGCAAGATATTTTCTATCTTCTGATATCGTATCTTTTTTTAGAATCTTCTACTTCCTAATAGTAAACATGTCGTGACCTCTAGCTCTTTGCAACTGAAGCCACTTCCTTTTTTCAATGGCGCGCAAACATCCGAAGATTACGAGGTATATATAGATCTACGTTCCAAAAAAGCCGGAAGAACCTCCAAATGAAAGGCAAATCTCATTGCACTCGCACAGAAGCTCCATTCAACAAAAAGATGTTTGCACTCGCACGTGATAAAGATTAGATTTGAGTAAAATACCTACGGTATCGTAGAAAAAAATAGAATGGAATTAAAGCATGAAGCGTGGGCTTAATGTGAAAAGTAATAACATTGTGGATTTGCGATGGGGTTATTTTATGATGAAAAAAACGCAAAAAAGCACTCGCACTAGAACTTCTTACCTCTGTATCAACTTCCTTATTTCTGCTTAAAGTTTTGATTCTGGCCTGGCTGCGGTTCTATGGGCTGATTGAGAATAAAAACCACATTTTCGGCACTCGCACAAGAACTGAGACCTCATGTTGATTTTAATATCCTTCAACCAACTGAAAAGTTGTGATAAAAATGGAAGTTATAGTCTTTCTGAAAGATCCTTGCTGAAAATTGAAGAGCGATCTCACAAATGTTCATTTTTTTTGAATTTTTAGAAATTTTTGGTCCTTCGAACTCTTGAGCAAAGGTTTTTTGGAGGCTATGAGACACAATTTTCACTCGCACTTAAACTCCGTTGAACGATTTGTCTGATTACATCTTTCCCTATTATAAAAACTAACGTTTCTCTAATACAAGAAGATCACAAATCACTCGCACAATGCCTCATGTATGCTCAATGACGTCAGAAAGTCCTTGTTCAATGGCGTCATGAAAATACCAGTTAAAGTATTATCTCAACAACTTTGAACATTTTCAACTTTTCCATCCTGAGAAGCTCAGTGTGAAAGTTTCCTATTAAAATACGCTGCAATTTTATATTTTCTCACGCAGTTCCAGACAAAGGACCTTTGAGACTTTGGTACTCAAAAACTAAGAGTTTTTTGCGCAAGTCACAAATACTGAGATACTCATAGTTTTGTTCAAAAAGAAACTTTTTTCATGCCCTAACTCAAAATTTCGTTGTCTTCTTGACTTCGCTGTTTCACAATTTCGATGAGCATTTCCAACTCTTTTCCCAAAACAAAAGTCCCCGCGATTGGCTCAAAATCGGATCAAAGCCTGGCAGCCACGCAACGAAGCGAGTAGACGCTCGTTCTCTTTTTTTTCTTTATTTTCCAGGAGCTTGGAAGCAAATTTGCGAGTTGGCAACGTGCCCACACGCTTCTTCGGAGCACACTCTCTCTCGATCTCTTTTTTTGCGTTGGTTGGTTGGTCGGCTGCGGCGCCGAGCGCGTTCCAAATCTCGTGTTCGTTTAGGTCACATGTCCTACTCGACCGAGAGGCCCTGGGGTGGCGCCTGTGGCGCAATAGGAGAGGAAGGAAAAAAATGGAGAGAAAGAACGGAAAACTGAAAAGAGCTTGCCGAGGCCTGGGGGTAGATAGAGGAGAGAAGAGAAAATGGCAGAGTCGCGCTTTTGCAATAAACATTCGGGCAACCAACGTTATTCCCTTTTTTGTGCGTGTGGCATGTTGCGGAGTACTACGATAAGCCTGAGCTCCGTTCTCCCGTTCCTCGCCTTTTTTTCTTTTTGCTTCCTTTTTTGTAGCTTTCGCCAATTTCAGCTACGAACCTAGCTCTGAAGGCATGAAAGATCAAAAATGTGAAGAAATAGGGTTCATGGAAACAAGCTTTTTCCTCCTCCAAAATTTTTAGGCTTTTGTAGCCATCCTTTTTTCAACTCCAAACCCATATTTCAACACAGAGAGATTATAGTTCAAAGAAAAATGATTTGTAGCGAGATTTTCGTCTTTTTGTATCCTTGGCCTTTTCAACTACAAACCTCAATTTTTAACAAACAAAAAAATGGCTCTAAAAGAACTGGCCTATTTTTTTCGCACGAGAATCTCCAAAAATCATTCCGTGAGATTTTCACAAAAAAAAACTCAATTACTAAATTTTCTCACCAAAATTTTCCCGAATTTTCATAGCTTCATTTTCTACTCCCATTGAATAGAATCTCGAAACAGCGTCCTTTAAATTGTTCAAAAAAAGTTTTTAAAAGAAGCTTTCAAATCACAGACTTCATAAAAAAATTTTTCGAAATTTAGTACTAATATAATTTTGGGAGAATTTGATTCATCAACTTTTTCTCCTTTTTTTCCCCCGATTTTTCAAGCTAAAATTCCTTCTTGAAGATTCAATTCAAAAAAACTAAAAAAAAATTTTTTTGAACAAAAGAAGAAGAAACCAGAAAATCGCGCCGTTTCCTTGAATTATGTCCGTCTTTTCAGAATCTTTTACGATGCACATTTGATGTACGTCTTCTCAATTTTCAGAACACACTATTACTTTTTTTCCTTTTCCTTTTATGGCTTTTTTTGATTGTCGCCGAATTTATTGCAGTCCCAACCGTTGATGGGGAGAAATTTCATGGTACGAAAAATTTATTTTGCTTTTTTGAGCTCCACGAAGCTTCAAATTCCTCTTTCAGTGCATCCATAGAAGGTTCGATGTTCTGTCTTTGACATTTAACTCATCCTTTCCCATTTGATGATGATGATGATATTGCCGAAAAGTTGGGATGAAGGCTTTTCTCTTCCTGTTTTTCCGTCGGAAGGTCGGAACCGCCGTTCTGCGGCGCCGCCAACCGCTCTTTCAGCCGCGCCTCGTTCGATTGTCTCTCTCTGAGTTTTACCGTGCACTGTCTCTGTTCCTTCTCTCGCATCACCTCGACAGCGACCGGTTTGGACCGGTTCGCCGGCTGGCGTCGCTTCCCACGTCGTCTTCGCGGTCTATTTTGAAACCGAGACGATGAAATTTCGAGGGACTGCCAAACTGAAATTGGAAAACAGAGGCGAGAGAAGTCAGTTTCTTTTATTTTCAGAAGAACCAAGTTCGGAAAACTTCGGAACATAGTGAAGACATATTTTTCTAGAAAAAAGCATAGATATCTTTTTGTCTTCGGTTCATTTGAGACTGTTTGAATTGAATCTGAACCCAAACTTTGTACTTTTTTTCGTTTTTCACAAAGATGAACTTCAGAAATTCGGCATTTTCTTGATATTTGCTTTTTGTCAGCTGCTTGGATCTAATTTACTTTCTCTGGTACCTAAGAAATGAATTGTGATTTTTAAGGCCGTTTCCGAGATAACTTTCCAAGCTCCAAACTCAATAAAAACCAACCAGGTGTTTCTAGTTTGCTTGATGTGATTTACAGATTATTTCTTGACAGAAACATTATCTGAAGATTTATTTTGGTACTCCCATCCCCACGCTTCTTGCGAAATGTGAGCATAAGCACTTTAGCTAATCCACCGGCAAAGAAATTTCATAAAAGTGTTCCTCATGACGTAGTAGTACACGCGGAGTAATCGTATTACGGTAGCTCTTGAGCAGCAGAAGCGAGAGAGAGAGGAAAACGGAACAAAATCCGAAACTTTGTCGCAAGATTGGTTCCCACCCACAGTAAAAGATAGACGAGGGACAGCGGATGGAAAAAAAGGGAAGAAAAAAAGAAAATTCAAAAGCGCAACATTGGTTTTTGTGCCTCTCATCTCACGGCGCGTTCTTTCGCTCTTTCGAGCTTTCTCGGGCTTCTCGGCTGTTTGTGTGTTTCCAGTGTGAGGTCTGTCGCGAACACTGAAAGAACCGTCGAGTGGAAAAACGCGACGACACACAGCGCTGCTCCGAATGCATTTAACCCTGGGAGTGGGGACGTTCTGGAAAAAGAAAAAGAAGTGCGAAGAAATGAGTGATGCGCCGCCGGCTAAAGAAGCCTCTGAGTCGTTCCGCATGAGTTTCAGTGTTGTTTGTGAGGTTCTCGGCTTCCTGATGTCAGTATCTGTTAGTAGATATTTGTCAAAACTAACTTAGAAAGCTCAAAAGCTCCGAAAAAACGTAACTTCATCATCTGGATTTTTCTCAGTTAAAGAAAAAATATTGTTATCTTTAAAGAAGTGAACAGTCCAGCTAAAGATTACACTTTTTGAAACTTTCTGATCTTTTTTTGCATTTGGTGCCGCTATAAGCTGCCAAACCAATACTTATATCCTTCTGTTTTTTGAAATTTAACCCGAAAAAAATTAGAAAATTTTTCTGAACTTCTATGAATTCCAACCTTTACGAAAGAAACGAATCAAAATGATCTTCAAAAAAATTGATACTGAACTAGGCTTAACAAAACTTTTTTTCTCTCTAAAATAAGAATTCCAAACTCCGATTTGCCTTCATTAAAGTTTTCATGAAATTCGATTTTCTTCAGTTTTGATTCTCCCAGAATTTCCTTTTCAAAACTCGTTTTCTCCCAAAATTCCTTGCTAATTCGAAAACGTCCAATAAAAATTCTTCCCACACTAACCAGAAATTTTCGCATCTCAATTTCCCTCAAAACTACAATATTTTCAAATACCTGCGCAATGGTGCGTGAGAAGATCCACAAAACGAACCGGAAAAATGAAAATGAAACAAAAAAAAAAGGCGATTGAACACTTTCTTTTGTACGATCAAGTGGAGGGCGCATTTTTGTCGGCGCCCTCTCCCTCTACAAGTACATATGTACACCTATTTTCGTTTTATCCTGGTTTTCCGTGGGTTTTTGCGGCGGAGATTCGAGTTTGACGATGGCCTTGCGTGACGCTAAGACCACCCAGTTTATATATGTGAATGTATTTTTTTTTTCTCGTGCCCAAGTCTGCCTTCTTTGAAAGTTCTTCGTCGTGTTCTGAGAGCATTTCTAGGTCATTTAGTTCGAAGATGAAGAAATTAGGTGAAGTTCAAGTTTCCAAGAAGAAGTTCAAAAAGAAAACGTCATCTTTTGAACTTCAAAGCGTTTTCTGAGTTCTTTCCAGAAGTTCTCGATCAAATTATGGTAATTAACAAAAAATATCATCAACTTCTATTGAGCAAAATGGAATGTTGTTTTTCATTTTATAAGGAATAATTTCTTGAAGCTTGAAACTTGGATGTGCACAAAATCAACAGCACCAGCCAAATATTCGGTTTCGTGTATTGTAGACAAATTTTCTAATTAGGAATGGTAATAGACCCTTAAAAGTAGGTTGATCCTGATCGGCGTTTTCTCATTGCGAATTCGTCCAGACACATTGCGTTTTACCATTTTTGAAGGAAACTGAAGTCTGAAGATGGAAAAAAGTTTTGATCTCAAATTAACTCTGATTAACCTGATTTTAGAAGCCACCTAACTATAAAAGATGATGATAACAAGAAGAAAAATCGTTTTTTGCAGTTTTTCCATTAATGAATAGACCAGTATAGCTACTTTTCCGTTGACCTTAGTTTGGAAATGACATCATTTCCGTCCTAATAGATTGACTGCAAACTATGAAAGTAACCTGAAAATGAAAGGTTTTAGTGTTTTTTTCATTATTTTTTTTCAAAAGTTTGATTCGTGACCTTATTCGACATTGACGTCATCTCCATTCAAACGGCTTTCTTCGCCCTCTGCCTCAGAAGTTTTCAAAGCCGAGATAACATCGAAATAGCGACTCGACGGGTCTTGGCGCACTTGCCACTGGCGATATGCCTTGTTTTTGCGGACGTAAAGTACGCGAGCAACGAGGGTCGAGCCCTCAAATCTCTCGGGAACACGCGTTTTCCTCTCTTTTCTCCGAGTAAAATTTTCCTGGAGCATCAAACCCAGCCAGCGTCGTCGTCATCCATTTTGCGCAACTTTTATGCAAAAGACGGCTAGATTTTCGCCCTCCTTGTGGAATAATTTCTTCTTTCTTTCCATCTTTTTCTTCTTCTTTTTCATAGCTGAGCCAATTTCTTGTTTCTTCGCCGCCGAGGGGCTCCGTTTTGTGTGAAGTGAGCCGCGGAGCACCAAGAACGTGCCGTTTTCCCATTTATTTGGTCTCTGTTGTGCTTGTTCGTTTTCGTTTTCGCTGCACCGCTGGCCATCATCCCATGCCCTCCGTAGTTCGAAAAAAAGAGACGATTTTTTCTTGCAATTTTTTGCTCGCTCTGTTTGCGCAGTACCAGATTATTCGTCAGTTGCGAACGCGTCTCCTGCGTGTTCCCTTCACTTTTTCATATTCGAGAGTCCTTCTGCAGACGCAAAAAAAGAGAAGAAAAAAGTGTTGTATTGTGTTTCGCGTGTCTGGAATAGCGTTCAAGCAGCAAAGAACAGCTCATTCAGGACACAATTTGAGATGGAATTTCATCCCAGATTTCGTTTATTTTTGATCCAGCCATTGTTTAAAAACTGCGAAATTGGCCGGCTGGCTTCTGGTCTCAATAAATTTTCGCGTAAACCAAAAAATGAGAAAAAAAAATCGAGCCAGTGTTCAGAAAGCGCAAAAAAAGAGGGAAGAAGCTCATTAAGCAGAAAGCCGTTTATGCTAGGAAAAAATCCGCGTAAATGCAAAGGGCAGAATTTGGAACGAAATAAAGGCAACAATTTGAGTGAATAAAAAGCCATTAAGTAGGAAGCGCGTACGAAATTGTTCCCCTCCCTACGTTCAATTTTCATTTTGCTCTCCTCTGTTCTTCATTGCGTGCTCCTTTTTTTACTCGAGTTCAGGCAGAAATTGGAAAATTTTGAAGATTTTACATTTGAAATAAAGTTAGGGTTAAAAATATTTATTTTTCACTCGATTACTTTTGGATTTGAGAGATCTTCTTACATACCTATGGAGATCAAAATTCATGTGAAATTTCGAAACTTTTTCTTTCGGACTAGGAAACTTGACTTTAAAGTTTGAAAAATTTGAACAAAGTGGGTCTTTTTGGTGCCGAGAATTTGAGAAATTAGGAACCTAGAACTTCAATTCTTCAAAGGTTTTGTTTTTCTATCTACTTACTTACTTAGATACTTAGATGGTCCATCTTCGCTTTCGATCTTTTATTGCCTTTTATTGATCGAAGCGTGGACCACACGTTTTCCAGGAGGTCTTATGCAATCGGTCATCCAGTGTTGTCCTGGTTGACTGGTATTCTTGCGAAAAAGTTCCATCCGTGGTGTTGAACGTGTTATAGCATAATTTTGGTCTGATTATCCTTTTTGCCTTGCCAGGGCTAAAAAAGACCGCCCATTCTGTTAGCAGAAGCAAGCCGAACTGCGTGACCGGTGTACCGTTAGCCGCCATAAATGGCGTTGCCTCCCCATCACCGCGTAGAGGTGGTACTTGAATCTATCAGCCTTTTTTATTATATCAATTTTGGAACTAAAGAAAACCTTCTGAGCACATACGAAGCTATTTTGAACATGACTCGATCCGTGAAAAAGTGACGAACTTTAGGCATTGATTTACAGCGAAACCTCGTGTTCATTGAACTTTCGTCATCAAAAAAAAAGCAACAAACGGGGTTTTTTCTCTTGGTTCTGAGCCAAATTGTTTCTCAGAACTTTTTTTCTTTTTCCACTATGTAATTTGAGACAAAAGAGGCATCGGGAAGTTTTCAAGGTATTATTAGGAAATTTTTCAATCTTCCGAAAAACGAGTTTTTGGAATTAAAAATCAAGAGAGACAGCTCGAGAAATTTTTTACAAGAAGAGAATAAGAGAATTTTGCTCATTTTAGTTAACTCTTGAAAGACCCTAAGATTACTGAAATTGTCACAAAATCGAGTAGATTTATGACTCGGTGGTTGCGTACCTAAAAAACCATAAAAAGTTGTAAGCAAAAAAGACGCGAGAATCAATTCTTCTCAAGGGGACACCATAGATTATTTTTAACAGCCCCTTAAGGGTTCAGGATCACGGCTGAATGAGAATAGCTCCTGATTCCTTTCTCATAGCGAATTTTTCGAACATCAATAAAATTGAATAATCTCTTCGAAGTTGAATTTCCGGTATGGACCACTAAAAATAATTTATCGAAAATTTCGCTATTGTATTCAAAGAGAATGGTCTGATCTCAGTTTTGTCAAGAAAAAAGATAAGAAGATAAGAAAACCCTGAGTAACTTCAAATTGAGTAAAATTTTCATTTTTTTCGACAAGTTCAAGAAGCTTTTACTTCTCAAATTACCGAACACTGCTAAATTTTTTTGAAAAAGTTTCCATGAGCCGTGACCTTCTTAGTGTTCAGAAATAAATCTTCCCTACCCACTTTTTCCTAGAGAAAAATGCTCAGAATGAACTATTTCCTCTCAAATGACCACTGAATGTTTTTCAAGTCCAAACTCTCTCTCTCCGTGGGAAAAGATGAGGAAGTATCCATCAATCCTCTGGAGGTGATCTGCACTTTCATCCACGCGCTGTTCCAAGGCCGAGAATCCGCAATGCAACTGTTGGCAGACATGAGAACGGCCCAGGCCTGAGATCAGATTGGAATCTCACGGCAGCCGCCCCTCCTCCTCGTTCTCCACCTCCTCCAGCTCTTCGGGCGCATTCGCCCTGGAGCACATCTGTCGTCTACTGTACGTTGTCCAGAGCCTCTCCGATTGGTTCATCGGTCGCCGTCCGTCATAGTACTTGTGCACTTTGCCGTTCCTCACTCTCTACAAAACGTTCGTGGGACACCGACTAGGAAAGGGCGTCGCACTGGATGGGACCAGCTGATTCGAATTTCCTCTTTTTCGCTGAGCTTTCATCTTTTATTACTTTTTCTCTCCCACGAACTCACGCGTCCAACAATTTCCAGCAGTTTAAAAGAAAAAAATTGTCTGGAACTTTTTTTTCGACTTTTCTCAAGTCTTTCGAGGCTTTCCCACGTTGGTCATGAATTTTTGATCGGCTTTTGGTTTTCTGGAAAAGTTTTTTTGACCGTGTGGCTTTTCCCAACACCACTGATCTGATGAGAAGTATTTTTGCAAAGCGAAAATATCAAAAATTTGAAGTTTCACTAGTTTAGAAAGTTATTGAAAATTTTTTGAGAAGAGAGAAAAAGTTTTCTTGAAAAAGGAGAGATGTTGTTTCAAAATTAAGTTAATTGAATTTTCAGATTTTTTAATTCTTCAACCATAAACAGGGCATTTCGAAAAAAGTTTTCCAACTTTTTTTTGGGATAATTCTTTGAAATTTAAATCTCCGATGAATAGGGAAAGTATTTCAATAAAGAAAAATAAATCTGAATTGAATTTTTTGGGTAAACCTATAAATGAGCTCACATAGTCCAAAAATATTAACCTGATTTTCTAAATCTGCGATGAGAAACAGGAAAGTTGACCTTCCGGTCTTGTTTTTTTCCTGTATATTTTTTTGAAAGTGGTGCACTCTGAACGGCATAGGTGGAAGGAAAAAGCGAAGACCTGGGAGATGGAGGCAAAAACCAGATTCTCGACCGGCCTCTCGCCTTCGTCTATGTGTGTGCGTATTTTGTGTGTGTGTGCCCCATCATCACTATGTTTATATGCGTACGTTTATTTTACATTCTACACACGGGCCCGACGGCAATCCGTTAACTCAAAAACTTTAAACACTTGACTCCGCCCACCACTCTCTTTTTTTCCACGTGTCGTCTCTTTCTTTTTTCCCTCTCCATTACGCTTTGCCATCCAACCGTCTATTGTTCATTATTATCACAAGGCTTGATGTCATCGTTCCAACCTATTGTTTCTGTATCACGACGAGGCTTAGCCCTTTTTTTGATAAGACGCTCGGAAATGCGGAGGAGACTCGTAAAGCCTATTGAGCCTCGATGCTTCCCGATAATGGCTCTTTCCCTCCTTGGGCTCATTTTTTTCAAGTTTTCATCAAACGGATTGAAGAGCGAGAAGAAAATCCAGCTGGCCAGTTTTATGACCTATCTTCAATTTAGAGGACACAGTACTCAAATTTTACGATGGCTGAAAAAAAAGCTATGGAAAAAAGTTGGGCTGCACGTGCTTCAAAACGAATAGGTTGAAGGCTCAAAAATGGCTTCAAAGAATTTTTTTCGTAACTCAAAAACTTCAACATTTTCTCAAATGAAATTTATGGCCTCGAAAGCTATAATTTGTTCCTTGTCAATCCAATATTTCTTTGAAGCTAAGCAGCCATGTAATTTCCTTTTGACAAACCTAGAATTTTTTTTCCAAGTGCTTTTTTCGAGCAGATTTTCCAGCTTTTGTGAAGCTTTTTTTCTCTTTTTTATTTTTCAAATTTAAAATTGACTGAACTTCTAATCTTAATTCCACACCTTGCGAAAATCCGGGAAACTTTCGAATGTCACCTGCTTCAAGAGTTCAAAAAGATCAGTCAAACATTCTCAAAAGTTCGAACACCCCCTAAAAATGAGGAATGAGAATTGTCAGTAAGCCAAGCTCCTATTTGCTTATCACCAGTTTTCAAGTAAACTTTAGATTTATGAACTTTAAGGATTCATGCAGTTCCTGTTCAAATTCAGATTTCCGAGCAATGTCCTAAAAGAGGAAGCTGAAGGTTTTCTCGTAGAGTGCCAAGAATAATCCGAAGAAAGTATTCTCTTCTCATCACTTCTTTTTTGAAAGGAATCCCTTCAGCTTAATATCAACACCTCCTGGCTGTTGCGACAACGAAGAGCGATTAGTCCGTTTTTTCTCTTCTCTGAGCTTTTCCTGAACACAGCTAAAGCCGAAGGAACACAGCGATCAGTGGCAGTAGACGGGCGGACGTGTTCCAAAGTGCGTTTGCACTCTTGGTGCCGCCTCAGGCCTCACTCGCTTTTCCTCCTCACTCACGCATATTCGAGCTTCATCCTGAAGCAGAAGCTTTTTTCTCGGACGTTCAGTCCGTAGTCGTCTGGATCATGATCTCTAGTGCTTTTCCTGTCCAAGCTAATAGAATTAGAAATGCCTGCACTCCAAGTTCAGGAGTATTACTGTAAAGCTTCTCTTTTGGATGCCGTAGTGGTTTTCAAATTTTTTTTTCTTTTTAGGCGAAATGATCTTCTATCAACTTTATGCATTGTTCTTCATCTCCTGCAAACCCTTGATATTTGGATTTTTTTTTTCAAGTTCTGACATGAAATTTGGAAATTGAGGGGCTTAGGTGCCAATTTTGGATCTAAGATAGAAGTTTTGAAACTTACTTAAAAAATAACGAGACAGGTTTCCACTTTCAACTTTTTCAAAGGGAGTATGATTTTCGAAAGTTCCGAAAGGCCGGTAATATAGCAAAAAAGTTAGATCAAGGGTTTGGTGATTGAAGGCTTCTTTGTCTTTGGCGGATATAAATGAAAATTACATCACTTTAACGTTTCTGAAACTTGAAGAGTAGATAAAATAAATTCTAAGTTTTGGTTTTCGAGGAAAAGTTGTGTTAAGCTCCGAAGGTTTCTATTGTTTTCTAATTGATGGTGCATTATGAGATTCAAGACTTTCAAATATCTTCTTTTCAAACTTTTCTTTGAACTCGTCATAGTTAAACTCTGAAAAAAAGAAATACTCTCTCTTTTACTCAGAGATTTCTTCTTTAAACACCACTCCTGATCTCTGAGCGCTGCTCCGTGCGTATGAACACTTGCTCCAGCGTTCTCTCTCCATCCAAAAAGAAAGTTCGAAAAGCAACTGAAGTCATTTGATAGCGAGTTTAGCGAATAACCTTCTTGAAAAAAGCTACACTTCTGAACATTCTCGCACGCCTTTTCTCTCCCGAACAAAAAACCCACAGACGTCTGCAAAAAATGACCTCGTCGATTTCTTAGGTCATTTATCATTTCATTTTTTGCACCGTCTAGCATTATCGCTCTGTGAGATTCACAACCTCGTTTTGCAGGAATTTCTCCGTTGTTTCTGATTTTCAACACCGTTCAGAAACTACCGTAGGAAACTGGAAAGTCTCTGGCGTTCTTTAACCTTCTCTCTAAGGAATTTTTATTAACGTGTTATTTCTTGCGAATCATCATTCGAACGGTTTCTTTGTATTTAAAGTAACTTTTTCAGAAGCCAAAAAGAGAAAAATGAAACTGTAAAGTCACGAAAACGCCTTATTGGCAGCGGCGGTTTCTTTTTAATGTTCACGAGTGTAGTGACAAATTTGATTGTGTTTTTTGGAAAGCCTTTGTTTCTTTAAGATTCTCGAGACAACAATGTACCTGTTTTTTGAGTTCAATCCGATTAAAACCCAAAGAACCAAGCTTCAAACTTTTTATTAGTCGACAAAATTCGAATGCAACTTCAAAAACGGGTTTCTCTTCGTTTATTTTGAGGGTCATATCTGTTCGATTGATCTTGAACTTCCTATCTGCGCCAAATGTCAAGATCATCACGACGCAGACTTTTTTCTCGAAAGTTACCGTCTGAGACAAATCAGTCAAACTTAGGAAACCTGAACTTGTGACCGGGAAATCTTTGATTTTAAGAAAAAAAAAAACTCTCAGGTCACCATTTAGGTGGTCTTTAGAGCGCAGTTTTTTGATCAATTTCTGAGATAATGTAAAGAATTTTCGCATTTAGTTTTATTTATATCGCCAAGTTTCTCTTTTTTTCGGCGTTTTAAATACCAAGTTTGACTAGCACAGGTTTCTTTTGAAAGGCATCATGGAAAATTTTTCAGTTGATAGTTCAAAGCATGGCCGTCTTTTATTCAAGCTGTAAGCCACCAATGAGTGCTCTATCAAAATTAACTGCGACAGCCGCCGTGAAGCTACAAAAACCGCGACCTCCCATTTTCCTAGACAGTATCATTCTTTCTCGAATCAAACCAAGAAAAAAAAAGAAGGCGAAGGTGTCCGCGCGACACACAGAAGACGTTACTGTTTGCCTGAAGTCATGCTCTTTCTTCGTCTTCTTCTTCACTGCCGACCGGCCGACGCCGGCCGGCCCTGCTTCGCTTTACACTGGAAGGCGCCGCCGTTTCGAGGTCCGCTGGGGGAACGGTGTTGTGCGAAGCAGGCAAGAAATTTTCGTCTCGTCCTTGCCTCTCTCGGCCGTTTTTCTCGCCGCTGCTTCGCCCTCAGGCACTTCTTCAATGGCATGTCGACTTTGCTTGTTGCAGCTATCATTCTTCTTCCTCCATTGCTGTTTTTCTGTCTCTCGGTCTGCTTGACGAGACGTCTTGGCAGAACCGTTGATTGGTCTGCAACGACGCAGATCAACAAACTTCGGCTTGTTTACTTGACCTGAGGGAAGCTCTTAGATCGTAGCTTGAACTGCAGGTTTCGGACCAATTTCGTGGTAGAAGTTGTCCTCTGAAACATCTACCAACTTATTTTGGAAAATCTTTATTCAGGTTGTACTGTAGCCATCCTTCGACTTTCCTTACTTTTTGTTCTTCAGGACCTTGACTGATTAGATCAACTCATTTTTCAGTTTTTGTTGAAGTAATAACGGCCAAGTCTCACTTCATCGTGATCATTCCAAATTTTTGTCCTTCAAATCTTGGTTCATCTTGAATTTGGTACTGCTAACAGTACAAAGACCTCCAACTTCTTCCCAATCTCAAAAATTCAACTTTCTTCTCTAACTAAGTCCTCTTCGAACGATTTCCCCGCTATCTTCCTTGTTTCATTAATCACGATCCTAGAAATTCCTTCCGATTACCTTTCCGCGGTCCCTCTAAAAAAGGAGAGGCGCGCAGCGTCGCGTTCGGAGAAAAAAGGAAGATATCTTTTGCAATCAGTTCAATCATCACCGTGCACTATCATTTCCCAGTATATTTCGTCGTTTTTTCTTTTTGTCTCTCTTTTTCGCTTCCAACCCCCATTCGTTAACGCATTCACCTCCGATAACGGCAAACGTACTTTGGGTGTTCGCATCGTCGCGGAATGGACGTTCCTGGCCCATCGAGCATGCCGTTTGCCATCGTCCAGCCTGCCACCGTCTACCATCCAACGCCTCAACGTCGACCTTTCGTCTTACCTACCTCATTTAGTCTACCTAGACCTACAACTCTCATACGATCATCGTTTAGCGCTTTCAAGTGGGTAAAGTGATATGATCCGACCAGTGTCTCGATTTTGATCAGTAAAAAAGGGTATAGTTAAGAATGGATGATCGCAGGAAGAATGGCTCGAAGGCTCAAGGTCCACACGGTGGGACCTTGGATTTGGTCCGAAAGTGTCGAGCCATTCCAAATGCAACCACAAAACCGAAAATTCAGCAAGAAAAAAATTTTAATCTGAGTGCCACTGATGCTCACTTTTCTAGAAAAATGTTTTTTTAATTCTTTCGAATGGATTAACTGTAATGATCAAAAAAAGGTTTAGTTCAAAAAAATAATATTTTTTTGATGCACCAGACAGGTCCAATACTGAAATTTGATAGGCTTGCTCTTTTTTTCAAAGCGTGGTCAATGGGCAAACGAGATGTGTTTAGAAATGAGGAGCTATGTTTATGAAGTGTTTGAAAAAAGCTCAGAAAATGTGACTTTGTCCAATTCCAAAGCCTTTCTGCTCGATTTTCTGTTAAGGAAGGCTATATTTAGGTTCAATCTAAATATCATGGAATTTAAGATTCAAATAACTTCTGACCAAACAAAAGTGAAGTCTTATCAATACTGTATCTTTTCAGGGAAGTGAACGAGCTGAAGAGCCAAGTAAGCCTACTGCTGCCAGTACTTGGACCGCTTTGCGCCCAAAACAGCGCAACGCAGTCTTCGCTGGCGGCCGCAGGACTTCCGCAGCCTTCGCAAGCTCTGCCGGCGCTCGCAAATTCCCTCATGAGGAAGCGCCCGGCAACCACTCCGAATCCTGAGTGCCCGGTTTCAATTCGCGCAGCGTTTAACGCTTGTGAGTTTCTCTTTTTGAAAGGTTTTAATAATAGGAAAAAAAAGCTGGTTAGTTTTTTTTTAAATTCTCTTTCTATTTTTGAATTTTGGTTTATGCTATGAATGATTGGATTCAATGTAAGATAAGGTAACTCGAAAAAAGGTAAAATTAAAAAAAATAGTTCTGGAATGAGTGAAATTTCGACCGCCATATGTCGCAAAACTTGACCACAACTTTTTGACCCAATAAAAAGTTTGTACGACTCTTCACCACAAAGCACCGAATAATTGTTCGTCTGAGCCTAAAAATACACTGAAAAGTGCAGCTGTTGCTCCACTTTTTCATCCTCCTCAACACCCTGCATCATGTTTCAGGAAACGGGGCCTGGAAATAGTGTAAATTGGGGCCCTTGTTCTCATGACAACAAAAAAGCATGGGAGACCTTCATGAAGTGTGATGCTTGGGTTTTCTCAAAAAGTGACTAAAAACAACGAAAAATGTTCTTTCAAATTTGGCGTTACTTCCACTAAAAAGATTGAAAAGTGTTCGATTTCTGTTTGAATTAGTTTATTGTTTTTTGTTTGAAAAATTTTTCCCTGTTTCGGTAGTTTTCAATTTTCTTCAAACAACTAAAGAAAAGACAAGCAGGTTTTGGAAGTTTCAAGTGAGGATCTCAGCTCAGTTTTAATCGAAAATATATTCAAATAAGCTTTTAAAAAAACCTGAAAAATTTGGCTTTCGTTCTTTTTCAAGCTTCTTTCTTTTCAGGCTCCCTTCCAAGTCCAATGCTGAACTACTGGTTAATACCGCCGCTACGCGTTTCTTCACCGAACGCCGCAGCCGCCAGTATCCCGGCACCGTCGTTGCCAGAAGGCGCGCCGACGTCCGAGACAGCAGAGCAGAAGTGGAGCAATCCGTCCAGCGTGGAGAGCAATGGCCAGAAGACTGACAGCTCAACAGGTGAACTCGTTGTAAAGAACAAAAATAGGTGTTTCTGTGGAAGGTTGAAGAGAACGTTCAAAAGCTTCCAAATTTCAAAAAAATCTTGGGAGGAGCTTGAAAAAACACCGAAGATCTGGCCCAATTTCAGGCAAAAGTATTTGATTTTCAATCACCAAGATGAACTACACAGAGCTACCAAAACTTGGATCTGTCAGAAGATTTTGAAAATTTTCCAGGTTTCAAAGTGAAAGAGTGTTGCAATGTTATGATAATGACAGTATCCTGATTCTTTCCAAGAGAAGTAAGAAAATAGACTGTTTCATTCCCAGTATTTCGGGATCTCGCAAATCCTTGAAAAATGTGAAATCCGCTCGTTGATTTTAGAAACACAAACTTCCGAAAACCTCAAAAAAAGTAGTATACGGTCTTCATCTTCTTCAGAACTGAACCCTGAACTCTTCGCCGAAGTGTAATTTATCGCCGGAGCGTTACATCGTTTGCCACAGTTTTTGTTTCTTCCATGAGTTCTATCGCGCATGTCGTTGAAAGGAAATTAATTGTCGATGGGAGATTCTCGACGGAAGAATCTCCGAAAAAAAAGAAGAAAAAAATGTAGTTAGGCCCATAAATCACGAGCGGGCGAACAGCGCGCCAGTAGCAGAAAAATGTAGTGTTTCTACATATATTTTCCCTTCCATCATTAACAGTCAACTTTTTTCCTTCGTCTTCTGTTTCTTCGTTCTCGGGCCGGCCGCTTGTCTTGTTTCTTTTGTCTTCGGCGGCCCAGACGACGGCGCACAGACTCTCGGAAAAAGATTAATGCGTTTTCATTAGCGAAAAAAGGCAAAAACGTGTCGCACACAATACTGTTACACTCTTGGAATCTGCGAACCGAACGTTTGGGTCGGAAGTCGAGAAAAGGGGAACTGGCATGTCTTTCTTATTTTGGATGGCGTCAATTATCAGTCTCGAGAATCTCTGCAGAAAAATGTTTCAAAACTTGTTCTTGTCCAAAAAGGAATTTCACCTTTGAAAGTTGAGAACCATTATTTCATAAATAGTTTTCCAGAAAGAGTGACATGGTACTGTAACTTTCTGCAGACCACGTTCCATTATTGAAAGGCAAGATTTATATCTATAGAGTTCAAAGAGCTTGGGAAAACGATTAATTTATCATTCCATATCAGTCGATGGACCATTTTTTCTCTATTCCTTTCGTCTCTAAGTCGTTCGCAACTCTTCAAGCTTATCGAGCTTTTCTGGCGTCTTCCTGACGGCGTGATAAACGTGGCGCCGCCGTTTAGACGGCACTTTTGAGCATAAACGGCCAAACTCGCGCACTGGATGATAGTGAAAAGCCGAACTGGGAAGCGCAGATCAAAGTCTTTTTTGGGCGATAACACGATCGCATGATCGCCTGAAGCGGTGACGTTTACGTTCATCAAGAGTGGAACGCGGTTTGATAAATAATCCGCTCAGAAAAGTTTAGTTCCGTGGTGTAGGGAGATGAAAATTCCGGAAAAAGTGCAGGGATTATAGATTATTGGGACCATGCAAATTTTTTTAGATTGACATGAGAACGCAGAAAAGACTCTAAAACCGCTTTGGTGATCCTTTCTAAGCTTGAAAGTCCATCTAAAAATCAACAAAAACTGTAAAAAGCTCTTATTATCATATCGAAACGAAGATTAATGATTGCTGTTTTTCTAATGCTTCAAAAGACGCAGGGAAACAAAATTCCATCTTGGGATTGCTAAATTTTTTCGCGAGATCCAAAGCTCCTTAAAAAAATTCAATATTAGGATTAAACATTTTTTTCAGAGACCTTAAAAAGGTCCCTTTTTTTCCTGCTTCTCAAAGCTTTCATTGAAAATGGAAACCATTTTTTTCTAAAGCTGTGAAGTGAAGGGAAATCTAGAAAACTTGTTTAAATGAGTCATGAAACTCAAATCTCAAAGGGACTTGTCATTTCCCAGATAAAAAAAGATTTCAATAAAAAAATCTTAAAAAAATTATAACCAAAGTCATCTACAATTTTTTAGTATCAGCCGGTGGCGATTCCGGCAACATCGACATCGTCGGTGATGGCAGTGAGTCGTCAACGTCATCAACATCGACTCAGGTGAATATTTTTACAAATCGAATTATCCAGAAAAAGAAATGCTGATACCACTCGTCTCCAAATCCAATCCAATTTGCCGATAAGAGGCTTGCCCTTTTCCGAACATTTTGTCGTCGATAACAGCTCTTTGCCACGCTTCGCCTTGAAGAACGGACCACTCGATGATTAGTTCCGAGAAAGAAAAGTGCATGTCGCCTAGAGGCATGGGTGGAGAACGCAGCAGTTGGTCTGTCTGGGAAGGGACCCGAATTTTGATCCCTTGTGGGACGAAATTGCTGAAAATGTGAACATGGGGCCGATTTTCTCGAAAGAACGCGTTCACCAGCGCATCAAAGGGCACTTGAAAAAATATTTTTTCTTTACTTTTGACCAAGAAGAAAAGAAAGGACTCGAGAAAGTTTCTTTTCAAGTAGGTTTTTTTCTAAGTTTTGATTCACCGTTTCAAGCCAATGATGGGTGGCGTGAGGCATCACAAGAAAAAAAAAAAAAAAAGTTGGATTTTCTCAATAGTAACGTCTAAACCTGTATGAAACACGCAAAACGAAAAATTGGAAAAAATCCTTTTACCGTTTTTTTCAAATTTTCATAAACTCTTTGGCTTTTGAGAATTGTCGCGAAAATCTTGAAAAATCTTTTTGTTTTTTTTTAATACGTTGAGGTCAAAGATTCAGTAGATCTTGCCTCTTTTTCCCCAAAACAAGACCAATGTTTGTTTTTGCAGTTTCAGGCCATGGTCACATCGCCGTCAATTCAGCAGCAGTTTGCGCAAATCTACAACGCTGCCACCGCGAGCGTAGCCGAGTCCAAGGCGAACTTCTTTTACAACAATGCCAAGGTTTCATTTTATCAAGCAAACACACAGTTAACGAACAAACCCAGTGTGGCCTTATCGGGCCTTTGTTCTCGTCCCTTGTGAGAAAGGGAGAAAAAGAACGGTGTCTGGAGTAATTGATCAAATTGCAGAACCAGCAGGAGAACGCGCTTCGTGCGGCGGCTCAGCAACAGATTCCAGCGATGGCGGCCTTGAGCGCCACCACATCGACGCCAGTCGTCGCCGAACGCAAGCACAGGGTTCGTTTTCTTGTCTCCTCCGTCGGAACTGACACCCAGCCGCTTATCGGAAATCAGACAAATGTCACGCCAAAATTGATGATCTCCCTTTTGAACGGAAAAGGCTGTCTATGTTATCAATGAACTTCAGAGACGAATCTCTCTCAGAAGTTCAATATTATTACTTTGGCTCAACATAATTATTGAACTTGATTTTTGACGACTTAGCTTAGTATATGTTACTAAACCTGGAAATTTTCAACTCAGAATCGAAGAAAGACTTTTTTTTCTCGCTGACAAAGTGATACACTAGTCTTTCTGAAGATTTAATCATTCGAAAACTCATGATTACCATTTTATAGAAGCCTGTCAACGACGACATCGTGAAAATCATCAGACAACACGATTTGTCGCCAGCATCCATTGCTGAAATTCAGATCCCGGTGCCAAAGGCTATCGAATGTGATCCAGGTACCCGTCATCCCACAAATTTTTCTCATAAAAAACAAATTTCTAGCGTTCCGACCAGTCTCCGAGCAGCAAATCATCCAACAAATCGTACAAGGAAAGAAGTACGAAGAAATGGAAGTCGGCGAGTGCATGATCCAGCTGTGCAAGAAGCTCGCTGAGAAGCGTGTCTTCGGACCACGACTCATGTCGCAGACTACCGTAGCCGGTCTCAACCATTCCAACTACTCCAACCTGCCGATCAAGGGCATCTGCTACATTCAACGTGAGTTTTGAAAGCATGAGAAAAGCTGAGAAGGAATATTTTCTGAACATAGCAACTCCATCTGACTTGAAACGCCATTGCTATTCGAAAATCTTAAATTTCATACTTTCAAAACACAATTTATTGTTTTTGACGCAAAAAAATGGCGGAAAAGTTATTCCTTTTCATTAAGCGCAAGTCAGATTGAGTCGGTCGCGCTAAAAAAAAATACATTAACAAGTATTTTTGCAGATGTTTGCCGCCAAGTGCTTGGAACCAAGATCACATCCGAAGAAGACTTCTGGGACAAGTTCCGCGAAGCAATGCGAAAGTTGGCTGCTCGGTGTCGCCGCGTCAGACACGCCAAGAAGACCAAGAACAAGAACGAGGAAAACTTGTTGGCGACGAGCCAAGAGCTTGCCAAATGCTTCGGAGAAGACGTCGCCGCCACCTCGGCCGCCAGTTTCAGCCACACGATGCAGACTCTCGGACTCAACACCAACGGACTGATTCCGCGCAAGGCTGACGCCGCCGAAGCCTTCAGCTCTGTGTTCAGCAGCGAGGCGAAGAACTTGTCTGTTGGGGACCTCATCCTACTTCAGGCCAACCTTGCCGCATCGGATAAGGTAAGCTTGTTGGCTAGAACTGATATACGGTTGAAAGGCTCCAAAAGAATAAATTTGAAAAAAAATTCCTCAAAAATCCAATTTTTAAATTAAAGGAAGTGTGGAGAAGAAAAAAAGGAGGAGAAAAAAATCCAGAAACTTGCGAAATTTTTCAAACGACGCTTCTGGGGTTTCTCTTTGGATAACCTAAATATTTTAAAGGCTTCGTCCTTCCCAGATTTTTGAAATGTTGATGAAATTAAAGTCAGAAACTTGAAAGACTTGTTTAATTTGCGGTAGTTTCAAGGAGTTCAAACCAACTTTTTTCTATCTCATTGGAGCTTTTTTTCCAAAATTCAAAGCTTCACAAAAAAATCATGACTAAACTGAAACGATTTTCAGATGCAGAAGCCGTTCAAATCGCTGGACGAGTCCAACGCGATGACGACGCTACTCAACATGGCGAACAACTGCGCCCAACAAGCGGCGTTCAAGATTGAAAGCGAGCCTCTATCACCGTGAAAAGACCTCGTGCTCCTTTTTTTTCTTTTTGTTCCTCATCCCCGGCCTGTTGATACTGTTAAGACTCTGTGTCATGCTCTCCATTTATCTGCCGTCTTGACCGCGCATCTCTCCTCCTACTCCTCACAGTTGTATTCGAAATATTCTCTTGCTTCCAGCCGAGTTATCTTCTCATTCCCATGTTTGGGAGCCCAGTGACTCTTTTTCTTTCTCAGCGCAGTTTCTCGGTGAACACACCTTGTATTATATTATTTGTTTGCTACGTAGACTTTTTTCTTCGCATAGAGCATTTACCGCTTTTCGGCTTATTGTGTGTAAAATCCCCCCGCTTCGCAGTCGTTGAGTTTCCCTTTTCTCCCCAAATTTCTATGAAACAATCCTTGTTTTTATATGATTTCCTTTTTTCTATGTAAAAATCGGCCCTCCTTGCCTGGTTACTGTATTGTTTGTTCCTTACGTATTTTAGGTGTTGAATTGTTGCTATTTATTTGCGCATTGGGACCTCTACTGACCAGCTCATGGAGTACTTTTTACCTCAAAACTCAAACATTTCTCAGAAGAATTTCTACGAAAAATCTCAGGCCTTTCTATCGATTCGATTGTCACCCAAAAAGAAAAACCCACCACCCAACTCAGGAACTTACCCCTTGGTCTCTTTTCTTTTCGTCTTTTGTATGCAAAGATTCTATCGTTTATATTTCTCTTTTTTTTCCATCAACTCAGGGATTCTCAGTACAAACTCAGGGAAACACCACTCTCCAACTCAGGGAACTTACTCCGCCAAAAAATTCTGGCGGGGTACCAAATATCTATTCTGTATGTCTCAAAAACTCGCACATTTTCATTCGGATATCATCAAACTCGTTGTCATTATTTCCCCTCAAATGTCGATCCAAAATCTACCTAAATGCTCCATCTCTGATGAATTTCTATCCCACTACCTCCACGTGATTTTCAAAGAAATGTCATCGTTTATCTCTACTGTATCTCTAAAGAAAAACTGATGAATTCCCCGAAAATGTGTTTTTTTGTCGCCTTCAAGCTGCATTTCACTAACATCATTAAAATTGCTGCTAGTCGGTCGAAAAATTGCGAAGAGCCGAAAACGTATTTGCATCTAACCTTTTCTTCATTATATAATCCAGATGAAATCTTCCCATAGTATTCTGCCACTTTTGAAAAAAACCCTGTGTTCTATATACCCTCCGCTAGTGTTGCCGTTAAGCTCCAGTTTTCGCGAGTTTTTCTAGCCAGGCAATTTTCAAAAATGTGACGAAACTTCTCAGAAAGGCTGGAAAAGCTCGCGAGCACCATGACTACCCTCAGTTCATTATCTTACGTTGTTAAACCGTTCTTTCGTCGAATTCAGGACATTCTAAAGAACTCAATGTTTTCTTCGAAAACTGAGCAAAAACGTAATGTCCTAAATTTTGTCTCAAATCCTGGTTACAATAAGATATTCCCAGTTTATGCTAACTCATACCAGTGACACAATTCGCACCCGGCGCAATGTGTTTTTTTTCCTTTTCCTTCAAATTCCATGCTATTCCAATTGACTGAGACATTTGCTTCGCTTATCAATACTCGTACACATTGTCTGACATACGCTTTGTTCAAAATAATAAAATGTATACTCAAAAATGGTTTCGAATCGAAAAAAGAGTAAAAGACTGCGTTTAATGGACAGGGACCTTGAAACCCCAAGTCCAAAACCGAGTAAAGGTAGAAGGAAAAAAAGAAAGTGATGAAGATTTCCTGTAAAGTCTGCCTTAGAAGCGGCTGGTCTCATTTTAAGGCTTCTATCTGGAAAACCGTCTCCGGGCTCCAGCACAACATCTGCTCTATCCTGAGCTTGTTAAGGAGCAATTTGATGGACTACGGGAAAAATGCCTAAGAGAATCGTAAGACCATGCTACGAACTTGATCAACTATAGTTTGGACTTCTATTTCGCCTGAAGCGGTTTTCATTATATCTACAAAGGTCTTTGTTCACCGCCTAGTCGATTACATCTGCGACTAAAATAACAAATTATTGATTGAATGTCATGTAGGTAAAAAAGGAATTTTGAGTAAATTTCCCTTTGCGGATTTTGTAACAGAAACCAAAAAAAAGATAGAATTGGATCTCTATTTTTTTGAACTGGATCTCTATTTTTTACAACTTTGATTCGAGTACTGTCGTTTTCGGGGTGGTATACTCAGAAAAAAAGTAATATTGAGCAGTTCAAGGTGTCAATGCAACTGAGAGAGGGGTTTTCAAGTTTTTATCCTATTCCATTTTTTCATACACCAAAAACAAAACGGTAATTATTCTTAGAGAGCTGCAATCTTTTTTTGAAATTATCCCTGTTTTTTAACTTCTGGCTTGATGGATGTTGGATCAAGACCCTAAATGGTCTGAATAAAGAAGCTTTAAAATTGCACCTCATCGAAGCGAAAAGACACAAAAAAAAGCAGAAAAAGTCAGCGAGATAATTATTGAGAAAACTCAAAAGGCAGATCATTTCAGTTTGTGATTGGTAGGGAAATCTGGCCGGACCTTCAATGATGAACCAGAAGAGTATTCTCGAAGTCTCAACTTGCGAAAATTCCTAGTTTTCGAAAAAAAAGGGCTCAGAGCTTCAAAATGGTCAATTTTTACAGATTTTGAGTTTTTTTTTTGCTTTTTTTTTCTCGAAAACTAAAAAGTCGTTCAGATAGAGATTTTCAGGATCTTTTTCGGGGCATTGATGAGTGTTTTGGAAAGTTTGTCAAAGTACTCCCATTCGCGAAGTAAAATGGCCTCCCTTGTTAGGCTCGTTACCCTATTCTCAACAGTCATTTTCGCTTCTTTAGCTTTGAAATTTTTTTGAAATTCGTGTCAAAAGTTCAAAACTTCGCTTCAAATTTCACAACTTTTCAGAAGCAAAGAAAGTTCAGCTAGGTTTGGGCCTGAAAATATTTTTGAAATAATCTTCAATGAAGGTCACTGACGACGCAATTGCACCTGTTGTTTGATTTTGTACCCGGGACGTTTGAATAATATATTTAACCTTTTTTTCAAATTTATTTTTGAAGATTGTGTGGGAGTTTTAATAAAAAGTGTGGAAAATACAGTAGAAACGCTAGACACTTTTTTTTCTTTGAATAAATCTCTTTGTTCTATCCAAAAAAATCGAAAAAAATTGTGGGAAAAATTATTTTGTAGCTTTGGGAAAAAAAGTCAACGAAGCAGGAGAATTGTATAAAATCTTTTAATACTATTGGTATCTCTCATTTCAAAATTTGTCTCACCAAAGTCTTCCATTTTTTTCCTACATCATCCGGAAAAATGTCGGTTTTGTCAAACCCACTTATTAAAGAGAAGAAAAAAATGAGAATTAAAATAGTAATTTTTTTGGTTCTCAAAAAAATTTTTTTCCGTTCTTCGACCACCAATATTTTTTTGCACCAGTTAAGTAAAAAAACATCGTTTTTTTTTCAAAATTTGTTGTGAGAAATGTTCTGAAGATTGATCAGAATACTTCTTCTATACCGGATGAATATAAAGAAATCTTTTAGCTATATAATTTTCCGGTTTCATAAGGACCGAGGACTCAAATCCTGACTTGAATACTTTAACGGATTTGGTTACTTTGTTTGGCATTGAGGCTTTTTATTTCGAACTTTTGCATTTTGAAACTTCCGGGATTTTGATCAGGTTCATTGAGGAATAACCCGGCCTGATCGAAGACAAGTTTAAACTCCACAAAGAAAAAGCTTCCTCATGAAAAAAGAATCAACTTCATGAACTATTCAACCGTCAATTCATCAAGTAAAAGAACCCTGCCTTCAATTTAATTTCCCAACACTTATTCTCATAAAAATTGCCCATCTTCATTTGCAGAAGAACTAATAATGACGTGAGGTGCGCTGGAGCACGTACTTTCATTTTGAAGAGCTCTCATCCAGAAGAAGTTTTTCATTCATCAACTGCCCCGTCTATTTCAGGGCTATACAACTTGAGGAAGTGTATTTCTTGAGAAAAATGATGATTCCTTTTTTTCTCAAGTTGGCACTCGATGAAACTTGTTTCATGTTTCATGTTTGTGTCTTTCATGATTCTAGGCGGTTAATGTAGTACTCCGTGAATGAGCGGTCAAGTTGGAAGTCAAATATCAGAAATAGAATTAGTGTTTCAAGAAAGTGCCCCCTGCGTTTCGATCAAAGTCTCAGGTACAAATAAACGGTGGTAAATGGAAAAAAATTGGGTATTTGAGGTTACTGTTTCAAACTAACTTAAAATGTCTTGAGAAAAAAAAACCTTTGAAGCTCTTTTTTTCAATCATTTGCTTTTTTTAAAGGGATCTTTTTCCAACTTTAACTAATGACCAGTGGACTGAATTTCGTAGAACGTCGGAATTCGAGTTTTAAAATCGCGATGCCAAAATTATTCATTTTCACATTTTCGACACTCAAAGTTCGAAACTTCGGAAAGTATTCAGCACTTTTTTGAGCATGCTCTTTGAGTTTACCTCCAGTGGAGAGCCAATTTCAAGAACGTTGCTAAATATACCGCATTGTGCGATTTTTAACTGCTTGGGTGGTTTTTTCCACTTGGCAAGGGTGAATTTATTCTCAGTAGTCAGATTTTTGAGCAATCTTTGGAGTCCTCAAAACAAAACACGAATTTAAGGACTTTTTACTTTTTCAAAGAGTTATTCGAAGTGTTTTCTTTTTGCTCTCGACTTAATTTTTACTTAAAAACTTTTTTTCACAAGGAGTTGTTGCTTCATAGTCAAAGTTTTTAACTCACTACTTTCTTCGAAATTCCGAAAAATATCGAGGAAAAACTTATTAATTAAATTGAAACGATTTTTTTCATCGAGGGTTTTCAGATTTCATACAACCTTAGCACAAAAAGCTGAGATACATCTCGATGATCCAACACTTGTTTTTTTCATTTTATTTTAGCTTTTTTTTTAAAAATTAAACAAGATGAGATAGCGCGCAAGTAGTTTCTGGTCGGTCGCGGCGATTTTCTTGGAGCAGAAATACAGCTGTATGTTACAGTTTTGTGAATTTGGTGCATTGAACTTATTCCCGCCAAGACGCGTCGTAAGTTGTGAAAAAAAAGAAATTCAGTCAAATTTCATGAAACTGTCGAAGCGCAATATCGCTTGAAAGACAAGAAGATTTCTGAAACTCTCAGCTTCTTTCTGTCACTTTTTTCTTTCAAAGCGAATTTCGTCGCTTTCTCAGTATGCTCGATCTTTTGTTCACAATTTCATTTTCTCAATTTTCTTTCTGTTGTACTTCGCCAAAGGTCATGACGCACGAAGTGAAAGCTCAGCAAAACTTGACCGGCACTTTTCCTCGACACAAAAGCATTCAGGCGAATTGTTGAGCTTCTGAAGGACCGGTCTCTGAGCGCGATGTCGTCACGAGGGCGGAGCCGGTGCCACTGGCTGGACGTGGGCGAACGCCGGAAGGCCCATTTCAGACGACCGACGTTGCAAAACAGGCAGTCGGCTACGACGACGGAGGGCGGGCTTTCGCCTCAGCTGACATCACTCCTTTCTCGCACCGTCTTGGCGGAGAAGCGCTTTCTGTTCCTCCAACTTACTTGGTTTTTCTCGCCTCAGCTTGTTGGGTATGTTGTGAGAATGCTCATTAAACCTTTATTTCTATAGTTTTATTTTTGGACTTCGAAACCTTTTCAAGGCACACTTTTCGAACAGGGAAAGCTTTCCCTTGTAGAGAAAATATTTCTTTTCTGCGGGAAATAACCGACAATGCGCACTACCGTACTTTCATGGATTCTAAAAGAATGCTGTCTTTTTCTCGTCTCGTTTTCAACACTTTCTTTTGGAATGTCTCAAAAAATTCATAAGAAATGAGTCCTATCGTATTTTCAAAAGCTCAGCAAAAATTTTTTTGCTTTTTAAGCGCCATTCTTTGCTTTGATTCAAAAGAAAAACTTCTTTTCTTTTCAAAACACGGGATTTTCTGAGACTTGTCACAACATAGCTTTTGTAAATATCACACCCAAGCGTACAGATGTGAGATCAACGAAAACAATAATAATGACTTAATTTCGCATTTTATGAAAAATCCTTCAAGCAGCATATTTCCTCATTGTTTCCAGCCAACAAGTTGTTTTTGTATCATTTTTGACTTTGAACTGTTTTTTCGTTTCAAAAACTTTGTACACGATTTTTGGCGATAATAATTAAGAACGACTTGTCTTTCTCTGGTTTTCGATTTGTTTCCGAGGAAACCAAAAAAAAAAACTTCCCCGATTCAAATTATGCCTAATTCGATAGAAGGAAAACATGAACCGGATGTACCAAAAAAAGTTATTTTTGGCTGTTATTCAATCAATCAACGCTTCCAAAAATATCACGTTGATTCCTTTCAACAAATTAACGTGGCGATTCCCTTAAGGCAACTGTTTTTTTGGGCATCGGCTGCTAATTCGAGCAGAACTCGTTCTCAAACAAAACAACGGCGTTAACAAGTTCAAGCGGAAGAAATCGTTTTGCGCGCCACCGGAAACGCGCCAGGGATTCGACATACCAGGTCAATTAACGAGGCACCAACAGACTTCCTCCAGCTTTCCCCATTGATTCCCGCGAGTTTTCGGTTGGATCAGGAATACATATCCAGCTTTTTTCAATAATTCAAATTTCAGGCTTTTTTGAAGTTCAACTTGAGAGCTTCTTTTTTTGATTTTTGTGATTTGACGGTGCTGGGCAATTTTTCAAAGCGACCCTGTCAGAAAAGTTTTCTTATTTTGAGCAGCTATGGTCAATATTTCTTGATCAACTGAGTCATTTCTTTGATTTTGCTTCTATTTCAAAGGTTTAACTTGATTTTTTGAAGCCGCAACCCAACAATGTTTTGAGTTCTATTTGATTGAAAGAAAATCAAAAAAATGAAACTTTTACACGATTTCTGGCTTGACTTAACTTGAAAATCTCTTCATTTTCGAACTTCAGTTGAGGGGAATCCATGAGATAACGATTTTTCTCTTCTGATCCGAAACTTCAGTTATAAAATTTGAAAATCTTTTTTTTTACGAATTGATCTCTTCGACGGAAAAAAATGACTTACCCTATTATTTGACAATTTTTTTCCCTCAATTCCTGAACTTTTCGACAAACAATTCTGCTTCTGATCTCACGATAGTTAATTCATTTCCGGCTGCGCATGGTCAAACATGTCCCACTGCAAATTATGGTTGAAATCACCCAACCGCACAAAATTACTGTTCATTTGGCCTGACGGCGCCGGCCGGCGCGAATTCACCGAGTTTTGTGTCGATGAAGTTCAAAATCGCGAGGTCGTTCAGTGAGGAACGACCAGGAATCGCCTCGTCTTTGTCCTTTCCGACCAACTTGTGACTGAACTTCCATTATTTATCAGCCGGATTATAATCCATATCTTTCCCGTCCCGTACTTGGTACTAATCTTCTTGGAATTTTGTTTACAGTTTGATCACAATGATCTGTTATCACGACCTCACTTGCTGCCTTTCTTTTCGTCCAAGCTTTCCAGGAGCCATTTTTTATATTCTCCCTTTTTTCTAAACGTAGTTTGGAGCTTTTATAATCGCTCATAATTGTTTCATTTTTGAGCCATCGTTTTTCTTTTTTTTTTTTGCCTTTTCAAATAGTTTTCGCCACTCCTTTTCTCCACTTCTATTGACTTCTTTTTTATGTTTTCTCCCGTTCATTTTTAGTTCCGCCGCAAGTTTTTACGTTTCATTGACTCTTGGCTTCCAGGATTATTTATGAAAAACGAGTTTTGAGCACAGCTCCGTAATTATGTATCCGACAATTATCGCCGGTCTTTTGATGATGCAAGTTGGACAAGCAGTTTGTGAGCGTCTCTTTTTGGATTTTAAGGAATAATTATGACTTTTCAGTCTCGTCCTGCTTCTTCTTGCCCAACATGAACCTCGAAGGAGGAACTTTTGAAGAGTTTCCTACACAGCATATCCGAGACTGCTGTGTACGATGTGCAGATATTCCTTGCTGTATTGCTTACACTTTCAACCAATCTGAAAATCGGTTGGATCAGAAGAAAATTTGGAAAATTATGGAGAAATTCAGTTGTTATCTCAAGTCTTCGATCGGACAGTCTACAGAAGATAAAACGCATACAAGTGGTCTGAAATCAAATTCACACTCAGGTTTGTTTTTCGAATGATGTAAGAGGCTAGAAACAGGAAAGTTCTTTGATAATCAGTCCGAAGCTTTTAAATAATAGTGTTTCAAAAAAAGTTTAATATTTCGAAAAATAGGCTGAAAAGCTCTTGAAAATGTCAGTTGGAATTTCTAGAAACCACAAGAGCTTTAGAACTTTATCTTAATTTTTTTAGTATAAAAAAAGCTTTGTGGCGCTTTTTTTCCTCAAGCAAAGCGTGAGCAGCCATTTTTGAGCTTTTGGTTTCAAAATTTTTGCGGTTAGACAGGGCCTGGTTTTGAAGAGTCCTACGGAAAGGAATCGAGCAATTCACGGAAGATTTTGAGCTTCCAACGCAAATTACCTTTCTTGAGAATTTTTTTCTGAGCTGAAACCGTAGTCTGTTCATAAATTCTCGTGAAAGTATTCGAGAGCGCAAAAATCTTAAATCACTCGAAAAGGCTGTTAAAAGGGCTCTTCGCCTTGAGGCCTTGATCAAATTTGCTCTTTCAAAGACCTCAGAAAGCATTTTTCGAACAGGCTATACACGTGAACGTGAGCTGAATGAGAAAGAGGGAATTTTCTCGGAAAGTGTCCGAAAAACGAAATTAGAGTGCGCATATCTTCCACGTCACTCACCCATCCAATATAACTCGAATAAATTGGTTTTTTTTTTCTGGAAAACTTTCTCGAGTCTGCCCTTTATGAAGTTTTCTCTGAGGTTATTCTTGATGAATTTTCAGGAAAGGGCGTGAAAATGAGGAACACCAAGATCTACGGGGATCGAGAAGCGCGGGTTGCCCTTTCCAATCTTGAAGAATGTCAACAATATTGCACGAGTAAGTTTTCGTTGTCCTCTGTTGTTGTAAAGAATTAGTGTAACTGCCCCGACGATGAAGCATTCGTCGGTGTGAAAGTTTGGCAGACACTAATTGTCGGATCTGGCGACTTCCGGTCCAACTAAGGAGAGAATACAATGGAAGTTTTTGGTGGAGGGACGTACACGCTTGAGAAACCTGTTATATTGGTGGGAATATGTGGACGTTTCCGCTCCTCGTTCGGTTCTCCAAATACTCGCAGAACATAATCAAATCAAATCAACCAGTGATTGTACAGGCTGCTTTCTGAGAAGTGGTTTCGGTTTGAGAAATGAACAGAGACCGATTGATTTTGAGAAGAAAAATGTTTTTGAAGTTGAATTTGGACGTTTCGGAAGGGTATGAAAAAATTTTGAGTCCGCAAAATTTCGTGAGCGTCAGTTGTGCATACACCCATCAAAAAGTTCAAATTTGGAAAAAGAAAAAAAATCTTCGACCCAAGAACTCTTTTTTTCAAGTTTTCAAAAACTGTTTTTACAGCTCACTTCGACAAAAAAATCAAAGTATACTTCTTCTTTTTTTCTATAATTTTTATTGGAACTTTTTATCGGTTTTTCACTATGTCAGAATGATCTTGGCTTTGTTTTTGACTAACTAATTCACAAAAAAACAGTTTGATGAACTTTGATCGTCAGACTTAAGACTCCAGACAAACAGTTTCCTTATTTTCTTTTTATGATTTTTTTTTGTCGGGTTGAGATTTCGCGTAGTTTTACAACTTAATTTCCACTTTTAAAGCCACCTAAAGTACAAGGCGCCTCAATTTTGAGTGATTTCTTAGTAGAAGGGGCGGAAGATCACACAAAAAATAAGGTTCTCTTAGATGAGAAAAATTATTTTTTTGGTTTTTTTAAAATTGAATAAACCGCCATTGATGAAAGTGTGAAACTATTTTTTTCTATTCCATATCCCCAAAAAGTGAAATAATTGGGATCAGTGGTCATTTCACTGGAAAAGGTCTTGTGTTCAAGAAACGGAACTTTTGGCTCAAGAGCTTCTGAAAAAATTCGAATTTTTCATCGGCATTTTTCTAGACCGCTTTTTTTGTACAGTTGTACTTCAATAACCCTCAAAATTTTCTCAAATTGTTCCGACTTTGAAAACCTTATTTTCGAAGAAACAACAAATCACAAAAAAAAATTTGAGAAAGTTAATAATGTTCGCTTGAAAAAGAAATTCAATATTGCAATTCAAAAACCTCCCAGTTGATTTTTCATTCATTGGATTCATTTTTCTCTCTTCCAGCGTTCAAAATCTACTCGTGGGAGCCGACGCCAGCTCAAAGCGACGAACAAACCGGCTATTGCTCCTGCATGACGCGAATAAAAGAGATGAAGTACTCGCACGGTTGCTTCTCGGAAATTATGCCGCACGAGTAAATTCCTTGCCCTTTTTCAATTGTCTCCTCTCGATGATCATGATTAAAAAACCATCAAGCTTCCCACAAAATCCCGTAGAAAATTGTCGTCTCAACAATCCGTATGAAAATGGTGCTGTACTCTTTTTCTTTCGACCTCTGTCCATTTCGCTTTAATTTCAAGGATATAGTTCGTTCAAAAAAGCTTGTCATGGCTGATAGAACAGCATGAATTTCTGCCCGAGAGGATGAAAACTTCTCTTCAAGATATATTTCGGCTTTTCTCTACGCCTTCAAATACTTCAGAAGTATGCAAAAATGAGTCAAGTACTAGATCAAAATCCTCAAAGGTTGAACCAGCGAATTTTAATATTTTCCTTAGAAAGGGTGGCTGAAAATTGAAAAAAAAGTTTTCTCTGCGTTTCATTTTTGTGTCTAAAACGTTCAACAGTCTTCTCTCCAATTTAGAAAAAATCTGAAGCTAAAAGAAATAATATTCACTGTCTACAAGCTTATGAATGGACTATTCAAAACTACTATTCTTTAAAGATAGCACTGCTTTATTTAGAACAAACTTGTGAAAAAACCCTCCGAGCTTATTTTTTCTTACTCTTCTTTCTCATATAATTCCTTCTTTTCCTTGTACTTTTCGTGCCTGTTGTACTTTCTTGGAACTCATCTTTGCAAGAGCTTATAAGATTGACGCCCTTTTTCCCATCTGGATTATTCTATGTGCTACAAAATCTTCCTAGCTTCATATTCCCAAAAACAATCGGTTTCGTCGTTGTCGACTCGATCTCCATTCTGCAATAAATATGTCAGTTACGAGTTGAAATCAAAAAATCGAAATATGAAGGAAAAACTGGAAGGATATTGAAAGTAATGTGCAAAAAATCGAGTGTTTGATCAATGGGAACCCAAATCTTTCGAGCTGTTCTCAAGTGTTTTTCCATCCGGCACTGTTTTTATAGGATCTTCGTATAAAATACAGGTAAAAGCTGGGTAAGCTTTAGCTTTCTGCTCACTGTTTTGAAGACTCTGAAAAATTTTTCTCGTCAAGATTTCGGCCTGGTTTTTTGTTTTGAGGTTCAAGGATTTCTTTCAACTTTTCAAAGATGTTTGAGACTTTTTAATATAATTTTTTTTTCCTTTTTTTGATCGATTTCTAAATGACTTTAATTTTTCAAGATTTTTTTATAGTCTCCGTTTTGATTTAGTACATCGAATTCACATTTTGACTTCTTGAGACTTTCCACATGAGCCAAAAATTTTCTCATGGATCTCATAAAACAGGAATCCTGTAAAAGCAACACTCTCGATCATAAAAAATCCAAGTCTTCCTCCTAAACTCATTCTGCTCCCCCTGATATTCTACAACCATCCAAGTTTTTACTGTCCCTTAAAGTTCCCTCGAATCTCAAGACGGTAAAATACGCAAGAAAAATAATGACGTGATCGGTAAATAGAAACCTCCGCGCATGCAAAATTCTCGAATTCTTCCCGTTTTTTTCTTTCCGATCGCCGTGACTAATCAAAACCAACAAATAAACTGGCTCGATGGTCCACGCACTTTTTTTGATTGTACTTCTGGGTTAACCGCTCACGATTTGACCACATCAAAGCTTTTTTTTTCTCGAAAAAAGCTCATTCTCAAGTATTTTTCTGAGCAGGAATTTTTCAAAAAGCATTGTAGTTATCATTGTCGTTGAATTTTATTGACAGTTTCAACCCAAAGCCTTTTTTCCTTTCAAAGGGCGTTGGTCTTGAAATAGTGAAATCATTCGTCTTAACTATATATTTTCTTTCTAACCAGACACCCCAGACCAAAGAGCGGTAGATCAAGATCAAAAAAGGGAAAAATTTAATACATTTTGACGAACAATAAAGTTAAAAAAACAGTGTGCAAATTGTTTCCGTACCTGAACACTTTCCTAAAAAATATAAAATAGAGGAAGTGGGTCAAATCAACCCGCTAAATTTTCCCCTTCTTTTTTGAGAAATTTGATAAGAGTTTTGTTCAGACGATTTTTGATGCGAGGAATTGCTAGAGATAAGAAATATTTTTTTATTTTTTTATTTTTTTCTATGAAATGCAAAACACTTTATGAGAAGGTATACTTGGGCTGATGAAGGATACAAAAAATTTTAAAAGGTAATTTGTCTTATAAAACATGGGAAACCCGAAAATTGTAGTTTTTTTTGTACTTGTCCGCATTTTTTCGGCTCTGAAATTAGCCCCAATAATCTTTTTTCTTTTTCATTTACACGACTCTCCAATGTATAAGCTGATTTTCCCCCATTTCTTGATGTTTTCGAATTTTTGTGTTTGGCGTTTCTCAAAGCTATTTCACCAAAACTGTCCGCGTTTATCTTTTTTTATGAGAAGAAAATTCATAATCCGTACAGGAAACGATTCCCCAACGTCCTTCGCATCCATCCGCACTTTCCAGTGTTATTTTCACTTTTGCAATGACGACCAGAGAACGGTTGGAATCTGCAATCATACATCAACCTGCCGCGGTTCTAGCGGGGGAACGAGGAGGAAAAATCACTGACGACATTCTTTGCGACGCTCGTTCAGAAGCATGAATAACGGCGTGGGTGCGTCGAGTTTGAGCGGTCACCGTCGAACCAGTGAAGAAAAAGCGACAACATTGACCGCCGGTTGATTTTTCGTGGTGACCTGCGGAGAGGAATCGCCTTGATTCGTTCATTTTTCAGGTCTTCTCCACTTCCGGCAACATGTTTTTTTTTTCACTATGGTTATTGTTTTTGACGGTTACTCAAGCAGAATTGCTCTACTTCACTTTTTATTTTATTAATTTCTCGTTTAAAGGGATTTTCAGACGACGGAGAGGGTAGTTTTTGAGACGGACAGCTACTGAACTCTCATCTGAAAAAAATGCACTCAGAATTCTCTTTTTAAAAGAAAGATTTCTTCAAGAATAATCTCTCGAAAAGCTTACTTTGGCTGTAAAAAAAGCAGAAATCTCGACTACGTGAAATATCAAAAACGCAACCTTTCTTTTTTAGTGCTTTTTTTGCAAAACGCAGCGAAAAAGATGCCTCGAAATTCGTTGAAATTTGTTTCTTGTGACTTTGAAAAATCTTAACTTGAAAAATCTTTTGTCAGTCTGTTTTTTGATTTCAAGTTCAAAGTCTCATATTTTCTGGGTTAAAACGATTTCCAAGATGATCACAGCGTCATTGAACTGTGCACTCCTTTTTTTATGAGAAAGGCTTGAGATTTTCGATTTTCATTCATTCGATCGTTTCTGAGGCGCTTAGGTGAATTTAATTATTTTTTTATCAATTATGAAATTTCTAAGCAGTTGATTCTAATTTTCCCCTCGGAAATCCTTCAAAAAAATACAAGTTCGATTTTTAATTTTTTTGCGATTGTAAAGGAGGTTTCGCAGTTCTTCATTTTTCATAGATGGGGGGGGTTTAATTCATAGGTGAATCAAATATTTATTCGAAAAAAACCAGAATTAGCATGGAATCAGAGCAACCGTAATCCGTGAGTTCAACAAAAAAACCTCTTTTTTTCGGTGACTAATTCGAGTCCTTGACAGATGGGAATGGGATTCCCATAAAGAGTAAAGGTGGTATAAAACTACTGTTTGTTCCTCTGGACGCATCATTCTTTGCATAGAACTTGTAAGATTTCCTCCGCTCAAAGTGACGAATTTTTGTTTGACTTTTTCAAGAGGTTTTGTATGATATGTTTGTGCCTGATTTTATGATTTTGCTTAAATTTGCTGCTCTTCAACCTTGTTGAACATTTATTTTAAAGTTGAAAAAAGTCAGAATGTGTATCGTCCACTTTAAAATGTCTCAGGCTCTGCTCAGACAAAAGACATAAAGCTCAGTAGGAAGAAAAGCCTCTAAGAAGGTGTTAGGGTTGTTTTGAAAAAATTTAAAGTTAAATTCATGAAGTCCTCAGGTCAAAACGAAAATCCATTTCCCAGCATTATCTAAGGCCGTGAAAAACTCAACAACCTCAGCAGAACTCAAAAAGCTCCTCAATCAGAGATTCTATTGAAACTATCAAGACAACTCTGAACAGACTATAGCGCATTATTTGAGTTCCACAGCTGTTAAAACAGGAATACCCCTATCAGCATTTTGACGCAGTTATGAACTTTTTATTTGTCTTTTTGAGACTTTCAAACAAACCCGAAATTTGCATCCTCACTTTTTTGCGTGGGGTGATCATCATCAAACAGTTTTTTTTTTCCATGAGCTTCAAAATAAACTTTATTAGTGTTTTCCCTTTTTTATAGGAAAGCAAAAAGTAGGCGTTTCTATTTGCTTTGAGTGGTCCATTGGCTCGTAGTGCAAATTTCACGTTCCGATCTTTCGGTGGGCTCTTTTTGACACTTTTCTTTTCCGCGTCAATTTCAGATTACGAATCATTTCCTATATAATGGCCGAGTTAGTTTTTCGGTGCTTTACATTTAGCTATTCACTCGAAAAATTGTAGCAATCTTGCGATTAACGATTCTGGAAGTAGAGAATTCCTTTTTGAATTGTTTTTGAAACAGAAAAGTAATTTTTTTCAATCTGTTTTTTTGAAATCTTCTTTCCCTCTTCGGTTTCTGAAACAGCAAAGCTAGGTATTATACTATAAAAAAACCTGATTTTTTTGCATATTTTTCCTAGCGTGCTTTTCCATAATTAAATATGGACCTATGAAATCTACTCTGACCTCATACTTTTTGTACTTTCCTGACAATGATGTGAAGCACGTTTTGAACTCAAAAAAGTTTGCCTTTCATTTTGGAAGTTTTGTGATACGTTAAAATTAGTTCAAATTCCATTATGATGTCATTTTGAGCTTTGTGATCTGCCAGAAACGGTTGCCAAGGAATTTGCAGACGCTAAAAAAATTTTCTGGAAAAAAAGAGAACGAATTTAATATTTAATATCAAAATACTTGCGATGAAACACTAAAAATCTTTTTCATTCATGTTGACCCCTGACCATTTTTAAACAGCTTTTTGAAAATCTTCAAGGTTTTCGTTTTTTTTCATTTTGAGCAAAATTTTCACTTCAATGACCAAAGTTTGAAATAACGTCATATTACTTGATTCTGGTTATAACGTAGACCTTCAAAATCAATTTTATCAGTTTTCAATTCAAGATAACCACCTTTTTCATTACTTCGATCAAAAATCATAATTTTTACGTCTTTCTCTGCGAGGAAAACTATCGAATAGCCGAGCCGATGATAATAAAAGTTGGAACTGATTTCAAAATCCGTGGGCGTGTTGGCGCCAACGTTGTTTGCCCCTTTGCATAATCGCTCTGACGATTGCAACTTGATCTTTTTTCGATCACTTCTCTTCCCAAAAAGGAAAACTTGCTTTTACAGGCGTCGTGTAGATACCGAACAGATGCCGCCGCCATCTGAACAAAGCCCTGTCATTGTCTCCGCAGTAATCATTGTTATCATTTTTATTCAAAACTGGAACGTTGCGTAATTCTCTTTTTTCTCACGGTCCTTATCACTTTTTACTCTTTTTTTGTAATCTTTGAAGAGTTTTATGTCTTACAAGGTACTTGCCAGAAGCCTCCGTTTGAATGTAGTTTGATTGAACTTTGCTGAGAGGTTTTTGAGGCATCCTGATCCAAAATCAGAAGAAAAAAGTTGCTATTTTTGCTTTTCAGTATAGTTATGATGCCCTTGGAACACCAAAAATCTTTTTTTTTCATTTGAAGGGGTATAGTTCAAGCTTCGATGCTTTTAACTTCACTGAAACAACAGAAGGAGCAATTTTCCGACTGATTACAGAATCAAAGAAGTTTTAAATATCTCAGAGCAATGTTCTATCCAATTCTTTACAAATTATTTATTCATCTTTTTTAGATCCATCAAATCTACTCCAGTTCGAAACCTCTGTAGAAGGACGTACCTCAAACGTCTTTTTGAATAATTTCATTCACGTTGTCTGTTTCGGTCGCTTCCTTTGATAAAATCGATGCTCCGTTGACTGGCTTATCATCAGATGTTAGTCATGATCGCACCCCTTTGACAAAATTTTCCGCCTTTTTCGAATTTTTCAAATTTTCTTTTTTTGCCGGTAATCAACTGCTGACGATTTTTCCGTAATTAATTGAACTGAAAATTGAGATTTCAGTGATAAGATGAAGTGGTCAACGGCTAATTTCGTCTTTCCGTTTGCTTTATTTGTTGCAGTTGAAGCTAGTGAACACATTCTACGTTTAAAAGGTTTGTTGAATTTCGAAGTTTGTAGTTTTTATGACAAAAAAACATCAAGCTTAGAAAAACTTTACAAATATATTTCATTCACGAATGAGTTATTCAAAAAAATGATAGAAAATTCTAAACACGTTTTTTTCTGCGCTAACCGTATAAAAAAATCCTCTGGGAATCCTGTCCCAATCCAGTGGTCAATGAGCTTCATTTGATCTTTCTCTGGTTTTTTGCAAAATTCTATAAAATTAGCTATTTATCATCAAAACTCACATACAGTAGTCTTCAATTCTGCAGAATCTCAATTAGTTTGAGTCAAAGTTTGGCATTTTCTCGAAGTACTAATTAATTAAAAACGTACTTATCAGGATTATTCATGGAATTTTGACTCATCTGTACTGATTTAATGAGGATGTTATGTACGAAATTCAATGACCACTTTGATAAATTGAGCTAGAACTTTGAGCTTTGGTAGAATAGAAATCAGACTTGAAAACGATATTTTTCATTTGGAAATGCAATTTTCATGTAAAAACAAAAAATGGGTCTCTGCGTTGCGGTCGCGCTGCGGTCAGGAAATTAATTGAGACTTTTGACGTTAAGAACCAGCCCTAAGCATCCGACCTTGAGTAGCCTTTCACTATTCAATGGGATGCCGCTGGCAAAAATAATGTTTTTTCTGGCGTCCAAGGTAACAGCTTGACGGAAGCTTCAGCCTTTTTCGAGGAAGAAATTTTAACTCCTAAGAAAAATTAACATGTTTCAGAAGGAGTCCACGCTCCAACGACTTTGATCGGGATTGAAGAAAACTCACGAGTGGTCATCAGATGTGAACATCCATCAGGCTCATCAGAAAACATCAAATGGCTCAGGACTGGAGCCAGCATCGATCCGAAGTTTGTTCAACTTTCCAAGTAAGAGCTTCTGCTTTTCCTGTTTAGTTGAAGTTTCGTTCCACCTGTCATGATTTTTGGGGCTTCGCTGGTGTCAATTTTCAAGAAATTGTGTCTGTCCTTTCATATCGAAGTATAGGCTTTCTAAGGCGGAATACTGCTTAAGATTGAATTTTCTCGGTTTTTTTTTCTGCTCGAAAAGTCGAAATATGAATCCTGCTGTTGCCAAACTTTGAAAGTTCAAAATCTTTACATCGAAAAAAATTTTCCCGATTTTCTAATAATTTTATTGTTTTCATCATAGTTTTTTTCCTACTCCAATTTGGATGTAGACGAATTATGCAGGATAGAATTATTTTTGAAAAAAAAGCAATTTGGACTTTTTGTCGTTCGATCGCTGTAGTTCCTTAGATTCGCATTGTTTCTCTCAAACGTTTTTTTTAACCAAGCCAAATAAGTTTTCAGAGATAAATCGGAAATCGTGATCGAAAACTACGACTCTGTAGACCACGATGGTGTCTACGAGTGTTCGGCTGTCAGTTTCATTCTCCTCAACAATTTTTGAAATTGGAAATCTCAGAAAGGAATGTCAGCTTCTTATCGTCTGAGAGGAGAGAAAAAGTACGATTTACCCGAAGGTTTCCGGTTTTGCGTCGGGGAAGAAGTCAGCAATTGCAAGCATGCCCGAGTTTGCCGAGTAGAAGTTTCTTCGGAGATTACCAGTTGCATGTGAGTTTTTATCTGATTGGTCTTTTTTGATTTTGTAATTAGAATTCCCTCGACTTGCTTTGATTTTGACTATCCTGTCAGTCGACAAAAAAAAAAGATTTCTCAATGTTTTCTTCGATTACAGTTTCACATAGTTTGTTTCTACCCTTTTTTGTCCCAAGCTGAATTTGAATGGAGTTTACACCTTAAAGAAATACCGCAGATGAAATTCCCGTTCTATTCAATTTTTTTAAAATATTTATTGTGATGTCTCATCCAAAAAATTAATGACCATCTTCCAAAAAGATTCATCTTTTTATTCGATGAAACCTGCAATTTTCTTTTCCTTGATTTTTTTCTCGACGAAAAATTCGTCTTAATAAAAAGTATAGTTCAAAAAGTTCATGTTCTAGCTTTTTTCCAAGGATATCCGGATTTTACTGGTTAAGCTCCTCCTATCCTCACTCTTATCTCCGCCTCCTGATTAAACTCGCCTCGAGCTCATTCTCCTCCCAACAAAGACTCATTTACTGCGGTTTCAGCTGCGAAATCGGCTGGATGGGTGCGAACTGCGACTCTCTGGACACTGTCCGCTCTCCGGTACTGTCACCACCAACACAACAAGTCTGCTCTTACTGTACGTTTCTAACACTTTCTAACACCGATTTCAGCGATTTCTATTGGAGAGAGAACTGTCAGATGAAGCAGTAGCTTTGAACATTAAATTAAGAATCTTTATAAGAAAAAAAAACGTTGATAAACTCACGCTTTTGCAACTATATCAGGATAAATTATGAGATTTGCGATGCTTTTTGATCTTGGTGCGCGGAAGTCGTTTAAAGTCGGTTGCAAACGGAAGATCGCCTTCTTTTGCATTCTAGGCAGTTTACGTGCTATGTGGAGGTTTCGTCTTACAAAATTGATGAGAAATGAGAGTACTGAACGTTTTCAGGTTGAGATGCCCGAAACTCAGCTATTTTTTACTTTTCAGATTTTTGAGTGAATGGCTGTCGGAATGCGTAAAATCATTCACAGAACTTTAGCCAAAACTGATTTGAAGCGAAAAATTGAAGAACATCCATTCCTAATTATTACAATGAAATATCCACAAAAACAACACAAGAAAAAGTTAAAAAGAAACTTGGCAAAAAAAACTATTTTTAAATATCAGAAAAACGTCGTAAAAAAGGAAAAAAAACCATAGAACTTTGAACCGCAAATCTCTGATAAGGGATCTTACCGTAGGCCATTTCACACTTTCAATTAACTCATAAAAGAACAAAGACGTTATTCATTGTCATCGTTCCTCTCAATTAACCTGTTAAACAACGGAAAAATCTGCAGAACTAAAGATTTTTTTTCAAAACCCCCACTAGAGAAGGAAAAACAGATCACAGATCTCTACAGTAGGATACTTTACACTTTTAATTAATGAATAAAAAAAACAAAGACATGATTCATTATCATCGTTTCTCTTAATCAACTTGTTGACTACCCTTAATTAAGATAAGGTTGATTTAATTAGACGATCGTACTCTCTGCGAAATTGCTGAAAATTAGTCCCCGTGTCATCTAATCAAACTAACCAATGTTCACTGTCTTGCGTCTTGGTTACTGATCCATTCCAAAAGAGAAAATATCGAAGACAATCCTAAGAGTAGAGCAGATTCAGGGACGCCGCTGGTCACGGGCATACTGTTTCTCTCTGCTCTCTTCATTCTGGCCGTCTGCCTGTACAAATTCAAAGTGAAGAGCTACAACCGTCCCGGGAACTACTGCGGTCACAGAGAGTGAGATTTTCGAAGCTTTTTTTTCAGGATAGTTTATTCACCTAGACTCTGCACTCTCTCTTTCTCTCTGCCATGAAGTGAAAAACAGGAGTTGGTCTCAGAAAACCTCTAACAGTCCGGGCTTTTTTTCACCAATCACAGCTGAAGTCGAAGTCATTTTTTAATGTTAAGGATTCTTAAACATTTCGACTTCAAGTTCCCAAAGAGTCGAGAGAACAAGAGAGCGCAGATGGTTAGGCAGTGTTTGAAAAAATGAACTTTCGCAGTATAAAAAAAACTTAGTGGATTTTGAAATTTCTAAACATCCAAAAAACCATCGAATTTTCAGCAACTCGCCGAAGTACACTGCAGTGCAGGGAAGAATCGTCGCCACTGCGGAAGAAGCAGACGTCGTCTGAAACTTTCAAACCCAAAACAATAACCATCACAAGTCATTTTGTGATCGTCCCTAAAAAATCTCTCGAAAACGTCCAAATTGCAATGTCTCCTTAGTTCCCCCTACAAATAACCGTATCATGTTTAATTTATCATGTCCCCCCAAATACTTTAGTTCTCATCTCGTCAAAATTGTTTGCGTTGATCTCGAAAGTCCATAATTTCATTATATCCATGATTCATCTGTGTGCGAATTTTCGTAGTTTTTTTGTAATTTTTGGCACCGAATAAAATGTTAGTATTGCAGTCCATCGGTTTTATATGTGTTTGGAAACAAATAAGAATGAATTTTCGAATAAAAACAACTTAAAGTAAAAGCTACAACCAAATTGAATGATTTTCTGCTCAAACTACCAAGATTTTTTTGTAAATTTCAAGTTTGTTTGCGCAGGTGGCCTTACATTTCATTCAAATTTATCTTGGGAGAAAGTCACCAAAATTTCTTTTACGTTATTCGCGTCAAGACCAATAATTAACATCGCCCATTCACTGGAGAATATTCGATGTTCAAGAGCTGAAATATTTCTGAAAATCATCCTTATCTGGATACTTGAAAAGTTTGGGAAACCAAATTTATGTTTTAAAATGTTCCTTCCGATCTCGGTTACTAAAATTTTAGTCAGCGGAAATTGCAGCATTTTTATTTGGAAATTTTACGAAACTTTTGAGATTTTTCAAGAACTTTAATATGACTGCGATAACTTCAGAATCGCGAGAAAAACATATTTTACCTTTGTATGAATGTGTAACAGGTAGAAATCACGTTTAATATGGTTTATTAAATTTTTACGTTTTTTTGAACTTTATCCCTAAATCGCTTTCATACGTAAAACAAAAATTCAAAAATACCAATCTTTCATGAAAAAAAATGAGCTTCGTGCTAGCCAAACATTATAATTTTCCATCAAAGCTACGGTTAAATTATTTTTTTCAAAAAAATAACGTTCAAAAAAACCTACCATTAAAATAATGTGTGCTTTTTATTGGCTTTCCCTTCATTTTTACTCTCAACAACAAAATTTCTCTTTTTCTTTTATCAAAGTGTGTGAATAAAATTGAAATTTTTCAACTAAAATTGAAAATATGAAAAAAAGTGAAAAGGAGAAGTTATCAGAGTCTTCAAACAGCTTTTTAATAATTTTTTTATAACAAAAATCTATCAAAAATCCTCTGAAATTCTCACGAGATTCAAGTCGGGCGGACGTTGGACCTTTCAGAAGATTCGACTTTTTGCAACTAATTTTGTTTTTCCTTTTGAATAAAATATAAAAGTAAAATGAAAAAAAGAGAACAATGCGACGTCACCTTTTAAAAAGTTCCAAGGCGCGGCGAATGCGCTCCACTGAGAATGCACTTGAAAAAAAGCCTTGTTTTTGTAAATTTATATTTTTTTAGTTTTTATTAAGCTTGTTTTTTTAATTTTATTGATTTTTTTCTTATCGACGGGTTCAGAAGAACACAAAGTTATGGCAACTTTTGATAATTTTTTTGCTTTCGTCCTTCAAAAAAACACTGAAAAAAAGGAATTTTTTTCAATCGATCGATAAAGGAACTTTTTTCTCAAAGCTTGTGATCTTTTTTCATGTAAATTTGTCTTTGTCGATTTTTCATATTGAAAGCTTTTGTGAAGTTATTTTTATTTGTTTTCCAGGTACTTCAAGAGTTTATTGAACTCTCTTCTAGTTATTATTTATAAAACGGCTCTAGTTATGTCTAGATCTGTTTTTTTAACAAATTTCTTGTGTTTTAATTTTTCCATTCTAAATTTGAGGTTCAATAAGAGTTTCTGAAAAACACTTTTTTTGTTAGGAATCTGTTTGAAGAAATTTCGTTCTATTGGATTTTGCTATTCAGTGAAGTTTCCACTTTTTTTAATATCCCGTTTTTCTTTTTTTTTATTAAACGATCAGTTCATTTTCATCGCTTTTTCAGAATACGTTATAGATTTTTTTGATATCAAGGAACAAGTTTGGTTGAAAAAGCTGATATTCAAATTAGTTTTTTTGTGAAACTTTTTACGAGATTTTTTTCTGAGACTTTCTCAAATTTGTTTATTTTTTTGTAAACACTTGAATGAATTTATAAAAACTCAATTTGCAGCGCCATGCCCTGGCTTGGGTTATCGCTCACAAGGGCCATACGCGATCCTCTGGTCTCGCTCATTTGCCATCCGGCCGCCAAGAACTACGCGACTTTTGTAATAATTTCCTATATGGTTCTTGGCGCATACATCAATTCGATTGCACCTTTCAAAAGTGGTGAGATTTTTTTATTTCAGTTTCATCGTTAGAAATTACTTCAAAGACGATGCGTGCGCTTTGCAAGAGAAGTATAGGCCATTCCGCCCCTGCTTGTCACGTTTTTCTTTCCGCTAAAAGGCCAGGTCAAATTTAACCAACTTTCGCTTCGAGACCTGTGTTTCTTGCCGTTATAAAAGCAGAAATTTGATTTATTTTGGTATAAGGTCTTTATCGTGGGAAGAAAAACTTGACACGCTTGCGCGGAATAGGCTATATCGACTGGGAAAAATTCGTGAAAAAGAATTATTGGGCTTTTTAAAATTTGAATCAAAATAAAGATTATTGAGTTTCTCGTTAAGAGATATTTTTGAAAATATAAATTTTTATCCAGCTGGAGGAAGTTTGAATATGGCAGCGTTGAAACTCTTATGCAAAAAAATGAAAACACTCAAGCCGAAAAAAAAACTAAGTTTTTCAGGAATTTTTGGAAAAAAAGAAACTTCTCGCTTGAAACAGTATTTTTTTCTTGCAAGGATCTCTTCTTCTTTAAAAAAACTTTGGAATATTTTTTTATTTCATAACACGCTGCGATTTTCAGTGGATCCTCTGAACATCAAACCGTTTGTGACGATCTTCGTCTTCACTTCGCTGATGTTCTATCTCCCACTTTTTCCGATGGGTGAACTTATAGGTAAATTTTGAACTCTCCAAGTATCGTAATTTATTTTCAGAACTTGGTTTGACGGTAAATTGTCTTTTTGAAAGTTTGTACACAAAACGTGGCAACCTTTTGGAATACCAGAAGCAGAAAATTGTCGTTCACCGCCTGGCAGTATTGTCATTTTTTCCATGTGAGTTTTTGAATTTTTTTTAAACCGTAAAAAACCTCAACTTAAAGCCGCGCCCGACCTTAAACTGTTCGCGCGAGTGATATTCATAATCATTTCAATCTTTCAAATGCATCTTAAAGCCACAACCAGTTCGAGTCAATAATTTCTAGATTGATTGACTTCGGCTTGTAATTTTAATTTTGAGAAAAATAGAAAATTTCAATTTTTTTCTGAGAGATCTATGTGATTGAGAATAATTTCAGTTCTATTCTTCAACTTTCACGCCTACGTACACGACAGCACAAAAACATATCCGACTATGTTCCTGTACTTTTTTGGTTTGGTTTTTTTCATTTTTTTCTTATTCTTTCTTTCAGAAGCGTCTATTTGGCTTCTAACTTGCATATTTCTTCTTGGGGAAGATTTTCTCGAGAAAGGCATTGGAAAAAAACCGATCAAATTCATAGAAGATTTTAATTTACCGACGGACATAATTTTACAATCTCTGATGCGGGAAATAGAAGAACACACCGCTTTTCAGTTTGTTTTATCGAGTGAGTTTTTTTCTTCATAAGCACTCTTTCTGAAAAATTCTGCTCGTAATTCCATAAATATTAGTACAGCGGTACTTAAGGGCACCCTTTTTCCGCTCAAAAAAATTTTTTTATTCCGCCTTTTATTTCATTTATGGTACCTCACAGCATACCCAACTTCCTTTTTTTGTGATGAATAATGTTTTTCTGGCGTCTTCAAAATTTCTTTAACAAAAAGCGCACTTTTTTTCCAACTTTATGCAAAAAAATCATATAAAACCGTGTAACTAACGACAAGGCTTTTTCAAAAAAGCAAATTGCAATTTTCAAAAAAATTATTTATTGAAAGATATGAAGTTCCCTGTTTAGAATCTTCAAACCACACGATGTACGTCACTGACAACGGATTCTTGGTCTTCCTCTCAAATTGGGACTTTTCCTTGTCAAGAATCGAGCTGTGTACAGCAATTGTTGAAGATGCTTCGGCATTAATGGTAAATCTCTATTTTTTACCCTTTCAAAGGATTATTTTATTCAGATCCGAAGGTCTCAGCAAGCTAATGAGATAGTCCGTGTAAAGTTTGCGTTTGTTGATGGCATCAACACGCCTATTACTGTTTCGTGAGCTATTCAAATACATGAAAATATCGAATAAATTATAATTTCAGTATGGAGAACTCGAAATTCGAAGAATTGCGCATGCAAAATCTGTTCACCATTCGATTGGAGCGTGGCGTTCGATTCCGAAGATCTGTGGTGGAAATATTTGTGATAGTAAGAATTGAAATAAGTTCTTGATTGAAGAAAGATTTTGTAGATGTTCACCAGGATTGCCAAGGAAAACTCGAAGTACACTCAAGTTGATTATAAAACGGTTAGTTTCATAAAATTTCGAATCAATAATTTGAAGGATGGTAAACAACAGAAACTGTAGGAAAAAAATTATTTGAAAATCGAATCTTTGTGCTAAGAAAGACATAGTTACCTTTCATGGTTCATTCATAATAAAAAAATTTTAATTTTTTTAAGCAACATGTAGTTGGTTCATTTTTGACTGGAAATAAAAAAATGCTGACAAAAAAATAAGAAAAAAAATTGCATCATTAAAATGTCAAAAGATGAAATTTTGGAAACCAATCTATGGACCATTTTTGCAAAGTATAAAAAGAAAATCTCATTATCAAAATTTTGAGTGAATGTATGATCTTTTAGTTCTTTTCCCTCAGAGATGTTGAAATTTTTGTATTTCACCCTAAGTGCAGATAATTGACAACATGAAATATTCTGCGAAATATATTGATTTCAGAAATGTAACGACTTCTGCTTCGCGTGTTCAATCCGTCGACCCAACGTCAAATTTGTCCGATCATGTAACGAAAATGAGAGACGCGTAGCTCTGAGTAGAATGGAGCAATTCACGGAGGGTCGATTCGTTCCTTGTGGCGAGTGCCGTTGCCTTCCCATGTGGTCAGATTTTTCTCAATCCAGTCTACAGTTGATTGAAATGGTTTGAGTGTTGTGACTATCAGAGAAAAAATCTCTTAAGTTAAGAAAAGTTGTCGGATAATGCCAAAAAGTCTCTGAGGGAGCAGATAAAAGTCCTCAGAGCCTGAATCACCAGGATTCTTTAATTTTCAAGAAACTAGAGCTCGGCGTCAAAATCACTCAAAATGAGCCATATTTTACATGTAGTCAAATGTGGTGTCTTCAGGGTTTTCCTTTTTTACTTCAAATTCTGAAAAAATTTGAAAAGCTTCAAAAAGGCAGTCAAAATGTTCAGGGACCTTTCCTTATTAGACGGTCAAAAACCGAATTCGGATTTCTGAAGGCGTACAAGAAAGAAAAGTTCTGGGATGATGAAAAGTTGGTTCCAAAGAATATTTTGAACACTGAATCAAATAACAATTTCAAATTTTTGATATTGTCTCTAGATTCGCTGAAAAATCCCCAAAATCAAAAGAAATCCTATTCTTATTGGCCGCAGTGTATTCTGGTTATTTTTCAGCAAATTCCTACTTCACAGTGACATGTGAGGTTGGACTTTTTTTATCTTGTGCTGAGATTTTTGAAAGAAAATAGTTTATTCGGCGTCGCATTCAAAAGAAAGTGATTTAGTTCAAAAAAATTGCACTCTTTCATCCTTTTAGCTTGCAGCCATCTATTTTATTACGATTTCGAAAGATATCATCGAATGGTTTTTATAGCTTCTGAAGTTATTTTTCCCAGGTGTATCAGCTGCATCGCTCGCGTCTTCCATGCAAAACTGGATACTATTCAGACGTGGGAATGCCAATCGGTTCCTTGTCCCACTTGCCGGTAATAACCCATATTTGACTTTCAAAGAATATTCAAAATTTTCAGAGAACACTTTTGCATCGACGACGTTCATCTCTTGACCCGTGATCCTGGCGACGAAAGTGAAGAGGATGATAATGAGGATATTGAATATCACAGTTAAAACCTCGGTTTCTATGAAACGTAGATTCCTCATTCCCTTTTGAAAAAGTCTGTGATGTATGCGCTCTCTTAATCTCTAAACCATCTTGAAATTCTTTCCCTAAAGAGTTTCCCTCGTCGAATCGGGATCTGGAGAGTGCTGATTTTCAAAAATTCAAGACAAAAGGGCTCAAAAACTTGAAAAACCTATCTTCCTGAGTTTTTATTTTGAGCTTATTGCTTTTTAAAACAATGCAAAAGTTTTGTGAAATTTTTTCAGCAGCTGAAAAGAAATTCTGATTCCAAACCTCAACGAAAACCCAATTTAATAATAACCAAACCGGTGAAAGAAAAGAGAGCGCAGACACGCCAAATCATTCTAAATTGTGATGAAAAAGCCATATGATTGTAGCTTCCTATTAGAAAACCTCTCTTGGGGTTTTTCAACGTGTAAATTTCACGAGTTAAAAGCCACATGTTGCCCTTATAGTTTAGCCTAACCCTGTTGAAAAGCCCCCTGATTATAGTCCTGAATCTTGCCAATTCGTTTATTTTCTTTGAAAATTGTTTATATTGTGAAGATAGTTTTTTATCAGAAATATTGGGAAAATTGAAGATATTCATGGTACGAAGAGAAGAGTTCTAAGGTGTGTAATAAATTTTTTTATTCAACATGTTATGTTTTTTTCTAGAGTTCTTTGATAAAACACATAAAAACCTCCTCAATATCCTAAAAAGTTTCAAATCGGAAGACAGATTCGTCAAAAGTTTTCTTGAAATCGAGAAATCCTTCCTACTGGTTTTTGGAATTTTTTTTCCTTTTATTGTACCCGAATCAATTTTTTTTCTGAGATTCAGAAATTTTTTTACAATACTCTTCTTTTCTAAGATTTTTCGGGTTTCATATCTTCTTTCTCGTCGAATTATCTCAAACAATACAGAGCTGCATCCAGCTTGTCCGAATTTTTTTATGAGTGTGAGAAGAACATAAGATGCTTTTGGATGTTTATTCGAGTAACTAAGCACCATCCGAGCTGGGCGCAAGATTAGGAATACAAAAGGCCGGCACGCCTACAAAAACACATGTGGCACCAGGAACAGGTCAACGGACATTTTGTCACGTTTCCATTCGAAGCTGCATCTTCTTCTTTGACTTTTCTCTGGGTAGCTAACTTTCAAAAAAGTTATTATTTTGAAGCGTAGTTCGAAATCTTCGAAAAAAGTAAACGAATGCTCTTAAAAGAATTTTCGTAATGACTAATTGCGTGAGCGTTTATTTTCTATTTATGCATTTTTTGAAGTTAACGCCATAACAAAGATTCCGGCGTCAAACTTATTTTGCAACTTCAAAAATGTATTTCTTTAAAACTGAGAATTTGCGCGTCTAGATTTCAAGAAAACGGAAGTTCACCCTCTAGAGTCATTTTTTAAAAAGTATCAAACTGCAAGGTTCGTTGCGAAATTTGATTTTCGTACTTCGAGAGATTTTTGAGTGAGAACTTCTTTTTTAGCCTATTCTTAAACTTTTATGTTATAGTATAACAACCCCCTCCCCCCTCCTTCGCAGATGGATTATGGAATTTTACCCTTTTTTCCGAAAAAAAGTTTAATTTCAGCCCCATGGCCTGGTTTGCATGTACGCCCATCCGGATGAGATCCAATCCGCTGATCTCATTGATGAACCATCCGGCTTTCAAAAACTATGTTGCCTTCGTGGCGTTCTCCTACCTAATAACTTTCGCCCTCGTCAACTCTGTCAAACCTTTCGTTGAAGGTAAGACATTTGAAATTTGAGTCTAGAGAAATTTTAAGTCGAAATGAATCTACCACTTTTTTAATATCTACGATATCAATATGAATTGGCAAAGTTAGAATAATAAATGAAAATTCTATTAATGAAACCTTCAAATTCGTTTTCCAGGAGAACCTCCAAACTTCAAAGCGTTGTTCATTATCTCCATCGTGACTTTTGTCATGTTCTACCTGCCCCTTTTTCCGGGCACTGAACTGACGGGTATTTTTAATCTCAGCCTCAGAGTTTTGGAATCAATTTTCAGAATTTGGATTTACGGTTAATACTTTATTCGAGAGCTTGTACCCAAAACAGGGTGATCTTTTGGAGTATCAGAGCCGGAAAATCGCCGTTCATCGCCTGGTAGCCATATCCTCGTATCTATGTTTGTTTTAATTTTAAAATGAAATTTGATTCAAAAAACTTACAGTTCTGCTGTTCAATGTCCAAGTCTACATTCATAACAGCACTAGAGGATTTTCAACTATTTTCTTGTATCTTCTTGGTTTTTTTGGTTTTAAACCTTCTCAAAGAGAGATTTTTTTAGAAGCGTCGATTTGGCTTGTAATCTGCAACGCTATTCTTCGTGTAAAGCTCCTTGAGAAGGGTATCGGAGACAATCCGATTCGGCTTTTGAAAGCTTTGAACATGAATCCAGAGGCTACCTTGAAATCGCTCATGTGTGCTATAGAAGAATATCGCGCACACCAATTTTTCTTGACAAGTGGGCTTCTATTCTCGTTATCTTCACTACATACTCATTGAACTCCCGATAGAGAGTGTGAGAAAACGTTCGGAAAAAATAAATATAAAATGCGCTTACAAAAAATCCATTCTAACCATTTTTAAGGATTTTTAAAAATAAATGGTATGAATTTTTAGAGAAAGCATATCGAAAAACGTTTTAGTTAGAAATTCACAGTAATTTGAAAGTTTGAACTTTCAGAATCGTCAAATAAAATGGTTTATCTCACTAATAATGGAATCGTGGTTTTCCTCTCAAATTGGGATTTCGTCGTGTCAAAACGATGTCTTTGCACGGCGATTGTTCAGGATTCCATCTTTACGGTATCCTTTTTTTTTGCTTCCTTCACAAATTTTGATCATATTCAGCTCCGAAGGCCTCAACACGGCGACGAAATAGTCCCTCTGAAGTTTGTCTTCGCTGATGGCATTAACGAACCAATTAACGTTTCGTGAGTTGCTGAGAATTCTCAGAGTTATCGAATGCACAACGATTTCAGGATGGAAACTTCGAAATTTGAAGAAATGCGCCAAAACAACCTGTTCATTGTCCGAATCGAGAGTAGCGCTGGTTTCCATAAATCCGAAATGGAACAATTCATAGCGGTAGGATTTCGGTAGGACTTGCTCCGAACACAATCTTGCAGATGTTCACCACGGCCGCCAAGAATAATTCGGTTTACGTTGAGGATTCTGACCTCCCGGTTAGTTGAAAAAGTTAGAATCTCGTTTTTGAAAAAAAGTTAGAAGTTAGAATCATATCAGAAATCAAGGAAATATCCCAGAAAATAAAGGAGATTAATGGGTTGCGTGTAAATACAGCAAGATTTTGAGTTTCCTAAACTTTCAATGTTAGTTTTCTTAAGAGGAATACCATTTCACGTTGCGCTTGGGAATTTTTTTCTATTTTTTGAAGAATAAAAGTCCTGAAGCGGATTTTGAAGGATTTATCAGACTTTTAGTTGCCCTTCCTCCAAAAACATGAATTTGTGCAAGTTGAGACTTTAACAATTTTCTTCTGAAACATCAGTGGGCGTCCTGGCCAAATCAAAAAAGTTTGCTGACCAGTTTTCCTAGGAATCACTGAAGCTTTGATTCTAACTGATCGATTTATTTCCTTCAAATGACCCTTTCAGTAGTTTTAGAAGCATTTGATCATTTTCATGTATTCCAGGAGTCAAACGAACTCTGTCTTGGATGTTCTATCCGCCGATCCAACGTCAAGTTTGCACGGGAATGCGATGAGAGTCAAAGGCGCGTCGAGTACGAAAAAACTGTTCATTCGCTAAATGATCCTTTCATTTCTTGCGGAACGTGCAGTTGCCGCCCGATTTGGTCAGATATTTTCATCTCTCTGTAGTTCAAACCTCTTTTCCTGATCTAACGCTTTTTTTGAAGAAAGGCCGTGGATATGAACCGTTCCTTGAAGATAAGATTGAAAAGCTCTCAAAAATTGTGTGTGATCTGAAGTAAAGCCATGACATGAGTAAACCCGCTTATGGTCGGGCGCAGTTAAAACGAGGCGCTCCTAGTGTTCTCCTTACCTTCGAAATCATATAAAAGATAATTTTCCTAATAAACATCAAGCTTTTTATTTAGCTTCAAAATGAAAAAAAAAATCAATTTTAATTTCCTGAAAATCTGTTTTTCAGGTGCATAAAATGCGTCGCTAGCCTTTTCTACACGACAATCTGTGACATTGAGAAATGGAGAAGTCAATCGACCCCTTGCCCTACTTGCAGGTGAGCCTTTCAAGTTTAAACACAGAGCAACTCTAAAAATTCTCAGAGAGCATTTCTGCATCGAGGACGTCCACCTTTTGGCCCGTGATTCTGAAGAAGAGAGCGATGTAGGCGATTAAATGGATAGCGCGTTTAGAAATTAAATCCCTACTTTTCTTTTCCCATTTTTTTTTGTTCATTACTATTTGAAACAGTTTTTTTCAATCTTCTGAAAATGAAAGCAATCAAAAAATCACCAAAAGTCACAGCGTCGAAGTAGTTTTTTATACTGTTGACATTTGCTTTCAAAAACAGGAAAGTGATATAGACCGAGGTTTTAGAATTTTCATTCTGGAACATCCTAGAGAATTTTTTTCTTCGATTTTCAACCTAAGTCCATATTTTTTCGCTTTTGGAAAAAAGAGCACCCACGTGTAAACCTGTTCCAAATTGTATCGAACGACCTGTAAATCGGATAATAATCAATTTTCTTTCACTTCGCTTATTAATCGTGTAAGATTTTTTTCAGTTAAAAAAATCTCATTATCTTCATAGTTACCCCTGCTGAGAACCTTCCGAGTATATTCGCCATTTCTTCGTTTTTTTTTTCAAATCTTTCAAGTTTATGTATTTTTCTTTTGCAAATCCGCCGGCTCAAAATATTTCCAGTGTTGTTGATTCTTGTTGCGGAAATATTTTTCTGAAGAGAGCGATTTGTTTGTGTGGAAATAAATATTTGTTAAATATTTGTTTTAAGATTCCTCTTCAAAAAAATTTTTGAATGATTCAATTGCTGGTTGAGTAGAAATACAGAAACGTGTATCCACGTTCTGATGAATTTTTGAAGATTAAAACAAACAATTTGTAAAAAAATAGAGGAAGTTCATAATCAAAAACTTCAAGTCGATTCTTTCAAACTCATTTTTTTCTCTTGGGGTTTTCCTGAAATGGTCAAAAAAACTGGACACGCTTCTTAGCTCATTGGAATTGATTTTATTTGTTTTCAAGTTTTTTTGAACCAAGTTATGAATTTCTCAAGTCTTGAATGAGTATTTCGACGAAGAAAGATATACTGCGATATATTTAAACCTTTCTTTTTTCTCGATGTTTCCGCATGGTTTTGAAGGGAGTGGATTTTAGAATTATCCTTTTTTTCGGTTTTTTATTGCTTTTATTACTCTTTGATCTATGAGATAATGATAAAGCTAACTGTAAATGAGTTTAAAATTCTGAAAGTTCTGTTCATAATTAAACTAATAAATCGATCTAAATAAAAATTTTCCGAGTTTCAATCTTTTCTTTCATTCAAAGCCGAACCCCCTTGAAAAGACCAAGATATGTTCTGAATCAGAATAGTGATACCAAAGATATGTATTGGCGCGCAAGAATGTCCGATTGCGAGTATGTTTTCCGCGTCCGACAGCCTGATAATCACTGATGGCGCGTCGAAGAGAAGAGATGGACTAATTCGGAAGAGACGCCGATCGACGACGCCAAAAGGCCGCTCGGATGCCTGAAACTCCCTTTTCACACGTCTCTGTACAGTTTGATGAAAATAATCACTGCTTTGATATTCTCGCTTTATTGGCTCAGAAAAACAGCTTTGTGGTTTTATTTTTTTTTTTCTCCTTTGTTATTTTTCTTAATATTTGAAGTTTGTTCGGGCTTGTTCATTCTCAGAACCTAGATCAAAAATTTTTTCTTTTTATTCTAGAAAGCAACCTTTAAAAAAACTCTATTTTTATAGTTAGGAAGTATTTTTTTAATGGAAATTCCATAATCTTAGGTATTTTAAAAAGGGCCATTTTTTTAATTTTTGCAAAAAAATAATCCAATTGCTTCTTATTATTCTACAGAACCTTAAAATCAATTTTTAACGTCTTTATTGTTTTTTTATGAGCTTATTGACGCCTTCTAACTGAAAAATAGAATATTCCATATGTTGAAGGAAAAGTTAAACTCACGGGATTTGAAAAATCCTTTCTAAACTTCCTAACTTTTTTTCACAGATTCATAGCATCTTTGTAATTTTTTTCTACCATTTTTTTCATTTTTGTCGCCAACTAGCAACTAGCCAACACACAAGCCCTCAATGGGACAATTCCGCTGAAAATTCCACATAGTCATAATTAATCAAGCCTGACAGAAGGGCGTACAAACGAAGAAGGGAAAAAAACGCGTTGATCCCGACGAGTGTTGAAGAGTTCCGGTTCGTTGATGGGCTTTTGTCTTTTTGCCCAATTTGGGTTTTTCTCAATTCTTCTGCTGCGGTTGTCCACTCGGTCTTCTCGTTTTTGTCACTTTCGCCTTATCATATCGCTTAACGTTCTTGTCTCTTTTTTGTTTGGATTTGGTTGGAATCTTGTATCTAGGAGTGGATTTTGTGGTTTAGTTTCGTCACTTATTTTTTTCACTTTAATTCTTTTTTTCTTTTATAGATCATTTTCTCGATTTGACGATAGCTACGGAAAACTCATTTTGCGGCTCCTTCCAAGACTTTTTTTGCTTAAATCGCATTCTTTGAACTTCAAGTTTCAATTGAAAAAAATTGAGTCATTATTGATTTTGAGATTCCATAAAAGGTTTGTGGGTGATTTTTTTTTGTAAATGTTGCATTATTGTCCTTTTTCAAGTATTCAAACCATTTTTAAAAAAACAAATTCAAGAGAAAAATAAACCACTCTAATCTTCAGTTAGTCAAAAAAATGAAGTTGATAAGCGTCAGTTAAAAAAATTTGAGTTTTATTCAGCTTTTCGGACTTCCGGATTTTTCAAGTCACAGAAATTCAGAAGCTCGAATTTGTTAATTTTATAAACTTTCGAACCTTTTTTTCAGCTAAAAAAAGGATAATATATTAATTCCTCTTAAAAGGTTGGTGAATAGTACTTGCAATTCCAAGTCAAACAACGTACACGGCTGCCTCGAAAAAAAGGTTTTTCATGATTTTTCTTCTTATTTTCTAAAAAAAAGTAAATAAAAAGTTTAAACTTTCTCATAAATTTTTTTGTCACAAGATGAGTTGAATAGAGTATACATCCGCAGAGCAGGTAACAGTTCCTTCCTATTCCCAATATGGATATCCGCAATTTTCGGCAACTGTTTACGATGTATCCGACCTCAGCCGTTCCGTCTTGACATACCTATCTCCCAATTCGCCGCAATCTCCTTCCCAAAACTCTTCCAATTAATTTCCTCCTTTGAATAGACCTCCTGCTGTTCTTAAATTCGTTACCTTGATCTGATTTAAAAAAAAGGTTTTGGTTCATTTTTCTTGATTTCCAGATACATCGATGACCTAATGAGTTTCTCACGTCCTCTGAGTCCCTCTCAACGGGGAGAAATCGAGAATCTTATTGAGAATGAGTGAGTTGAAAAATTGCTTCTCACTTCAAAGTTTTTTTGTTCTAGTGAAATCAGCGAAGCGTCTATAACCCAGACGATTCATGAACGGTATAAGAAACGGAAACCCTATGTAAGTTTTGAAATCGAACATTTTTGAAGCAATCTCCATTAAAATGCCAATTTTCAGACCAAAGCAAGTGAAGTTCTAATCGCTGTGAACAGTTTTGAGAAACTTCCAATTTATGGTTCGGCCAATATCAGACAGCACGCCGGGCCAAACAAGCAGTCGTGAGTTTTCTTTCATTCTGATCCCAAATTTTGAAACTCTAGAATTAATAACAAAAAGAAAATAAACATACATAAATGATATAACAACGCTGAGAGAGCGAAAGCCGGGTTAAGTCGGTCGAGATTTTGTCTCACTATTTTGGTGGCCAGATTATCAATTTTTCACTTCCAGGCATATCTACGGAGTTGCAAGAGCAGCTTTGGCCAGAATCATCGATAATGCTTCTACAACTGAATCGATCGTTTTGGGGTATTTTTTGGCAGAAAATGTGAACCCAATTTAATTTTTTTTAAGAGGAGAGTCGGCGTCTGGAAAGTCATTCAACGCTCGGGAAGTCTTTCGATATTTTGCTTCACAGTCAAACTCGAGAATTTCTTTGAAAGAGGTGGGAAAAATAATAATAGTAGATATAGTTCGAAAGGACGGCGGAAAATGAATAAACATCTGTTTTTACAGTCTTTTTTGTTAGCATTCGACTCCTTCTCTCAGCTCAAATATTGAAACATTGAGCTTCAGGCTGATGCAATTCACACAGTTCTAAGAAGTTTCGGATGCGCTAGAACCCTGAAAAACGACGCCGCAACTCGTTTTGGATACTCCTTAGACTTGCTCTACCAAAAGTCTGAAATTCAATTCTTCAAATTTCGAAAAAACAGAGTTTCCAGGTCTCAATTGTCAGGGATCAACTTGAAATACACGCTTCCTATTGAAGTATCACGAGTTGTGGCTCAAAAACCTGGGGAGAGAAATTTCAACATCTTCTATGAAATTTATCATGGGCTCCATGATGATGCCAAGAATGCCTTTGGAATCAGGGACTTGCAGATGTTTTTCTATCTGAATCAGGTAAACTATTTGCTACGCTTTGATTTATACTGGCCACATGTGGAAATCCCAAACGCTGCGAATCCATTTAAAATCCACAGAAGTGTCATTATTTTAGTTTCTCAACGCGTAAGTAGCTTTTAGTCGGATGCCAATTCAAAACAAGTATTTGAAGTCGCTGGGCGCTGAGTCGTTCTTCATTTGGTCATTTAACTGAAATTTTATATTCAGTAGATTCGAAAAGCTTCGTTCAGGGAAAAACGACCAGTAATGTGCAAGAAGATGAAGATCGTTTTGATGCGTTAGATAACGCCCTTGGAATGATTGGATTTTCTGAAGACCATCGATTGAATATTTACAAAATCGTGTCAACGATTCTTCACATTGGAAATATTTACTTCCGAATGAAAAAGGGTAAGTTTTTTAAAAATGTATTAATGAACACTGTAATATTTTTCAATCTTTTTTTTGTCGAACAAATCGCATACATTTTTGATTCATGAAGATCTTCTTCCTGAAGCTATTCTTTCAGAACCCAAATGAAGGAACGGAATATCTCGAAATCGGAAACAGCAGTGAGATCAAGTGGATCGCGTTTTTACTCGAGCTGGAATATGACGATTTGAAAAATTCGCTACTTCAAAGAAGCGGGGTAAAGTTTTCATTTTTTTTTCCTCTGGAAAGATATTTCTTCAGAGAGAAGAAGGAGATGAGCCGATTCCGATAGCCAGTATATCAGCTGCCTTGGATAACCGGTAAAAATCCCAGAAGTCGTTTTTCAAAGAGTATCATTTTTCAGAGACGCCTTGGCCATGTTCCTGTACGAAGAACTTTTCAAATGGATTTTATCGAGCATCAGTCTTCATTTCAAGTGTCCGAAACATACTGGAACGATTTCTATAGTGGACTTCTACGGCTTTGAGGTAATCAATGGGGTTCCTGATTTTTATTTTGCTCCGATTAGGAAATCCTTCGTGGACCATTTTAATAACAGCGCGGTGAAAATCAAGTTTACCATCGAATTGATGTCACTGCTCGTAAGTAGTTTTGAGCCAAACGCAAAAAAAAAAATGCTTAGCAGCCGTCCTTCAACTTTCCCACCTTTGATCCTTCTATTCTTTTAAGTTTTCCAGAGATACAACAACAACGGACTGGAAGAATTTATTGTCAACAGTGTGAACGAACGAATGGAAAATATTTTCGTGAAACACGCATTTCACGACCAGCTGGTTGATTATTTGAAGGACGGTATCATGGTGGACTACAAGGTTTTATCAAATTGCCCGAACACTGTGTAAAAGCATTTTTAGGTCCCAAGTTCCATCGAAAACGGTAAAGTTGTCGAGCTTCTTTACAAAAAACCGTACGGATTGCTGCCTTTGTTGACAGACGAGTGCAAGTTTCCAAAGGTTGAGTTGGTCAAAATGAAGATTTTTTATTGAATCTGTTAGGGGTCCGATGAAACCTACGTGGAAAACTGCAACTTGAACCATCTCGACAAAAGCTGCTATGGAAAAGTGAGCGTCAATTTTTTGCTAATAAGGAAGTAAATTTTCAAACTTCAGGCCAGAAGCAAAGAAAGAGTCAAGTTCTCTGTCCGTCACTATGCTGGGACGATTTGGTACAATGCTCAAGATTTTGTGAGAAAGAATCGCAAAACTCTGTCTTCTGGACTTCAAAAAGCTCTTTCTGAAAGCCGGAACGCTGTAAGAAACTTAGAAAAATTCAAAATTTGTTATTTTTTTAAAGGTAATATCGCTGTTATTCCGGTCGATCGAAGTCCGAGAAGGAGCTGATCACATCGTTTCAACAGCACAGGCAACGATGATTGGATGCCAAACGTTGATTGATAAGATCAATGGGTTAGTTATAAAATTATCTTGTTGATTTACTCAAGTTCCGATTGAGAGGAATCAATTATGACAAAAAAAGGAATAAAAATGTTTAGAACTAATGCCCAGTTTGTTCGTTGCATCCGTTCCAACAACGAAAGACAACCCTTCAAATTTGATATTCCTGTAGTCAACCGGCAAGTGAAGTCCCTTCTCATCGCAGAACTGCTACGATTCCGAACCCTTGGATATCCTATCAAAATCCTCAAACAGAAATTTGCCCAGCAGTGAGTATAATCCTTCTGAAAACTTCATTGATCAAACGAATTCAGATATCGTTGTCTGCTTCCTGGAGACATTGCCATGTGCCAGAATGAAAAAGAAATCATTCAGGATATCTTGCAAGGTCAAGGAGTCAAATATGAAAACGATTTTAAAATTGGTAAGTGGAAAATTTTAAAGCGAACACTGGAAGATGGTTCAACGCGTCGCGGCTTTGAAAAGATTATCCTAAAAGTTTTCTGAAATTCCGAAATTTGAAGACCTAAGGTTTTTATAATGAAAATTCGAAGTTATATCCTCAACCCCTCCGCGTTGAGCCATCCCAAATGCTGCCCGATATTCTCAAATATTGAAAAAGAAAGTATACCTCTCGAATTTCCAGGAAACGACTACGTATTTCTGAGGGAGAAACTAGCGGATCGCTACGAAACCTTGCAGTACACGACTTGCAGAGACGCTGCCTTCATGATTCAAAAGACCATAAAAGGGTACATTGCCCGGAAAAACTACAAGAAGAAAAAAGCCGCTATTGTCAAGCTTCAAGCTGGCGTAAGAGGATGGAGAACGAGGTGAAAACTTTTGAGAGAAGAAATTAATGGAATAATATTTTTTTAGAAGAGACTATGCGTCGGAAAGAGAAAGAATTCTGGCGGAACTTGGAAAAAAACGACCAAGAGAAACAAACGACTTCAAGCTTATCATAAGGCGTTTGAAGAGAACAATAATAGCGAAAATGTGGGGTCTTTGAGATTGAAACAGCGTAGTGAGCTAAAACGAAAAAAATTGAATTAGATATTTTTCCACATTTTCAAAGCCTTTTTAGTTGTTTTGACTGAAAATTTTTCTGATTCGATGGAAGAAGATCGAAAAAAAAATTCTGCTAGTTTCCGTCAATATTCATAGATCACTTTCACAAAAAAAAAAGCAAGAAATGAAGATTTGCGTTTCTTCAGTTTTTCTTGTTCTGAGCGATCCGAAAATATACGATTATTTTCACTTGAACGTTAAAAAAAGCCTAATTTAGAGATTGATAGTGGCTTAATCGGATGCATTGTCTTTTCTAAAAAATTCATGAATCTTTTCAGATCACTTCAACCACACTCGTCGGCTGCATTGACATCGACGAAAATGCTCAGAAGTTGCTAGATAGACCAAATTCTTCGGTGAAAAACACGGCTTCAGTCGTAACGAACTACTTGACTATTCCCATAAAAAACTTTCTTCAAAGTTGCCCTACTGTCACTGTGGAACAATTCGCAGAGCAAAACTTCAAGGTTGAATCTTTTTTTTTGAAAAAAAAAAGAATTTTGTAGGGTCACCTGTTGGAACCTCGCCGAGAGCCAATAATGACACCGTTTCTTCCTAAAGAAAGCGAGATTGACTTTCGACTTTCTGTGGAGATCTTCAAGCTTTTGTTGAAGTACATGAATGATAACAATTTGGAGCACAGTAATCGAGACGACCTGGCAAGGTATTACATAGCGCAGGTATGTATCGAAGAAAAGTTCGGAAATTCAAATATATTTCTCCAGGGAATATCAAATCCTTGCCAAAGAGATGAGATTCTTGTTCAAATCGCTAATCAAGTTTACAAGAATCCAAACAAAATCGCGGTTGAAAGAGGATGGAAACTCATGCACATGGCCATTTCTTCGTTCCCTCCAACGGGAAAACGTCATTCCGATGCTTATTAGGTAAATTTTTTTCTTTAAAAAAAGGATATGAACCTTCTATAAATGAAATTATTTTTGTTGGAAATGAACTTTGGATAAATTAAGTAGGTAGGTAGCTTTTGCCGTTTCAACTACCAAGTTTTTAATTATTGCGCCTTTAAGATATAATTTTCTAATTACAATAAATTAAAGTTAAACTTCAATTTTTGAAGGAATCGTGGGGAAAAATTGAATAAAAAAATGTGCAAATTGAAGCTTCGCGATTTCAAATCTTTAAGTACTAACTTTCAAATATGTATCTCTATTTTTTTCTTTTCCATTTGAATAAATCAATTTAGTCTTATTGAATGTCACGAGAAAAGAAAGAACTGCCTTTAATGGTCGATTCCAAATCGATATATGAGAAAATCGCAAAAAAGGAGGAAAATTAACAATAGGAAAATGAAAAGCCAAAATATTACGAAAACTGCTTACAAAGATTGGGTGTTCAAGAATCGTGCATACACCGTGCACTCTCACGCCAATTTGCAGACTTTATTTATATTTGTTGAAACGGCGGTTTTCAATAATTAAAAACTTCCTATGAGCTTCAGGCTAACTTAACTTGAAACTTAATTATGCAAACAAAAGGCATGAGCATAATAACTACCCAGCTGGAAAAAAAATAATGGGCTGAAATGAAACTAAGAAAAAAAAGTGCTTCAGACTCTTCAAACAGCAGCCGAACGCACTCCGAGAGCAGCTTTTCTCTACTTTACAGAGGCGATTGCGAATTTTCGATACCTTGGTAATCGAAATAATGAGACTTCTATTCTCAAAACTGGTTTCCTAGATTTCCCGAGAGCTACCTTCTTCAAACCTGGAGCTTCTGGTCAACAATGGAGTTCAGAATACAGTTGTTGAGGTTCCCATATTCGAATCGACTCCAGAATGTATTTATTTTCAAGGTGTCTTGCTTTGATGGACCAACTTATGACATTCAAGTACACCCATGGGCTACAGCGGAAGATGTGGCTGATAGAATTTTGAGACAAAGGTGGGTTTTGGGTTTTGGGTTTCTTTTTCTGAATAATAAATGAGTGAAGTATGAGTTTTCCAGAGGAGTTGGAGCTCCGATGGGTTGGACTGTCGAGGTGGACACGCCGAATCGAATCTTCGCTCCAACTGGGACTCACTTTATTCATGACGTTTTTGCCTGCGTAGATGGTGTAGAAGCCGACGACGAGAAGTCTTTAGAATTGACTAATTTCGATTAATTTTTTTATTTTATAGACCTGTTTTCTACAGTTTTCCTCCCGAAAAACTCATCAAACCGAAGGAAAAACCAACGCCAAAAATAGAGGCTTTGGATCGCGTCATGTGAGATCTACAATCTATTTGTTTATTTATAGAAATAATATCTAGGAGCCCGACGATTCGGAAAATATCTGACCGGCACGGGCGTGAAAACAGTTCCGATAGTCATCAAGGAACTTTGCCTCGAGTTTTCAGTCCCGTCATCTCTATGAGGTAATTAAAGGTCAAGGAGCACGGAGAATGGCTAAAGAGCGGGGAAGTTAAATTGCGCCCGACACGAAACGACTTGCGCGCGTTGATATTTCGATTTATTAAGCTAACGCGTTTAACCTACTCTTATTTGACCAGCGCTTTTCAAGTTGAACCGAATAAAATATATTATGGTGAAAAGTTTCAGAAAGTCGTCTCACAACACTCCAAACGACACCTTGAACAGAAGTATCGAAGAAGAACCGACCTATTCATATACATTGCCGCTGAAAAACAAAAATAAGAGCCGAGGTTCAATGAAGACTCTAATTGTCTTCAAAAAAAATAATTTTACAGTTGAAGAACCTCCAGAGCCCCTGAGTTCCCGTGAAAAGTCTCTGGAAAGAATCCAAGATCGCGAAATTTATGAAGACAACAGCCATTCACTGCTCACTTCCCCGAAGATGCCGAGAAAGAAGTATTCAAGGCGAGTAAAAACAAAACAGGCAAAGTTCACACGTCCTAAAATGACTATAAATTTTGATTGGGTCTTTTGGAGAACGGGGAGAAACGAGTTTTTAAGGCCTGAGACTGAAGAATATCAGCCAATCAACTTCGCACCTCCGCCGACCTTCCAGTACCCTCAACAAATGGTAATAATTTGAGATTTTTTTTTTACAATTTCTTGATTTTTCCGTTTTTTTCCTTTTACTACTGATTCCTGTTTCATTGCAAACAATAATGATTAAACTTGATAGGAAAAGTCTTTTCAGCCCTATATGCAGTATGTCCCTGTCATGATGCATCCTCAGCAAATGATGGCCCCACAAGGTTTTTTTCTGCGCTTTTTGAGTTTTTTTCACTGAAAAATCTCAAGGAATGATGTCGACAATGCCAATGATGCACCAGCCCATGATTATGCAGCCTCAGGCCCTTTATTCCTACACCCCTCAATATCCACAGGGTACTGAACATTTTCTCAATTTTCATAATTTTCATGGGTTTTAGTTCCTCAATACCCTGCTCCAATTGATCCGCCACGTCCGGAGATACCTTCACGAAACCGTTCACGACACAGTTCTGAAAGAATCGAGGAGCACGAACCTGACTATCGATCTCAATCGAGGAACCTTGGCTTCGACTCAGTTAGATCTCGAGGTGGAGCGATAGACTTTTTATGATATAAAATCACTATTGAAACAAACAAAGTATGTTTCAGTATTTGAGAAACTTTTCTGAAGTTTTAAAATGCTTATTATGTTCTTTACGTGTTTTACGAGGCTGTCGAGTTTTACGAGGCTGTTTTGCTGTCGGAAGCTTCAAGAAGTTTAATTTCTTCGGAGCCTTACTGACTATTTTAAAATCATTTCTAACTAGAAAAAAATTACTACTCCAACTGGTTATCGTTAAGCTGCAATTTTTTTCTCAGATAGTTTTTGACACGTAACCCGTTTAAGGTCGGGTGCACAAAGAACAGACATTTTTTCAGGAAAAAAAGCCAAAACTTTGAAAAATAACAAAAACTAAGTTCTGTTAGAGCCAAGTTTCTATTTAGGTACTATCCCTGAACACTTGGATGTGAGAGCCAGAAGCCGCGGAGATGTTCCTAGCGAATATTCCACCATGAGTGTGGCTTCAAGAATCCGACACATGCCTGTTCCGGAGAATTCGAAAGACGTTGACCGTTTTTTGGACGCAGTTTTCGATCAGGTCAGTGTTTGAAAGATTCCATCAAACTTTTGGAAAATGATAGTGATATAACTTTTTGTCTCCAGATTCTATCACCGGACGAGCACCAAAAAGCTGAGATCAACCCTGTCGCGCTAGCCAAAACAATCAAGGGAGGAAACTACATCCCAAGAGCTTCATACGAAAAAGTATGTTTTTCTTTTTTTCCCTTCTTCAAAAAAACAAAAACACTACAGCCGTCTTATAACGCCCACCGCGATCCATATCAACACAATTCACATTACAATACGATAACGAAAAGGAGAGATGAAGGTGTTCCTCCTACAGTAAGCGGAAAATTATGAAAAAAAGACCAAAGTCAATTTTTTAGAACTCCTCGCCAATGAGAATGAGAGCTCAGAGTGTGCCGAGACATGTCGCGATGCAAAATGATGGATATATCAATATGAGACGAAATTATCCTCCAAATATGGTAAATACTAAATTTATTAGAGTGGCAGGAAATAAATGTGTGTAATAACTGATGAGCCAGTTTCACAGGCGTCTGTTGTGGATCCCGTCTAATGGCATTTTAAAATCGCCTTTATCGTCGATTTTTTCGTGTTTTTTGATTTCAAAGGTCTTTTCGCCTAGTGAATAGCGCAAAAGCAATTCAAAATGTTAACTATCAGAAAAAAACATCAATGGTAATCATAATGTTAAATGGTGCCAAGCTTCTGAATTTGATGTGTACTTTTTGAAATAACCGGAAAACTAGGTCCGCGAATACAGTTTTTGAAAGGAAGTTTTCAGAGCTATGTTTCTTATAGAAAAGCGGAATGAACGCCAGCAAATTATATATCAAATGACGCACAAGGACAAGCCTTTTTCGACAGAAAATACCGTTCCAAATAATATTGCTTCTTGGATGAATTAGAAGCCGACAAAACTACCCGCATTTTTCCTTGTCAACCTAATATAGATATTTGCTTATGATAACTTAATTTTCTACACTTTAGAGTGCTCAAAAACTCTCAAACATTCTGATTTCTTTTTTCCGAGAGCCGAGGAACAAACTTCGGAACAAGAATGAACTCAATAGAATCAGAATTTAAAAAACAAATCATGAATTCATGCATTAAAACTGACCAGGACTGTGAAGAAAAAGTTATAATCACAAAGTTACGTTTTTTGCTTTTGAAAATATTAAATTTTACTGTTTTAGCTCTACTAAATATTATTCAATGCAAAAAATATAAATTTTTAGCAATTTAATCATTGCCACCGCACGCAAGTAGTTTCTGGTCTGGCCCTGAAAGTCAGTTCTTTCCTATTTTCAACCTTGCTACTTCTCCTTGAAAACCTTTTTCAGGATTACTCAAGCGACCAGTCCACTTCCTCTGAAGAGCATTATCCCCAAAACCGCGGACGATCTAGGGAACGCTACCAAAAACCAAAGAATGGATCGTCCTATGGACAAAAACAGCCGGTTTACATGATGATGCCTGTTCAAGTCAATGGTAGTTTTCTTGACTTTTCTCTTTTTATTCTCGTTTTTTTAAGAAGATGGTTCGATGCAGCCGGTTATGATGTCTCCTCAAATGATGCAGGATTTTGTGAGTTACTGTTTCAAATGCTTTTTTAAACGATCTGCATATTGGCTATCTGCATCTGACATAAAACGGACTGCGCTTTCTTTTATCGAAAATCTTAATTAAATACACAGACACCTTTCGAAAGAGCTAATGATTCCATCCTGAGAGATTCATTTTTACACAAAAAATTTTTTTAGCGCATGCCTTCCCGCAACGACTTTGCCTCCCCTAATTCCCAGCGATCGAGGTAAAAAAAATTCAAAAAACTCAAAAATTGAAGAACTTTTCCAGGAAAGTTCACCACTCAGTGGATCGGATGTCTAGAAGGTCTCCTTCCGTGGACACTTATCAAGCAAGGCCGCCCATGATCAGGTTTGAGCTTCTTCTAAAGATCGTATGGATAGTGTCGTGAAATTGTAGAAGGACGCCTGACGACGTGGAGAGAATCCAGATGCCTCAGAGATTGAGAAATGTGAGATTTCATTTTTTTAAAATCTAATTGGGGACATAAGACTTCAGAAAAATGCAAAATTTAGAGAAATCAGGCGCCATGCTGTAATGAATTAGGGTGTACCAAAAAAATACTTTTTTTCACTCTCAATTAGTTTTTTTCTCGCTTGCAATAACTCTGTGGAGGAAGTTTGAGATTTTCTTTGAAATTTTAAGTGATTTTTCTTGATAGTTCTGAATCGAAAAACTTTCTTACATTTCGAAAAGATAAGGATGTTTCTGGAAACGGGAAAATTGTTACAAAAAAACTTATGAGGTCCAAAGAAGATTGTAGAACAAAAGTGAGTGATAAAATAAAACCTCAGTCGGCTTCTCATACCAAACCATACTCTATTCATCCGCCCAAATGAGTCATAAACATGTAATCGAGTTCCTGGAGACGGAAAAATAAGGTTTTTGACACATCGACGGCTGGCACGTCGCTGATGTCTTATCAGCCATGCCAGCGACGTTATCGCCACCTCGTTTATGTGTGGTTGTATTCCCCGTGTACAACTCATCCATTTGTGTTGTGCAATCATTGCTCGTTTACTTTTTGTTATTTTGATTTTGTTCCAGAAAGTGCGTGCAGTAGGAATGAGGTGGAAAAAAGCAATTTTAACTTTTGATATTTTGGAAACTAGCCAAAATTGCCATTGATCCTTTTAAATTTGAGACAAAAAAAAAGTTATAAAATCACAAATTTAGAAAAATTAATGTACATGTTTACAACAGCTATGGGATGTCTCGAGTAAAATTGGTGGTATGAAAAAAACACTAGCGAAAATTCGAACGGCGACTTTTCCGATTTTTTCGTATCGCTAGGGAACTTTCCGACGGCCACCTTTCCGACGAAACTTTTCCGACTTTTTTTCCCTTATAGTTTTCAGTTTTTAAAACATCTATAAACATTTTTTTTCCCATTTTTTTGTGTTTTAATCATGAACCAACCACCTACTTTATATAGGAAGATTTAAAACAAAAGATTTTTATGAAGAAAAAAAGTCGGAAAAAAAGATTCGTCGGAAAGGTGGCCGTCGGAAAGTTCCCTAGCGATAGGATAAAATCGGAAAAAGTCACCGTTTGAATTTTCACTGGTCTAATTTTTTTATACCACCGTAAAATTCTTGAAAAAAACTCATTTTTGTAGCTGTCCCTGAAAAAGGTTTTTTTATATTTTTCCACGATTTTACCCGCTTGTTTTTCTGTTTCGAGTAACGTTTTTTTTGTGAGTATCACCGATAATATTTTTGCAATTGGATGATATTTTAATCCTTTAGTGGTGAATCGATAGAGCTCAATAAGGGTTGAAATCGAATTTTTAGCAGCAAAAAGGCTTTAAAGGGAAAGGATGATTTCAACGAGTTACGCAGTTGTTTATTTTTTATTTGTTGATTTTTCTTCCTAGTCATTTTTTTCGAAGCAAGTTAACCACGATATAACCAGTTTCTCAAATTTCACTTTTTCCTGAGATTCTCACAAGAGTTGTGATACTTTTTGAGCTTTTCTCTGAATTTCTCATAATTTCAGAGCGAATCCCCTCGAATAGTAACACGACCTCCTCCGCCGCCGTACGAGACTCTCCGTTCACCTCGGGCTGCTTCGAGGAGCCGTGAAAGGTTTGACGACAAGACGACGTCTTTAAACCGCAAAATTTAACTGCTCAGAATGGAGGCGCCAATGATGACGCGCCAAATACCTCCGCGAATCGACCATCGATATGCGACGAGCAACACAAATAATGCCGCCATTTCTCCAGAACCGAGAGTAATTTTTGAAAGACAAATTTGAGGTTAAATAAATCAAGGAGTTTGGTCATTTTCCAATACTTCATTTCTAAGTTTTTCTGTAGCCTTTCTTCTCAAATTTACTTAGAAACTATAGTGCTAAAATGAGGTACCAAAACAGCTCTAATGACCTCTTTCCAGGGCTTGAACCGGCTTCCTGTTGAAAAATACACCGATCCAGCTGTTAAAAGCTCAAAATTGAACTCTGAGCATCTGAATCCCAACAAATTCAACGTAGAGTATGAAAAAGCAGTGGCTCAGGCCGAAAAAAACAAAAGCAAGGAGGCAATCAACAAGCTGAATGATCAGCTAAAGGTCTGCGATTTAAAAATTTGAAACTGTGAAATGAAGTAAAAATTATGATTAATTATTATACTCTCACCTAACCCAGCCACCACAAAAAAAAATGAGGATTTATCGAAACTTTTGAAAAAAAAGAATGAACCTCACTTACCGGTTTCAGTTTACCTAACTCACATTACTAACAGAGATTGCCACCACCAGTTGATAACGTCGTTGTGATACGTCCACGCGTTCAACGAGTTGAAGAATTTGAATTTGCACCGGCGATTGAAAGGCCGCAACCTCAGCCGATCTACGTCCCTCCAGAGCCTGCGCCTTACTTTGTCCCTGTGAGATTTGGTATTTTTCAAAGTTGAAAAAAAAAATTTAAAAATCGCACAAGTTGAGATTCATTGAGAATATAACAATAGCAAATTAAGCCTTATTGAATTGAGAATAAAATATTTGTTTCATAAAAAAACTTTCTGAAAACTGGAATAGGCTTTTTTTCTTGAGCCCGTAATAAACAAGCTCCAACATAGTTTTCTTAAAACTGCAAAATGTACCAAATTTTAATCTTTTTTTTTCTGAAGTCTGCACATCTAACAAGTTTGAACACCTTTTTAACAAACGCTCTCCTATTTTCATATTTTTTAACTTGAAAAACTTAATTTTCTTGTTTCAAATCCGCTTGAATCCAACTTCATCGAGAAAAATAATTCCAGCCACCAGTTGTTGAAACACCACCACCGCAGCCGAAATGGATTGTGGAGGATTCAGTCGACAGACCGGAAAACTTGCAAGGAAGGACCAAGGCTCCAAAAAATGGTAATCTATCCTTTTCTGATTGTTTCGAATGCGTTGTTCATAAAGAGGCTCAAAAATCTAAGGTTGAGCCATTTAAACTTATTGAAATTCGCTTCAAATGGTCGTGCTTTGATAAAAACTAGCCATTCCCGATGCGACCAAAAAATACGAATTGGAAGAAACAGTGAAGTTTTTTCAGCCACTCCGTCTCCTCCGATCCCCTCGAAAACTGTAGAAAAGCCAGCTTTCAAGTACGTAAAAGCGCCGTGGAAGCTTACCATCAGAAAAGAGGTTTTTTTGTGGCGAATATTCAAAAAAAAGCTGTTTTCACAGATGTTCTACCCTGGAGAAGTTCTGAATGACATCCAAGTTATCGACCAAGTTTTTGCTCAAGTTATCGAAGATTGTCGGAAAAGCTATCCTTACAGAATCCGTCTGTATGAGAGACAACAAGTGGAGGAAATCCTTCGTGAGTTGAAATATAGAGGCACTTTTCTTCTCTGACTTCTCTTCGTAATAGAATCTGAATCGGAGCCCTTGACGTTTTCTGAACAACCGACCTGAAAAGTGAAAACTTCAGGAGAAGACAATGTTCCGCCGGAGCATCTGAATAATCAAACAAGCATCCATCCCGACACGAAAGTGAGAATCATTGAGAATGCTCGTCAGTGGCCAATCTACTTCTCTCAGATTTATGAGGTGAGAAAAACTTCCTTTTTTAGGTTAAATTATGGTTTAGGTCATCGAAATGCGGACAAAAGAGCTGGTCAATGTACTTTTTTCCATTTCGGAGCATGGAGTCAGAATTCTTCTGCACACGCCTCACGACCTCGAGAATCCCCTGAAGGTTCAGGATCATTTCCCGTGAGTCAATCACTAACCTTTCTGTTTTATAATCGAGATTAAGATTTGAAACAATGTTGGACGTGGTCTTGGAATCGTCGGACATTCTTGCCATCCACACTCGTCAAGAAGGAAACCGGGCGGCTTTTACAGTTCGCATCAAAACGAAGCAAGCCGCACAGATCAAGAAAACTTTGGACAAATGTCTGTCTGGTGAAGTTGAGGTTTTATCATTCGATATGTCCCAAACTGAAAAAGGATTCTAGAAAAGGAAACTTGTGCGTGCTTTGGAAAACTATGCGACAAATGAGCCCAATCATCTGTCTTTCAATCGAGGAGACATTATTGAACTTGTGAGTTCCAGAACTTGCATAAACTTTTTTTTCTTACCAATGCATATTTGAAGCTTTTCATCGAGTCAGTAAAAAATTTTTTGACGTCAGTTTTCTTACAAAATTTTTCTATGAGAACTTTAGGTGATGATTTTTTGAATTTTTTTTTTCCTTTCGCTGGATTTTTTATCTTCTCGAAGATTTTTCGTGAGCTATACAATCTCTGAATTTGAGAAAAAAAAATAAAGCCTCAAAAAAAATTTTTTAGCTCCCAGCCCCAGAAGGTGATGCTCCTCCAATCGGAAACTGGCTCTATGGAAGAATCGGCAACCAATTTGGTTATCTTCTCCCAAGATACGTGGACTCTAACTTCTCGGTGAGCCTTTTTATTTCAAAGAAATGAGAGACAAAATTTCAGGAAGACATTCCACCGCTTCGATTCGAGTCAAGTGATGAACGGGATGAACACGAGAAATTTTTTGTCGAAGAGGAAACTTTGGCCAATGGGAAGTACACGATGCTGGAATACGCCAGGAAACGTTTCAGACAGTCGAAAGAGTCTAAAAGAAGTAAGCTTCTTCTCTTTGAAATTCCAAAAGTTCAATGAATATTCTTCAGAAGACGACTGGACTTGGAACGAACTGGCCCAGATGATCAAGTACTCTCAAAAACCAATAACTCAATCTCTCCACGCTGTTTTCAACGCAGAGGACAGCAAATCTTCGGTCGAGATGTTCACAAGTAAAATTTATAGAAATCCTTCAATTTTCAAAATACACGAATTAAGGTCTGATGAAGTTCATGGGAGATATCGCTTTGAAAAAAAGCGAGACTTTCACGGACGTGGTCTTCAAAATTTTGCTCCAATGTCACCACAACCTGTCTCTGATTGATGAGCTTTACTGTCAAATAATCAAGCAAACAACGAGCAACGTTTCTGTTAAGTGAGTTTTTCTCTTGGTTTCTATCAAAGTTTTCCCATAACCACTCTGAACATTGTAAAATAGCTTTAAAAACGTGACTCTCCACAGCGCCCGACTCAAAACAAGTTGCGCGCAAAACCATGAAACAATATTATAGCAAGCTTGGCTCTCAGACTGATTCCAAAAGTTGTGCGTGTATATTTTATTTCAAGATCCTGTTCTAAAATATGGATAAACGAAAAAGGGTTTTCGAAAATGAAAGAAAGATGAAAATCATTCAGGATTGAGCGACGTATGTAATTATTGGTTAGAAGCGAAATGTATACCATTAGAAACAGTGATTTCATGTAATTTTCCAGATCTGACAGCGCTCTGAGAGGATGGCGTCTTTTGACAATCGTCACCGCTTATTTCCGGCCCACCGCCGCTTTTCAGCCATATTTGCAGCAATACTTGGCTGAGAATTCCGAAGATGTCCAACGGCAGTACCATGGTATAATATTTCAAAAATCCTGACAAACGAAAAATTTTACAGGAACCGCAAAGACTTGCTTTGACAATCTTCAACAAACTTTGCGTTATGGAGGCCGGAAAGTCCTGCTAAGCGCCATGGAACTTCAAGAAGCTACAGTAATTAAAAATTTTGAAGCAAAGATGAGTTTGATGTTTCAGGATGGAAACACCATTCGTCGACAGAACTTCAACCTTTCAAATAATCACAACTTGATTGTCAATATCCGAAGCGTCACGGTGGTTGAAGAAGTTATACATGTAAGCTTCATCTTTCTGAGAAAAAAAATCCTTTTTTTAATTCCCAGGAGCTTTGCAATTCTTTGAATGTCAGAAGCCTTCACGAACAGGAAGAATTTTCGCTATGCTATGTCAGTGGAAAAGGTTCATTTTTTGATTTTTATAACTGAATCATCCATAATTTCAGACAAGAAGCTGAGCTACTGCAAGATGAACGAGTACATTCTCGATATCTGCACGGATATGGAGCACAAGAAGATTCCATTCCAATTTTACTTGAAACGGACTATTTGGGCCCATCCTTTGAGGTTGGATAATGCCGCTTACATCGACACAATGTTCGAACAAGTAGGTTTTTTCATAATTAATAAGCTGATGAAAAATGAACAGGTTATTGACGATTATCTCCGTGGTACTTACATCTCAACGAACTCTTCCGGACAACTTACTGCTTCAACGACGGCAGATATTGTCCGATTAGCGGCGCTTCTTCATCTCCTGACGCCGGAGAAAAATAAGCCAGTAAAAACGTGAGAATTTCCATATTCAAGCTTTGGATAAAGAAAAAATCAAGCTTGAAAGTAAACCCTGCAAATATGAATCAATAACACTTTGCTTTAAAAATCTTACTTTTCGTTCGAGGCTTCTCTGAAAATTTACGAAATGTAAATAAATCTCCTATATACCCTCAGAAGGCGTGCGACCGACCTTTCTGATTTTCGCGTTTTCATAGGATCTAACCTTGACGAAATTTTTATATTAGAGATATTGTAGAGCTTTCGGCAATGTTCAGCATTTAGAAAATTTTAATTTTTTGAAATTCCAACGACATCCGAATCGCATCCCAAGCTTAATTTTTTGACGAGAAAAGCACTTTTTGCGGAAATTCACTATTTGTCAAAAAAAACTCGAAAGCACCTTTTTTGATAAATGGGCTGCTTTTCTTCAACTCACATTTTCAGCATTCATCCCATGATTTTCAGGAAGCACCTGAACCAAATCTTCCCAAAGACAGTCTTCGAGCCTAAGCATCGGGCCCAAGAAGAATGGGCAAATCGAGTCAATCGGGAGCTCGAATTATGCAGTCCTGCTTTGAGTTCGGCTCAAGTCAAGGGCTCTTTCTTGGAGCTTCTTTCCACCTGGCCTCTTCTTGGAGTCTCGCATTTCCGTCTGAGATCCGCCGTTGAAGATGGAGCTGCAGTACCTGAAACAACTCTTTCTATCGGAAAGGAAGGCGTCCAACTCTTGCAGCCAAAATCTCAAGAAGTGTACAAGCAGTGGAGCTACCAAGAGGTATATCTTTGATTTTGAAACAGTAAAGTGATGAAAAAAAAATTTTTCAATTTTTTTGGTTTTTTTCTTATCTAGAAATACCCTTAAAAAAACTGCTTCATCGTGTATGTTTTGGGAGTACTTTGAAAATATCAGAATCAACCAAAAAATCTTGTTTTTTTCAGATAATCTCCGTGGAGAGCATTCACAAAACGGCGTTCAAATTGGTCCGAATTATGACCGGATCTCCAGAAAACCCACGAACGTTGGAATTCCAATCGGACAAAGTGAATTGAGGTTCTCTTGAAAAAAGTAATATTTATTTTCAGGCTGATGAAATAACCCATTTGATTGGACAATACCTCACCATTCAACAGGGCGACGTCCGACGCTCTACTGAATTATGAACTAATTATCCCAATTATGATAACTATACTATTCCATTTTAACCTTGCCTCGTGTCAATATCCGTTTCTATACGTTGTTTATCATGCAATAAATCTAATTTTCGAGAAGATAATATCATGTAAGTCAAGAAAGACCCTCATTTTCCGAGTACAATCATTTGATCGAAATTTGTTTCCATGAAAAGGAAAGAAAAAAATTCACAAAACCGAAAAATTTTGCAAACTCTCTTTTAATTTTTCGTTAAAAACTTTTTTCACTTTTTTCGCGGTATCAAAAAATCAAATATCTAATCACACTTCCTGACTTTTTGAAAAACACAAATGAACGGAGAATCATCAATCAGTCTCCCGCATCTTCGCCGAATACAGTCTTGTTTGGTCGAGTTTTCTGCAGACATCTTTTTTTCCGAGTTTTTTTGAAGTCTTCGCCTCATCTTTGATAATTTTTTTGCAAATAATATTTTTTTACTTCTCAGTTTTTTTATTTACAGTGGCTCAAATTTCTTGTCTGAGTCAGATTTTATTGAATTCCTAGATCTTGGCGAGAAACTTCTTTAGTTGAAATTGAACATCAACACTATAAAAAGAACAAATTTTTTTTACATCATTTGACTTCAACTCGTTAAATTGCGCCTTGAAAAGCTTGATTTTAAAGATGGAAAAGCACGAGTTCGAATATTGAGAGATGATAGATGAAGCTTCAAAAAGAACTCCGGAAATTTTTTTACTTTACTCTGCTTTCTAGTTTATGATACAAAAAAATCAAGCTTCATACAAAAAAAGCTTGGAAAGCTTTAAAAACAACAAAAATGAGATCATCCATCAGTCTCCGCCATCTTCGCCGAATACAGTCTTGTTTGGTCACGCCTTCAGAAGACCCATGTCATCTTTTAGTCTTTTAGAGTTTCAGCCTGAATAATGCCAGCTGTCTTATATTCTCTGATATTCGCTATCCTTTTCTCAATGGCTTGTGCAAGGTAAATTTTGAATTAAAGCAAAGAAAATAATTAAATGATTTTTTCAGCGAATCTACGGATAAAACGCACATAAGAGCGGCTCGACAAGCTACCTATTACTACACAAACGGCCGATTTTATCCAGTTCAATACCAGCAAGTCAATCCTTGGCACAACATGGGAAACGGCTGGGCTTGGCGCTACGGGAGCGACGACGACGATGATGTCAAGACTAGAGTCTATTATGACCCGCAGACCACAAACCCACTCACCGTCCTTGGCGCAGTGCTTTTTGGCTAAAAAAAACCTGACCTCTTTTTCGAAGTTTTTGAAATTATAATTTGAACTTGATTGTATATATTCTTATTCACAACGACAATGAAAAAAAGCGTTTTCTGGAATTTCTTGACATTCTTGACACCCTGGTGAATGAAAAAGAAATAATTTTTAAAATTTAAAAGTTGTTTTTTTTCCATCACCCTTGTACATTCAAGTATTCTGAATTTTCTCGCAATGTTTCCATCATGATTTTGCTTTTTTCGCTATGTTATCATCAAATGAAGCTCATTTATTATTTGTGTTCGAAATGAAAACAAAAAGAACAATAATGGTAATCTTGGAGCCGTTCGCCACACGAGAAAGAGCCCATAAACTGCTCGGAAAGCCATAAAAATCGAACAGGAAAGTCCTTCAAAAGGTTTCTCAACTGCAAACACAAAGCTCATAATGATTGGATTGATAAGATTAATTTTTCGACGCTTTTTTGATAAGTTTTGTTTGAAGCTTTTCTCTATATCATATTTACAGTTTCAATGGGGCTTTTTGTTTTCTTTTTGATTTTTCAGGTTCACCTGAGTAATGAACGAAAGATTGAAACGGTTTCCGATTTCAGAAAATGTTTGGTTATGAGCTTCTTTTATTTGTATTTCAAAAAAAATTCAGCTTTTAGATTTGTAACCATTTTTGTATCGCAATTATGGCAAGTAGTTTTTGTAGAATTCATGATTTTTTTTTCAATCCAAGAACCCTTTATGGGCCCTTATTTTTCAAATTCCCACAATCAAGTGAGGATCTTTTGATTTTTTTGAAATTTTTTTCGAAACAAAGGGGCTCCTGCCGTGAAAAAAAAACTCTCTTTCATGTGCATATTTTCTCAAATGACCTTCTTGGAGGAAATAAATCACAAAAAAGGAAAAAAAAAGTATTTTGTTTGTTTTGTACCGAAAAACGAGTAATTGGATCAAATAATGTTTGAAAAAAGAACAAAAATCTTCTGAAAAGCCTTTGTGACATTTTCAAAACCATTCTCAGAAAAAAAATGCGATTGATTCCGCGAATGACGTCTTTATGAAAAGCTCAGACAGAAGGAGTAGTCGGGAAAAAAACTTCTTATCAATTGGGAAAAGCCGATTTTTGGTTTTCAAACGTCGTGCGCCCTGATTGCCGGGTACTACCGAGTGTTCCCAAAACCTTCCATGTGCCTGAACGAATCGCAAAAAAACGTTGTTCTTCACTTCAAAGTTTCTGCCGGACCATTTTACAGCCGTGATAAGACTAACTGACAAGCAGCCTGGTGCCGAATTGTCGCCTGCGGCTCTCTTTTGTTTCCGAACATCTCCGCGCCAATCTATTTTTGCACCTAGTTTCTTTCTAATCTCATTGATATCGTTGATTTGACCAGCTTGCAGTTTTCAGCGCCATCAAGTTTATGTTTTTATAGCTAATTAATTAAATTGATCGATAATTTAAATTTGTTGCCCATTTTTGGGTCGTAACTTGTTAGCAGTGAAAAATGATGATTTTTTTCTGTGCCTTATTTTTAAATCATTATCTTCGTAGTTCTCGGCACTTTGCTATGCTAATGAAGAACCAAATTCCGATTTTTTAATTAATTCAGCTTCATTTTCAGTTAATCATTGAAGTATTTTATTGAAGTTTGTATCAATATTGTTAATTTTAAAAAATCCCTTTCTCCAAAGATTCTCCAAAACACTGAATAAAGTTCATGTTTCTCGGGATGAGATTTTAATTTTTTGTCGATTTCCGATAGATTTCGAATGACTTTTGAACCGTGAGAAGTTATTTGAATCCCTATCATTCAATCTCAAAAAAAACGTTACAACATTCGTTGCATAAAAAACCAATTTCGCGTGGGAATACAGTCGTTCTCAAATCGTACACATGGCGTGGGAAATCCAATCATTCGGCTCCCATAAAATTTGATTGCATTTCTGATCGTTTTTGAACATTCACACGTCTTCTTAACATTCAAATGATACCGTATTCCTTTGCAATCTGTATCGTCAAAAGATTTATGAACGTTGGAAAAGGAAAACCCTTTATTTTCAGGTTGAAGCCTCAAAATGAGTGTCTTAATACAATCAGGGTCAAGTTCCTATGGATATGTGACTTCAAAAGATATGATGCTCAGTTATATCCGAAATATGTCAAAAGCAGACATTCGTAAATTATTGACACCGATTCGAGATGGCCTCTTGACGGAGAATACTGTTCTTCATATGAATACCCAGTGAGTGAAGTTTTTCATCACTTTCCTGTTTCTAGAGATCTTCCAGCCAACAATCACTCGGTTGAATCACGCTTGTGTCGTAAAAGTTTCTTGATAATTTTCGATTTCCCACGTGATCGTTTGTTTCGAACTTTGTTCTCTTTCATTTTAACTAAGATCACAACGGTCGAACTGGAACTTTCTTCAAATCGATGAGCTGATTTAAATGTTCTCACGATAGCTGCCGACAGCAAAACAGCTTGCGCATTACCGAAAGTCAGAGAAGCGAAAATCATCTTTCTGAAGACTCTTGATTGTAAAAAAAATATACCTCAGCCTGAGATCAGAAATGGAAAATTTGAGACGACGCGCTTAGCCATTCCAAATGCGGCTGAGTTCAACAATACAGTAAATTGGAAAATTCAAGTGCTCGGTGAATGGAAGATATTTTTATTCAGGAATTTCTCGGTTGATCATGTTGTCGTCCCAATAACAGTCACTGATTTTTTGAGAGAGGTGAATCCCAGATGGATACGTTGGATCAATACAGGTTCATAACTTTTTTGACAAATTTTCTTAATATTTGCAGATTTTCAAAATTTCAAGAATAGAAATTGACTAAAAAAAACTAATTTTCAGCAGCGGGAGATTTAGAAGAAGGCGGACTGCCTAACCAAATCGCTTATGATCATCATGGGGATGTAAGCTTCCTTTTCTGATTTCTTGAACTTATTTTCCATTTAGGATGTTCCTGACCACCAAGTCGTCGAGTACATCAACACCTTGGACAAATATCAAAAAAGGTCCATGCTGAACTTGGTTAGAGAAGGAATCCTTACTGATGAATGCTTCATTAATATTTCTAATCTTAAAGGTCCTGAACGGGTTCAGGTTATATTTCTGATATCCAAAAGCAAAAATTCTAAGAAAAGGAAGTTTCAGGTCTCCATGCCGAGAGTGGTAGAAGCATTGAGACTTTCTGAAGCCAGATATCTTGAGCTTCACAATGAAAAACCTATAATGTTGAAGGTTTTCTACATGAAGCATTATTCTTCGGCTTGTTTTGAAAACGTCCATAGAGCAGGTTTGCTTTTTCGCGTGATTTGTGGCCTTTGGAATGACTTAAAAATCACTAAAACTTAAGATAGGGGCAACGAAGATATTAGAACTTTTTTTTTTTTGACCACCCGCCATATTTTTCTCCGTCTTTGCATTACCTTGCTTGTACGAAAAAGCGCATTTATTCAAAATTTTCTGGAAATACAAAGAGAACCTGAAATTTAAAAAATGATTGGGATGAAAAAGATAACTGTTAACAGATCTCGACGTGCGGTCCTTAACAGCAGCGCGGTTCACAATGCCGATTTGGTATACCGTTTTGTTCACTTTGATGACCCTTGGAACTTTTGGATCCCATATTTGGTCACAAGCGACAAATTATGGAGATCTACAGGACAAGCTGAACATGACTACGCCGACCATCATTCTTGTAGTTTCGAGGTTTTTTTTGACAATTTTAAACCGTCGGGAGGAATGAAATTTTCAGTTGAATCTTCACTGCTTCATACTTTAATAGGATTGAACGGTTTTTTAGGATTTCATTTAGTTCTTTCTCAATTCCGCATTTTGAAGGGAATACGTCAATTTTACTACGTTGAACTCAAGAGCTTCAAAATATATCAAGGCAAACTACAGCAGATTGTCAAAAAAATTATCAGAACAGTTTTTTTTTTTGCAATTTTTCAAGCCTTCGAATGCCCAAGGAGCTTTTCAAACATTCAAAATTGAATAAACAACCTAACCGAAGATGATCAGAATTTTCAGCTTACTAATCGGTCTCCTGCTCTACCTCACGATTTACATGATTGGATTTTTATTTTGCTGCGAGAACAACTACAAAAATCAATTGGTGACTAAAGATCTGGATTATTCAGCTCTATACGTTCATTTTTGGTAAGTTCTCATGATTTTATGAATTTCCATAAATATTAGATTTTCAGTGAGCTGAATCAAGTGGAAAAACGGATCTATGCAGTCAAAGGTGTGCAGTTTATACTATTATGGTATACGATGATACTTGCCATTTACGCCCATGAACACGATTTGAATATTTATCCTGCGTTGGCTTGCGTTTTAACTAACGGATTTGGATTGATGATGTTTGCCAGGTAAAAATGGTTCAAATATTCGGAAACTTATCAGAAAACTTTCAGAATCGCTGAATTTTTCCGACGGTGTAGACGGACGAGAAAAGGAACAGCGATAGCGGCTAGATAACATTTTTTTGAAATACTGTACAGTTGTAAATATCCTTATTAAATAAAAATTTTTCTTGATTATTTGAATTAGGTCACCGCCAGTTTGAACCATTAGAAAACTTAAATCAGCTGTTGATGGTTGATTGGTCGATTTTTGGTGAAACCAGAGCAAAAAAAAATTTGGGATCCACTTTGAAATCATTTGAAAAGTTCGATTATGAACAAAATCCGCTCAAATCTTTTTTTCGAAAGTTTTTCCTCTACCCAGTTTTTCTAGGTGATGTTCCCGTTTCAAAATGCTAGTTTTACATTTTTCATCCTGAAAAACTCTTTTCTCCTTGTCCTTTTAATCAAGGATCTCCAAAATGCGGGATGAAAACGCATTTTTGTTTTATTTGCAAAAGCGAAAGGAAAATTTCAGAACGTTGCTAGGGGCAACACTTTTTTGTTTGGTATTTCTCATTATTTGTATTCAAGATTGAAGCGTCTTTTCTAATCAAGAACCTGGCCATTCCAATAACCACAATTTTTTTTAATCTTCTTTTGAAAAGGAAAGACATTCCCATCGGTCTGTTAATCGAAAAAATGCATATTATGAGAACCTCTGAGGCCGGGAAAAGTCATTTATGGAGGTGAAACGATTTTCTCAGAGAACGTTTATATTGAGGGAATTTTCCCAATCATCATATCCAAGAAACGGGGCACGCCGTAGCGCAACAGTTATTCAAAAATCTCGAGACGAGATTGAGACAAGTTCGAGACAAATCGAAATGAAAAAAAATCCAAAGTTTTCTTTTGAAAAAAAACTTACAAACGCCCGAAACTCAAAAATGTGCGAAAAAATGTTTTCATTGAGAAATATCACGCAAAATCTAAAACTGCACCTGGTTTTGATCCCTTTCGGTAGGTGACGTTATGACCGGAACCTCAAATGTGACGCCTTGTTTTTTACTTTCAGCGGAAAAAGTCTTCATCTTCATCTCGAAATATCTTGAGACAAGATCGGATTTATTTTTGCATCTCGAGACGAGACGAGATCGTCCATTTTTGACCGCGTTGAAATCGAGACGAGATTTGGTCTCGAGCTCTACAAGAAGCGTGCACGGTGCGAGCACTGATTTTGCCTTTTTTGTTGCACGGTGCATGTTGTCGTTTTGCACCTCGCAATTTTGGGTCTTTTTCAGTGCGCATGAGGTGCAACACCGCACGGTGCTGACACTCTGGACCACAAAAACTAAACATGCTTTGCTACTCAATTTAGGCCTTTTTCTTTCTTCATCATCCGACTTTTTCTAACGAAAAAAATCATCACTAAAAACGAAAAAAAGTATAAATAAGATGTAGAACTGATAGAAATGGACTGAATTGACAAGATTTCGAATACCCAATTTTTTGATTCGGAGTGTCAGCACCGTGCGGTATTGCACCTCATGCGCACTGAAAAAAAACCCAAAACTGCGAAGTGCAAAACGACAACATGCACCGTGCAGCAAAAAAGTGCAAAATCAGTGCTCGCACCGTGCAAGCTCCTTGTAGAGAGATATCTCGAAAAATCTCAAGACGAGATCGTGTCTCGTGCATCCCTGGCCACAAGTTCGATCCAACGCTTCGACCTAACCGAGGGGCTCACGAAATGCTAGTAGCGGGTAACCACGACTTAAAAATTCCTCAGCCGTCTTACACAAGAACAAATATGTCACTAAAGCAAGTCCACTGATTATCACTGGTATCAGGAAAGGACCTCGGGAAGCTGACTTGGGGCGCCGACGCCGTTCAGGTGGTACAATGGAGTAGTAAAAAACAAAAAAAATGAATAATATCCAAGAAACACCAAGAATCAATCAAAAAACTTTCAGCGTTAGTTGATGCTTCGAAGCTTAACTGTTTTCGATTGAATCAAGTAGCACAATGTCCTAGAACTTGTATATTCTGCGCCGAATACTCTATTGTTTTGATAACTTGAAAGTATCAAAAATTGAAGTGCTCAAATTGGAACAGCCAAAATTGGTCAAAACTCAAAACTCTTGAAATATACATTTTTAAATAGTTCTAACTTAAATCTCGGAAAGGAATGCGAAATTATTCATTTTTCGGGCCATCAGAAAAATTTTCAGCTTATTTCAAAATGGATTTCGATAGTGTCAGCACTTCAATAGACTCCTGAGAGACCTCTAAAATTTTTGTATCAAATTTTTCTCTCAGAAAAAGTTTTGAATAACCTCTCAAGGGCCAGGTCGAGTTAATTGGCAAATTACAAGTTTTTCAGCTTTCGACCTCATCCAACTTTTCCATGTCAATGCGAAGAGTGTAGTTTCTCAAGAAGACTGTCGGCTTTTTCAAAATGGGTTTCTTTCCTGATACTTTCTTTTTTTCTTTTGTATGAAGTCGTGCTTGCAGCGATAAAAGTTCATTCAGAACAACAGTCAATCGAGAAAAGTTCAAAAAATCGGCAATCACAACTTCACGGCAACAATTACAAGTCGAGCAGGCAAGATGGGATACAGTATTGATAGGGTACAATGTGAAAAGAAGCTGGGAAAATGGGAAAAGATGGGAATAGGAGCTGGGAAAAGAAACTGGGATGGGAGCAGAGTCTGGGAAAAGGGGGGGGGGCTATAATGGGATTTGGGGGAGGCGATGGGATAAAATAAAGTATTATGGGATTAAAAAAACTGGGAAAAAGTTCTACTATATACAAGAGAAATGAAGCAATAAGATCTTCAAAAAAATAATAGAACTGGAGATTTTTTTGATAAACTGTTTTTTTGAAGGGCAATTATAAAAATTATATCTAGGGTCCCCTTCATGACCTCGGATCTTAGAGCTCTTTCTATTTACATTTCACAGAGAGAAAAACAAAATTAGTTTTTAAAAAAAATATTATAAACATGTTTCATATAAATGTTTCAAAAAAAAATTTTTTTGAGATTATATTTTTTAAAAATCTGATCTCTACTTTCATTCGAATCAAAAACCCAAAAACCCAACATTTTAAAAAAATGACCACACGAGCTCACACGAAGAGACTATTTTTTTAATTTTTAAAAATTTTTTTGTCTCTTCGTGTGAGAAGGCAATAAAAAAACACAACCAGAAGAATAAATTAATAAATATAAAAGAGCTGTTTCTTTCTACAAAAAAATCAAAAAAATTATCTGGGGGCTTCAATAAATCACTGCTCTACAAAATAAAAAGTTGCCTGTCCGCTGCTCACGACGATTTAAAAAAATTTTTCAATTGTTTGAAGTTTAAAAAAACTTCTACCGCTGCTTTTTTTCTGAAAAAGAAATGCTGTTTTTTTCGTATAAAAGAGGAGTTTCAATTATTAGGTGTTCGAAAATTGTAGAAAAGGCTCGAAAACCAGTTTTTCTTCAGAATTTTTTTGAACGCGATAGGATTGCCTCGAAAAAACCAAACTTGAGCGCCACGAGAAAAACGTTTCTCATCGATAAAATCTGATGAAAAAAGCTTTTTAACTTTTTGATACTTTTGTTTTTCGTTTTTTTTTCGGTACCCTAGCGCTTAAAAAGAAAGATAAAAAAAAGTATTTTTCATAACTAGCAGTGGAAGTGTGATATGGCTAAACTTTAGGAAAGGTGGTCATAGGTATGTATTTTTCAAAAAAATAAGAAAATTAATATGTTAAGTACCATAGGTAACTAAAGATAGCCCATGGAATACGTTCATTAAAATATCAAAAAACCTTTTTTCTCAGAAACTTCCAAAATTATCTGTTTTTGAGCATTTCCTTCGCATCGCATTTTTGTCGGGCTATCTCCTTATAACTGATAACACTGAGCGGATAATGCTTTCTGTTATTTGCTTCATGATCAGGATCAGCTACTGCAGAAGTTGACAGAAAGTGCCGGAAAAATCTCAGAATGCACTTTTTCAGTGTTGAATTCAAAATCGAATGAAACGTTAATCACTGCGAGAAAACCGCAAAATGTCTTGAAGAGAGAAGAAAAACGAAAAAAAACAACTAGTTATTGTTCTACACTGCGTTCAATAAGGATAGGACCCTCCTCGATTTTGGACTTTCTGGCAAGATACGGAAAGATATCGAAAATCTGTGAATGCCATTCGATTCAGAATACAAAATAACCCTCAGAGCCAAACTTTCCTTAACCTAGCATTCTTCCTACGAAAATGCCATCGAAAAAACGGGTTTTGGACCGTTCAATAAGGATAGGACCACCTGGAAATTTTGGCTTTCATTGGTATTTTTTGGTCATTTTCTCTTTTTGATCAGTGGTTTTTTTGTTTTCATATTATTTGTTTTCAAGTTTTCTACGGTTTTTCCTTTCATATCTTCCAGATTTAAAAATATTTTTATATCGAAAATAGGGAAAAAAATGACGTTTTTTTGAGTTTGCATCAAAATTTTTTTGAGCGCGTGAATTTCTTCAGTATTTTTGAATGAGCTTATCTAACTATTTTCGATATAAAATATTTTTTTAAACCTGGAAGATATGAATGGAAAACCGTAGAAAACTTGAAAACAAATAAAATGAGAACAAAAAAACCACTCAGCAAAAAGAAAAATTGAACAAAAACCACCAATGAAAGTCAAAATTTCCAGGGGGTCCTATCCTTATTGAACGGTCGGAAACCCGTTTTTTCGATGGTATTTTCGTAGGAAGAGTGCTAGGATAAGGAAAATTTGGCTCTGGGGGTTATTTTGTACTCTGAATCGAATGGCATTCACAGATTCTTGACATATTTCCGTATTTTGCCGTAAAGTCCAAAATCGAGGGGTCCTATCCCTATTGAACGAAGTGCATCAGTAATTTCTCTTTAAAATAAACTTTTTTTGAGTTTTTTTCAAAATTTTTGACAGTATTCTGACTGAATAGTCATTTCTCTGCCAATCTACCAGAAAAGTGAGAGTCAACTAATAAAAGTTCTCCTAAAAATCCGAAAAGGCCCATATTTGGATTTTTTGGGAAGGGTCTGATTAGTTTTTTGGCTAATCATTTTGAGACAACCGGTTTTCTAGTTTCTAGATTGTCTTGAATCTATCATTTATGTTGCAAATGAGCTAATGCCTTTTCAATTTTTTCTTTAAATTTTAAAGTTGTTTCAAACTTGTCCAAGTTGTCTTGGGATTATCAAAAAATCATGTCATTTTTCGGCCTTTAAACAGTTTTCTTCCTAATTGCTCAAGTACTTTGAATTTTTGATTAGTTTTGCAAATGAGCCATTATATTTGTTCAGATTTAAAATAAAGAAGCTAGCCCAGCATCGCGGCTACAGTATCTTTCGCGTCGATAATTTGTAGCGAGTGACCATGACCCTCTAAAAGCGCTGCAATCTTTGAATTTTTTTTTAAAGTTGTTTGATCAAAAAGCTCAACAAAAAAACAGTTGAAGGATCATAGTCATGCGCGAGAAAGTTTCAACGATAGCAGGGTTTCTACTTGCGGGGGCGGAGCAAGAGAGTTTGAAGTAAAAATAAAAATCCTCACTTTTCCGAAGACAAAATGTGAGCAGCCAGTTGGCTGCATCAAATTCTGCCTGAGGCTTTATCACTCAGCGCCATTTCGACCAGCGTCGAACTGTAAATTGGAACATTATATTATTAGATTCATACAATGAAAAATTTACCTCCAAAACTGCTCTCCGGAGAAACCAATTTGAAGTCGTGCTGCGGCGCGCCGTCCTTTGTCGGCCGGATCTAAAAAAATGAGTTGTTTTTGAAATTAAAGTCGGACAAAATGACCTTTTCCTTTTTGAAGTTTTTCAACTTCTGAAGATCTCTCGCCGTCGGTTGATCACCGCGACATGGCCGCCAAAGACGGTACCCAGCCCTGAAAACATATTTATTCTTTTCAAATCTTCAAACAACAATATCGAATCACGAAACGAGAAGAAATTGAAAGAGAAAATCGCAATTTTCGAGCGCGATCAAACGGAAATCAGTACGGTGGTGCGTGTTTACTGGACCTACGAGCTTATCTTAGATATAGATAAAGTTCGGGGGTCTAGTAAGCACTCGCCAACGTTCTTTCGAATGGGGGGGAATATGGAGTATTCAATCAAATAGAAAAGGAACTCTCAACGGAAGACATTGTAAGATGCAAGATAAATCTAAAATGTTGACTTAATACTGGCTAATGGAACACATTTCTGAAGAGTGATGAATCTGGAGCTAGCATATCCTCAAACTGAAACGTTAGGATGAAGAAAAGGCTGAGAGGGGAACAAGAATAAAAACCAAGACTATTAAACAAAAGATCACCTTGAATGTTTAACTAGAAAATTGGCCCAAACTGCATTTAAAAAAAAGAAAAAGAGCACCAAAGTTAGAAGGAAAACTCAAAAAAAAAACAAGAAAGAATTAGAAGAATAAGAAGAAAACCAAATCCGTCTGGAAGCGAAGGTGCAGGTCACTTGTAGTTTTGAACCTGTAATTGAAAAACAGGCCCGAGTTTTTTATACAGAAAGAGGACACTTAAATTGAGCAAGAAGAAAAAAGGTGGAGGAAAGGACGAGGGAGGAGATGAGGGCTGAAGACTGAGGAAGGCGTTCGGCGAACTGAGACGATATGAAACGAACGCCTCGGGGGCTCTCTTAAATAGGAGCTCTTGTCAGAAACTCCGCCCATTCTTGAAGAGAAATGATTGGCCGGCTCCACCCATTTCTCCTTGCCTCCGGCGTCCTTGAAACGTTCAGGATCCACCCTTTTTCTATTAATAGTTTCTATCGTTTCTAAGAACGCGTTACTTTTCTATTGTTTCGCTAAAAAGTGTCAACATCATGTGAAAAGCGACGCTTCTAAGTGGCTGAAAAGTTTTCCAGAAAAGAAAGATTTTTTTGAAAGCATGCTCCTTTGCTTTGCGTGACAATAAACAATAAAACGAGAACCGAAAATTGCAAGGCGTTAACTGGTTGCTAAGAAGTTGCTAAGGCGCAGCCCATAAAGACCATTAAAATTTTATTTGTTTTTTCCTTGGTACCTATAATTTTATTAGTCCTCACGCACTTCTCGCCACGCACGCTGGTAAAATGTCATTTTTCGTAAATTTTTTTCAGTTTTCCTTTCCAGAAGAGTCTGAAGGGTCAGAGCTTAGAGACCGGGGATTTCTTTCCGCGGAGGTTTTTAAAAGAGAAAACTACGGGAAGCAAGAAATCAGTAAACTGACGAAAGTAAACGATATAAGAATAGAAAACAGGCCCTAATCGGTGAGAAAGTGTGAACTCGCAGTGTCTGCGAAGACCCGACCCGAAAAACCGGTAAGAGACCGGTAAGAAAATGACAACTTGGAAGATTTATAAGAGCTAAATTGTGAGAGTACCGACGTTTGATATCTATTCCCGCGTTTACCCGCGTTTTTTTTCCGTGGAGAGCTTCCGCCAGTGACTGGAATCCCGAAGCTTGGGTTTTCTTAGCGATCTTAAACCAATTTTTTTCATTGCTTTCCAGAGGACTCTCCGAGTTATTCTTTCACCAAATTTTCTCTTTTAAAAGCACCCGTGGAATGAAATCCCGGGCGTCTAAATTCGCATGACGACAAGTATCGCAAACAGTGCACAGTTATTTGGCAAACTGGGCGCGGTCATCTTAAATGAGGCTCCTGAAACATTCATAACAGCCATTATTCAAAGTCTAGATTATTTCTCTTCATCAAACAATCCTCAGCTTTTTAAAGCTTATGCGAATTTTATCATCAACAAAATTTTGAAGGAAACCTTGACACATCAACGACAACAACAAAGAAGTAAAGAAGAAGGACAGAGAGAAGCAATAGTACCGAACAAAAGAAATCACTTGGGGATTCTCGAAGAATCCTACAGAAAAAAAAAGAATCAGAAGGAAGGGAGAGATCGGATAGAAGGATAGGAAAGAGAAAATAAGGAGGATAGGAAAGGGAAAAATTAGGAATAATAGAAGGAAGGGAAAGAGAAAAGTTAGAAGTATAGGAAAGAAGAAATGAACGAGGATAGGAAGAGGGAAAGGAAGGAGGATAGGAAAGGGAAAAATTAGGAGGAGGATAGAAGAAGCTCAGGTAGAGATTAGGAGGAAAGGAAAGAAAAAAATTAAAAGTATAGGAAAGAAAAAATGGGTGAGGAGAGGAAGGTAGAGAGGAAGGAGGATAGGAAAGTAGAAAGTTAGAAATAGAAGGGAAGGACAGCAGGAAAAATAGGAGAATAGAAAAATCAAAAAAGTTAGAAAGGAAGGACAGAGATAGAGAAGGATAAAAAAGAAACATAAAAAATCATCGATTGAAAGAATTGTTCTGCAATTATGATAAACACCGGGATCACGTCGAAAATTCTTGAAAAAAACTCTTTTTCAAAAAAACCTTTTTTTCTAGCATCTTCATTAAAAAAAGAGCGGGTTTTTCAAGAACTTTCAAGGATTTTAAATTAAAAAAACCTTGAAGAATTTTTCTTCAGCCTTTTTTTCTCGATTCCAATAGGATAAAAATCAAGTTTTATAAGATTTCCAAAATTTAAAGGCACACGGAAAAATTTTTTTCAAGTTTTGAAAAAAATAAAAAAAGAACTCTGGGACTGTTTTTGTCGAGGGGGATAGTAAATTTAAAAATCAAAAAAATCGAAGAAATTTGATATTCATTGTCAAAATTGTACTTTAACTCTCGAATTTAACTATTCTTAAAATAATATATAGTCAATGTTTCCCGACTTGAAAGGCGAGGGAGGCGGGGCAAGGGGCGGGACGCGTAGCGTGTGCGTACGCGGTTCTTGGCGCCAGTTCAATTCAATCGCCTCCGACTATTTAAAAAGCTCGGCCACCGCTCTTTTTCTGTATTTTCTTTTATTTTTTGATGCACACATGAACATAATCAATAAATAATTAAAAAACAAGTGAAAAGAGCAATAAATAAGCTCTCTGAATGCTCGCTAGCGGTTGAATTGAACACGTGCCAAGAACCGCGTACGCACACGCTACGCGTCCCGCCCCTTGCCACGCCTCCCACGCCTTTCAAGTCGGGAAACATTGACTATATCGAAAATTCACCACTCGAAACCCAAAAAATGGCGAAAAGCCCTGTTTTTTGAATTTAGGACGCATTTGGAATGGCTTTTTTCCACCTGCGCCACCGTTCATATCTCTTACTCAAATCGTTTCAATTAACTTACTTCTTGATTCTCTAAATTCCTCTTTCTTCGAAATATTTTGAGTCAGTTCTTTCCACAACTTGATTTCGAGCTCTTCAAAAATAAAAAAGACTTGAATAAAAAGGTCCACTGTGAAGAGTTTGGTTTTTTTCGATTTCTTGATTTTTTTTAAAGTTTCAAACAGTAAAAGAACAGGTTTGAAAATAGGAAGAAGACAGGGGCTGTACACATAACGAAACAGCTGTCGGATCATTTTTTTAGGTTTTTGAAATTTTTTTATTTGTTTTTTTGGATTATTAAGTTTGAAAAATCAATTAAAAAGTCTTTCACAAAGAATGAGCCGCAAAAGGTGAAAAAAAATACAAAAAAAGGCCAACTGCTTCTCCATCTCCGTCTCCATAGTTGTTGCTGCCGTCGAGAGAAAAAATCCTTTTTTCAAAAAGTCGTTGACGAAAAATTCGCATCTTTGAAGGAACAGGGCCGACTGAAATTTGTGCATTTGAAGTTTTTTTTTTATGTTGGGTGATTATGAGGTTTCACTTCATTTCCTTTGACTCGAAACACTATGGTCGCATGGCTCGTAGATTGTTTTTTGGAATAATCAATGACTTGGGGCGGAAATAGATTCCGGTCAGACGAACATATTTTTTGAGGGTTTCCATGTGAAACCAATTTTTAATAAAGGTGAGATGAGGATACTGAGTCGAGAATTTTTTTCAAAACATTTAGAAGAAAAAACTCAACAAGCGAGTTTATTTGCTTTTCAAACTGAGAAAAATTGCCTTTATCAAATGCACTACCTCATAGGATTTTCTCTTATTCCCTCTCAAAATTTCTCGTCCTCATGTCCAAAGATTCTAAAATCAAAGCTGACCTCAACTAGCTCGAAACGATATTTCGAACATCGACGCCTCGGGCACCATATCGGCAGTATCTGAAGGGTTACCTTTTTGGAAAGAACTCAATTTTTGAAATCAAAGTAAAATTCAAAATTCACTTTTTTTCGACTCGATAGGTCAGAGTCTCCACTGCGGTGCCGCCGCCATCAGAATCGGACCATAAAAAGAACCTAAAAGTTCATGTTTCATTACTATGGACACCATTTAAATGTAACAAAACTAAATTGTTTTTGGTGAAAAAAGTTCATTTCGGTGCTTTTTAAGCTTTTCATATACCAGAAGAAAATGTCGGCAGGACTTTTTCAAAATTATTTTCTGTTTCAAAATTTGATTTATCAATGAAATCTCAAGAATCAGCTCTTTTTATCGGTCATATTATCTTCAGTTACTTTGGCTGTTTGTCGCAAAATGATCTTTAAGAGCTTTCCATATTTTTTTTGATGTTTGATGACGTTTTCAAAAAATTGTTTTTCTACGATTTCGAAAAATTTTTTTCTGAAGGTTCTCAAAACCAACCGTGAGGGATGGGAAATCTTGTTCCCGATTCGATTCTCTTGCCACAAGTTCGGACCCAAAAGGAAGTTTTTTGGAAAAACCATCAGACCATAATCAGCATGCGGCACGGTCACTTCTTGGCGGATCCCAAGTCTTAAGAATCATAAATTAAAGAATAATTGATAAAAACGCGAACAAAGTAAACGAAACGAAACAATTTATAAAAATATCAATGATGAAAAGGACTTCGAAAAGGGAAAAATGTGGAAAAAGTTGTTTTATTGAGGATCATAAAATTAAGTTTTGGGAGGCAATTTTGTGAAAAGAAATCAGAAAAATGAACCAAAACGTGTTAGAGGAAACACAAAACTAGTTTCCATAAATAAGTATAACTCTGATCTACCGTTTTGAATATGTGAAAATTAAAACTTGACTGCAAGAGAAAGAGGAAAAAAATGCACATTTTTTTGATCAAATCAGCTATCAGTTGAATTTTTAATTTTTTGTTTGAAGCAAAACAAATGTAAAGTTTAGTCGTGGCACTTTAAAAATCGGAAACTTGAAATCTGACAAATTCTTAAAAAAATCAAGATGGATTGAAAATCTAAGAAGCAAAAAAGTTTCAATAAAAAAGAAACTTGAAATCCTATTTGAAAAAATTTTGTGGAACTTATAAAGTGTAGGAAAGAAGTAGAAAACCGTGTGAACACGCTGGAACATCAAGCTCATATAGGGGCCTTCAAACCAGTCTGGGCGGACGCGGTAGCAGTCCGCGTTATTGGCCGCAGGCTAAACTCCACCCATTCCCGCACTAGCCTTGAGTATTTACACCGCTGAAAGTTGATGAGAACTTGGACAAGGAGTAGAAATAGTTGGCAATAATAAAAAAAAGGAGCTTTTGGGATTGAGACAAGTATTTAGTTTATGCGCAAAAGAACTTTCATTCTTCATAAGGAGATTCATTGCACTTAGACCTCTATAGCGGCCACTAATTTGACTACTATAGTGGACACTAAAACGTCAAAACCCTATAGTGGCCACTAGAAATTTTCCCAGATTTAAAAATAAATTTAATTAAAATGTTGGAAGGCGTTTTATGGCTTGTATTTGAGTTCAAGGTTTCAAGTTTCTGTCTTTAAGTGTTCGCTCTTTTCAGCTTATAAAAAAAAACATTCTTTCACAACTCTTGTTGTTCTCTTTTTTTGATGATCCTAATCCTAGTGAAGATCCCATTTCCCCTTCTCTCAAACCACAAACCCCATTGAAACAAAGTTGGCGAGTTTCAATAACACGAAGAAACGTTCCCTCCTTTGTCAACACATTTTCCCCCGAGGAACACGACAAAAGCGTGGCCAATTTCGTTCAAAACCGTTCGAATCGTCGCAAATCTGATCAGTGACGGCTGAGACATAAGAGATGATGAGAGATTTTGCGGGGCAGGACAGTTCAGAAACTGTAGAGCGTGATGAGCCGCGGAGAGGGTGCTCGACGACAGAGCGGCGCGGGGCCTGCAGTGCCAGCTCGCGCCATCGCTCTCAGACAAGAACCAGGGCGCTGCCATCTTCACCAGATCTTCAGCTGGAACTGTTAAACAGGGAGGATGCAAAACTCTTTTTTTAATAGGGACAGGAGAGAAAATATACATATTCGACACTAGGACGCAGATCGATCTTGTCATCCATTCTTGATGATGGAGACAATCAGCATGTCCCGGTTGAAATAGAGTTTTGTCCAGGCCTTCAACTTCAAATATAAATATACAGAATTGTCAAGGGGTTCGAATCTGGTGAATAGCCGGTCCATTTCTTGACCGTGTTGAAATTGGGCAGATTGGACTCGCACGAGTCTTGCTCAGCTCTGGGCTTGCAGCTTGACTTAAAATCTTGGTGGAAGAACCAGCGACGGTTTTCAAACAAAAAAAAAAACAGATTGAAACTCCATTGGCATGAAAGAAAGTTGGAATGATCGAAAAGTCCGTGCAATATTTATGCCCACCCCTGTAATATCAACCTTCACTCAAGAGCTAGGGAGTCTGCTTAAGCGGTAAAAACAGAAAAAATGAATAAAAATTTAGGAAACCACCTAGTTCTTCTGGGGAACTGCCTAGTTCTTCTGGAGAACTGCCCATTTATTCTGAGACACTGCTTATTTATTGTAAAGAACTGCCCGAATCTTCTAAAGAACTGCCTAGTTTTTCTAGAGAACTGCTGACTAGGAAACTACACGAACTCGTAATCGCGCATCGAGTTCAAATTTTAAAGGTTTATAAACCCAATTCAGAACACTTGAAAACAAGAGAGAATATTTACTAAACCCAATAAAAAAACTGAGAAAAAAAATTTGTAGAAAAATATGCAGATTGGGCCTGAAAAATTTTTCAGAATATTTAATTTATATTTTTAGTACAATTGCCTTGAATGCTATGATAAACACTAAAAAAACTCTATTCCAGCCAAAAAGAAGGAGGAAAACAGAAATTTGATAGTTTTCAAGCCTAAAATGTTTATTTCCAAAAAAAGCTTTTTTTCGGTAACTTATTGGGTTTAGCAGATAGTATTGCCTTTTTTGATCTTTAAACCACTTAGAACTTTAAATCACCAAAGTTTGAACTCAATCCGTGAATATAAAATCATTTCTAGTTAGTTATGAACATAACAGAAAAAAAAACTTTTTTTTTTCGTTTTTGCTGCCAAAAATCTTACTTTTCAAAAGTAATTCTCGTACGCTCCAAAAAAAAAAAATTTGAAAGAAGGTCAAGAAGAGGAAAACAATGTTAATTAAAAAGGCTTTAAAAAGAGCAAAAAGTGACTGGTGAAAATGTCACTGAAGATTCATCTCATGACTCAAAAGTAAAGGTTTTCGGAACCCCTGCTGTGATTTTTGAATGAGATTGTGAGATACTGTAAGCTACGGACAGAAAACTGAATAGATTTTTATTCGAGGACCCTTTTTAGCGTTTAAATTTCTGGATAATATTTTAGAAAAAGTTTCAAAAAAATATTTGAAAAATAGAGTTATTTAGCATTTTTATTGATCCCCCACCAGTGGAAAGGAAAAATTTGCCACATTCCGAGGTTCCCTGATTCAAGGGCAATAAATTTTTGCACAATTTTGCGTTTCCGTTGAATTATGACGCTTTAAAGGCCAATAAAATTGTCTTTTTCTTCACCAAATCGTCGACAATAATACTTGAAGCACCATACCTTGACTATAATAAAAATTGAGAGTTTTTCTCTCTGGTCTGGAATTAGAAATCTCAAAGCACATAATATTAATATTTCCTTTTTTTTGATCAAAATGTATATCCCTTTTAGTTTCTCATTTCTTTCCCATCATTCATTCAAACATCTCGACGATTTCATTTCAAACATTCGTTTTCCTTTCCCATTCCCATCAACCGATTTGGTATACTGTAGGAAAGAAAAAGGCCGCCGACGGACACAAACACGCGGCGAAAAACCGTTGTAAAAAGGCCATAACTTGAAAAAGAAGCCGCTGGCGTCGTGGCTGGCACGTCTAGAACGGAGCCGCCGAGTTTTCCCATCGGCCACTTCTTTTATCTATAAGAAATCTTCAGACGGAAAAATTCTTTTGAAATCGCCGCTGAAAAAATGATTGCAACAAACATTGAAAGGACGATTTGTGATCGGAAAGCTTTTTGCACGCCCGTCATGGCCTTTCGACATCAAAAGAACATAAGCTGTTCAACTATCTCAAATTCTCTTTTGGGATCGTATTTGGTTGGAAAAAAACTTGGCGGGCCGTTTGGTTTGGTATAAAACGAAAACTGAATGAATCCCCCCAAAAAAACTTTTATTACGCAGATGTTCGGACTACGGTAGTTTTTTTTCGAAGACGCAATGCACACGATTCATTTCGCGACGAAAAAAACTGTGCAGGTGCAGATTTCTCATGTTGCGCAATGAGAGTTTTGAACTTTCTATGCCCTTCGCAAAGAATGAAAATTTGAAAAAGGTCCCCCCACAAAAAGGTTAATAGAAATTCACCAGGACCGTTATATTCTGCATGCAGAATTATATTACTTGATCTCGATTTAGACTAACCAGATATCCTCAGTTCAGCTTTTTTGAAAAAAGCAAAACTTCTTTTTGAACATGCCCCTTTTCATGGACCTTCGTCGGGACCAGGAGTTTTGTCGACAACCCTTGCAAATGATAAAAATTAAAGAGATTTTCTGAAATCGTCTTTCACCTCTCATTGACCCGGCTGGATCCAACCGAACTGTACGCCCTGGAAAAAAAATACATTTTTTGCAGTAGACAATCTGAAAACTGAACCTTTTCGCCAAAAAGTTGCCTTGTGAGCTTCCAGCTGGCATGAGGTCTGTGATGTTTTTTCACTTTTCTCATGAAAAGTTGCTCTATCGTCACTTTTTCTTCAATTTGTTGCGAAGTATTGACTTTCCAAAATAGATATTGCAACTGACTTTGAAGAAGATTGGTCCTTACTTGAACTTTCTGGAGGAAGAGGGAAAGACTGGGCCATAAGAAAAAGAAAGTATTTGGTTCCTTCTCAGTAACTTTGAGCAGGACTGTAAACTTTGAGCAGAACCCTTTCTGTAAATAACTTCCTGAGTTTCAGCTAAACGATGAAAAACTCATCTTTGGGTTTCTCGATGCGACCCAGCTTTTCAAACGGGCACGCAAATCAAAGAATATGAGGCGAACGGAAATCATAGAGAAGTGGGGCGAAAAAGTTCGACCCCATTGTCTACGATACTTGACCATATCAGCCATTGAAAGCGCTGATTTGATACAAGCGCCGTAAGCAATAAAGCGCTCCTTGTAGTTTCAAAAGACTGTTTCCTCTTCGTCTGCATTGTCGGCTTGCTCAATCTTGTTTCTAGATTGAATCAAGCTGAAAACGCAAACGATAAGGTTCGTTGCTCTTTTTCTGATTTCAGAGACGAGTTTGTGTAAGGTGAAAATTTTTCATCTCGTGGGCTATACAAATCTTGACAACTCTTTATCAAGGTATCGAAGGTGGAAGGCAGATCAGAAAATTAAGGCTCCAGAGTATGAGCACAATAAATTAGCTTTTTGCAGCGAATACTTGAGAACTGCATGTTTCCAGCGAATGTGTTGGTGGTTTTTTATAGATCCACGGCTGGCTAGAGCCAACAAAAATGGGTCTTGGAACGATAAAAAAGATACTGCCCAGTTGGCGAAAAGCGCAGATAGGCCCCGCCCTTTTCCCATTTCAAGCCAACCATGAATCGGCTATAAAAATTTTTCGTCTCGACGCAGAGTTGGAGGCTTGTTCGTACGAATATTTGACGAACATCCTTTTTCCCTGCAAAAAGCTTGTGATTACTTTAAAAAAAACAACTGATAGAACTTATCTCATTGGATGATTTTTGTGAAAGTCGAACACTGGCTATGTAACCCATACTATGTAGATAACTTCATCCTGCAAATCAACAAGGTTGAATCGGAAATTCCACAGAAAACGTATCTTTTCCTTTCAAATTGCAACAAATTGTTAATACTGTAGTGGATGAAGTGTTGATCGACTTTGAAAAAACTGGAACTTTTTTTGGTCCTTTTGCTGACAGCGCTGCCCTAAAAGTCAACAATTTTGAACCAACATTTCTTTTACAGAAAACTTATCTTTTCGATTCTCTTCAATCTGCAGACCGTCAAAAAATATATGAGCAGGGAGTATTTAAAAAGTGTCTCGCCCCATTATCAACGTGGTTGAAATCGCCCAACTTTCCGCTAAGTTAGGTAAAATAACCACGCAAACAATAAGGCAGATGAAGTAATCATATCAGAATAATTATTTTCAGCAGCGAATAATTAGGAACGGCACAAAGTTTTTGTTGATACTGCTAGAGGAACTGTAGATTTTCGGAAAAACCGATTCTGATTTGTTCCATTTCTCGACAACTCCGCCCTGAAAGTCAGCAGGTTTGGATCGAGATTATCGCAAAAAAAAAAAACTCATCTTTTCAATTTCTTCAATTTCTCCTAGTTGACTCTTTTTGAAGATGAATCTCGACAATACTGCGTCATCGTTAAATGTAGACAGCTTCTTCCTGCAGCTTGACAAATTAGAATCGGAAACTTCAGGGAAAATCATCTTTTTGAATCCTATGATAACAGATAGCTTAAAAAGCAGACGATAAGCTTTTTTATTGTTTTGGATTCCACCGGCTTTAGCTTGTATAAGGTAAAAATGCTTTGCTATGTTATCTGCACAAACCTTGACAGCTCTTAATCGTGGTATCAAAGACAGTGATAAACCAGAAATAATCAGCAGTTTTTGCAGCGATTAATTGAGAACTGCACAGTATTATAGTGAATAACTTGGTGATCGTTAAATCGAAGCTATACTGTCAACGCAGGAAGGCTTTCGTAAGAATATTGAGGCTCATCCCATCCATTTTCGCTGCAAAAAGGCTGTCATTATTCAAACAACCGAGGATAAAAACTCATCTCTAGAGGGTTAATTGAAGCTTCCCATAAAATCCTGACGTTGAAATCGGCACCGCGAGAACTCTGGAAACAGCTTAACCCTGCAACTCATTTAGTTGGAATC